AGTTTCACGATCAAGCTTGCCAATCCCAGATTTCGCAATGTCGCCACCAGCCAAACTGGATCTGGGGGTCGACCTCTTCGACGACGACGACCAAAAAAATATTTTTTGGGCTAGTTGCGACATTGAACGTGAAACTTTCACCCAAGGTGCTGTTGGCCAAGCCGAGCCCATTGCTCTAATAAAAACCCCACATTTCATTGTAAAGTTTGGAGATACAGGCGCCTTTATGTTTTACCTAGGCTGTAAGCCTGATGGAATTGCTTTTTCCTAGTGGATGGTGTCGGCTGCATTAACGGAAAGATGAAGAGCTGAGCGAAATGGCACGTAGTGGTTACACAAACATGTCCTTGACAGGTTTGCTGCACAAATGGATGATTATGATGATTGTCTTTTGTGAAGGTACGTAAGTAAACAGCATCCAATAATGAAGGTGTGTCAAGGTATGCATCACATTTGCATGTAGAAGAAAGTCGAGCTGCATAAATCAATTTGTATATGTAAAAAGATACGTATACATATTGAATGAGTCACTCATCCTGAAACTCAATGGAGGGATCTCTTCACTTTTTCTCTTCTCCGTCAAGCTCATCCCACTTCCCACTCCTCCTTATTGTATCACAAAAGCCATGTACTTCTTGCATGACCGATAATCGGACCACCTTTATTATTCCATCTTCGAAGCAATAGTATGTGATCCACAAGCTAGCAACCTCCAACAAGCGTGTAATAAATAAACAATGCTTTATTTCATCTAGCTATCTTGCTACTGTACATTGCCACCACCATCGTCGTAATCGTCCTCCGTCATCATTCCTACTCGTACTCGTCACTAGCCGTCAATCTCATCCGTCACACCAACATCGAAAAATACACAAGTTGAAAAGAATGGGATCTTGCAGGCTTCCTTTTGAATCTCGTTGTCGTCATCATTGTCATTGTTGTAGATGGGGTGATCATCGTAATCGTCGTCTCTACAAATAAGAAAGCAGGCAAGTTAGACCATCTGGTACCGGAATGATGACGATTTGGTATACCGCTAGGCGATCTTCTCAAAGGAAGAAAGCAAATCAGAAGGAATTCACAAACCAAATCGCCACCATACGAGCAACGTCGGGCGATCCCTTGTTCTTGAGAAAGCACTGCACGAATCACGCAAGGCCAGTTCGATCCATGGCAAGGAAGGACATCACTTACGTAGAGTCCAGGCTCATAGTTGTTCTCATTCATCCTCTCCAAAGAAAGAGTGATCCCCAGACCTTCCAATCATTTTCCCACCTCATGAAAAGAAATCCTCAAGGGAAATAACGAGCCTATCACGAGAAGAGCGTATTGGTTCGCACTGATGTCAACACATTCACGGCCGGCAAATCCCCTTTTACCTCAACACGGTGACCATGCTCTTCCAACAACCCATTGTCATCGACCCATCAACTCAAACACAGGCCTATAGAGCCCTGGACGCGTTCCAAGAAGCTTTTTCAGCACGCTTGGCTAGTGCAGAGCGAGGCAGCGGCCACTTGATACAGGCTGGGACTTGAACCCAAAGAGATGATGATGATGATGCCACAAGTTGCATTGCCTAACCAAAGAAACCTATTCAATTCATTATTAGCACACACACAATAAACACCCTTTTCATTGTTTGTTTCATTGTACTTGCCTTTTCCATATACACAAAGGCCCCTTGTTGTTGGTTACTGGAAGCCGAAAACCATGGTGTAGTATAGTTGAGCCGAAACAAACGCCAAAGCAGCCAACGTCTTGAAACCAAACTTGCCCTCTATGCAAGCTGACGCGTCAATGGAACCAATTCGGCTGCAACATTGGACTGTGAATGTACCTGTTGACAGCAAGCATAGAGCGGGAATAGCAACGAACAAGAGGCAGCAACGGTATCGCCATGGCAACCACCAACCACCAACCACGCTCATTCCTCAGCACTTGGACACACTCACTCTCTGACAATGCAAGTTCAGAACTACATTAACACCTCACAGCCAACAAGAGCACTCTTCTAGAATACATTACCTTGATCGGGATGTCGTGAATGGGATAAAAGCAGAGAAGGGAGAAAGAGAAGAGAAAGCGTTGTCTCAAGTCGTGGAACTACCGTCCCCAAGTTTAAATCCCCTACTGCTATTACACTGAACGCCACTCAATGACCCTATACACACCATCCACCCATCATGATCATCACCCTCACGATAGACAATAGGTGTACGTAAATAAAAGAAATGATCCTCACGTATAGCAAAAGGGTGTGTGCCGTTTTACACTTTACATGATAATGGTGATCCAACAACAGCCATTGCCTTACTACCAGGTGCCCAAACATCTATCTTTTTTTAATCAATCCATTCCAAAGTATCCTTTTTTTCTACATGCAGACGTTGCCCTTCACTTTGCATACATGTACCAATCGTGTTCCTCGTAATAAAAGATGGTATATATACACTTAAGGTCGATGATGGTCAAAGCCGTGATGACACTGTATCAGTGACGAATCAGCCGCGCTAGAGGAGTGCATACGATCATAAATGTCAAGGTTGCAGCAAAGTCGGATAATGCACATGCACCTCTCTTGGGAACCTTTGCCTCGTCTTGCATACATCGATTAGTCCAATGAGTGCATGGATGACAAATGATCCCATCACATCATTGTCACAAGTTTTGTTTTGGCCATCAGAGGTTATTGGTCTATGTACATATAACGTAATGCGGATTTTAATGTTGGAATAGGGATAAGGGGTTATATATCTTCTCTATCTAGGTAGTTGCATTAAGCACTCTAACATTCTGGATCGTAAGGGGGTGAAAAGGATCAGCGTTAATGTTATTGTGCCCACAAAATGCCTCATGACGCTATACTGAATATTGTAGGTGACATTGGCCAGATCAAAAAGTCTTATAGTAACATGGTGGATGATGTTGATAAGTGAAGGGAATTCCTTGATCAGCTGCATAATGTCAAACAGTCACGACGTTCATTGAACGATGGCAATGGGAGAGTGTACAGGTTTTGACCAGTTTTTTTCCACCGCTGAGTGCCGGTATTCTTTTCTTTCTTCCTTTTTGAAACATGTCCTACTACGAACGTGATCGCCCCAGAGGCATGCGCCGCCTTTATGTTGGTAAGTGCGCATTCGTTATCATCTGGTAGCTCTAAGGTCGGTATCCCTGATGACGAAATATAGGAAACTTGAACCGTTACGTTCGCGAGCGTGATTTAGATCGCATGTTCTCCAAGCTTGGCAGAGTGAGGGATTTGGAACTCATGGTATGAAGCAAACGAGATGAGATAGAGAATGGTTCTAGTATTCATGCATACTTTTTGTTTATCCAGTCTAGCTTTGCTTTTATTGAATACGATGTAAGTAAATCCATCATACATCCACTTTGTGCAGTGACTAATGATATGATTTGATTGGATGTGTAGGATCCACGTGGTGCGTGTCTCTAGTCTCTCTTTTTGTGATGGTGTTGGATTGTCGATTGCTGTATTTTGGGTGGCGAATATGCGGGAGGCCTGGTGAAAAAAGAAGGCGACACTTTTGACTCAACTACGAACGCTGCGTTCTCTATCTCTCTCTCTCTATTCATTTATCTGTCAATGCACTTCACTTTGCAGACGCCGAAGATGCCATTAGAGAATTCCATGGCACACGTTTGGAAGGCGATCGTATCATCGTACGTCATTATTGGTCTTTGTTTGGCTCGCATTCTTCCGATTCTAATCTGTTGTTATGTATAGGTTGAATTTGCAAAGAGCCGACGTGGTTACGAAAACCGTAGAAACGACCGTTTTGGTGAACGTTGCTACAATTGCGGTGAAATCGGTGAGTGGATGAATATGCATATGCTGGTTGAGAATCTTGACTAACGAATTTCTAAAACAGGACATATGTAAGTGATGTGCTCAGTATGGCGAAAGAGGATAGATGCAGGGATGCTCAACAAGTTTCTTTGTTTTCCATTCTAGTTCAAGAGAATGGTAAGTCTTTACAGCACTAATGGAACTAACTGAATGTGTATGCTCATACAAAGAATAATCCTTGTAGTTCTTTGCCCAAGGGAAGGTAAGCAGAATCACAATCACACAATCATTGGATGTTGCAGTTGGGTCACACACACACGCTTGATGAGTATGCTAAAAATGATCACCTTCTTTGTTTGTCCACAGTGGTGAACGTGCTATGCGCTTTGAAGAAAACCGTTGCTTGTAAGTGGATTGTTTATTATGCTACAAGTTTAAGGTTGACTAACACTATTGCAGTGAATGCGGCCAACCAGGTCATCGTGCCCGTGATTGCCCGTAAGTTATCAAGATTATGTGACGAGTCAAATGGTTCAATTTTTATTTACCCCTTGCATAATGAATAGTGATCGTGGTGCTGGTGGAAGTGGTGGCGGTGCATCCAGCCGAAGACGTTCGAGATCGCGCTCTCCCTCTCGTCGTCGTGATCGTTCGCGTTCTCCCCGTCCCAGATCTCGTTCTCCACGCCAACGCTCTCGCTCTCGTTCCCGTAGCCCTGCTAGACATTCGAGAAGATACTCTGGTGAACGTGAAGACCGTAGCCGCTATGAACCTGAAGATGAGCAACGTTATGAAGGCAATGGCAGTGGTAATGCCGACAATTATTAAACTTTGTATGAGGCGGCGATTGTTATGCTCTCTGGAAATGATCAACAAAACAAACACAAGCACAAGATTCTTGACAGATTCATTTAGAAGTTTCTGGCCTTTGCGAATAAAACCAAATCTTTCTGTCATACAACTTTTTATGAGATACGCTTAGATGCATGTATTACCATGTCGACGTTAAATCCCTTTCTTTCATACCATTGCCTACTTGCATGCATACGATACATAATAAACTTGGGTTCAAGTAGTTGTTACCCCTATTTGCCACAAGTAAAGTTACGATGGCCCGCTTTCTTTCTCTTTGCCATCGATTTATCCTTAACCACATTTTTATGCCGGCAGTGGACAATGCCAATGTGCCACACAGATACACTTGGCCCCTCCTCCCCTTTAATTTATCCCATCAGAATCCATAGGAGGATCGTGTACAGATTGGCGGGAATGATCAACAGCGTACGATACCCAAGAACAGTGATATATGAAAATAAAAGGTATATAAAGCCCATCATCAAAAGGAGATTTGCCACCATCATTCATCCATCCATTCATCTTTTTCTTTATTAATCAACATGGCTCGCATCTTGTTTACCATCTCATTGGCACTTGCTGCTCTTTCTGTCGTCGTCTCAGGCGCTCCTACCACTAACAACAAGCGTTGTGAGGATGGTGGCGATTGTGAAGTCTTCGTCGAACGTTCTGATGAAGGTAAGCGAGTTGAGGTGTCAAGCAAAGGCAAGCTCATTGATCATTGTATATGGATCTTTAGCTTGTGATTATGAATACTATGACGATGAAGATGAGTTCACCAAGCGCGATTGGCATGTTTCTCCCTACTGCATGACACCTTGGGAGTACGATGTCGGTAAGTGAAGCGGACATTTTACATGGTGGTCATGGCGGCTGATTTTTATGCAGTGCTTCGCATGTGCGACGATGACCTTGACGACCTTGAGGAATTCTATGAAGAGTTTTATGACGAGTTCTACGAAGACTTGGGTATGGATATAATACCAAAACATTCTAAATCATGCATTACTAAAGCTTTGATCATTAGGTGATGCCGTAACCAAGCGTCACCGTCGCCCTGTATTCAACACTTACGCCAACCTTCCCCCTCGCTGCTTCCCCTACGCTTATTACGACCGATGTAAGTAATGAAATAGGTTTCGCATAATGGGAGTACGTACTCAGCAAATTTGATAGTCCAAACCATGGTGGCAAGCTATGCTGTCAGAGGTAAGTGAGCTCATAGGGAGATGAATCTTTTATGTAGCTAACTCAACAAATTTAAAGATGCTATCACCAAGCGCACTTTTATCCCTGGCAACTATCACCAAGGCTACGGACATCATGGAGGAAACCATCATGGATACGGCCACGGCATGACCAGAGAAGGTATGTAGGAGTACAATGAGAAAGTTTTTCTTGTGGGAGGTGTACGTAATGACTGATTCAATGTTTGCTCATTATAATAGAGTACGAGGATTGGTTGGGTAAGCCGACAACGATTGTTTCATTGTTCACAATAACTCATTAATTTCTTTGTAGATGAGCACAATTAAGGCGGTTCCTCCATCAGCTATATACCTACTACCATCATGATGCGCATATCCTGCATTCCATATAATAGCATTGCATTGCTTTCATTTTCATTCCAAATAAACATTGGGAATCTTTATAATCTCATGATCGAATTCTTTATATCGTACTCCGGTTACTTGCAGCTATCTTTGTTCCACAAGGTCATCATGCTGCGTCTTACACACTCTTTGGCGTTGTTCGCTAGTTTCCTCGTTGCGTTTCACTTTTACACACAACTTGTTCAAGCCAATATGACCGGTTCTACCTTTAGACTCACTCTTCGTGAAGGCATTGTTGGTGGTTTTGTTGGTCCGACTCTCAAGTAAGCAACAAGTAGATCGTCAAACATGGCATAGCCTTTATTCATTCTGGTCATTGCATTACAGGAAAGTAGTTGAAATTAGGGGCGATGGCAGCAGTGGTGCGACCGTGATGCACATGAGCTTGAAGCCTGAAGCCAAGAATGATTATCTGACACAGTCTGGTGCCGTATCCACGTAAGTTGAGGGGGGAGAACTCTATAGAGACACATAGTAGTAGTAGTAGTACGGCAATCTGATGATGACGTTGGCGTGTAATAGTGAACAAGTGACATCCCTTATCGGCATGATCAAACAACAGCTTGAACAATTACCCGTTGAAGAGCCCTTTGGTAGCGAAGATATCTATGGATTGGATACGGCCATTATGTTTTCTGTGGATGATTTCCAATGGGCCAATGGTAAGTAACAATCTATCATGGCTTTATTATGCACCACGAGATGATGTCTGACGTGTGGTTATTATGAAAAAGGAGGAGGACCTGAAGGATGTACCGGTAACCAGGAGTCAACACGCAAGGCAACACCCGAGCAAAAGCAAGTGTTTGCAGAGTTGGTAGATATGATCACTCGTTTTGGTATGGAACACACGCAACCCGAAGCATGAATAAAATTATTGGGACACATCCCACCCTCAGCCCTCGTTCTTGTCAAATGTCCTAAAAAGAGAGACACACACTTTTTTACTACTACACGCACATGCGCACATACACACATACACCCCTATTTTACAATGAAAGCTACTTTTTTTTCTCTTTTCTCGCCTTCTCCTTCAACTTGTCTCCTCTCTTTGTTCTATTTCCTCATCTCTCTCTCTTCTGAATCATGAATGGCGACAGTGAGATCGCTGGTCGTATCGCAGCTGCTCGGCGAGAAGCAGAAGCATTAAAGGAGCGTATTAAACGAAGAAAAGAAGCCTTAGAAGATAGCACACGCAAGTAGATTATGACTTGATCCAATCCAGTCCTCTTCTAATGATAGCATTCTATAGTCCAAGAAATGGCCAAAGATATCGAATCATTGCCGCGTATTGTGATGAAGGCTCGCCGCACACTCAAAGGCCACCTTGCCAAAATCTACTCGATGCATTGGGGAGCGGATAAGCGGCATATCGTCTCTGCTTCACAGGATGGCAAGCTCATTGTATGGGATGCTTATACCACCAACAAAGTCCATGCGATCCCTTTACGTTCTTCCTGGGTGATGACATGTGCCTATTCGGCATCAGGCAATTTTGTTGCATGTGGAGGTCTCGATAATATTTGCTCCATCTACAATCTCAGAACACGCGATGGCCCTGTTAGACCAGCTCGAGAATTATCAGCACATACGGGCTACCTTAGCTGTTGCCGCTTCATCAATGATAGGCAAATTCTTACTTCGAGTGGGGATAAATCAGCTATGCTATTTGATATCGATGCTGGTGTCAAAACGGAGGAATTTGCAGATCATTCGGGAGATGTCATGAGGTACCTTGCATCCAATCTTTTCAAATTCCATGTTTAAACTAATCCATCTATCTATGTAGTCTTTCGATTGGACCCAATCCAAACGTCTTTGTCACTGGTGCATGTGATACAACGGTCAAAGTGTGGGATATTCGTACCAAGCGATGTGTACAAACTTTTGTTGGTCATGAATCCGATGTTAATGCCGTGCAGTTCTTCCCTAATGGTGACGCAATCGTTAGCGGCTCTGACGACTCCACTTGCAAACTCTTTGATTTACGGGCAGATACAGAGCTCTGCACCTATACCCACGAATCAATCCTTTGTGGTATCACATCGGTCGATTTCTCAGTTTCGGGCCGTTTGCTGTTTGCTGGTTACGATGATTACAATTGCAATGTTTGGGATACGCTCAAGGGTGAACGAGTGGGTGTCTTATCATCTCATGAGAACCGTGTTTCATGTTTGGGTGTGTCAAATGATGGCATGGCTCTTTGCACAGGTAGTTGGGATGCCACTCTCAAGGTATGCAATTGTTTTAGGATGGAAAGGATCGATCAATAACATCAACTTTGACATAGGTTTGGGCGTGATTGTTGACTCTATACCATGTATCATTCGCTTTTTTTATTGTCGTCTCCTCCTCCTCCTTCTCTTTATAATACACCAAGACGAATGCTACATGATTCACAGGCCGCTATTCTCGAGTTATTGCGTTATTTTGTAGAGGTACTTGAGCAAACATACGTAGTAGTATCATGTGACATGATCTTTTAGTCAAGGAATAAAGCTATCAAACAATACATTTTTCTACAAGGTGCGCTATTGAATGGCTTTGATAGGGACACCGTAATTGCCATGGATGCCACACAATGAAAGAGGCCAATTTCTCGGGCATGAATAATGGGTGTGACTATTTCAGGCAGGCACTTGGGGAGCGGCCATAAAATTGTTTGACGGTTGCTCTCTTCTTGATCGATCTCGACATTGACCCGCCATGGTAGCCCCGGAAGAAAAGCGACGCAGAATCGAACCTGAGAAACGCAAACATGTTGCACGATCGAGGATCTTCCAGCCCTTCCGTGCACTCGGCTACATTACCAACGATGTCCCATTCGTCGTCGAAACACGAGGTCAAGAGTTTTTCCTCACCACCAGCGTCGGCCACAACTTTCAAACGTACAATGTATGGCTCTATATATGGCACCTTTGTACAAAGAAAACGAGAGCTTATGGGTGTACATAATAGATGAACAAGATGCAGTTGCTCTTTGTCAGTCCTCAAACATCGGGTCGTATTACAGCCATGACAGCTGCAGGAGGTATCACCTATGTCGCTCATGGTAGCACTGTTAGCGGATTCAAACGAGGCAAACCTGTGAGTATTCGTATACAATGGTGATAATTCAATACTAAATGAGAGTTGTAGTTTATGAGTGTGGGTGAAGATCAAGGTGATTACGAGATTATCCAGATTCTTGTCCTTGGTCAGCATGTGGCTACACTTTGCGATGACAACGTACTCCGAATGTGGGATTTGACATCAGGAGGTAAGGGCTTTGTGTGTTTCCATGGAGACCATTTGGAGTCGTGGGACCTAATCTTATTTTAATTCAGATTTATACACTGCCATTGAGTTTGGTGACGCATTCACAGCAACAAAGATGATCCATCCCAGCACATATCTCAACAAGATCTTAGTCGCCAGTGCTCAAGGCACCATGCAGATTTGGAACGTACGTGTCAGCAAAATGATTTATCAGTTCAAATCGTTTGGATCCGCCATTACATGCTTGGAACAATCACCAGTGGTGGATGTGGTCGCAATTGGTTTATTGGATGGCAGCATTGTTCTCTACAACATTCGAATGGATGAAAGAATTGATACCGTTTATCAATCGGATCGTGTCACGGCTATCTCATTTAGAACTGGTATTTATCAAAGAAGCATGATCAAGAAGGAGAAAGTGATACTGATGGAGCCCGATAGATGAGGAACAAATGATGGCTACTGCCAACATGCATGGTGATGTTGCTTTATGGGATCTTGCCAACCGGAAACTAGCACACGACATGAAGGGCGCTCACTCTGGATTGGTGTCCTCGATCGCATTCTTGAATAATCAGCCAATCTTAGTTACTGCTGGTGCCGACAATGCTGTCACAGTAAGTATACATGGCATGGATGATGCATTTGACATGTTATTAATGCAACTTTTTATAGCAATGGATCTTTGAAAAGCACAATGCAGTTCCATTACCATTGAAGGGTCGTAGCGGCCATTATGCACCACCATCCAAAATCAGATATTATGGCTCGGACGGCAAGGTGATTGTCTCAGCGGGTCGAGATCAGGCACTTCGATGGTTCTCTACTGTTCGTGATGCACAAAGTGTGGAGATGTCACAAGGCCATATCGCAAAGAAAGCAAAGGACAAAGGTGTATCTTTGGAGTCGCTGAAATTACCCATCATCACAGACATGGCACTTGGTAAGTTGATATAGAGACCTACACAAAGGATGAGCAAAGAAGAGTACTAACGCGATATCATATATAGATGTTGCCAAAGAAAAGGAATGGGCCAATGTATTGACATGTCACCTGAACGATTCGGCTGCACGTACTTGGTCTACGAAATCGAAAGCCTTGGCTGATCATGCATTATTAAGCTCTGATAAAAGTTCCATCAAGGTATATGGTTGCTCTCTATCATACATGTGTGAAAGCATTACTCATAAGAATACGTTGTAGGCTGTAAATATCAGTGCATGCGGCAATTTTGGCATCATTGGTTGTGCTTCGGGACAAATTGAAATGTTCAACTTGCAATCAGGCTTACATCGAAGGACGTTTTCTGGACCTGAAGGACACAAAAAGGCGGTGACAAGCCTTGCAAGTGACTCCACCAATCGTTATTTGATCAGTGTATCAGTGGACAGAAACATCAAGATTTGGAATTTCCAAAACGGCAAAGTCTTGCACACAATCGCTATGGAATCACCCATCGTTGGCATGCAATTCCACCGCGACAACAACCTGATGGCTGTAGCATGTGATGATCTTGGTATTCGGGTGATTGATATCGAGACACAAAAGGTGGTGCGTGAATTCTGGGGTCACCGTAACCGGATAACAGACTTTGTAAGTGGATCAATCAATCAAGACTTTACGTGATGCTAACGTTTGCATGAATTTCAGGCATTCAGTCCCGATGGTCGATGGATCATTTCCGCATCACTTGATGCCACTGTGCGTACTTGGGACCTCCCATCCAGTACCATGGTTGATATCTTCAAGGTGGAAGATGTGGTGTCAAGCTTAACCTTTTCTCCCACTGGTGACTTTTTGGCTACAGCTCATGTTGATAATGTTGGCGTATTCTTATGGTAATTGTTGGCAAGGGATGGATGGTATACCATGGCGTGATTCTCATGTTTTCATTTTACATTAGGGCCAACCGCACACAATTCGCCAATGTCTCTCTACACAGCATAACGGATGACGATGCGGCCGAAGTATTGGCATTACCAGCATTAGAAGGCTATGGTGATGAAGGTAAAAAGCAACACATTAAGAAAGAAGAGGATGTATGGATTAACATGCCCCCTTGCATTTAGATATCGATGAAGAGGACTTGGAACCACCAGCTACACTGAATGAAGATTTCTCAACTGTTGAGCAGTTGGCTGATGATATGATCACAATGTCGCTTGAACCTCGTGCCAAATGGCATAATCTCTTGAACCTGGATACCATCAAGGTAAGGAAAACAATGTTATTTCAAGGATCCGTATTAATCCAAGGTGGACCTTTATAGCAACGAAACAAGCCAAAAGAGGCTCCAAAAGCACCTGAACAAGCACCCTTCTTCCTACCAACGTTGCCAGGCGCAAAAGCACAATTTGATCTTTCGGATAAAATGGACAATGATGATCAAAGCAAGACTTCCTCACGCCGTGTCCACCTTGGAGAACTTGATGTACGAACCAAATTTGCAAGATACTTGGAAGCGGGCCATGAAAAGAGTGATTGTAAGTTGCCACATCGAAAAAGAAAAAGGGACACTATACTAACTTTTGGATACTAGTTGCTGAATGGGTCGCCTATACAAAGTCCCTTAGTCCTTCTGCCCTGGATGTTGAGATTCGCACTATGCCTGTTGAAAATGACCTCTTTTATCTCAATGCTTACGTTGAAGCCATTGTCTTTATGTTGCGATCGCGCAAGAACTTTGAAATGGCCCAAGCATGGCTTAATGCATTCCTGAATATCCATGGCGATTTAATTATTGCAAATCCTGAAAACGCCATCCACAAAAAGTTAAAGGAAACCTTGAATGTCCAAACGGATGAGTTCAATCGTCTCTCGGCACAAATCCATTACGGCCTATGTCTCATTGATTTCGCACGCAAATAGAATTACTTCGCACACGCCATGCCATATATATATTCTCTCTCTCTCTCTTCTGCATTAATTCAAAAGTAAACAATCATCCCATTTCATCATCATCTCATTTTCTCATGCTGCTTCATTGTTCAATGGGTCCACCCCATAACACTTATGGCTCCTTTAAACCCGAACGTACATCATTGAGCTAGTAATCGTTGAAAGATCATACAATCAAGCGATGGAAGGGAGGGAAAAAGCATTCGTATTACGTTTATATCTACTCAGTAAGATAAAGAAGTATATAAATATAGAGAATAAAACTACACAATAATACGGGAGAGCGCCTTTTGCTTGAAAACTTGCCAAAGCCTTGTAAACTGCTCACTGACGACATAGGCTATTGGACTTCCTCGTTTGTACAGAATCAAGAAAAAGAGGGTCACCGTCAAGATATTTACTGATGCATGTTTGACGGCGTCCTAAGTAAAAAGAAAAACCCATCCCCCTGTTAGTATCATCATCAACCCTCTTTGTTTTTCAACCAACTTGCCTTGATAACCCATTTCCAACTATCATCTTCATCATCCTCATCATCTCCATCGCGACGTGGTAACTGAGAAGTGGATCGTGCTGGTGGTTGTTGCTGTGCTGATAATGGTAAGGGGGTAGGTGCTGCTGAAGCTCGTCTTTGTTGGTCTCTATCAGCCAATTCTTTTCGAAGATCATCGATGCGTCCATTCAAGGCAATGACTTCAGCTTGCAATGATTCCAGAGCTCGTTTTGTGACAGGACCCAATGATATGACCGATAATTCAGGGGTAGCTCGATTACTCGTCGTTCGTAATTGTTGTGTGTTTCGTGCAGTGGCAGTAGCTGAGGAGGATGTGCTATAAGCGGGAGAGCCTTGAAATGCTGGTAAACGACCCATCAAAGATGCACGTTGTTGTTGTTGACGTGGAGATAGGGCACGACTTCTTGGTCGACTGTGTCGTGAAGAGGAGGTAACTTGATCATCATCGTCATCATCACTGCTACTAGAATCATTGGCCATGCGTTGTGATAAAGAGGATCCAACAGGAGGAATAGGTGGTGCCCATGGATTGGTATCAAGAGGCACATCGGGTGTGCTACGCAGCTTATCGGGTGTTGGTGTGGATGAATTGGAAGGGGTATAATACCAAGATCGTCTTTGTTGTTGTTGTTGTTGGCGAGATATCGGTCGGCGTGGTCGAGGAGGTGCTTCTGGTAAAGAGAATGCTTGTACTTGTCGAAGATAAGCACGTTCTTCCTCATCCACACTGGATGATTCATCTATTTTTGCCTTTTCTAGTCAGGGAATTGTTGTAATAAAAAGCGCTCCACAACCACCACAACCAACTTGCCTTCTTGGATCATCATGTTATCATCATCCGTTGTTGTAGTCGTCGTTGTTTCCTCATCATCCTCATCCCCCACAGGTCGTTGTCGCATCAAAGCAAAAGCATGAATGATTTGCTCAGCTGTTTCTCTCCCAGAATTGCGCTTGTATGCCTGCATTGATAAAGAAACAGCGTTACAGACCCAGCTATCGATCATGCCGCTCTCCCACACTCATCATCATTACTTCGGTAGCTGATCGTAACAACGTCTCGGTATATCGATGCTTCGCCTCCAATCGTTCCATTCCTTCCAACTTTTTCCATGCATCCCTATCAGATAGGACCCATTAATCTCTATGCAGCATACACATCACATGTATAACTCTCCTACCATTTAGCTCTGCCAACCATGTCAAATATTCCGGGTCGTGCAGTATCGATATCCCCGTGTGTCACTTGCTTGTAATACGCATAGAGCTATTGTACAATGTCAATGGGTCTTGTAATGAATAAAAGGCACCGGTGTGTTTCACTTACCTGAAGCTTCTCTTCTCTTGTCGGTTGAAAGGTTGACGTGGCTGGGAGATGTTGGACAATTTGCAGTGCCTTGTTGTATCGTTGATTGATATAGCGTTCAGAGTAATGTGAGGGGAGGACCGTCATTGAGGAGAGGTGTGTGTGTGTGTGTGTGGTTGGGGGTGTTTTGAAAGAGTGAGAAAATAGGAAAGAGAAGAAGATGGTGATGATGATACAGTGCAATCTGACCTCAGTATCAATAACCTAAAACGGGTGGTTTGGTGCTATCAGGGATGATTCAACATGGGTGCCACCGCATGAATCTACGTCTTTTTACGGAAGATGACGGCCGATCTTGACTACCGTTGTTAGGGAGATAATCGTTATGGAGGCTATCAATCCTATCTATACACACAAGCTCTCTCTCTCTCTTATTATGCATGCTACTACTATCGGGTCTCCTTGTTGGGCACGACAATGAAAAGCTTGTACAACACATCAACCAAGCAAACCCCATCCTCATGTGACAAGATGGGGTGATACACTGTGGTGGTGATGGTAACGTTTTCTAGCATCATAGGGCACGCTTGATGACCATCAATTTGTTCCTTGAATACAAAAGTACTACGTGTGATACGACATTTTCAATGTTTATTACAATGTATGTGCATTCATTTACTACATCATAAAGGATTCCACACACTCTATCATATAAAGCATGATTGAGATGGGATGATCATAGCACACCAAGAAATGGAGGTTACATTTGTCGGCACAATGAACCTTGATAGGCTGTCTTGCAAGTCCAAATCTTGGGCAGCACATGTCTACACACGCTTCTCCACTCTCCTCACCGCGACCAGGATCCGCGTCTTTATCACCAACACAGTCAACCCAAGATGACAGCCAAACACCACACTCATTGTCACTCAAAGTAATGCGCCTGTCGAGACCCCTCTTGGCAACCAATGCATCCGTCTATTACGAGTCGTCATCTTATAAACCGCTAGTCGAGGGACTGGAATCGCTCAACATTTCAGACCTCACTGCATCCCACCCGGTGGATACCCAGCAAGATCAGCTCGAGATTAGGGACTTTGGCCTTAGTCAAATGCTCAAGTTGCCTTCGTCGTTTGGCAATATTTACTTGGGGGAGACCTTCAGTACACTTGTCAGTATCAATAACGAGGCCCAGCAACTTGTTCATCAAGTCGGCGTCAAGATTGAGTTGCAGACCTCTTCCCAGCGCTTTAGTTTATCGGATACCACCACCACACCACGACATTCCTTAGACGCACAAGCTACCCATTCGGTCAATGTATCCCATGAAATCAAAGAATTGGGTGTGCACATCTTGGTTTGCTCCGTTCATTATGTCACTGAAGGTCGTCGTCGTCATTTTCGTAAATTCTACAAGTTCCAAGTATCCAATCCATTGGCTGTCAAGACCAAAGTCAACAACATGATCGATGGCCGTGTATTCCTTGAAGCTCAACTACAAAATGTCTCAGTGGGTCCGATGTATCTCGAACGCATGAAATTTGATCCATCAGAGCATTTCACTTTTACCGATCTCAACACAATCGTCAACGAGAAGGAGGAGGATGAGGAGGATGGCAACCAGAAAAAGAAGAGTGTATTTGGGGACCCTTTCATTCAACCACAAGACGTACGCCAATACCTGTATATGCTTAGCCCACGTGATCCCAACAATGATCGTATGGCACGCACAACCAATGCTCTCGGTAAACTTGATATTGTATGGCGTTCAGCTATGGGAGATTTGGGGCGATTGCAGACATCACAACTCACTCGAAAAGCACCCTTATTGGATGATGTGGAAGTACAACCATTTTGGCTGGAGAAGGATGAACCTGCTCAGGTGCAATTGGAAATCCCATTTCAGCTGGGTATTCGTGTACGCAATCATTCAACACAAAACATGCGATTGGTATTATCAGCCGTGAAGACCAAGATGGGTTCAGTATTATTGAGCGGATTGAGTACCCGATACTTGGGTGAAGTGGGCCCAAATCAGACGACTGAGACACGGCTCGAATTCTTTCCTCTTACACCAGGATTACAACGCGTGGGTGGTTTACGAGTGGAGGACCAATTGACAGGTTACACAAAGGAAATCGATCATCTATGTGATATGTTTGTACAAAAATGATGCAAGTAAAACCCTCTTTCTCCTATTTTTGGTCAAGCGTGTCGCGTATAGCCATGTAGACCCATGTCATAGTGTGTGTATGTGTGTATGTGCGTGCCGTAGTATTATAGACGTGCGCTATTGTGCAACCCTTGTCGTTTTATTCTTTTAAAGCATGCATGAATTTCATTGATCCAAATCTTTTTTCCTTCCTCTTCCACTCTTTTATTGTAAAATCATGGCACACTCCGTTGTCAATCCTCCTCCCACCGACAAACAACCGTTTCCTCAACGTAAACCGGTTTCTAAGGAAGAAGGGCAAGATGTCATGCGACGTATGTCTGAAGACTCCGTTCGCCAACAGCAAAGAATCCAACAACAACAGCCTATGGCTGCTGCAGCTGGTGCTGGTGCTGGACCAACAAGTCAAATGGCTGATGACAGCAACAAGGTCGAGATGATTGAGTTTATTGAAGGAGTCCGTAGCGGAAGACTTCCCAACAATGCGCAAATTGAACACTTTTTGGATCGTCTTTTGAATATCCGTGCCATTCAAGAACGACAGCACCTTATGTCAGCTGATGGCCAAAGACTGCTAGCTGATATTCAAGAATTGATCCAGACATTGAAAACAGCTCTCTATGTCAAGAACCAAGATCAGCTTTTCCAATCATTGTATTATCATTTATTCAGCACTGATTATCAACGTGTTCAAAGAGGTCAAGGTAAGTGACGTTTTTGGGATGAATATCTTTTCAAGCTAACATTCAATGTATCTAGGTCAAGGCCCAGATTTGACAGGTGGTGCAAGTAAACAAGAGATGAAAGAAGAAGCTAAAGAAGGTAAGCGAAAAAAAAAAGCACGCAAGCTTATAGATGCTTATATGGAGCAAATGTAGGCGGCAATGCTATGTACAAGGTGTTCAAGTTGGTCATCATGAACAGCGACTTTCGAGATCAGCTGAGCGAGCTCATGTCGATTGCTCAAGAAGTCTTTAGCGACGCCAGCGGCAAACTTAGCGGCTCTATGCAAAAGATGTCACAACAAGTGGATGAGCAAGGACAACAACTAAACGAGCGTTTCCAAGACATGGCTAACCAAGGGCAATCCCAATTGGATGAGGGTGATTTTGATACTGGCAAGGCAAAGCAAAGTATCCGCAGCCGTGTTGACGACGCCAAACAGCAATCGCCTCAAGCTAAATCCAAAGCCAAACAACAAATGCAACAACAAGGTCAACAAGCTAAGGATTACGCTCGTCAAAAGTTCCCACCCGAAAAGGTGGATGACATTGTGGATCGACTCAAGTCGGTGCTTGGTCAAGTGCAACAGCATCCTGATTATCAACAAGCCCTCGATACAATCTTCAGCCTCGTTCAAAAGTGGAGCTATCGTGCAGCCAATGTCACTCAATCCTCTACTGGATATGCATCACAAGTCACCGAGGAGTTTCGATCAGACCCCAGTTGGTCAGCAGCTGAACTTGAGCTCAAGACCATTATCGAAGATTGGGCTCAAGGCCGATCATTGGATCCTTTGTTGCACGCTGTTGAAACGACCATCAATGATGTCACCCATGATCCTGAGCTGAAACAATGCTACAATGAGGTAAGACAACATCATGCATACTCCATCATTCGTGTCACTGACATCATTCGTTTAGGCTACTCAATATCTCCGCCGCTTAGCAAAAGAGCCAAACTATGCGATTTCAGATGAATCCACTGAAGATGGCAAATACATGGTTGAGCGTGTTCGACAAGTGACGGAGGGTCGCTATCGTAGCCATGCCGACTTTTTGGTTTCCGAAGGCAAAGCTTTCATGCTATCAATGGAACAAGATCCAATGGCACGTGAAATTGAACAACGCTTCAAGAAGATCCACAATGACTTGTGGTTGGATGCGTAAGTGACACATCATCATCATCATCATCATCACGTCTTCTTTTCACAAGCTAATGCCATCATGAACAAATGTAGTGATGGAAATACAGCCTTCAAGCCCAACTTGCTTACCGATATGCGTTTGACATTGATTCCAGCAGCTATGGAGCTCATCAAGTTCATCCCTGTTCCTGCTATTGAATATTCCGACAGGGAGTTTGACGTGGCTGTCGAGAATGTTGTCCTTCCCGGTGACACTTTGCTACCAGGATTTGTCGAAGTCAAGGTAAGAAAAGCATTGTTGATTGACGCATACAAGAATATGGATACTCATGTGAATACTTGATTATGATAGATGGATAACTATATCAAGTTTAGCCCATACAGCGACATCACCAATGCTAATCAGCAATCATTCTGGATCAAAATGACCGAGATCAATACTACCATCCCCGATGTAAGTGAAATTTTTCCATGGGTCTATGTGGTATTAATACTCGTTTGACAGGTTGTGTGGTATTACAAGCGTAAGAAAGGTTTCCCAAAGCTGTATGATCGTGGCGTGGCAACAATCACTGTAAGTAGTACTGCTTATTATCTTTTATTGTATTCAAGGAGAGTACTAACAAATGTTAATGAAGATTGGTGGTCGTCGTCGTAAAGGAATGACTGTGGATACGCAAATTATCAGCGACACCAATGATCCTGTACACACATTCCGTGTAGCCCATTGCAAAGCCCACATTGACCATCTCAAGGTGAAATTCAAGGGCAGCCGCCACAAGTAAGTTACTCAGCTCATATCATCATCACGCATGATGGATCATTGACATCATTTAATTTCTGTAGTCTTTTGTATCGTACATTCCAACCTATGGCTACATCCATTGTCAAGCGACAGATTGCCAAGGCTGTGGAAGCCAAGATCATTGAGACGGTGGAAAAGGCTGATGCCAAACTCACCGCAAGCATGATGCAGAACTATCAGGAAGCATTGAACAAGAACGCCTCTTTGGATGATCTTGCCACTAGGAACGCTGCTATGCGTGAGCAACAGCAATTGCAACAACCCACACAGCAACAACAACAACAACAACCCATGTCGCCTATGGCGCAAGTGACTTCAGCTGTGGGTCAACGTGGTGGTGCACAACAACAAGCTGACACTACAATGCCAATGCAACAACCCACTACGACTATGCCACGCCCAAGTTTGACTACTGGTTTATTCACGATTTTGAACCGTAATATCAAGACCAACATGGTGCGTAGTCTTCAAGATCAGCAATCCAAGCATCGTCGACGTAAGGCTGAAAAGGAAGCTGCACGAAAAGAACGTGAACAACAGCAAGCAAAGGAAGAAGAAGAAAAGGCTCGTGGTGCTGGTATGGGTGGTATGGGTGGTATGGGACAAATCCCATCATCTGCTGGTGGTGCCGAAGGTGGTCCTGCCGGTACTGTACCTGTTATTGTTGGACAAGATGGCAAGATGTACATAGCCAACGAACAAGGAAGGTTGGTACCAGTAACCATTGCTGGAGAAGAGCAGCAGCAACAACAACAACAAAAGAAGCCTAGCCAAAAACAAAAGCAACGTGGCAAAGGACCTTCGCTTGGTAAACAAGGATTCAACAAGGTTGCTGATGAGATGGGAACTGGTAACCAAGATATTGGTCAACAACAAGCTACCGCAGCTGCTCCAAACGTCATGTAATCATGATGATAGCCCAATTCTATAGCTTTTATTCCTTCAACTTTTGCAATCATATGTGTTATAGTGTAATAGTACTCCTTAGTAATTCATAGTAGCGTATCCATCAATCAGTATTATATCTTATATAAAGGAATTGCGTATTTGCTCGACGTTACGTACCTATGTGGGATCGTCTCATATGTGTAATCTTGCTTTTAAATAAGGATTGGGGGTTATCTATGCATGTCTCATCCATCCTGCCATGAAAGGTGAGGAGATGACGTGAATTCAGAGTCAGAGAGGTTACGCGTAAGTAATTTCCTCACTCGTTCTTCCTTTACCACTTCACGTCATGGCCACCAAATACAGTTTGCCCAAGGGAGGCTTCAGTTTTGAAAACTACGCAAGGTAAATTGCATAGCGACCAGTGTCATTGACTTGTCCCTCACACTCATGTGTGTGTCTCCTTGGTAGAAATAAGGCATTGGAAACTAAGGGTGTGCGACCCCCCAAGGCAACCAGCACTGGTACAACGATCGTTGGTGTCCTCTTCAAGGTACAAACCACCACCTTTATTGATTGGCATGAGCATCGACTAAAGTACATTGATAGGATGGTCTTTGTCTCGGTGCTGACACGAGAGCAACTGAAGGTCCCATCGTGGCTGACAAGAACTGCGAAAAGATTCACTACATTGCACCCAACATGTAAGGAGGGGGGATTACGACAGCTACGATGAACGTTCTATTACGACACAAGTGACCAACCAACGCTTGCTTGCCTCTTTTTTTTTAGTTATTGCTGTGGTGCAGGCACAGCTGCTGATACCGAAGCTACCACCAACTTGATCAGCTCCCAGATTGAATTACACAGCCTTTCCACTGGAAGAAAGCCACGTGTCGTTACTGCCATGACCATGTTGAAGCAAATGTTGTTCAGGTATTATCATCATTGTGGGATGCGCGCGATATAGCTATCAGTGGATCTAATCATCGACACTATGGTCACATGATAGATACCAAGGACACATTGGTGCTGCATTGGTGTTGGGTGGTTTTGATGCTACTGGTCCTCATTTATATACGGTCTATCCTCACGGCAGCACCGATAAGCTTCCCTACGTCACTATGGGCTCGGGTTCGTTGGCTGCAATGAGTGTCTTTGAGAGCAGGTGGAAGGCTGATATGACGGTAAGAAGGATAAAAAAAAGGATGAAAAAGAGAGATCACATGACCCATACCCTTTGTTTACCCCTTTAGCGTGAGGAAGCTATTGAACTCGTCAAGGATGCTATTGAAGCCGGTATTTTCAATGATCTCGGTTCCGGTTCCAATGTGGATGTGTGTGTCATTGAAAAGGACAAGACCGATTACTTGCGAAACTATGCACGACCCAATGAGCGTGGCATCAAGGAGCAGAGCTACAAATACCCCAGAGGAACTACTGCTGTATTGAAACAATCCATCACCAACTTTGTTGATGTATCAGAGGGCGATGCTATGGATCTGTCAATGTAATCAGGATATGCATTAAATCGATTTCTTTTCCTCTGCTGTATACTCGTTTGTTTGGTTCTTTTGGATTAAAACATGTTGACACATTGTGGGAATAATTATTGGATCGACATTCTCATTCATCCAATTTACGTGGGCAATGACTCTTTTAAGGACATGGCGTCATCATCATCATCATCATCACATGGATAAGAATACGTGCTACGTAGTAACTTTAGCTATGATACAACCATTTCCACCCCTCGGATACATTTACGGAAGACCCTCGATATAGAATGATCATTAACAAACTCATGTTGATCATCGATAACCAATGTATTTACAAAATCCCATTCACCCAACCCCTTGCCCAAAAGTCAAATGTGCATATTCTGGTTGCGTCAGTATACTGTCAACGTACATCAATAATGATCTGAGCTAGGGCCCAGACTCATTCTTGTATGCTGCAACAATGAAAGGGCCAAAGTCCTGTACATAATGAGTCTAGTGCGCTTTGTTTGTATGTGCTGTGTGAATTCCCAAAATATGAATGCCAACAACAAAAACGAGATACACGAGCCACTAAAGAAGTGGTGGTGGTATCACCTTATGATATCATCAAATCAACTACACTTTCCTTTAAACGATCCGTGCCCCATGTTGTCGGTGACCTACGCTTTTTCCCTCCTTATCACCACACACACATACACCGCGTTATGGGCTTGACCGAATTCGATGGCTATTTTGTTATCCATCCAACCTTGCCACCAGAGTTAGCCGAAGCAGTAAATAGTCTTTGTGCCTTCCGAAACAACGCCTATGGAGATGGTGATTTGAACAGCTTTGATTCTGTGGTGCATCATTTGCATGGAAGACCCTCAGAGCGAACATGGGCCATGTACAAATCTAAAAAGGATGGGACGTCAAAAACACCTTCGGTATGGTGCCATTGGAAATTATCCAACCAACGTGTGTCACCACGCAGTCATGCACAGCGAACAATACTCGAGTGGGATCGAGAGGAGCGATTCAATGATTACATGTATTGGGCTCAATACGTCGTTGACTTCATCACGTTGTTGGCTGAGAAGCAGTACGGGATCAAAATCAGTGGCTTTACTGGCAAGATGACTTGGGAAGGTATGTAAAGCATGGTCACGTAGCCACAAAGCTTTCTCATATATAAAGATACAATAGGCGTTTATGATGATGAAGATCAAGGGATGCTGTGTGTGGTTCCACGTCAAGAGCTGGAGACAACAGGTTTTTACCCGGATGACTTTTTACCATTGGCAACTCCTGCTAGCAGCTTGCACCATCATGCGTGGTGTGATGATCAACTTGAAGCGGCCCCACCTCCCAAAGGCAAACCATTCTTATCTCGTTTTGCTGTTCAAGCTCACGTGCAACCGGCTCAAGCCATGGAATTGGCACGTCGTGCAGATATGGAGCTCGACCAAGGTGTGAGTCGAGGTGGCTATGTCCTTTGTCTCGATGCTTTGCCTACCAAAAAAGACACCGTAGTCTTTCACCTTCATCATGAAAAGTCCCATGTCATCTATTGTTCTCAAGACCCACTGCTTTATGACACGCAAAAAGCACTTGCAGATCCGATGTATTTGGAAAAATTGGCCATTGTCGATCGTAACCCAGCAACAAAAGATGAATTGTCAACCCCACCAGTGTCTCCTGATTCACCTGTCACTCAAGCAGAGACAACAAGTCGTTGCTGTGTCGTATGCAAAAAACGTTTTTGTGGGCCTGCTGGGCGTTTAGCAGCTTATTGTTGGCCCCATGGATATGCTGATTCCTATGCTCTTGCCATCTACTGCACTCAATGTACTCAATAGCTTTTCACACGTTAGCGAATTCGGTAATGCCTTCTAGCGCTCATCAACCCCACCCCCCTGATACGATTATACCACATGCTTCATCTAGTAAAAATGCTTTTCTTCATCCCCATCACACCATTCATCGAAAGTGATATGAATAATGCACATCCTCACTTGAAGGCTTTTAATCATGACATTGTTGATCCTGATCATCCCTTATATCCATATACCATTTCCCACATCAATCAACCAGACAAACAAAGAGTACATGAGAAATCGATTGTGAATGTATATTTGATTGAAGACAAAACATTACAACCATTAGTCCTTGAGCTTCTTGGTACCACGGAGCAAACCGGTTCTTCTGGCAGCAATAAGACCGACCTATGATAATCCCAAATGTCAATACAAAGAACCAAGAGAAGCAAGCAAGCAAATTTGATATTACCTTTTGACCAGCAGGCGAATCACGAGCCATAGTAGAAGCCTTACCAATGTGCTGATGGTTACCACCACCGTGAGGATGGTCCACGGGGTTCATGGCAACACCACGAGTACGGGGCCAGTTGTTGCGCTTGGCCTTGGCGGCATGGTAAGCACGACCAGCCTTCAAGAGGGGCTTGTCGATACGACCACCACCAGCAACGATACCGACGGCAGCACGGGAGGTGGAGGGGACAACCTTCTTGGCACCAGAGGGAAGACGAATACGGGTCTTGCCATCTTCACCGTGACCAACGATGGTAGCATAGTTACCAGAGGTACGGGCAAGAGCACCACGATCACCATACTTTTCTTCAACGTTGCAGATAACGGTACCTTCGGGCATGGAAGCAAGAGGAAGAACGTTGCCAATGGTCAAGCTGGCCTTCTTACCGCAGTAGACGAATTGACCAGTGTACATGCCTTCGGTGGCAATGAAGGTCTCAGTGCGAAGCTTGTACCTGCAAAAAGAGAATACATTGTGAGTATACATGTATATATAGGATACAAAAGGTATATGTTAAATACATACTTGTAGGGATCGCGGAAGACGACCTAATAGGAAGATACATAAAAAGCCATCGTTAGCATGGAGCTCAGCATTGGGGAGACTCTCTATACAACCATACCTTAGCAAGAGGAGCACCACGGCCAGGATCGTGAATGATCTCCTTGACGAGACCACGAATGTAGCCATGACGTTCAGCATAGTCGGCAACACGGAATTGAGCGGCACCCTTACGACCAACAGTGTGGGCCTTGAAGATGCTGCCAGCACCCTTTCTCTGTGCACGAATAACACGACCCATGTCTATAAGATTGATATCTGTTTAATCCATCCATCCATTCATTGATTCATCCATTAAATCCATTTCACGTATTCATCCATCCATATTCTCTCTTTTTGCCCTTGTGTGTGTGATGCTGACCTTAGAGAATCGAAAAAAGAGACCGTACTCTAATGGCGTTGCACACTCCTTTGAGTACACCTCTCACTCCTTCCCCACCAGATTCAATTCCCGCCCGAACTTGTCTCACAGCAACAACACAATGACTTTAATTACTACGAGGGTGACATGGGCATTTGACTCGGGCTAATATTACCATCACCCGTCGAATCATTCACTAAATTCACTACCTCAAGCCTTTGTGCCAATCGCTTGGATCGTCGTTCTGATCCACCTTCAAGGAGTTGTATCTCTGCATCCGAATCAGGAATGGCACGTGGAATTTTGACAGGCACGTTGTCATTGTCAATAGCCACTACATATCATATATACATTAATGAGCTATACGTCCCTATCTTCTTTCTAATAAAAGACTTACCAATCGTGAAAAATCCATCATTTGTAAAACGGGTCTCTGTCGTTTGCAAGTTTTCTAATAGCCATGGATACGTGATGAGCATCCGCTTTTCCTCTTCTTCAATAAGTAACCTACCTGATTCCACGCTGACATAGACTTCCATGGATGATGTATAAGTTCGTGATACAATAGATCGAATAGTCACCACATCACCGACTTTGGTTGGTGTAATAAAATTCAATGAATCCACACTAAAAGGAAATGCTATGATGATCAATAATGGGTACGTATATACGATCCACAAATCTCACCTTGCAGTCAATAAATAAGCGCGAGCCAATCGATTTGCACTGGCCAAAGCAGCAGCTTCCATCCAAGCGATAATTTGACCACCAAAAGTAATACTCAAGGTATTGGCATGTTGTGGCATCACCAACTCGACCAATTCGGCAAATGTCACCTCCATCTTTTTCTCCTCAGCTGCTTGTTGGATCAAGGTTGGATCGGTGGAATACCTTCGCTTGTTGAGATGTAGATCATTGGCAACGGTTGATTGGAGCACGTGGTCATTCACATCATCATTGGCGTAAAGAGCAGGATGAGATCGTATCTGTGCACTGCTATAAGCGTCGTCGTGTTCTTTCAATCCCTGAGACCAATCTCGCATCAAGTCCCTGATATTTTGAAGGTTGGTTGGCTTTTTGGCAAAGCGAGCTTGTCGACGTTTCTCAGCCATCTCGTATCGCTTTTTCTCCATGGCAGTGTGTGGAATGATTTCGGGAACACGTGTCGGCAAATGCTCAATCAGGATGGATCCGAGATAGGTCTTGGGGTGGGGTCGTGGCGATAATGCAACAAATGTCAAATACGCATGTGCAACAAAGAATCGTTCTCCCGTCAGAGGTGTCTCTGCTTCCACTTTCACGCCCACCTACATAGTAACAAATCATTGGTCACTTGCTCCATTAGGCAAAAAGGATATACAACGTACCTCCATCGATGTCTTCCATGACTTGTTGACAGACGCCTGGATGGTTAACTACCATACGCAACACATGAGTTGATCATTATCAAGAAGGTCATCATCATCATCAAATGACTTACAATGTCGCCAATTTGCACTGTATGCAAGAATGCCACATCATCCACAGATCGTGTTACCTATCGTAGCCAGCAGTTGATGAGTGCTCATGTATACATGGACAAAAGTAGTAACACAAAGGACGTACACATGGTGCCAATGCATGACGTTTTGCTGCTATGCCTGCAGCTACATCAATCCATCCCAATATGGTACCAGCGTTGGCCAAACCCTATGCAAGTTGGTGAGTCAACCTTGATGCCGATGGTGCCAAGATCACGTTACTCACTTTGGCGTTGCAATGCTGAGCAGCAAGTATTTCTGTCATGGTCACTCGACTTTGATGAACAGGCTTCGATGCGACACGCTCATGGCCAGCTGCAATGTAAGGATCGGGTAACAATCGAGGAATGAGAGGGCGAGCAACAAATAGAAGCGTCTTGAGCCATAGCGACCGTATCAGTTCGAAGGCTGTTGATAAGATAGGCATTATTGGCGGTGTGGGTGACGAGACATGCACGCTTGCTTGAAGAAAATCATCCTTTTTTTTATGGAACAGATCCATTGGCTTACAAGGTCCCACTCTTATGCCCAGCAGCTGCAACACTGAATTCATTGTTCGACCCTTTGTTGTTGTTGACTAGATCATAAGATAAAGAATCATCATTCATTGTTACAAGAAGTTGAATAAACATGAAAGAGAGGTCGTTTAAAAGAGGTCTACATGTGCTTTATTGATGTTAAAGAATATCTTCTGATCAGTGTACTAAGTACTACTCTAATCCTACATGATGTGCTGTACCAGTAGTTATGGTAATGTCATTACCCTTTTGAGTGCATAAAAGACCACGGGATTCCTAAACAGCTTATTTGAGTAGACCGATTTCCACATTTGCCGGCTAGTTCTCTCTTGTTCCACTCGCTGTCAAACAACTAGCGACGATCGCTCACACCTCACCTTTGAGCACCAACCGACATTATGGACGCTGATACCTTTGGGCCTCGTGTCTCCAATTCCCTGTACGCAGACGATAGCATGCTTGTGGATCACTTCTCCATGAATGACAACACGCGCCATGTCCCCACTGTAGTGAAGCATGCTGAGGCAACTTCCGAATCAGACGACGTCCAAGACAACATGTCGATCGGTAGCTTGGATTATCCTGATCTCGAACCAGTACTTTACGATTCGCCAGACCGGCACTACTGGTCAACACCCGAGCGTGGACAAGTCGACTTTATGGTGGGAGATCCTTCCGTTTCATCATCATCCAGGCAACATCAGCAACATCCTCCATCATCACCATCCAAGACATCAAGACGCCATCATTCCACATCAACTACTCAGAAACGACGTGTCAATTCGTCATCAGAAAAGAGTCCAAAGGCACAAAAGACATCCAACAGCAACAAAAAGGGAAAGCATGTGATGCAGCCGGACAATGTGATGATGGAGGATGATGAGAATCCCTTGTATGAAATCGAGGATATTGTGGGTCACAAAGTGTACAGAGTAAGTAGAACAATGCCGTTGCACAGCATAATGCATATGGGATATTGATTGGTATATCATCAACTAGAGTCAAGCAGTCATGTACGAGATCAAATGGAAGGGCTATGATAGCAAGCAGAATACATGGGAAATTGCAAGCCATATTCATGAGTAGGTTGTCCTGTTTCCATCCCTGTTACAACTGTTTATTGATATATGGATTATAGAGATTGCCCTCAATTATGCATCGATTATTGGAACAAACAAGAGAATACGCCCATTCCCAAGAATGTACCTCGATCAAAGCAACAACAAAAGCAACAATCATCACACACCACCAAGTCCTACATTGAGCGATTACAAAAGTACAACATTGACAACGACAGCTTGATCCCGTATTATCGGAAACAAGGATACCGATTAAGTTATGATTTGGACTTTCCCACACCATCAACGAATTGGAGGAAGGAGCTGCGTGTGATTCATTTCGTCCAACGTGTCAAAAGCACAGATCAAATACTAGCCTATGTCAGCTGGTAAGTTCTCAAGGGGGGGTGGGCAAGAGATGTCTCCCTGTTTTTACTAACAGCAGAGGTGGGATAGGATGAACAAGAAGAAAACAGTGCACGTCATTCAAGAGTTACATGACAAATGTCCTGATATGGTATGTGTTTTATCCTTGTATGTGTGTATGTAGAATGGATGGATAGTAATGCGTGTTTATATGGCTTAGTTGATCAATTATTATGAAAGTTGTTTGACGTTTGCAGGATCGTGATGGAGTACGTTGTCCCTGACAAAATAAAGGCGGCGTTACCTCCTCCTCCTCATCCACCCATTATTCACTTGATGACCTCCTTTTTCTTTCCCTCGTATCTCTCTCCTCTCTTTTTCTCTCTCTCTATCGCCCTCTCTTTCTTCCTCATCCTCATTCACACACACATCTCTATCTCCTTCACTTGCCCAACTTGCTTTATCCACAATATTAATACTAGCGCCCAAGACAAATGACAACGTGGATAGTGTCACGCCTTGTGAGTTTCTCAATGAATATATCATTTCAATCAACATATCATTAATTTGTTTCAAGTTTGGGGAGTCTCCATGGACTAGAGCTCTTTTCATTACTATTGTGGTGCAAGCTGTGCTTGGTATCACTCTCGAAGCTGTCATATTCAATTATCACTCGACATCCGTCAACCTCATATACGAACATCGTTTACAAGAACTCAGTCTACTTACTGCTTATGCCAATGCGCGCTCTTTACTCGTCTACTATTCATTATTTATCATTGCACAACTCTTCACGCTGGTGCTCGTGATCGATGCGGTAATACAAAAACGTCTTTGCACCTGCTTTCTTCAGTTCTCCTCATACGCACACACAACCCACCTCTTCTTTTGCATTCCAATGACTCGTAGATTTACCAAAAGAATACCATTGAGCTGATTGCACTTGCTGTGTTCGAGGTCGGCATGAGTGCCTACTCCGTCATTCAATACCACCAATCCACAAGCTTGTTCAGCGACGCAACAGACTCTGCAGTGGTCACTTTGTTGGGCGATTCATTAGGCACGTCAAGATGGGCCGAGGTGACACAAATATGCATCATGATTCTGAGCACAGTGGCTTTCTTGTTCCTGGGATACAAGCTATACCTCGAGTTTGGATGGCACATTTACAAAAAGATTGGAGCTGATTTGGCTATGCGAGGTAAGAAGGATAATGGGGATACCCTATTTCATCATCGCTCATTGCCATGGCAACAAACATCATACATAGACCGTTACAAGATGTATCAGATCTTTATGATGCTTCTCAAATTCGATTTTTTCTTTTTCCTCGGGTTCTCGGTTCAATACTTGGCTTTGCTCATCGTAACATGGTGGCCGGAAGCAGATACAACAGAAGAAAGCTCTGAGCTCATTGCAAAATTGGTTGAACACATCTTCCTCAGCTGCCTCGTCACAATAGCCATGTTGTTGCTTGCATACTCTGGCGTAAGTAGAATGATCAATGGATGGATGAGTTGCTGTATACGACAATACCATTAACACAATGATGCGCTTCTACATTCAACGTAGCTTCGACGTGAATGCAAGGCCCATTTGTACATATTTATGGCTCTCTCCCTGGCAAGCACGATTTACTTTATCCTCACATTGGTCCAAATCTCTCAACAACCCCAACGCTACATTGGATCCAAAGCGTTCTTGACCTTTTTCCGTAAGTGACATCTTGTTCTTCTTCGACCATCATCAATGACTGATGAGGTTCTTTAGTGTGTGTGGACATTGGTTTGATTTTGGTAAGTTGGAGGATGTGTACGTATGGCGTGCATCAACCCATGCAAAAAATCTTACATAGCAACCCCCACCACCCCTTTTCATTCTTTTCTTAGGTCACCGTGCCCATATCCATTCTATGTCTCCGTAACTTTAACCAAGGTTTGATTAACCACAGTAAGTTTACATCCAGCATTGACATTTTCTTCCCCTTTGATGGAACATGCCACTCACCAAGATGATCTTAGTTTCACATGCCACTGGTGCTGCCACATGCTCCCATTCAATGTCACCGCTTGGTGGAGAAACAGGAGAAGAGAAACCCGGTCCTCAGCGATGGTCCATCGAATGAATGAATCAACCCATTTACATACATACATACAATCATTGTTCTGCCACCTTTGTCATTTTTATACAAAAACAACACCCACAAAACTACGTACATGATAGATAATGAATTACTGCTGCTATCCTTATAACAACCATAATATCATCCTTACTACATCCTACCATTAAAGAGTTATTTGTAATGCATAATTGTTACTATGGTTCACGCTGGTATCCTCTTATCCATGCATCTGCTTGTTACAATGGGGACGTGATCACTTTTGCAGCAATCCCGTATGATCCTGCTGAATCCAAAAACTAGTTGACATCTTTTACTCCGATCATCCTTTCATGCATTCGAATGATGGCCCGAGCGCAACGCTTTACGCATACGCAGACTTCTCACTCTTGCTGTATCATGATCGATTAGCAGTCATCGGTGTAAGATTTCCGTACCGCTATTCCAAATGAATCATACAATTGTGTGGACCATGCAATTAAAAAAACTGGTAGCAATGATATCCTAAACAATGGTACAGGCTGTGAATGGGTGGTGAGATACAATCACACGACCTCATTTCATCCTTGTGGAGTAATAGCAGGCTGCCTTGCTTGTAGCCTATCATTGCCGAGAAAGAAGATTTAAAAGTCAGGGTAACGAAGGATTCTATACTATGGCATGAAGCCAAAAGACCTCTACCATCCACGACACATGATGCATCAGCAGCTGTCAAAAAAGAAGCAGTCCTGGGGATTAGGTTTAGGTTTACCAATGCATTACCATAAACAGATACAAAACACAAAACACAAAACAGATACACAAAACAGACACAAAACAGATACAGAAAACAGATGACGGAGTATATATTACATTGGAAACAAATTTTGTACAGGGCGTAAATGAACGCAATGTTTAAAAGAAATCAAAGCTATGTATAACGAGGAATATGTGAAAGAGCTATTAAATCAAATCAAGTTCTACTTTTGGGGAGTATATATGATGTGTTTGTAAATATGTATATCATGTCGTCTATTGAGCAAAGGTGGCATCGGTTTGGAAGTCAATGTCCAACAAGGGGAAAGAGCCGTCGTTGCGAGCGAGACCTTCAACAAAGACCTTGGCACACTTTACGTTGGTGAGCAAAGGCACCGAGTAGTCAACAGCCATACGGCGGGAACGGTAACCTTGCGAAACAAAAGTGGCAGGGCGGCAGAAGCGGTTTTGAGAAGGCAAGTTGATGTACATGTCGATCTTGTCGTTGGCAAGATGCTCATGAAGCGAGAATTCGGGGTCGACTTGTTCATCACGGCCATCAAGACCCTTAAGATGCTTGACAGGGATACCATTTTGCTTGATGAATTCGGCGGTACCTTCGGTGGCGAAAATGCTGTAACCAAGGGTGTTCAACTTGGCAATCGAGGGGAGGAGCTCTTGCTTATCCTTTTCAGAACCAATGGAGAACAAAATGTTCTTCTTGGGAAGCTTGAAGCTGGTAGCCAAAAGACCCTTAAGGTAAGCCTCATACTTGTCCTTGCCAAAGCATGCAACTTCACCAGTGGAAGCCATCTCGACACCCAAAACGGGATCAGCACCTGGCAAACGAGCAAAGGAGAATTGAGGAACCTTGACAGCGACATAGTCATTGGGCAAGTTGACCTTGGGGTAAGGAGCAACATCCAAGCCAAGAATACCACGAGTAGCCATCTCAATCAAGTCAACACCAATAACCTTGGAGACGAAGGGGAACGAACGAGAAGCACGAACATTGCATTCAATGACCTTGATCTCATTGTTCTTGGCAATGAATTGGATGTTGTAAGGACCAGTGATATTCAAGTTCTCACCAATGAGAGCGGTGGCATGTTCAATCTTGCGAACGGTCTCAGGGTCCAAATCTTGAGGAGGTTGGATAAGAGTAGCATCACCAGAGTGGACACCAGCATTCTCAACGTGCTCGGAAATCACGTGCATAACCATCTTGCCATTGATAGCAACAGCATCCATCTCGATCTCCTTGGCATCTTCAATGTACTTGGAAATGACAACAGGGTGCTCGTTGGAGACATCGGAGGCTTCCTTCAAGTAAGAGTCGAGGTTTTCACGGTTGTAGACAGTGTTCATGGCGGCACCAGAAAGGACATAGGAAGGACGCACAAGCACGGGATAGCCAACAGCATCACAGAACTTTTCAGCATCCTCAACACTGGTAAGCTCACGCCATTGGGGCTGATCAACACCAATACGATCCAACATGCTCGAGAACTTGTAACGATCTTCAGCGTTGTCAATCATATCGGGGGAAGTACCAAGGACGTTGACACCTTGACGATGCAAAGGCAAAGCAATGTTGTTGGGAGTTTGACCACCCATGGACATGAGCACACCGGAAGAGCTTTCGACCTCATAAATGTCTTTAACACGCTCCATAGTGATGTTCTCAAAGTACAAGCGATCAGCCTCGTCGTAATCAGTGGATACAGTTTCAGGGTTGTAGTTGACCATGACAGTCTTGATGCCTTCTTGACGCAAGGTACGAATAGCACGAACAGCGCACCAATCGAATTCAACAGAGGAACCAATACGGTAGACACCAGAGCCGATAACCATAACACCCTTATCCTCGAATTCAATGTCATGCTCAAGAGCATTGTAGGTCATGTAGAGGTAGTTGGTGTAAGCAGGGAATTCAGCAGCGACTATAAATGTCATAGTGATGTTAGTGTTAAGAGCATTATTAAAGGTAAAAGATCACACATACCAGTATCAATTTGCTTGACGAAGGGAGTAATGCCATGGCTCTTGCGCAATTGGCGGATGGAAAGCTCCTTGCTCTTGAGTTGGGAAGCAATTTGGCGATCGGAGAAACCAAGTTGCTTGGCAGCACGCAAAGTGTTGGTAGGGATGTCTTGTTCAGTGAAGGATGCAAGGGACTTTTCCATTCTCATAAGACGAGCGAGCTTGTTAAGGAACCACTTGTCAATCTTGGTCATTTCCCAAATCTTGTCCACAGAGTAACCCTTGCTCATGGCATTGGCAATAGCAAAGATACGGCGATCGGAGGGCACAGTGAGTTCACGATCGATCTCATCATCGCTGACAATGGTGTTCTATAATAAAAAGGATTTCATGAGTCATTCATTCAAGCCTATATATGTAACATGAACGATGATGCTTACCGTATTGAAACCAGAGAAGCTGTAATCAATGGAGCGGATGGCTTCTTGGATGGTCTCTTCAAAAGTACGACCAATGGCCATAACTTCACCAACGGACTTCATGGCAGAGCCAAGAGCAGTGCTGACACGGTTGAACTTCTTCAAATCCCAACGAGGAATCTTGACAACGCAATAATCGAGGGAAGGTTCGAAGCAGGCACAAGTCTTCTTGGTGACGCTGTTCTTGACTTCGTTCAAAGGAATACCCAAACCAAGCTTGGCAGCAACGAAAGCAAGAGGATAACCGGTGGCCTTGGAAGCAAGAGCGGAAGAACGAGAGAGACGAGCGTTGACTTCAATGATACAATACTCCTTGGAGAATGGGTTGAGGGCGTATTGGATGTTACACTCGCCAACAACACCCAAGTGACGAATGACATTGACAGCGGTGGTACGCAACATGTTGTAGTCTTCATCCGAGAGAGTTTGCGAGGGAGCAACGACAATCGATTCACCAGTGTGGATACCCAAGGGATCAAAGTTCTCCATGTTACAAACAGTGATGCAGTTGTCGCGGCAATCACGGACGACTTCGTACTCGATTTCCTTCCAGCCCTTCATGGACTTCTCAATCAACACTTGAGGAGAGGTGGCGAATGCCTTGTTGCACAATTCAACGAGTTCTTGTTCATTGTCGGCAAAGCCAGAGCCCAAACCACCAAGAGCATAAGCAGCACGGCAAATGACGGGATAGCCGATCTCCTTGGCAGCAGCAAGAGCCTCTTCATGGTTGATGGCAGATGCGGATTGAGCACACTTTTCGTTGATCTCAAAGAGAGCTTGGGCGAACAAGTCACGATCTTCGGTGGTGATGATAGTGTCGATGGGAGTACCAAGCACCTTGACACCAAGACCCTCAAATTCATCCTTGAGCTTGACACCAACATTAAGAGCAGTTTGACCACCAAAGGTACAGTAGATACCATCAGGCTTCTCTTGCTTGATCACCTTGCGCACGAAATCAGGAGTAACAGGCAAAAAGTAGACCTTGTCAGCAAGACCCTTGGAGGTTTGGATGGTGGCAATGTTGGGGTTGATCAAGATGGTATAAATGCCTTCTTCCTTCAAGGCCTTGATAGCTTGAGAACCAGAGTAATCGAATTCACCAGCTTGGCCAATGGACAAACCACCAGAGCCAAGAACAAGCACCTTGTTGACCTTGACACGGGGATTCTTTGCAACATTCTCCTTGATATCACCACCGGGCATGACAACAGGTACGAGCTTGCCCTCTTCAACACATTGCTTCACAGTGCTGATATAAGTATCGAACAAGAATTCAGTGTCACGAGGACCAGGAGTGGACTCAGGATGGAATTGGACCGAGAAGATGGGCAAGGACTTGTGGATGACACCCTCATTGGATCCATCATTGGCATTGACAAAGAGCTCTTGGAAGTTTTCGGGCAAGGTGGTGGCATCAACAGCATAGCCATGGTTTTGAGAAGTGATGTAGCAGCGACCAGAGAGCATGTTGGTACAAGGGATGTTTTGGCCACGGTTACCATACTTGAGCTTCATGGTCTTGGCACCAGCAGCCAATGCGAGCAATTGATGACCCAAGCAAATACCAAAGATAGGTTTGTCACCACGCTCAAGGACTTGACGCAAGCGCTTGAAAGTAACCTCAACCATGGTAGGATCACCAGGACCATTGGAGATGAAGAGACCATCATAGGAATCAGCAGGCTCAGCAGCGAAGTCATAGTCCCAAGGAACAATCTTGAGCTCGACACCACGGTTGACAAAGCAGCGGATTTGGTTGAACTTCATACCAACATCGACGGCGAGGATACGAAGAGTACGACCAGAAGGAGTCTTGATGGCCTTAGCAGCTTCGGGATAATATGTCTTGGCTTCCTTGAGGGAGACTTCAGCAACCAAGTTGCGCTCATTGGGATCAACCCATTCAACGTCTTGATTGTTGAAGAGAATCTTGGAAAGGAGCACACCTTCTTCACGGATCTTCTTGGTCAATGCACGAGAATCAATGCCGTACAAAGCGGGTACACCTTGTTCCTTGAGCCATGCACCCAAAGAAGACTTGGCAAGATAATGCGAGTAGTCCTCGGTATAATCACACACAATCAAGCCAGCCACGTGAATGGCGTTGGATTCAAAGTATTTGGGGACATCCTTGAGGAGCTCATCCATTACGGTGCGATCGGGCACACCATAGTTACCAGCCAAAGGATAAGTCAACACAAGGATTTGGCCACGGTAGGACGGATCGGTGAGGGACTCGGGATAACCCACCATACCTGGAAACTCATTGTTACACAAATGGCACATGGAAATGATAGGTTGCATGCATACCAGTTTGAAAAACACATTCACCAGAAATGCTTTTGCCTTCAGCACCAAATGACACACCTTGGAAGGTGGTGCCATCTTGCAAAACAAGCGAGGCAAGTGTGGCATTCTTGAGATCCTCAACAGCGGTCACTGGACGAAGAGCAGCAACCGAGAGAGTGGATGAAGTAGTAGATGAAGTAGGCAAGATGCTTGGAGCCATGATGATAGAATGAGATGGATATGCAAGAAATTAAAAATGCAAAATGTACAAATGCCTGTAGATCGCACAAGATAATTAGTGGATCAGTTGACCATGTGTGGGGGGAAAGTGTGGTGCTGTGCCTGCATAACCATGACAGCTCAATGAGATCAAATAGGAACAATATTTACTTGTTAATGCGAATAGGTGAACGTGGTTTATTCTGCGTAGGGTATTCCGAGGACCGTCAGCCGAACAAGCTGAAAAGTTTCATAAGTCAAAGAAGCTCTCTCTTTTATACCTCGCTGCTCTGTTTGAAAAAATTTTTTTCACTCCGTTTGATAGATCGGTCTTGCCGCAACCCCAATCAAATCTCGTCATCCCCGGAGATACATCTGCTGGGTTCCTTGTGTCAGTAATCGATGATGTTTGTTTCTTTGATCTTTTATCACAGCCATCATGTACGTGCGCATACACATTGACATGCGGTCATTGTGATCGTCATGATAAGAAAAACTCAATCGTGTAGCTTTGCCACAAGCAAGTGAAAAAAGGTGGCCATTGAAAAATGTGCCTAATTCCTTGGAGAAGGTTTTGGATCCTCGGACCTGGTAGCTGCCTATGAAACAAATGAAATCAGAAGCGCCGTATACTTTTGCCGTCACTTCTTTCATCCTTAATCCCGCGCTATTTCACCAATCAGCCGAAGGAGAATATGAATTAGCCTGTTCCTGACACATGACCCACCTTGTTGGATATCGGAACGCTGATTGGCGATCCAACCGATAGGATGAAATATCCCTTTTAGGTTGATAAGCCTAATAGCATTGATTTCATCACACCCCTCTATCTAGTTCTTGTGACACTTGTCCACTCACCAGCCAGCATGATGATTACTTTTGGCACTACTTTGGGTCGCTTTTTCTTTTTATCCATGCATGTTAATATGATTCCTATCGAGGCTTAGGCTAAGCCTATAACAAATATGGCATCTTTTGATCTATACGACGACGACGTAGTAATGTACGCTGCATGATGGGGATCCATCTTTTGTGCAAGCGATGATCCTTTCTATTACTGCTTTGATGTCCTTTACACTACAAGTAATCGGGATGATAGAATTCGGTATGTGTAATGTATTTGGTGATGGATGTGTATTTATGTATGCATATGTTGATATGTATCATGGAAGGTATATTTTCCCCCACACAGCAATGTCAAGAACAAGGGAGCAGCAGCTATTGGGATGCGTACACAATTGCTCTTTTTGTATGTGATGAGTAAAAGACATCAAATACGTGGAACCTGGGAATGAGATGTTTGATGAGATGTGCACACAAATGGACACAAGTGATGGGGTGCGACAGGATTGCCATTAGCGTCAATAATTGGCGTCCCTCTCCTGATTCCGCAATGACTGGAAATGGCTTCCCGACATAATCTCTTGATCATGCATGATCACCAACAACAAACAAATGCCTTTCTCATGTGTACCCACATGTTGCTTGTTTCTTATCCTTCGAGTGCTATCATCAAATAAACGACAAGGTACTTTGTGAATCTTTAGAATGGCATGATGTCTTGCTCTTGTGGTGACATAATACCCCAGAGGTTTCAGGAGGGATAAATGAATCACACTGGAACAAAGGGAAAGGGAAAAAAAGAAAGAAGCACAATGTGCCATGGTCACGCTCACCCGACATACGCTCATGCTTATCACGGCATACCCATGCGGTTGTGGTGGTGGTGCTATGCTACTACTATGGCAGGTGACCACTCGTGCTGCGTGCACAGGTCGTTTTTTTTGATGACGGGTACTGATCAACATGCTTGTTGCATCAACATTTTACAACCACGACACTCACAAAGCGTCTTGGAGATGATTTATATACGTCATGTATGCAACGATACGAAAACGACCGGTTTTTAGAATCGTATACGTAGCGGGCATGGAAGAGAAAGCGGCACAGCCCGATTGATAGACCCCATTTGAACCATTCACTCCCCACATACAAGCACGCACATGGCAACAAAAAAAAAAGTGGCACAGGTTTTGATATCCACACCATCACGCGGCAGGGGCGGATCTTTTTGAATTATGGTCAGCTGCTCTTGCTGCATGGAAGGCATTCAAGACACAGCACATTTCTATACATTTTGTGTTGCCCCAATGATGGGCTACAACGACAAAAGGATTCGTTATCGTTCCACATTCTTGTCAATACACAGCTTAAACGTAAGCAGTTTCAGGTCGGGCGTGAATAAAGATCTTGGGGGGAACGACAAGAAGGTTGACTACTAACCACAGATTACTAGCACCGATTCATATGCATTATGCAACAAAGTACATGTTTCTCAACAACAACAACAGCCATGCACGCTTGCATTTGCATCGCTCATCATCATCAAACATGCCATCATTGATCTCTTTCTCTTTTTGTTGATGAGCATGAATAACAACAATATACAAATAATGGTACCAACTCCGTCAGGATAATGTTATTAGTCCACAAGGCTTATCCAGTGATGACCAACTGTATTGTGGGTAGTCGGATGGTGGTGGTGTCACAATCCACAAGAACCCTGCTATTCGATCATACCGCTCGTCCTTAGCATATCGCTTAGTGTCTCCGCTGCTTGGCTATATGACGATGCATTACAATCTTGATTCGTCTCAACCATAAATACATGCACACATCCCCTTGGATGGCACACATCAACATAAGAATGAACACTATCACGTGTGGGACAACAATAACAACACGTAGAGTGCAAGGATAGGTTTGGGGCGGATGATTTGGGCGTCGTTCCGTATATGATGATGTTGTGTGTTACTTGTAAAAAGAAACCGCCCGCTCTTGTTTGGCCATCTGCATTGAATATCAAGCTCAACGTGGCTCTTTGCATGTCGACAAATAAAGTTTGGCTTGCAAACACAAACCTCTTAATACGCAAACTTGGGGCCACTCAAGTTGTCATCGTTCTTCTTGCTTGTGCTAGACCATGGCTATTAATTACTTGCTTTTCGGGTGCGGAGTCGGTCGCCATGTGGTTGATTTTCGATTGATGTCTTTGAGCTGATCGGCTTCTTGGATCCAAATTTATTGGCAACATTGGGGAGCAGAACAGAACATGACCAATAAACAAGAAGTCGTTGGCGGAGAAAGGGGATGAAACAATCGAAATTACTACCGTCACCAGGGCACAATGATTTCGACCTTGATAATAGCTCTATACTTGTAAGAGCAACATCATTGCATTGTTGGCAATGTTCAAGTTGAGGATTGATGCCGACACGTTGTGTATTGAAGGTGGCAACAATGAACACGAAGCAAGGGTGGGGTGAAAGTACAGCAAGGGGAATGGCTTTATTTGGTTCAAGAGGAAAATGGATGGCACACAAAGAGAGCGGACAAAAGAGTCGGTCGCCCATTCATTATTATTCCGGTCCGTCTTGTATCACGTTGTGTAACACCTTTGTAGTTGATTGGATATATAAAACGGGTCCACTTCGTCCATGGTTTTACTTGACTCTTTTTCGACACACATCCGCATACCCTTGCATTCACTCTTGCATCTACATCCTCTCCCCCTTCTCTTTTTGCATTCAAGACCGAAAAAACCATGCCTGTGCCTGTCGAATATAACTCTGTGCGTCGTATGAGCATTATCACTGTCCCCAACCAGGACATCAACTTTGAGTAAGTGTGAAGGTGTTTATGAATGATCGCATCAAGCTCTTTGACACATGTACACCATCACCTTCAGTGCCTATGACTTCCAGTTGTGTGCTCCCCAATCTGATGTCAAGGATGCCTTTGAGTCCCGTGAGCTTGAAGCCTCGTTTTGCCGCGACTTTTCGTGCTGTGGTCTTGTTTTGAGCGATCTTCATGATTTGTTACAACATTACGAGGAGTGCCACGTTCGTTTGGAGGAGGATGAAAGCAGCTTGTATGATGACGACTCTTCAAGCTTTTGGTCACCCGCTTCATCAGTACCTAGCAGCCCTACTTTGGATGATGACAGCACTGATGCCCTCAAGAAAAAGGCTGCTGCATACCTTTCGGATTTGTACAACTCCAATAGCACTACCTTGTCGCCACTCACACTTGCTTGCCCAACAAAGGAGGATGATGTTGCTGGCAACTTTGACTCCATTGCTACCCCTCCCCTTACCCCCTCTACACCTACTGCCCCAAGCAGTGCCTCAAGCGCTAGCTCAGTTGTTTCAGATGAAGCACCTCTTCCTATTACCGCTAACAACAACACATCCGCTGCTAAGAAGACTGCTGGCAAAAAGCGCACCTATCAACAATATGCATCCTCATCCACTCCCACCGCTTTAGATATCCTTACCCAATCAGCTGCCAAGAAGCTTGCTATGGCTGCTAATGGCGAGTTGCCTGCTCCTATTTTGACTGATGAAGATTTCCTCGCTCAAGCAGGTGCCCTTCTTGCTTCTGCCAATACCAGTAAGTGTACATACACATCTTTGTTATGTGATACAAGCCGATGCTGATTGTGTCATTGTTGTATTTGTGTGTGTTTCCAGATGCAAACGCCGACAAGCCTTACAAGTGCAATGTGCCAGGCTGCCAAAAGGCGTACAAGAACCCCAATGGGCTCAAGTATCACAATCAGCATGGTCACTGTGATCTCATTACCGATGAAAGCGAAAACATTGCTTCCAAGCCATACCAGTGCACTATTGGTGATTGTGGCAAGAGATACAAGAACCTCAACGGCTTAAAGTACCATATTGAACATTCTCACATGGCTGCTTTGAACCACACTCTTGCCAGCTTTGGTAGCTCCTTGTTTGCTGCTGCACCTGCTTTTGCTGCTGCTGCTGCTGCTGCCCAACAAGTCGACAACAGTGCCAATCCCACACCTGAAGCATCTCCTCAAGCATCACCTGTCATGTCGGCTGCTTCTTTGGCTGCATTCTTTTAATCGCCCACGTCTCACATACATCCACATGCGTCGTCCTATAATGCCATCCTCCTTTCATCTCATCCGCTACCACCTTAAAAACCTTATTCTATTCCTGCGCAACTTTTCATGTCATCCACCTTTCTCTCTCGCTATTGTAAATTCTCTCTCTCATAGTTCTCTTGCATCTTTATATCTCCTTTTTGCTTCTCACCAAAAAAGTTATTTGTTTTCTTTTCTGTATGTAATAAAAAAAGTACTGTATTATTACTCTCAACATCCAAACACACGTCCTCAACATGGAATCCAACCACCACCGCGGTTCATGTGCAACAGTAACACAATGTGTGACTCTCGTATTGAATTTCAGCACAAACAATCTGTTTAGAGAGGGGAACTACAATAGAGCTAGCCGATTTTGGAAAGAACCCGCAGTTTGTTCTCAAGCCTTTTGGCACTTGGTGCAAGAATCACCACACTGGCAACCTACAAAGTGTGTTCAGTACCACCACACGCAAAAAGGCATGATAATCAACCTTATTTACCTTGAGCAGTGGCTATATCCGGGAGGAAAAGACATACGTGGTATATACGGATCAATCATTTCCATTATACATGGCATCACAACGTGCACACACAAACATACCTTTGCAAGGACAACCTTCCGAATGCATAGCCTTGCAATGTTGGCAGGAGCATTCATTTCCACATTTGCACGTGTTGGAAGCGGTGCAACTACATATGTCAAAGGTGGTGGTGGGGATGAGTCAAGCGGACATAGGGGATCACAAATCATACACTTACGGGCAAGTTTCTGGTTTACAAGGGCAACCCATAGTTAAATGTCAAGTATATTGAAAGAAAAGAGGATGAGGAAAAAGTATGGCAATGCTAACCCATGCGTCGTTTTTATAAAGCTTTTACTTTGTTGTGTCAAAATCAACATGACGACGACGTTGGGCGTGCGAAACCTTTGTTTTGCATAAAAGCTCTCTTCCTACTGCATACCCATATGTACAAAAACAGCAGGTATTCGCAAACCTGCTTAATGTTTATGCAAAACCCAATGATCGTTCTTGGTATGTATACGCACACTTTCCTTAGGCTAAATCACAAGACGCACACATCCGGGTACGTCTGCATGCAGTTGACCTCGCATCCATGGCTTTATGGAATTATGACGACTTGTTGCGTCTTTTAGGGTTGTTCCTTCTTAAACACTTGGCCAATCACATTTGCACACAACAAGCTCCCTTTCCCTTTACACAAAATTGATGCAAAAAGAAACATCCTAGCTCCATTAATGAGTGCAGCCCACATAGCAATACATGTTACGACACGATTTTCAACCACCAACACATGCTATAGTAATCATGATGCATGCATATGATAATCAAGCCCAAGCTGGATTTAGTTGGATTGGGTACTTCCCCAATTCATGTTGCTTGGCACATCATGGTTGGTGTGCATTTTGTAAACAACACCGACAAAGACCACCTGAAAAAGGCAGTTGGGCATTGGATGCATTACTGTAAGCAAGAGCAAGCCGCGTCATGAATTGTAACACATTCTGTGAATGATCGAATCGGCGACAAGGTATTGTGCTATCTTTCAAGAAGGAAAAAAGCCCGCCATGATTATTTTGCTTGCTAATCACCAATCTCATTTTTGGATCCTGAAAGGAATGGATACGCTGCTACAAGCATGCTACTATGGATGAATGCACCCTCACTCATACGTCCATGTTGATGGGATTAACAAGCATTTGAAGACATGGTTTACCCCCACCAAAGTAGTTGGCTTTGTGCGATATTAATGTATAAAGTACAATCATCAAGTCCAATTGCCCCATCAAGTAAAAGCCCTGCATGGATTTCATGCGTCCACCTGGCACCTTTGTAGCACATACAACGACAACGACCCGGTTGGGCGGGAAGCTCTGTGTCTTCTTTCAAAAAGAGAGAGAGGGGAAAAGCGATCTCAGCTCTATCAATATTCTTCCGTCCCAATCTTGTACGACACAACCTTAATTCTTTTATTCTTCCTTTTGTCGTTCCCTCAGCAGCGGCCGATCTCGGAGACAAGCACAGAACAGACACTTGCTGTCAAAACGTGATCTCACATTCACACACTCACATACATCCTCCAATAACACATCCATGGTTACACATCCTTTGACAACCTGTCAAAAGCCATCGGGAGTACAACGTCGTTGTCAATAGAAAAGTAGTCTTTCATTAACAAGTCCTTAAAGATGTTGGGGATTAAATTCCTTATTGACAAAGTGGATGTCCGACTTCTTCCGCATACCCCACCACCCCGCTATTGACAACCTGCCCATTCATCATCATTATCATCACCACCATAGCAACGGCGGTTTCCATGACGACCATTTTGATGTATCCCAAACAACCCTCCCACATTCACTATACCAGATGCTGTAACAAATCGTGTCCTTTTTTCGAAAACAGAATAAATATAGCAATACAATATAGAACTTTTCTGAATATGTACAATAACTAGAATGGCACAGGTGTGGATGTACGCTTGGCAACGGATGCTTGGGTGTGCTTGTTTGATAATCGATCAAAGACATTGTTGTTGGCGGTGTTGATTCGGGTATATTGATATGGCTTTTGAAGTCGAGAAGAGGATGGTGGTGGTGGTGGATAGTCATTGTTGTTTGTAGTCGTCGTAGTGGGTGTCTCTGGTGGTGAATCAGGGATCACAAATTGTTGTTGTAATGGCGAAGGTTGATGAAGATGAGCAAGTCGATTGCTTTGCGGTGTGGGTGCTGCTGCTGTTGCTGCATCATTCAAGTTGAGTTCTCGAAGAGAGAATCGTCGACGTGGTTTATTGATGGGTTGCTGTTGTAATGAAAATGCACGACGACGACCTGCAAATGTTTGAGCTACCGATGGTAGGTTTTGTTGCTGTGTGCGATTGTACATGGTCGTGTTGCTATCCGAAGATCGACGTAGAGGCAATGATTCAAGTAACGCTGCTTTTGCGGCAGCCGTATCAGATGGTCGTGGTCGTGGTGAAGTAGGTATGGGACGTGGAATAGGTGAGGGTGGTGTTCCAACAGAATGTTGTCCTTTGTTGGTAGCTGACATCAATCCTGCTTGCACAAATTGTTGAAGGAATTCTTCAGGGGATGCCATTGAACTACGGCGTCTTGTAGCTGCTGCCATGGATACAGGACGCTCAATCAATGATTGTGGTCGTTGGGGACGTAAAGATGGGGAAACACCAGAGGCCGAAGAGCGGCTATTGTCGCGTTCCATGGGTACAGGCGAATGTGAACCACCACCAGGTCGATCAAGAACATTGCCAACACTCTCATTGTAAATTTGATCAAAAAGATTGCCGAGCTTCTCTTCCACACGCATGTCAATGGCTGAATCATCATCATCTGCTGCTATGGCTGTGGATGCATTTGTTGGTGTCGTGGTATCATTATCATCGTAAACACCTGACATGGATGATCGACGTGATCCCATCTCCAAACGTCGAATCTTCTTTTCACTGGCAATAACGGTCTCAACAGCCTTGTCCTTCATCAATGTGAGCGTGTTTTGCAAATCTTGAATTGATTTCTCCATTTGTTGAATCTGGACCTCACGGCTAAGCTCATCCATCCGAAGCGTTGTCAAATCGTTGATCATGGATTCCATCACCTTGGCAGCTTCCTCAGGGGTGAGAGAATGAATCACTTTGAGTGCCATCCGATGGGATGTTTCGGGGTCAGCATTATCAGGGATGCTGTATCGTTCTTCCAACGCATCCATATCGAGCCATTCATCCTCTTCTTTTCGACGCATGGTACCCATCACTTCGTCGGCAAACGTAACATGCTTACGCTGTTGTTGCTGCTGCTGCTTTTGCATATCCATATCAACGATCTCCTCTTCATTGTCCATGGTGGTCTCATTCTGCAAAGCCTGGATCCGAACACTGATATATGATATCTCGGCACCAATGGCTTCAATACGCTCATCCATGTATGTCATCATCGCTTGGTCAAATTGGATCATGCCATCATTATCAGCTCCTCCAAACAAATGCTCGCGCTCAGTCTGCAATTCTTCACGCTTTTGGAAAAGCTCATTGTGCTTGGCTATCAATTGTTGCATCTCGGCAATGGCTTGTCTACCGTGGATGTATTGGAACAAAGCACGATCCAAAAGATCCTTCTTTTTGGCGGCACGGGTTTCCACAGGGATACGGCGCTTATGTTGTCGGGGTTGACGTTGTCGAGTGGAGAGTCGATTGGAAAGTAAAGCACCCATATGAAGCAAATCAGCACATCGATTCAAGAGTCGATCGTCAAGCACACCTCCTTCACGCACTGCTTTCTTGAGCACTTGCACCAATCGCTTAAGCTTGTCTTTGGTGACAACAGCCTCTTGTGATTGATTTTGCAATAAAAGCTGAACACGCTTGTTCTCACGCTCGAGACGACGTTTATCCTCAGCATCACGTTGTTGACGTCGTCGTAACTTTTGGATCTCACGCTCATGAGCCGTCATTTGTTCCTTGGTACGCATAGCTTCTTCCTTCATGCGTTGCACCATGCGTCGCTTTTCAGTCTTGCTGCTTTCAATATTGGCACGAAGCGCTTTCTTGATGCTCTGCGTTTGCTTGCGTGATGATTGCATTTCGCTTGACACTTGCATAAACTTTCGACGGGTCTCTGATAACTCCATCGATAAGCTTCTGATCTTTTGCTCATAGCCATGACGTAATTCATTGAGTTGTTGCTTTTCTCGTTGAATCTGAGTATTGTCTTTGACAGCTGCCTGTTGTTGCTGTTGCTGAATGGATGCTGCTTGATGCTGGCTTTGGACTTGTGCACGACGCATAGCATCATCACGCTCTCGTTTGATGGTGAGTATCTCATGGCCAAGTTTGTTGAGTCGTTGTTCAAACTTTCGTCGCATATGAACGTATTCGGATTCGCATCGTTCCAATTGAGAGACCAGCTCTTCTTTGACGTGGATGTCGCTCTGAATCTGCTGTAGCACCCGTGCAAATTGTGGATTGTTTTCACACAAATCGACAAATTCAGAATCTTCAGTGAATCCAGTGATAGCGCCTGATGAGAATCGAGAATGACCACCACCACCAGCAGTATAGCCATCATCAACAACGTTGTTGCTATTGGTATCGGACAAGGCATCCCAATCGGCTGGCGGAGTCTAATAATATACACAAATGCATGCTTTAGTTTTCTGCTCGCATGATAATGCATCGGAGAAGAGAATTACTTACCGTGCGTTGGATATCTTCTTCATCAGGTTCCTCTTCCAAATGGCTGAATAAGAATTCATTCTCCTTGGATTGGAGTGCTTCAAGCATTTCATCATCTGCCAACAAATCTCCATCAAAGGGTGACACTTGCTGTTGCTGTTGTTGTTGTTGTTCCTATAACAAGCAAGAGGAGGAGGATGTTAGTTTAATAACTCTGCATTGTTGATTGATCAATTATGTCGTGCATACCTGTTCTTTTGACTAAATAAAAATATAAATGCATGGTAAGCATGTGATGGATACAAATATTAATATGCCTATACGATACATACCTTGGCACCATCAAGCACTTTGAGTCCCTTTTCAATCTCCATGCGTGCTTTGGTAATCGAATCACGAACCTCATTACGAATATCAGCCGAATTGGTAGCACTGATAGGACCAATCGTCTCTTGCAGCCATTGATCAATGTCCCGATCGTCTATACGAGATACAGCTCTAGGTGGTGGTGCAGCAGGCATTGGTGGAGGAGGTGATTTGGGTCGTGATTTTGATCGTGTTCTAGTGCTGTTGGAGCGTGAAGATTTGAAGCTGACGCCAGCTTTTGTTCGTCGTCTACGTGTAGTGCGACTACGAGAAGAACGGTTGATTGAAGGAGTAGGTGTTGCTGCTGATGCGACTCTTGGTTGTTGAGTTGATTCCATAAATGAAAGTCGTGATCGCGTATCCTCGAGCTCATTGCGTAGATCATGGATGGTTTTCTGGTATTCGGTAATGATGGGTAATGTGTTGATGTTGTTGTTGTTGTTGCCATCTCCTTGTTGCATCATTTGATTGTACATATCAGAAGGCATTTGTCGTTCAAGTAACAAAGAATCTCGATGTGCTGATACTTGACATAATTCATCCGATGTCTCTTGAACACGTGCACGTAATCGATTCACCTCGTTACGCAATGCTTCAATCTCCTTGGTATGATCGACTCCACTGGATACATTGCTGCTATTCCCACTACGAAGCATGGCAAGTTCCATCTTCAGCTTGGCAAGTTGTGCACGCATTTGATTGACTTCCACCGATGATCCTGAATACTCTTGGTTGACTGAGACGCGGTTCTTAATGTTGCGAGCTCGGTTGGCGTATTTGAGTGTGCTGAGAGTTTCCTGCATATTGTTGTTGGCAGGTGATACGCATGCCACCATCAACGTTTGTGAATTGCCACCAAGAGAGTCTTGAAGAAGACGTGTCAGCTTGGAATCACGGTATGGAATGTGTGTCGATCGACGAGACTCATCGCCCAAAGCACTGATAACATTGCCTAGCGCCAACAGCCCTGAGTTGATGGCAATGCCTTCGCGTGCACGTACTCCTTGTGCATTGGTCCTGACAAGCTACATTCAAAGACAAAGTTAGCGTGAATGGAAGGCACCAATGCGACTCTCATTACCCGTTCGGATCCTGCAAGGTCGACAAAGTGGAATTTGCTGACGATGGTTTTGCGTTGGTCGACATTGTCTTCATCGGGGAGTTGTTGTTTGAGAATGACAGAGAAGATAGCGTGCGACCTTGAGGAGACTGCATTCATATCTGTGGAGCCCACCGTACGCCCAAGTGACCCTTTTGTTAGATAGCCTAGTAATTCCCTTGGATCTGAACATGGTTCTTCTCGTACACCACTCCAATAAATGTTGCCTTGTACATCTTGTCGAATGGAAATGTCACATGCTCCTCGTTGTCGCTGCTGGAAGTTCAAGAGGTCCACCAAATCTTCATTGTACAATTCAAGAAATGATACATAGACTTGCGACTCATATTCAGGATCATTGTTCTTTTTGTCTCCAAGGCGATCAAATAGATCACGTATAAATCGTGGCACAATCCCTATTCAATAACAAGCAAATAAGTAACCTGATGTAAATTGTATCATGTTTATTATACTCACCTTGCTGCTCTGACGAATCGGTATTGCCATCAATAGCTGTACCCATGCTATACGTCTTTCCAGATCCAGTTTGTCTACATAGCAACAACATGTTAGATGCATGATTTATCCAAGTACGTAGTCGCCCATGACGACATTTACCCATAAGCAAGGATAGTGGCGTTGAACCTGTAAATAGGACAGGTTAGAAAACACAAACGGCTGGCGTAACCATCAAGATCACGTACCCATCGACAAATTTCTCGGTGAGTGGGAGTACGCTTGTTTCATAAATGTGTTGTTGTTGTGTTTGGGTATCAAATACGTAATCATATGTGAATGTGTGATCTTTGCCCACAATGATTTGCGGTACATCTGGAATAAATGATATTGTCTCTGTTGCATTGCTCAAAATCTCTTTCTTTGTCAATGGTCGAACACGAACAGCAACGCTATTATAGGTTGATGTATCAGTGATGGAGGGTCGATTATTCAATGTCGATGGTGATTTATTACCGAACAGCAGTTGTCGCCATGTTCATGCAAAAGGGCGTCGTAAAGGAGAATTAGAGATGATGTGCTGGTTGCGTTGTAGGTGATAGGAGGGAAGAGTCGGGATATGGTACAGCAACAACAAGAAGAAAAAACGGGAGAGAAAGAGAATGAAATTCTTTACCGAAGAAAGCAAGTTGTTGTTTTATAAAGAAGGGGGGGAGACATGCTCTCCAAATCGTTCCTTTGCTGCTGCACGGCATGTAAGATATTGAAAGTCGCTGTTCCAAATAGAAAGTGTGCCCCATGACCCACAAGGCCATCAAGGATTAGCGAGCCACTTGAATGTCGTTTCATGTCAGCCCTCACATGATAAAAAGCCTTTCTTTACTTGATTGCCACAAGTGGGTGTATACATAGATCTCCTCTTTGTCTTGTTATTCGTTTGTTCGGCTTAACATGAAAATGCCCTGTGCAACCAGCACACTCGTCATCTCCGGAAACCTCTTCCGTTCCAAGGAGAACTCGCAGATAGCAAGCTATGCACCTGTCGCTTTAAGGTTTGCGATGCACAAAGTAAACAGATCGGGGGAACCATTTGCTTTGTGTGTGTGTGTGTGCGTGTATCTTGTTACCCGTGAGAGACAAAGAAGGAACCACCCCCTGGGCCACCCCATATTGCTATTTGACACTCCCCATTATTTTGGACCCACATGTATGTCATTATTTGCCAACCTATACATACAATTCATCTTTGCATTTGAAGGAGTAAAAAGTGCTATATGTACATTCTTGGTCATTGCGATAAGGAAAATAAATGGTCGATGCATAACAAACCTGCCGCTGTCGGGCATCGGCCACAAAAGTGCCACCATTATCAAAATAGTAAGGTTGGCCATGGCTTTGTGCACCACTGTAAAACTTCTGGTAACAGGTAATCAGTGCTGTTTTTCCCTTCCTTGTTTTGAGAATAATTGATTTCCCTTGTTGATGACGGATGACGCGGTCAAAGGTTGGGGGTTAAAACTTGCAAGCACAGGTGCACGGTCAGCAAATACTCGGGGTTACTAAAACAGGCTCTCCTCCGCTTCTGCATCACGCTCACCAGCACAACGCTAAGCAAACGAGATTCTTTCCCATAGCATAGGTTGGCTCATTTTTGACTTTTCACCCGTCAATGGCTGTAAAGTGGCAATTTCCATGCACAATTCATAGCACCATTACACACTTCAAGGCTATATACTCTTGTACTTTGTGATCGTTGCATGATTAGATCCATCATCGCCATATTCTTTCCATCGAAAACAAGTGGTTTTGACGAGTATAACATGTTGTCAAGTTGATGATCTGCAAGATGAAACATGCCAGGGGCGACAATACTATGCATGCAGAATACATATAACAATGAGCCATGTGCGCGCCCATTGTCTCTGATAATCACACGCTTATAAACATCTATAAACAACAGCATGCATTTGGATGGATCATTTAGGAGATGCTCGTTGTCTCATAATAACCAATAAGCAGCACCCTATTTTGGTCTATTGTTACGTATAACGAATGCATCATATGCAAAAGTAAGGATCACGCAAGATCCTGGCATGTATCAAAAATTATGCATCAGCTGACTATTCCTCGACATCATGCCACGATCGTACTATTATTATGCTCCCCCATCAAAACCTCCACATACGGCTTATATTTAACCCATAACCGTGCACCGTGTTTTCCACCAATTAGCTCGGCGGTTATTGTTGTAGTTGTTTACATTGTGGTAGGTATAAAGGATTGATCATTCATTTTCACGATGGCACGTGCAAAGGGATCAAGGAGTCCCCTATCTGCTTCATTTCATCAATTGCCCATCAATGCGTGGCATTATTAGTGTGCGTTGATGACGATGATGCTCTTTGTTCTTAACGGATCATCCCGGAACATCGGCCCGGTATTTAGTTCAAAAAGGCAAACCTGATCTTGAGGGTGTAGAGGATATAGCTTATGGAGTGGAAGCCGCCCTTCTCAATTACAGGTTCATCTACGCGTATCCAAGGGATAAGGTAATGCATCATTATGGTCCTTTTTACAATGCATGCGTGCCCATGCTTCTTGGAATGGAAGAATCCAACATGAACACGCACCCATTAATACATAAATTAAAAGCAGGGACGTGCTTTTATCTCGCTTCCAGCTCACGTTTTTCTCGCGTGTCTTTAAGATTAGATACCTCGTGCATGCGAAAATGTGTAATCCTGGATATGAAATCATAGGCTATGTGTGTGTGTGTGTGTGTCGTAATGTTTATAGCTTGATGTTATAACATTGAAGGGTTTTGTGTGCATTGTTCTTCTCGATATCCGTGACATGACCTGACCTGTGACCTGTGCGCACACACGCAGCTATGTATCACACACGTTACCCCTTCTAATATTCCTAGTGCTGATGCTGTATCATGCAGGAGCCTTGAAACCTCCTAACTTAAGCTCTAGATGTTCAACGATGGTATTGCAGAGAACACCACCCCCCGTAGAACGATGTTGTGCATATCCATCTCAAAGATTTGAATTTAACTTGCCCCATTACCTTTTCCTATTTCTTGCATTATACGCTCTTTGTGCTAGACGACAGGTTTCAAGGAGATATCAGCCGCACATGTAAACAATGAATGTACCCCATTCCATCTCCTGAGACGTGACATCCAGTCATACCTATTCAAAGAGGAGTGGAGGCTAACACTATAAAGTACCGGAGAACACACTCCTTGTGTAATTGATGTATGCATTTAGCCATCACGTTTTCCATAAAATACACACATTAATAGGGGCAGCGTCGTTTGATTCCCATCCTTCGACTACAGCTGAATACTCGAATCCAACATGTCAAGCCGTACAAATTTCAGCTTTTGATCTTCAAGCGAAGAAGCCGATGATAACCTTGAAACATCTTCGTCAATTGACTTTTTCATTTGCAGCTTAAAAATGATACAATTAACACGCCTTGCTTTTGCAAAAGCAACAACGTGTATATACAACATGACTATTGTAGTGCTGAGAACGGGGTTGATCCTCATGCTATACTAGTTCTTGATTCTCCACGTTGAGTTGAAGGACCCGTTTTTGGAAATGGAATACATACAAGCTGTGCCGAAGCCTCCAAATCGGCGATCATCAAGCGAAGTGAATGATACCTCATGGTTACCAGGCTAGCGTTTCTCTCATTGAGTAGTAGCAGCTCAACAATCCTACTAGTAATGCTTACCTGTGCATAAGGGTATAAAGTATGCCATTGGCTTAGACGCAATGCGCAATTACTAGTATGCAAGATACAAAGGTACCATCTCTATGTGCCGAAGACGTATCAACCACCTTTATTTTATCACGTGAGTCTCTGGTGAAGGTATTTTAGGTGATGACAACACAAAACAGTGTGCATGAGAGAAAGTCAAGCATCGTCGACATGTGCTTTTTTTTAATGGAGGAGCAATAATACTGGTATTATGAGCTAGTGATGCCATCGAGCTAAGTATTAAAAGGAGGGACAAAGGGATTCCGAATTAACCGTCGGGCTATCGGATTATCGGCCTAAGAGTGGAAAAAAGATGAATGGGCATGGAAAATGTACCTGGATGTAGTTAATGTCAGTAGAGCTCCGCTTGTGTTGCATGCGAAAATGATTGATGTTTCTGCCAAGATGATGGATGAGTGGCGATAAAGGGTAGAACAAGAGGTAGAATACTCTTTTTTGCAAAGGAAAATCAGGATGGTTGCCTGAATGGATGATACCTGCAACCATGGGAATACTTTTAAAGTTGTCAAGAAGGGCAAAAGACATGCTTGTGATTTTTGTGTAACGCAAAGATCTGCAAGAGCCTCCGTAGGTGGATGGCAGTGCATGGGACATTAATTCTTCCGGAAGCGCGAAGAAAGTTGCCTTTTCAAATCGGCATTTCCAAGCTCTGGGATAGAAAAACAGGGTCCTTTATCTTTATCATTGCATCCCGTTTTCCCCTCTTTTTCTTTCTCTCTTGTTTCTCAGCCTTTGCATCCAATGTCTGCTATCCAATTCTCGGTCGACAGACCATTTGGTGTCTATCTCTATGATTATTTCGACATGGTTTATACCGCCATTGTCGGTAAATCCGCCAACGACTTTGCCTTTGTCGAAGGTGAGACACCTTTGTCGACCACTCCACAAGGTAGGACCCTCCATTCCAATCGTTCAATCAAGAACATGACTTGACGGCATTCACATTGACTCATGGACACTGTTGTCATTCCTCAACCCCTCCCTTCCAGTGGTGGTTGGCTGTATCACCTACTTGATGGTTATCTTTGGTGGCCAGTTCATGTTGCGAGATTCTCCACGTTACCATCCCAAGTTTATCTTCCAGTTGCACAACTTTTTGCTCACATTTGTCTCGGCCGCCTTGTTGCTTCTCTTGGTTGAACAATTGATTCCTCAGCTCGTAAACCATGGCTTTTATTATACCATTTGTTCCTCGGAAGCATGGACACAAAAGCATGAGCTCTTGTATTATCTCAATTATCTCGTCAAGTGGTGGGAATTGGCGGACACAGTCTTTTTGGTCTTGAAGAAGAAGAAACTTGGTAAGAAAAGGAGTAGTTGGATGATGCATGTGATATTCAACGGATGAATGCTATAGAATTCCTCCATTACTTTCATCACAGCATGACCATGGTCCTCTGCTACACTCAACTTGTTGGACGTACTACGGTGGTAAGTATCATGTCATTGGATGAGCGAGAAGCGAGCATTGGATAACTAAAAAGGGGGACACATTTTCATTCTAGTCGTGGGTTCCCATCGTACTTAATTTGACGGTTCACGTGTTCATGTACTACTACTACTTCCGTACTGCATCCGGCCACAAGATCTGGTGGAAGCAATACCTTACTGGCATGCAAATCACTCAATTTATTATCGACTTGTTCATCATCTACGGCTGCACCTATACATTCTATGCTGATAAGTATGCTCCCCATCTTCCCAACTTTGGCTCTTGCTCTGGTGGTGAAGGCGCTGCTTGGTTCGGATGTGCTCTCTTGAGCTCGTACTTGCTTTTGTTCATCAACTTTTACGGCAAAACATACAAAAAGGGCGCTGCTGCAGCAAAGAAGGCTCCTGTTGCTAATGGCAACGGTGCTGGTGCAAAGAAGAGCAAGAAGATTTAGATAAATTGCATACCATGGGCAATGATTTACACCCATTCAACCTTGTGTTTTCCATATTGTATCTTCTGTTGCATTCATTATCCTAATAAAAGTAATCATTATATCATCTTAAATGCACTCCCTCATATACACGACATCACGTGAATCCGTTAAACCTGATATATGTTTATTTGCTCAAACGCCATGGTATTCTCTAATCGAAAAGCGAGCACGCATCCCCCTTTTGTTGATGAAAAGAAACTCTCGCATGTCATTCTTCAGAGTGACCTCCTTGCTAGGCACCTTTTTCCGTCCTTCATCAAAGATCTTTTCAGGCTGGATCACCTTGACGTTCTCTTGATAGAGGTATGGAGCAAGAAAAGGAATTGGCTTTTCGGTAACCAAGATCAACTATGGAACCATACCATTAACGGTTATCCTACTACCACAGCTATGTACCATCCTTTCTCTGCTTACATTCACATAATGGAAATCAGGCTTGTGTGGATAAGGAATTGGGGGCGAGACCATAACCTAGCAATTTAGACATCATTAATGTCAATAATGTAGAGCTAAAAACGATTCCCATTGGATTACATACCTGCTGTACTTTGGAGAGATCAACATTGGTATCCAATTCTAGACGATTGATGGCGCGAGCTGTCCTCTTGTCAAAGTTTGGTGTGATGCCACAATTGATAAGCTATACGCACAACAAGCACATATGTTAATCACTACTATCCCTCTTTCTTTGACTATTGGTGTATCATCACACCTCTGATACATACCTTGAAGGCTAACACGCTTGAGCCAGCATCACGGACCCGTCTCTTTCATTCGGCGATGAGTTTTTTGTTATCTTCCTTTAGCAATGACTCTGCCCCTTGCTCATTTACCACTTCTTTGTCGACTTGCTGTTGGATCCAAGCTTTAGCGTCGTGATCAATGTCAACTTGTTCTTCTTGTGGCTGAGGATCGGTGGGGATCGTGTCATCGGCTGTGCTCATGGTGTAAAGTGTAAAGGGAAAAGATACCACCGCTGGTAGTAAAGCGGGCTGTTGTCAGTCGTCAGGGAATGGGCTCATGCAACGTCGTACATAGCAACGGCTCCTCAACGTATACACTTAGTCTTTCTCTTGAAAGCATTGTACCATGTCAACCAATAAACACATCTTTGTAATTTGCTGCTTCTCGGCATTTGTCTAATAGCGAGTGTCTACGTATGCTACTACCTCTGACAATGAGAATAATAATGATACTAGTACACGTTGGTCATTGTATGAAATCATGATCCATGACAAAGAGTCATGGTTTTTATGAACCGCACATGCTGCTGATGGATTGATTGTTGTTCTATTGAACGAATAAGGGAAATCTTCTTTTGCACAAAGAACGCACCATCCTCCCGACCACGTTGTTAATTTACTTTCCATAAGCGTATAGGATGGAGCGTATGCTGATTCTCGATCTTTCTCTAATACACAATCATATCATGAACATGCCATTGTAGTTTCGTTGAAAGTATATCGCTTATATCAGCCGTATCACATTTATTATGAAGAATGGTAATGACACCATGCTTGCTCCCAAGAGGCTACACATACAATAGATGTGATATGGAAAGTAAAGATGTCTTTATTCATTATTTATATGATGAAGGATGGTGGTTTCCTTACTTGATCATTAGGATAGGTGGGGAAGTTCATTGCTCATACATCACTTTGATGGGACATACTAGGTTCTGAGTGCAGGCACTTCAAAGTCAAGTCTCACAATGTTCATGCAGCCAAGAAGTGGGGTGGCTTAGTACAGGGGTAAAGCGGGAGACAGAGAAAAATGGGTGGTGTAGTGAGCTTTTATACCCAAACGAACCAAATATGCGGGCTTCCACTACTCTCCTTTGGCGATCGCTTGCAGTTCGACAACACGCCCATCGTGCATTTCATACAACACGTTCTCAATGGAGCTATGCAACCAAGCAACCATCCGTAGCTGCTGCTGCCGCTGCTGCATTAGCTAATGGACCCCTTGGCAAAGGCATTGACGCGTTCCGTACAGTGTTGTCATCAAAACCACTCACCAAACCGTTTACTGGAAAAGCTGATACGTGGGAGGATGCATTATGCGAGGCTCAAGGTTTGGTGGTTGACAAGAATGCCGGTAGCGATAGCAACACCTTGTTGGACCCTGCCAAATTACTTGGACCAGAGTTATGGGAGTTACGAGGCAACATTACAAAGCTATTGGGCAGTGGACATCCTTTCCTCAACACCCTGATGACACACTTCATTTGCGATAATGGACAACCTATTCGACCGCTTCTTGTCTTGCTCATGGCTAAAGCTGCATCCAACGCACCCTCATTTGAAATCACTGAATCACAGCGACGACTTGCCGAGATTACACAAATGATCCACGTGGCATCACTCTTGCATGACGATATCATGGAGGACCATGCTTCTGTGTTTGGCAATAAGATGGCTATCTTGGCTGGTGACTTTTTGTTGGCACGAGCATCGCTCGCTTTGGCATATCTTCACAACTCGGAATGCGTGGAATTGATGGCAACTTGTATTGCAAACCTTGTGGAAGGCGAATTCATGCATCTCGTCAAGAACGATACCATTCACGAGACAACTTATTACATGGACCAGATTGAAATGAAGCACGCTAGTCTCATTGCACAAAGCTGTAAAGGTGCAGCTGTCTTGACCGATCCAACATTGGCCATCCACGCACATGATTATGGTCGCCACTTTGGTGTTGCATCACAGGTAAAAAGGAGGAAAAGAGAGATGGTTGCGTGGATACTAATATCGATTATGTAAGCTTGTTGAGGATGTATTGGAGTTCAATACCGATGTGCGATCCACAGCTCCTATCATGTTTGCAGCAGAGCAAGTTGAGGAATTACGACCGCTTATTCAACGACAATTTAGTCAACCAGATGATAAAGACAAGGTATGAAGATAATGTTTAATCCAGGGGTGAGAAACTCAACATCGATCCATATTTGTTAGGCACGGTTACTGGTGTACCAGGGTGATGGATTGAAAAAGACCCTTACAGTGGCAGAGTCTCACAGCAACATGGCCATCGAAGCAGCAAACAACCTACCACCTTCAACTGCACGAGATGCTCTTATCCAACTTGCACAAAACTTACTTCGCCGAATCAAGTAGTACTCATAGACAACAACAATGATAATAGTATATAACAGCATTCAATAAACCCAAGCATCCATGTCGCATATGAAAGATGATGATGATGTTGATACGCCTCTATCCCTTTTTTGGAATGATAAGATGAGGAACGCCTTGCTGATCGATCAATTCATGCGTGCAACTTGAAAGAACCGGACCCCAACAAGCGTGCTCGTTAAACTTTCCGAATGACCATATTACCGGTGTTGCACAACTCATAGCAACTATCATGGGGTGGTGTATTATCTACTGATTCAAGATGTCATTATGATCAATAAATGTCTCATCAATCCAAACGATTGATTGATACTATCAAAAGACACGTTCTTCTTGAACCCGTTACCCTTTATCATCAAAAGCAAGCATGCGGAAGTAGCAATGGAATCAATCATTGTTTGGTTTGTGCACCGGGAAACAGTGGCGTTATCTGATCAAATAGATGGGACCCCTGTTAGGATCTAGCCTGTCATATGACGAGCAGCACCATCAGCATTACACAAACGCATAATGAATCCTGGCTAAACAATCGGTCGCTCTTGATTTTCTGTTGTACCGCATCAAATTTTTTTGCAGGTCAGCTGCGTAGTTGCTCACGGAAAGAGAAAAGTGCGCTATGATGTCTCGTCCCACACATGCGAGCAAGCATAGCATGATAAGAAAGAAGCGTATATACAATGGTGAACACAAAAGATCGACCTATTGATTGCAGGGGTGAGAAACAAATCACCATGTGCATGAAACAAGGGGCCTATAAATGTCGCACGGCACGTCACGGGTACATTGTCTGTGTACATAAAAAAAATTTGATCACGATCGCGTCTTGTTTCTTTCTTTACCCTTCTTTTATTTAAACCCTTGGTCCTCTTTCCTTGCTGAATACCTGCACATTCGGCAAAAACAACTTCTTGGCAACCTTTTCACCTTTTCTTTTACTCTTCACTCAACCGACGGACAACACACAGTCCGTTGCTTCGCCCATCACGACTTCAGAAACCAGACTTGTTTTCAGCTTGTTCAACCGACGGGGCTTTCCTCCTTGGCTTACCTGAGACTTCATTACATAACATCCATACAACGGACAAAAGCACAACCTCTATTTTTGTTTTTGCAATCACTTGATATCATCCATTGTCATGCACACCGAATTCCAAACAAGCGTCTTAAATCAGCTGCCCTGCGAGACGATGCCCCTGTCTTTGAAACAACAACAACCTGCTGATGATCTTAGCATCATCCACAACTTGCCCGTAGGCGAAGTGATGAAGCAAAAGCTTGAAGCTCGCTCAGCTCTCAAATGGGAATCTGATCAAGAGAATGCCTTTTTCGTTGCTGATCTTGGCGAGGTGTATCGTCAACACTTGCGCTGGAAGTCCTTGCTCCCTCGCATTGAACCTTTCTTTGGTATGTCCCAATGACCACAACAATTGATTATCATACTGATTATCATTATTTTTGCAGCCATTAAATCAAACCCCGATCCTATGGTTGTAAAGTTGCTAGCTGCTCTTGGTCTTGGTTTTGATTGTGCCAGCAAATCTGAGATTCAACAAGTGCTTCAACTTGGTGTTGATCCCGAGCGCATTATTTACGCCAACCCTTGCAAGCAAGCATCCTTCATTCGCTATGCTGCCCAACAACATGTTGCCAAGATGACCTTTGACAATGCCGAGGAGTTGCACAAGATCAAGCTTTTGTATCCAAACGCCGAATTGGTGCTGCGTATTTTGACTGATGATAGCAAGTCCCTTTGTCAACTTGGTCTTAAGTTTGGTGCACCTATGGAACGTGTTGCTTCCCTTTTGCAAACCGCAAAGGATCTTGAATTAAATGTTATCGGTGTCAGGTACGTGTATATGGTGTTCTTGCAAAAGCATGGTCAAGGTAATCTAACATTGGGTATTTTTAGCTTCCACGTGGGCAGTGGCTGCTTGGATGAAAATGCATTTTCCGATGCAGTGATCCGTGCACGTAAAGCATTTGACATTGGCCAAGAAATGGGTTTCAACTTTACTCTTTTGGATGTTGGCGGTGGTTTCCCTGGTGCTGATGTGCAAGATGGCATTACTTTTGAAAAGGTTGCCGCAGTGCTTGGACCTGCTGTCGATGCCATGTTCCCACCCGAAATTCGCGTGATTGCTGAACCAGGTCGTTACTTTGTTGCTTCTGCTTTCTCTATTTGCACAAGCGTCATTGGTCGTAGAACCATTGAATCAGAGCAAGGCAACCAATACATGTGTAAGTTACTCTTTAAATCATTTGGATGAGCTCATAAGCTAACATTACATTGTATTAGATTACGTCAACGATGGCATGTATGGTTCTTTCAATTGCATCTTGTTTGATCACCAAGAAGTGTATCCCCAGGTGTTGAGCCGCGGTGACAGCTATCAGTATGGTATCAAGTCCACCGAACCCAAGTTTACTTGCAGTGTATGGGGTCCTACGTGTGACTCGATTGATTGTCTTGCCAAGGAAACCAAGCTTCCTTTGCTTGAAGATGGTGACTGGATCTACTGGGAAAACATGGGTGCATACACCATTTGTGCTGCTTCGCAATTCAATGGTTTTAGAAAATCTGAAGTTCTTTACACCAACACCTATCAATAGAATATAAACTATAATATACAATGGTCAACTTGTATTATTGTTGATATCCAATCTCCTCTCTTTCATCATCCATAATGGTAATAGCATTCCTCATAATTGATCTTTCTCCTTGCTGCTGCTGCTGCTGTTGTGTTTGCATCCAACCCTTAGATGCCAAATTAAATCATCGATTAGGATCCAATAATCCTATAGACAATCACCATCCGATTTGTGCAGCAACCTGTCAAGGATGCGTGTGTGTGTAACCACGTGCCATTTCGCTCAGTCCTTCGCCTTGCATACATCAGCAGCAAACAACTCCATCACGCTTACAGCATTGGTAAAACATAAAGGTGCCCGTATCTCAAATGTGTACAATTAAGCCTGGGCTCTTTATGAGGACGATATTGCTCGGCGTGGTCGAAAGGACTTTGGGTGAAAATGTGAAGGCCGAGATGGGCAATATCAAGCTCATGGGGTGTGCACCGTAATGAAGCCTACGAATTGAAAACCGGCACTGACGCACTTCCCGATTACATAGCCAATCCCACATTATACCCCCTCATGCAGATTTTTATAATGAAGTGTAGGTTCTATTTATACAATATTGATCAACATGTTCAAGAGCATCTTGTGTGAAAGTTTGAGGTTCGAGAGGGGCAATCTCAATATCAAGGTGTGATGTACAATGTTCATGCATTTATACAAGAGGTGTCCGACTTGTTTAATTTCCACTTACTTCGCTCCCTCTTCCTCCCATTCTCAACTGTTGGCCCATTCAAGTATACAACTACCACCATGCGAACGATTGTCCTGCTGCTACCCACCATGTCAATCCTACAACTACTTTGATCCGATTGGCTTTGACTACATGACAAGTGCATGGCGTATGCACCCCACTACAACACACGGGCCTCCTCTTGACACAACACACGCTCTTGCGCCCTTCTCTGCCACAACCAATCGCAACAGCAGCTGCCATTAGCAAGGTCTTTTACTGCATTGTGCCAAACAACGTTCGCAACCTTGTCATTCTACTACAACACACACACTGCTCTGTCACAACCAAACGTAACAGCAGCTGCTATTATGAAGGTCTCTATTTCTTTTGTCTCGAACAGTGTTCTTTGCTTATAGAAGCGTGCCTTACAGCCTTGTTCACGTGAAAAGCAGGTAGCCATTGTACAACTTGCTTTGATACATACGGATACCAATGGACGATGCCAATCAGCTATCAAGTATGCCGCAATACAAGCAGTTTTCGCCTGATTGAGCAGCGATGGAAAATGATCAAGAAAGAGATGGACCCACAGGTGGATGGAGAAGGAAGCATGCAGCAACCACATGGCTCGTTTTCAACCAACATATTGGATTTGCAATGGTTATGGATGGATGGATGCAATCAAGTGCAGTGATGGGGAATCGTGGAATGTTGCTTTGGTTACTTGGCACGTCGTCACCAAGAACGATGGATCATATCATGTGGATACGGCCGAGGATGATGGTGGATTGGATGACATTGATCAGAGGGCTTTTATCTTTGAAAAGGTGATTTGCAGCCATGGATGGTATTTGGAATACTCAAGTCAATGCATGCAGCAGCTATTCTACAATCATGGATGAAGGATGACTATAGCGGCAGCAACCCAAGAATGCTATGGCACCAATATCTCTGTTGCCTCTATGTGATTCATCTGTACCTTGTTCAACTTCCAAAGCTGTTCCTTTATCAGATTTACTTTTAGACACCCACTTTACTATATGTATTCTTCGACTTTTTTCATTGAATGAAATTGGATTCAACGTAACATTTTGGGGGACATACTATCAGATCATATGGGCAAGATGTGATAGGTGGTTGCTTTATGGGTCGGAAGGGGGAAATAGATATGGAAGGTGGGAAAGTGAGGTTGGATCATTTACATACATCGTCGTATTGAGATGCTTTTGTTCTTTTGCCACAATCTTCTTATTACATTCACTAAAGCTCCCTAGCTCACATGCTGATAATAGACGAAAGGCAGTGGGAATTCTCAAACACTTGCATTGCAAAGACAATGGTTTTGACATTTGAGAGTGATGATACCCCCAACATCTGTTGGATATTACAGAAGCTAGGCTCATTGTAAGCTTAATTCATTATATTCAAGTATGAGCTGTTATATAACATGCTATGTTATGCAGCCTCATATAAGAACGTGCCATTCCATACGGGCTATCATAGGCGGATCTTACTAGGAAGACAGGGAAAGGATCAATCATGCATTTCTCCACCAATAGCATTGACCCTCCAAGCTGGCTCAGTTACACAAACACGTCGCTGTGCACCTCGCTGGATCAGGGTCAGCTACTCGACAATGAACAAAAACCACTCTTCAAATAGCATCACGCTTACAACATAGAGACGCCTGTATCTCCGAACTTTACAATGAAACGTGGGGTTTTTATTAGAGCAATGTGCTCGGCTTGGTCAACAGCACCTTGTGTACAAGTTTCACGTTCATCGTGGCCAATCCCAGATTTCGCAATGTCGCTACCAGCCAAACTGGATCGGGGGGTCGACCTCTACGACAACGACGACCAAAAAAAAATCTTTTGGGCTGTTTGCGACGTTGAACGTGAAACTTTCACACAAGGTGCTGTTGGCCAAGCCGAGCCCATTGCTCTATTCAAAACCCCACATTTCATTGTAAAGTCTGGAGATACAGGCACCTTTATGTTTGTAAGCGTGATGCTATATGAAGAGTGGTCTTTGTTCATTGTGAAGTAGCTAGACCCTGGCAGAGCAAAAGATGCAGAAGGACCTCTTTGGGTAACTCAGCTACTTTGCATGACTGGAAGGATGGAAGGATGATACTGTATACTATTGACAACAGCTCACACATTGCTAGCTAACGACCACTTTTATCCAATCATCATTGTTGCGAGATCCACTGCATGGGAACGATGCTCCTGCTACAGACATTCATTTCCATGATTAAAGTAGGTTGATCCGAGCTGATTTGACTGAGCTGTGATCAAAGAGAGATTACATCACTCTCGACATAAAGCACGCTCGATGTAGCTGAACCGATGTAATCTTGTGTGAGCGTAACTCAACCAAATCAGCTCGGATCAACCTACTTTAATCATGGAAATGAATGTCTAGAGCAGGAGCATCGTCCACCTACAATGGAATGCACAAAAGTTGAGAATGAACAAAAGTGGCTATTAGCTGCCAATGTATGACATAAAAGTGAGGGTTGCGTACCAGTCATGCATGGTCTCTGAAGTCCAAACTTTTTAACCCAGTTACCCAAAGAGATCCCTCTGCATCTTTTGCTCTGTCAGGGTCCAGCTACTTGACAATGAACAAAGACCGCTTCTCATATAGCATCACGCTTACAAACATAAAGGTGCCTGTATCTCCGAACTTTACAATGAAACGTGGGGTTTTTATTAGAGCAATGTGCTCGGCTTGGTCAACAGCACCTTGTGTGAAAGTTTCACGATCAAGCTTGCCAATCCCAGATTTCGCAATGTCGCCACCAGCCAAACTGGATCTGGGGGTCGACCTCTTCAACGACGACGACCAAAAAAATATTTTTTGGGCTAGTTGCGACATTGAACGTGAAACTTTCACACAAGGTGCTGTTGGCCAAGCCGAGCCCATTGCTCTAATAAAAACCCCACGTTTCATTGTAAAGTTTGGAGATACAGGCACCTTTATGTTTGTAAGCGTGATGCTATATGAAGAGTGGTCTTTGTTCATTGTGAAGTAGGTGGACCCTGGCAGAGCAAAAGATGCAGAAGGTCGTGTTGTGTAACACAGCTATGTTTGCATGACTGGAAGGATGGAAGGATGATGCTGCATCCTATTGACAATAGCCCATACATTGCGAGCTAACAGCAATTTCCTCACAATCGGTACTGTTTCCCACTCTATGACATGTGAGCGATTCTCCTGCTCCAGACATTCATTTCCATGATTCAAGTAGCTTGATCCGAGCTGATTTGGCTGAGCTACGGTCAAAGAGAGATTACATCAATCCACACATCAGCATACATTCGGATGTCCCAGCTGATTAATCCTTGCTCGACCGTAACTCAACCAAATCAGCTCGGATCAAGCTACTTGAATCATGGAAATGAATGTCTGGAGCAGGAGAATCATCCACCTACAATGGAATGCACAAAAGTTGGGAATGCACAAAAGTGGCTATTAGCTGCCAATGTATGACCTGAAAATGAGGGTTGCGTACCAGTCATGCATGGTCTCTGAAGTCCAAACTTTTTAACCCAGTTACCCAAAGAGATCCCTCTGCATCTTTTGCTCTGCCAGGGTCCACCTACTTCACAATGAACAAAGACCACTCTTCATATAGCATCACGCTTAGTTTGGCTGGTGGCGACGTGCGAAATCTGGGATTGGCAAGCTTGATCGTGAAACTTTCACACAAGGTGCTGTTGACCAAGCCGAGCACATTGCTCTAATAAAAACCCCACGTTTTCATTGTAAAGTTCGGAGATACGAACCTTCCTGTTTGTAAGCGTGATTATATGAGAAGCTGATGCTTTGTTCATTGTCAAATAACTGGACCCTGACAGAATACGAGAGATCTTTTTGGGTAACTGGAGTTAAAAAGTTTGGACTTCGGGGAACCATACTTGGCTAATTGCAACCCTCACTTTTATGTCATACATTGGCAGCTAATAGCCACTTTTGTTCATTCTCAACTTTTGTGCATTCCATTGTAAGGTGGACGATGCTCCTGCTCTAGACATTCATTTCCATGATTAAAGTAGGTTGATCCGAGCCCCCGGTTGAGTTACGCTCACACAAGATTTACATCGGTTCAGCCCATCGACGTGCTTTATGTCAGTGATGTAATCTCTCTTTGATCACAGCTCAGTCAAATCAGCTCGGAACCTACTTTAATCATGGAAATGAATGTCCTTTTAGGTGACATCGTGCTCAGTGGATCTCGCAACAATTGATTGGATAAAAGTGGTCGTTAGCTAGCAATGTGTGAGCTGTTGTCAATAGTATACAGTATCATCCTTCCATCCTTCCAGTCATGCAAAGTAGCTGAGTTACCCAAAGAGGTCCTTCTGCATCTTTTGCTCTGCCAGGGTCTAGCTACTTCACAATGAACAAAGACCACTCTTCATATAGCATCACGCTTACAAACATAAAGGTGCCTGTATCTCCAGACTTTACAATGAAATGTGGGGTTTTGAATAGAGCAATGGGCTCGGCTTGGCCAACAGCACCTTGTGTGAAAGTTTCACGTTCAACGTCGCAAACAGCCCAAAAGATTTTTTTTTGGTCGTCGTTGTCGTAGAGGTCGACCCCCCGATCCAGTTTGGCTGGTAGCGACATTGCGAAATCTGGGATTGGCCACGATGAACGTGAAACTTGTACACAAGGTGCTGTTGACCAAGCCGAGCACATTGCTCTAATAAAAACCCCACGTTTCATTGTAAAGTTCGGAGATACAGGCGTCTCTATGTTGTAAGCGTGATGCTATTTGAAGAGTGGTATTTGTTTAATGTAAGGTAGTATGACTATAATAGAGCAAAAGATGCAGAGGGCGTGTTTGTGTAACTTGAGTCATTCAGCACAGGCGATGCATGATTCTTGTACACTATTTAGGAATAGTTCAAAATGCCATCTAATAACCTTAGTCCTCCCATTCACCTTTGTTGCCCAATCCAATGCACACAAACGATTGTCCTGCTCCAGCCCAGCATGCCCATCATTCAACTTTCTTGATCCGATGAGATTTGACTGAAAAACGCTCAAACACAGAAGTATCATCCAGTATCAGAAGAATCATTTTGCAAAGTTAATTGTAAACTGCCAGCTAGCAGCCCATTCCTCCCATTCACCTTTGTTGCCCAAAACCAATGCATGTGTACGATTGTCCTGCTCCCGCCCAGCATCTCCATCCTTCAACTTTCTTGATCCAATAGGATTTGGCTGAATAATGCTCAAACAAAGAAAGGTCATCCAACAACAGAAACATCGAGTTAATTTCCACTTCTTCCACTTTCAGCCTTTTCGCTCTTCTTCCCATTCTCAACTGTTGGTGCATTCAAGTACAACTACCACCTGCGAACGATTGTCCTGCTTCAACCTACCATGTCGAACCACAATTGTCTTGATCCCATTGCATTTGACTGAATGGCAAGTCCATGGCGTGTACACAATCTTCTTGTCACTCTACTACAACACACGAATCTCTTGATACAACACACGCTCTTGCACGTCTCTCTTCCACGGTCAAGCGTAACAGCATTCATTTCCAGCAGTTGCTATTAGCGAGGTCTTTGCTTCAAACAGCATCTACAACCTTGTCACTCTACTACAACACACCCCTCTGCCACAGCAGCTGCTATAGCATTGTCTTTACTCCATTGTCTCAAGCTACTTGCAGCACCATACGTTACAGCCTTTTTTTTACATGGAAAGCAGATAGCCATTGTATAGAAACAGCTTTATTTACGTGTAGCAACTTTCTATAATACATATGAATGTCTATGAGCATGGATCTGGATATTGGTTTGGTACATGGAATGGAAGGAATTGGATTATATTATATGGTATACATAGTGGTCATGTTTTTTGCTATTGATGTATGAGGCAATAATGAGTGATGGAGAGTATGCTTCCAAAAAGCTTCGTGCGTGTCCCTTAGGCATTGATAAGGAATGTAGCAAGGCAACAACAAGATCCCTATAGTGGGTTATGAAAAGAATTTGCTATCATACATTCGTTTTCTTATATAAAAGGATACTGAGTCATTCAATTGTACTATGGCGCATGTATCATAGTGTTAAACTAATGACGTCTTTCAATGTAAGGCATTGTGTGGAAGTGGTTTGTGTCACCGTTTCAGTCGCAGCAGCATGGCATTAAACAGGGGATGTGAGCGATTTATTCATTAACCGAGCATGGTTTTCAAGCCGGTATCACACGCAAGACCACGGTTGTCTTTCCGAATACCCGATGGGCAAGTCAAAACGACGTACTCAACACGCATCTCGAGGCCATCGCCTCATGTCAACTCCAATCGAAGAAGAGAGCGAGCCTCTTTTGAATCATACTACAGCTAATCCACCATCCAACGATCATCGGCATGTCTTTTTTGGCCAGCCCCACCATTATGAAGACGTCATGGAGGTATGTTGTATATATGTCAAAACGCAACGACGCGTCTTTTGTGCGATACTAAAGGACATGTGACACTATCTAGTATGATCCTGCAACACAACGTCGATTCACGTTATCTCCTACTGCTATGGATGATGAAGATCGAGTAGCCATTGATATGAGGCGCCGAGCAAGTGATATTTACGGCATGCAACCCAACATGATGTACAATTCCTCCGACTCTGCAGATAACGCATCATCTCGACGCCCATCCATTGAAGAAGATGTGTGCTTCAGACCCAATAGCGAGAGCAAATCAGAGGAAGGAATCGATTACGATGGATTGAATGAATATGTCGAAAGTGAACAGAAAAAGGAGTCGAATGGCTTTGAGAGCCATCCAATGCAGCCATTGCAACAACAGCAACAACAGCAACCACAACAACAGCGACCAGCACGTGCAAGAAGACGAACATCCTCAGCAGCAAGAAGATATAGTCTTTATGGTGATAGAATGAAGGTAAGGATGGGGATGATGATGATTGGTAGCTTAATCTAACCTCGCATCTTTTTTCTTCAGCATGATTCCTTCACTGAAGACTCTGATACATGTCGGATCACTTTGTTCTCGGTTGCCAATCCTGCTTCCATCCACGTACGCACAATCCCAGAGATACCCACAAATGGCGAGCGACTTGGTGACCTTTTACAAAAAGGCTGCTTTTGGCTGGATATTGAATCACCCACAGATGCAGAAATGAAGACATTGAGCAAAGTAAGATGGAATAACATCATACATGGATTGATCATTGGTTATTGACGTGTAATAACAATAGACGTTTCATATCCATCCATTGACAGTTGAGGATATCAGCATGGAAGAGCAACGAGAAAAGTGTGAAGTGTTCAAGAATTACTACTTTATCTGCTTTCGAAGCTTTGAGCATGACCAAAGCTCTCCCAACTACTTGCAACCATTGGCCTTGTATATCATTGTTATGAAAGAAGGCGTTCTCACGGTATGTGGATGATGTGTGAACGTGTGGATATCATGCAAACTAACCTGCTGGCATTCAAGTTCCACTTCCGACCAATGCCCCATCCACACAATGTTCGAAAGCGTATACGCATGCTTAAGGATTATATCGATGTATCACCTGGTAAGCCGTATGAGCATATACAAGATGTACAGCATCTCATTTAGATGCATTGTGATCTAGATTGGATTTGTTATGGATTGCTGGATGATATCACCGACTCGTTTGCCCCTTTGATTCGAGCCATTGAATTTGAAGTTGATTCTATTGACGAGCTGGTGCTTATTCTCAAAGAATCGGAGCAATCGGATATGTTGCGAAGGATAGGCTATTGTCGAAAACGAATGATGGGATTGCTACGGCTATTGACAGGCAAGGTGGATGTTGTGAAAACCTTGGCGAAAAGAGGGGAAATCAAGCAAACGGATGGCAATCGACCAGCATTGAGTAATGAAGTTGCACTTTATCTTGGGGATGTGCAAGGTGAGCGCCTTCGCAATACGTTGCATGGTAACGTGGTGTACTGATGTATCATGGCAACATTGGCAGATCATATCATTACCATGGTGCAAGCATTGAATCACTATGAAAAGATCTCATCTCGATCGCATTCCAATTACCTGGCACAGATTTCCATTGAGATGACACAGACCAACAACGAGATGAATGATGTCTTATCCAAGCTTACTGCATTGGGAAGTATACTTGTGCCGATGAATCTGGTGACAGGTTTGTGGGGTATGAATGTGTTGGTACCAGGACAATATCAGGCAAGTACATCAAGAGATGCTGTTGATGGGTTTGGATTGCTTACATACAAGCGGTTTGATTATAGGAGGATCTTACTTGGTTTATGTCGATCATGCTTTCAATACTCGTGTTTTGCATTGCATCAACCATTGTCATGCGATATTATCGGATAGTCTAGTTTTACATTGCAAACAATATATGCATGTTTATTGTATATGTATTTAAGTTTTTTTGATTTGGATATTTTTAACTCTTTTCTTGTATACTAGTTATATACATTTTACCACATGAATCAAGATGAGAGCATCAAAAAGCGATAAAGTTGACCATGTGAAATTTAGTCTTCAGCGAGGTTGTCAATGAGGACTTGGGCTTCGGGGTTGGGGATAGGAAGTTGAGGAATCTTGCCACCTTCACGGACACCATAGAGACGAACACGCTTAGCACCACCATCGGGGATGAGAGAGAACTTGACGTGGGACCAGACCTTCTCGGGTTGAGCAGTGTCGAAGTAGAAGAGGCTGTGAGCACCAACAGTGGAAGGCTCAACAATAGTAGTCCACTCAGCGTTGTCAGCAGGGACCTCATCGGCAACGTTGGTAGCTTCAAGCTTGATTTGAGCGGGGTAGTTACCACAGTAGTGGGAGGTATCAATCTCAGCCTTGAAAATGTGACCCTTATCACCGAGCTTGATGATAGCGTAATCGGTGTGACCAGGAGTGCGGGAACGCTTGGTTTCCCAACCATCACCCATGTTACCACCACGACCAGGAAGCAAGAGGTTGCTGGAGGGAGTGTAATGTTCGTTGGAGCAGAAGACACGACGACCACCGTTACCAACGAAGGCAAGATCAATGACCTCACTATAAATTCACGCGTCTTGTTAATGATCCACTCTTAATAATCCATTACCCAAACTTTTGTACTTACTCCTTGTTGTCGGACCAGATGGGGTTAACTTGACCGTAGGCACGGAAACGAGCGATACCACCATCAGGGATGTTGTTCAAACGCAAGTGAGTGAAAACTTCGGTATCCTTTTCAAGGACGAAGACGTTGTGGCAAGAGGGAGGAAGCTCAACCTTGGGGAGGATTTCCTTCCATTCAGCCTTCTCAAGGTTACCGCAGGGGCAGAAGCAAGCTTCAACAGAGGCAGCAGGAGCTTGGTTACCAGTGAAGTAGTGGGTATCGATATCGAAACCACGGAAAGAACCAGAGAAGCCAAGCTTAAGGACAGCCCTAAACATGCACCATCAATATCGAAATCCTTTTGCATACCATGATTCATTACAATGACTTACCAGTCGTAGGTGGGGTTGTGGCGCTTGGTTTCCCAGCCATCCATCCAGGCACCGGTGGCTATGAAATGATGAATACATCAGCGTTGTGTCATAGATGGCAATAGTCAACAAGGTAACTTACCAACAAACTTGCCGGGAGCATGAACAGGGGGCTTGGGGTTGATCATGTTGGTAGCGGGAGCAAAGAACTCATTGGTGACCTCAACGATGGTGGTACCAAGAGCAGAGCTGGCAAGATCGGTGTACTTGGAAAGAGGAGAGGCGTTGAAGTCTTCGAAGTTGATGCGTTGGTAGGACATGTTTAGATACAAGTGTGGTAAAGAAACAGTTGGTGAATCTCTCGTTTCAAGGCTTTTATATCTTTTTCATGATATGGAGATTTACTCCGCTTCAAATATCAGAAGGTGTATATTCACAAGTTGGAGGGGTGTGTACTATCTCCGATATGATAAAAATATAGCCTTCCTTCAAACACCCTGTTCACACGCTGGCTGCAGCACAAGCAACACTACTTGGTGAAACCTAAAACAGCGCTAGGCTAGCCATCCCGGTGCCTGGGTCTACCTTGTTCTTTTTCTACTATATACGTCCTAATCTATACCTTTCCACTTTGCTGGTTCCCATCATTTATCGCTTTGATTTATCACCATTTGGCAAATGCATGTCTATTGCAAATACTATGAGTCATGTAAATAAAGCCGGAGCTCAACAAAGGCGTTTTCCATACACATGCATATGCTAAACCTCTTGCGAGCACCGATTGAGTTTTTGATCCAGTTACAATTCTACCCATTTCGGGTGGATGTATTTGTTTCACAAGATGTGTGGTGATGTGCATAGATGTCGAGGTTCTTATTGCTCCACACAATCTATTAGGGGGAAAGTTCGAGATGATGCATGTAACCATTTGCAATTGCATCCATTCAATCACCTAGCGATACCGATGTTTTGCTTCATTGTTGTGTGTCGTTGCCATACCCCGCTCATTTTTACTGAATCTAATTTGCAATGACGCAACAAACGGGCGGCGGACTATAATTGCACATGCCCAGTGCAAATATCGTCATCGGTGCTGTACCGAACGCTGCCGTACTAAAAGCGTAAAGGATGTCTTGGGCAATAAGGTGTTTCACAGTGTCGAGATGAAATCTCACTCCGGGATCTCGGCCATGGATAACTGTTACATTGTGTCTTGTGTTGCCATTTGAGTTAAGGCTGTTATGGTTGCTCATAGAACAACAATGTTTTGTGATGATGGTGGTGGTGGTAGAATGACCTACGTTGTTTGTATTTAATTTGCTCAAAACGTGTCCGTGGTTTCGGTCATATCAAATTATACCTTAGTTAGAAGGCTATAACGTTTCGTTTGGGTCCGCGGGGTTGTCATGGTCTTGTGGCGAAGGCAAATGTATCATGTTTTAGTAGCCAATTTTGTTAAAGGAGTATAGGTGGCCTCCCACAAGGAAGTATGTTTTAGACCTCTGTGCAACGTATAGGTGGCGTCACACAAGAGGGTGTATAGGTGGCCTCGCACAAAGTCTCGTTTATGTGACACAAAAAGAACGTTACTTCGCATGGATTGAAAATGGATGGTGCTCGTGAACACTAGGCATGATGAATAAAGAATGTCACATACCAGGGGCTGACCCATGAATTACCAATGCTATGGCTCTTGTGACATTGTGCAAGAAACAATGTCCATTAACGATTGCGAGAAATTTTTAGCTACCTCGTGCCTTTTTGGTTCATTTGGTATATAGAGTGTGTGTGACAAACCTACGCTCATTGCTGTCATTCCTGCGCATACATCCCATGCCAACATCATAATGAACATTTGCTGATTGGCTAAAATCAGGGTTCTAAGAAGGTGTGTTGGTGCAAAACGAGTGATCGTCAAGTAATTGGACATTGTTCCCAGCGTGCACAGACAATGACCGGAAAACCAAAAGAGTACATTTTGTGTAATGCATGATGCTGGTGTTCAAAGTCATCATTAATTTGACAGGCGAATGATGGTAGTGGATTTAAAAAGGTGGTCAATGCATCAGTGCTATTGATGTGGTAGAGGGATAGCGAGATGATGCATACACTATTGGTTGTGTGGCATGTCATGTCAGCCCAACTCGTTATTGTTCCGACACCGCACGCATACAATTTTGGGACCTTCCAACATCGTGCGTTTTTTTCTTTCTCTTCCTTTTTTTTCTAAAGTCAACCGCCATCATCGATGCACCCTAATCAGTGTTCTGTCGTCCTAGTTACGGGCGACACCAATCGATCCCAAGACACTGTGTCGATGTGTAAGGCGATCTACAATGAAGGTAAAGTCCAAGGAATCCTCTTTTATGGCATACGCACACACGTATGTTTGACGTTGTTCTTTCCGCATGCTCTTAGTTCAAGTGGCATCTGATGGCAATGATGCTTTGAAAATGTTACGCAACCATCCACACTTGAATGCTCGAACCACCTTGCTCATCATCGATGTTGATACCCACGACCGGAAGATTAACGATCAACAACATTGCGCACAGCTTCTTCAAAAGATTAAAAGACAACTAAAAAACCGAACGTTACACGATGTCATTCCCATAGGTAAGCATCTCTTGGGAGCTATCAATGATCGCACGTATACACCAACAATGCCATTTGTGATAGTATGTTCCTGTAGAGATGCTCCCGATTTTATGATTGAATGCATAGACAATGGGGCAGCCGATTTTATTGTAAAGCCAATACGACAAGAGGTGGTCAAATCATTATTTTTGGTAAGGGGTGGGAAGATTCGCAAATCGATCACGCGACATGGCGCTGATTGCATGGTTTTTAGAATGCATACCGGTACCAGGTTGATCTCCCAGCACCAATGACACGATACGTTCACCACAACCAACGTTCTCCGCTACAGACGTCAGACTCATCTTCAACCAATGGATACCTTGATGGCCAAGTCTGGGCTCATTTTCAAGATAGGCTTAAGAGCGTCTTTCTCAATGAAAGCTGGTAAGTTTATTAAATGATAAAGGAAGGGGTAAAAGAGATAAGGGGAAAAAGCCACATGCTCATTGTACAAGTTCGACTAGGTTGCTGCAAACGGTGTATAATTATTATTGTCATCATGGCTGTATGCCACACACAAACATTTTGCCCATGTCGAGGTACGTATGTAATCACATTGTGTGAAATGCATGGATTGGGGATGCTCATGTGTTATTGGCAGAGACAAAACCAATGAGCTTCAGCGCCAAGTATGCAGCTGGGACTTTTTATCGTTGGATCTTAGCATCGACGACCTCGTGGCAGTCGTATGTGTGATTCTCAAGCAGGTTTTGGAGCTACCCGAACTTGTCGAATATCGAGTTTCCGACGGTAAATAAGTGTGCGTTTGCATGTCGTGCGACAACAGAAGGCCACGTGGCTGACTAACATCGATCCCCCATTGCAGACGACATGTTGACGTTTGTCTTTGACGTGTGTAACTCGTACCACCAAGAAAATCCTTATCACAACTTTCGTCATGCCGTTGACGTCTTGCAATCAACCTACTTCTTTTTATGCAAGAGTGGTGTAATTGATCCATTTTTTGATTCTGATCCAACATTGCAACGACCCGATAATGCACCTGGTCTTCAAACTTTGCTTCGTCCTTTGGATGTGTTTGCTATCCTGCTGGCTAGCCTTGGTCACGATATCGGTCATCCTGGTGTCACCAATACGTTTATGGTAAGACCGCCACTATTGCAACACATCAATCAGCATGGCCAACAATGTACATCAATAGGTCCAATCATCAACGCCTTTGGCAGTGTTGTACAATGACCGATCAGTCCTTGAAAGCTTCCATTCAATGGCATTTTTCCATATCTTGAGCAATAGCTGTTTTCGCAAGCTGACGGAAATCAAAGATCGCCCTGATCATGCATGTAATTGTTGGTGATTTGGGGGGAGACAAAGGGGATGAATAACAGCACACGTGTGGCACACATGTTTGAATGGTGACTTACCATGGATCGCATGTTGTAGATTTCCGCAAGGTTGTTATTCATAGCATACTGGCAACCGATATGAGTATGCACGATGAATACGTACGACGTGTAGAAGAGCAAGCTGAAGCATGGAAAAATGATGATATCGATATCAGCAATAAGGAAGTTTGTGATCGAGAACGATTGACATTATGTGGTGCATTGATCAAATGTGCTGATATTGGCAATTGTGTAAGTTAATGGGATAGCGTGATATATTGATTACTCATTGCCCTTTGGTTACGTTATAGGCTCGGCCATTTGAAGTTGCCAAAAGCTGGGCTGAAGTACTCGCTGAGGAATTCGCACAACAAGGTGACCTCGAAAATGAATTAGGCCTTGAAGGATTGCCAATCAATCAACGTGGCAAGGTAACCTTGGAGCAATTCCAGCTGACGTTTAAGCGCAACATCGCCATCAAGCTTTACAAAGCCGTTGCTCAAGTAGCACCAGGTCAGTTGAATGCATCCTTGCATAAGGTCAATCATCCATGTGCACTAACCCAATGCATCGTGTCAATAGGTATGCGGTTCTGTACCCGGTTTATTGAAGAGAATATCATAAAATGGGAAGAACGTGAATCGAGCTGTAACCATGACTCGGGTGTTACGGTTCACGTGGAGGATGGAAATGAGGATGACGATCGTGAACAAGACACACGCTTGGAACAAGGTACATGATCGGCTAAAATATGCAATCATGCATACGCTAAGTTTTGGGTTTATTAATGGATTTAGATGAAGGCTCGTCACATTTACATACACCTACGAGAAGAAGGTCCAGTGGTAGTTTGCCATATGAAATAAGATCACCCGATGTGCGAAGAGATCAAGGTTCAGGAAAGGGAACAAAAAGCGTCCTCCCATATGAAGTATCACCTGAGGTACAAAGTGATCAAGGAGTCCAAAGCGAACAAGAAGGTCCAACGGCTGCTAACAGCATGCAAAACACTGCGAGACGCAAATCGGACGTGTTTAGCTTGGTATCATCCGATAGTGCTCCTCAACCATGGCCTAGAAGACAACGCAAAAAGGTCCGACAAGATTCTCATTCCACATCGTGTCAATGTTTGCTCCAATGACATCATTTGACACCTCTCGTTCATCCCATTATTACGTTGTTATACCCATTTCTTGTAAATCCTTGTCATGTTTCTCTCTCCTCCAATGTACACACACACATTCCCCTTCTTGTATATTTTAAATTGAGCTAGAGAAGATCCATCTCCTACTCCAACACCAAAAAACAATAATAGCATATACCTGTAGAGCTCAATCACATGTATTTGTTGGTAGAATGGGTAAAGTGTAACTTTGAATCTATCCTCACCATTTAGAGGCGTACCACGAAGATCCTCCATCCACTGCAATCACTGCCCCATTTGTATGTTGACCCGCTCGAGATGATAGGTAGATGCAAGTGCCTGCAATGTCTTCAGCTGTACCAATGCGGCCCATAGGATTTGCAGCCATAATCCTGTTACCATGCTTTTGCAGTGTTTCTGCCATAATTTTGGATTGAAAAGCACCAGGTGCAACCACGTTAAAGGTGACCTATTACTATTTGTGTAAGCGTCCATGCGTCATGTACATCGTCAATCTCTACGTACTCCTCTATGCCCAAGTTTTCCAGCCATGTGTCGTGTCATGTGATGCAAACCAGCTTTGGCAGCTGTATAGGAATACGTTTCGGTGGCCACTGCACCAAATCCGTTAACCGATCCAATGTTGATTACGCTGCTGGGATTGGAAGTGGACGCCTTTGCTGTCAATAATGGGAAGCATCTGCTGCAAGCATAAGTACAATATGGATCAAAAAGGCAACCTCTTGTCACCTACAACTGGGTCAATTGGAACACGCGTCGTAAATTCAAGTTGATGACCTTTTCAAAGGCCTCATCAGGAAAAGTGTCGAATCCTTCGTTCCACACTGCGCCAGCACAGTTTACAAGGACGTCAAGATCTGCATAAAATTTTTGTTAACGCATCGTATACAATAATTCCTTGATTCAAAACCTACGATCTTCGCGTTGGGAGATATCGGCAACAAGACTTTTGAGATGGTCAGGCTTTTGAAGATCTGCAGGGATAGCAAAACATTGACCAGGACCTCGCATGTTTAATTTGGATGCAACCTTGTATCACTCGTCAATCTTGGTGCCTTTTTTGTTATCACACAACCTATTCCACCATTTCATACCTCTGCGCACACGTTTGCCTTTCTACTTGTGATATAAACCTTTGAGCCAGCTTCCACGTATCCCTATATAACCAATATCAGCATTGGCATGGATCCTTCGAAACTAGAAATAAGGACATACCGTAGCGATCATCTCCCCAATTCCGCTAGATCCACCGGTTACCAAGACAACCTTTTCCGTATCGTAGTCAATCAACAGTTGCCTTGGATACGCAATACACCCATACCTTGTTTTCCACGTTGAATAAGTCTTTCATGATGTAGCCTGTTTTCAGGATGTTCAAGCATCACCATACCCCCAAGTTTAAATACGCTGTGCGATGCATAAAGTTGCCTGAGAAAAACGGCCGTCATCCCTTTCATCCATGAGAAAATTGGGGAATTAAAGAGCCAACTTATGCTGTACTACCTTGCCGAATTGTACATGAACTCTACGTCTTTGTGTGTTGATTTTGAAGCGACATGATGAAACTTTGACCATAAATCCAATCCACAAATGATATAAGATAACAGCAATGTCTTTTGTTGTTGACTCAATAACGCTGGCTTTTATAATGAAACCACCCAATTACATCTTTGCAAAACAGAGAGCGCCGCCATCCACGGCAATGGTTGCACCATTTGTGTAATGACCAGCACGCGAAGCGAGGTAAATGCAGGTACCAGCAATGTCTTCTGGAGATCCAATACGGCCCACAGGTGTCTTTGCACGGATCGAGTCACCATACTTCTCAAGCGTCTCACGCATCATTTTGGATTGGAAGGCACCTGGTGCAATTGTATTGAAGACACATCCACGATGGCCAAGTTTGCCGGCCATATGCCGTGTAAGATGATGAAGTCCTGCTTTGGCGGACGTGTAAGCAAAGGTTTCTTGAGGAGCAGACTAGTTGGGATCACACGTTAGAGAACGAGATCCTTTATCACGTACTTTATACATACCCGAAAACCATCCACAGATCCAATGTTGATGACAGATGAAGGGTTTTGCAAGCTTGATTTGGCTGTGAGCAATGGGAAACAACTACAAAAGGATAAACGTCGTCAATAAATGGCACTACATAATCATACGAAGAGACGCGCTTACGCTTGTGTGAGGCTAAAAACACGCTTCAAGTTGAGAGTGATGACTTTGTCAAATGCATGATCAGGGTAAGTGTCGAAGGATTCGGCCCAATTGGCACCTGCATTATTCACAAGCACATCGAGGTCTACATAGAGGATGAGGCATGATGAGATACCCCATTCGACATCATCCATCCATTGGTTACATAACACTTACGATCCTCTCTTTTGCTTAACTCTTCCACAAGACGTTTGACTTCATCCAATTTTTGCAAGTTGGCTGGGATAGCAATACATTGGCCAGGTCCTTTCTCAGAGAGCGCCTTGGCAACCTGTAACATGATATGACATGATGAGGGATGCTGAAAAGATAGAGAGAGGGGGAAGATGGGTGTCAACATACCTTGTCGCATGCATCTGCCGAGCGACTTGTGATGTAAACTTTGGCACCAGCTGATACAAAGCCCTATATTTACATGGTCCAAAAGTCAACGAATGTACCTTACGATGGATGGATGATAACAAATCTTACCGTAGCAATCATTTCTCCAATGCCACGACTACCACCAGTTACAAGTACCACTAATAACCCATCGTCATGAGCCATATTGCAACATAGTAGTAATAGACGTCGACTTGTGTACCTTTATCTTTGACGTTGAAGAGATTTTTAATGTCCATGATGCAGATGTTGGTATGTATTAGCCTCCTGCTTTTTGGAAAGAGAGCGAAAAGTACTAGCTGATACAGATGCGTGTGTTGTGAGAAAATATAAAAGCATGGTGGTGGAGGGGTGCGTGTGTGTGTGTGTGTGTGAAGGAGACATTACTAATAGCAAATGGACTTGTGTAACATGCTAGACTTCAAGTATCCTTTCGTAGAATGCAATCAGCTACAAAAGCGGAGTAAAAATGAAAAGGTGTCAAAATCCGATGGTTTATGCATGTTTCCCTCCCCCGTCCTCTGTGTCCTGCTTACCTTCATATGGCATCTTCGTTGGATGAGCTGAGTTGGATACATGGCCAATGCATTGTCCTTCCATCGCACAATAGCATAAAGTGAAGCTCCATTTTTTATCACTGTCTCCACGCACTTGATTTCATTTTCCCAATCGTATGACAATTCACTCCTGAAATCGAGATCAAAGATAATTTCTTGTCCCTTGAATAAATCCGATTGTATTGTTCGCTCTGCATGTTGCTGTAGTGACTGATTGAGTGAAAGAGGAAAAGAGGATGGTGTGTGATGATGACGACTCGTATCATTCTTTGGTGATACTAAAGCTGACGTTGGCGTTATGAATTCCACCGTGCGCTTTACTCGTGGCACCAATGCTTCTGGTTCAGGAGTTTGACTGGAGGATGATGATGGTGTTGGATCTTGTACAGGTTCTGAGAAGGATACATATGGCACTTGCTGAGGATGTGATGATGATGGTGATGGTGGTGATGATGGTGTTGATGATGGTTTCTGTTGTCGGGTGGTTGATGATGACGGTGTTGGTGAAAGCGTCAAGGCATCAAAATCAAATGTTGACAAGTCGCTTGTTATTGATGCCAAATCCCTCCTGCTGATGCGTTTCTTCAATATAGACTTCGGTTGCGATGGTTGTTTGGAAGCAGCTGATGAGGATGAAGTCGATTTGGAATTGCTTGTTGAAGTTTTCTGTTTCATGATCGGTGGTGATTCAGAAGCAGTTGATGGTGGTGATGATGGAGATGATGGAGTCGATATGGATTTGGTTGTTGGAGTATGTTGTTTCAAGATCGATGGTGGTGATGATGGAGGAGTCGATATCGATTTGCTTGTTGGCGTTTGTTGTGTCACTTTATGGCGATGTTTGTGCTTACGGACATTGTGCGTTACATCCAACATCAGCAATGGCTCATCATTGTTGCTTTTCCTTCTAGACATTCTGTGATGGGGTGCTTCCTTCGTATCCATTTTCCTCTTTCCAGGATGTGAATCACTTGCAAGAGCTTGTTGCTTTCCACCACGCTTCTCCCAATAGTCGTCAATGTATTTGGAATCAAGCCTATTTAATGGTACGTGTTAGTCATGCTTGTTGCCCACCCACCGATGTATACTCACAGCTTCTCATCAACCCAACTATCCGCCCTGGCTGGATGTCCCTTCCATCGCATAAAGTATCTGAATCCCTACATAGAGCACATGAGCGATTGCTCCAACGCCTTGTAGGATACCACTTACAGTTTCATCCCGTTTCTTTTCGTGATCGAGAACCATATGAGGTTGTTTTGTTCCAATGGCAGATTGTAAAATGCGTTCTTCCTCTCCACCACGCGTCTTCCAATAATTGTCTGTGATCTCAGGATCCAAGCTATTCAACAAACATTAGCTACATTCCCTTATCAATCCATAATGTATATTTACATGTTTTCTTCATCTTCCCATGTGTCGTTATCGGACGAGTAGCCTTTCCAACGAATAAGATATTTTAACCCCTACACGCCGTTGTACGCGGTCATTGTGTGAGCAAGCTGCTATTGATCGCATCGTGTATGAACCTTACAGGTTGATTGCGCTTCTTATGATGCTTGAGGATCCGCTCCACGACATAGATTTCATCGTCAGCTTCTGCGTCTGTCATTGGCGTCGTACGCAGGGTTGTTGCAGAGAGGTTTGAGTGTGGGGTGGCGGTGGTTGGTCGGGGGGGGGGGACGAGGAGGAGGAGGAGAGGAAAGAAGTCCCTTTGACTCAAAAAGTCAGAGGAGTGTTTCCAGTGGATTCCCTTATTAACTCAGCTGGCTCCCCCACCCACTCCAATATTTATAGAGGCGCATCTCGAGGCACGACACTCTTCGTTTCTTTTTCCCATTCCTTTCACTTTTTCTAAACAGGCAAGTGTCAACAACATGGTCGTTTATTTGCACGTGATGAGAGTTCCACGCACGTCTTATTCGGGGGTAACATATGGAGAACCCATTTCTTGATGCCTTCGGGTATCTTGGATGGCGAACCCTCTCCATCCTCGAGTATGTGGATATTTGCGTGGGTTGTCTGATGCTACTATGACATAAACGATATGATGAAAAATTTTTCTCTATCGATCTGCAAGTGCTAACATGATCATCTTACTATACAGATTATCTTCATCCATGGTTGGGTCGTTGTTTTAGCTAGGATATTACATGATGGGGAATAAAAATTTTCGTTTATTGGTATACAAAGTGTTGTTGTTCAATCTGCTTTAAGTCTTTCCACCTCTTTTTCCAATTCCATTCTACGTTGTGTCTCTTGTTCGAGCTTGGATGCAAGTTGGTTATACGCTATTCTCGCTTCTTCCAATTCCTTGTTCACATCCTGCTCTTCTTCATCCTTGGCAAATGATACGCTCATAACTGTTGCTTCCACAATACGCACCACGCGCCACAAACGGAAGATGATAAGCAGCTCGGCTACTTCTCGTTCCTTACCATGGAGCACAATGTCAAAGACAAACGTTGCAACGACCACTGTATATGGATGATGTTGTGATGTTAGCCTTATCATCACACTCTTTTCCATGTCACTTACCAACAACGTCAAGGATATGCAACTTCCAATGAGGCCATCCTGGTAGATAGTAACGAGGACCAAAGGCAATAAACGCCAACACGAGTTCAAGCAAAAAGATACAAGTGACACCTTGACTTATCACATCTGCCGCTTCCACAAAGAACTTGATACGCTGGCTTGGCTCATTGTCCATCTGACATTCGTGCAAGAACGTGTATATAATTTGAAACAGCACACACACTGCATCGAGGACAACCAAACCAATGATGGCAAGATGCACTTTTTCATTCTCGAGAACTTCGCCAAGTTGGTGACGCCATTCAGCACGTTCTTCTTGTTGAGCTGGTCCACTTGCTGCCGCTGCTGTTTCGGCAAGCTCTGGGTCGCGTGTAGGCAGCGCACCGTATGTTGTCATGGAGACCGAAGAAAATTATTTTAGAGAAAGAGAGAGATAGAGAGAGAGAGCGTTACACTGCATCATTAGCCAAAAAAAGATCAATACACACAACCTTATTCTCTTTTATTATTCCCATTATGATCGTAATGTGTAGCTTTGGATATGCAATTCACTTGAATCGTCTATGGAATATTGAATCTCACATTCAAGCTCACGTGGATTCGTTGTGCCCTTATGACATGTAAAGACACCTCGGATCTTGGACCCACGCTTCATAGGAATTGGTTTCTCGAGCACAAAAGTGGTTTGTTTCCAATGTGTATCTTCACCGAATGGGCTTGTGGTCAAATAAGTTTCGCCATTCACACGCTGTGCTTCTTGAGATAGCGGGATTGGATGGCCATCGCGAGTAAACCATGTATCAAACCAACCAGCAAATGCATACACAGTGCTATCACGGGTTGCTTCAATTTCAAAGGGTGTCTTGAAATCAAGTTGGCGTGTGACAATTTGCTGCAGGTACAAATCTTTGAGCGTCGCCACAGTAGACATGACACAATGGGGCTTGATAAAGTCAACCAAGGCTTCATTGATAACAGGTCCCTTCATTGCAGACATCTTGAATCCGTATACATCGTCCCAAAAGTTGTATCGATCATTCTTCAAATCCTCATCATCCAAAGCAGCCATCAGGATACGGGTATGGCTAGGTGCCACTATTTACATTGTATCAGTGAGTGCTTTTATCATTGATGCTTTTCTTTTTTTGCCACTTACTGATGCCATTGGGTGCCAACCACTTGTTACGAGCATTGAGAACTGAATCCAACATGGCTTCGAACAACAGAAAGTAACCCATCCACTCTGACACAATGATATCGACTTGTGCAACAGGTAGACTAATCTCTTCCACTTTGCCACGGATCACGCTGTCAAAATACCGCCATGTCAATATCCTCTACCAAAACACTCATCCCCATCCTCAATACTTACGTGATGATATTATCCAATCCATTCTCCTTGATGTTGGCTTCAGCCTTTTGCACAATGTTTGAATTATCCACGGCAAAGACTAAATGACAGAGTTCATACATGAGGATTTGATCAAATCATATGGATCATTGTCTTACCCTTCTTTGCTCCTGCCTTGGCAGCGAACATGGATAGGATACCAGTGCCGCATCCAACGTCCAACACAGTCTATGAAGTCGATGTAAGTTTGCTAGGTCCCTTTACAACATGACATACGGCCACTTACTTTGTCCTTGAACACATCCTTATTCTCATACATGAAATCACGATATGCCTCGGTCCGTGCTTTATCTTTCAACATTTGCTCGTGGATTTCTAAAAGAGTGGAAGGTATGAGAAATGGATAAGGATGGTTGGGTGGTATGACTTACCATTGTGTGCATAGGATTCAAAATAATAGTTTCCTTCATCCTCAAGAGCCTTGCCAGTGCCAGTGCGGACGCTCACAACGGACATAGAACGCTCACTAAGATACTCCAATCAATACCTCCGTATCCTCCATGTATGTATGACCATCACCCATACCTTCGCGTGTCATCAATGATATTATCCAAGAATGTTTTCTTGACCATCGTTTGGTAGTCTTCAAATTGGCTCTTCAATTCGCTATATCGTTCATCGGCACTCTGGAGCATGGCAAGAAGCTTCTTTTCAAGCTCGGTGGTAGGTTGGATGTTGGAGAGATCAACTGTGACAATAAAAAGGGTGAGTCATTGTATAGTCCTTCGCCTATGCGTTGACGATGTCAACTCACCTTGAGTTTCCTTTTCCAAAAGATCCTCTGGGATATCATCTGCAATTTCCAATTCCTCAAAAGCTATATGGATATGCATTAATAACAAGCAAAGGTAGGGATGGGATCCTATTGGCATTACCAAACAAGAGCGCATCATCTTCCAAAACGGGTTGCAGTAATTCATCATCCTCCCAAAAGTCTTCATCGCCGGTCAATTTGAATTCCTTGGTGTTGGCAAGATCCGGTTTGAGTTGCACCTGTCAAACATTGCTTTTATCAGTATACAATCCTAGTCCTTCTTCCTTTTATGCATGTCATTTACCTGCTTGCGAATATAGTTGATCATGCGGATACACTTGTAAAAGTCGAGGCCTTCCCTGGCATGTGAGTGTTGATTGTCAAAAAAGGACAATGAAAAAAACTCTTACCCAGCGAGCGTTTGACAGCCAAGAAATCGAAACCATGCACTTGTTGACAGTGTTGGAAGGCATCCTCGGGTAACTCGAACGTTTCAGCACAAAACAAACACTTGGGTTCAGCATCGTATTGGTCCTCACGCTCCCAATCGTCCCAGTCTTCTTGTTCTATGGTCATGCATATTCGATCGATCAGCTGTTAGCTCAACTCGGCTCAAGATCTAAAGGATAAGCCTACCATTGGGATCTAACTCGGACGCTGTATATTCGGAAGCTGCATATGCTGATCCTGGTGATCGACCAGGCATTGCCCAGTTGCTGGCATTCACTCGATAGGCCATAAGGGATAGAGGAAGGTTTTTTTCGGGTTGAAGGATGCACCTGACCACAACGAGTTCCACATTCTCCCTCCACCTCCGACTTGAAAGCAGCATAAGCGTGACTTTGTAGCATCTTCATCCACATGATAGAATATCATGCATGCTTGTATTGTACACCGATCTCAAATAAAGATTGTTGTTATCTTGTGTTGGATGCCGTTATAGCTCATGGTAAAGGATAATATCATATCAAAAAGTGTATATAAAAGAAGCAGTGCATAATGCAACATCAATGCAAGCGGGATGGCGAAATCAACAGGATTCCTACCTAACAATGATTCGCGTATAGAGACCTCTGATGGTATCGTATTATCAAGAGAGATTGAAAATCAATGGGTGTAGTACTACCACATGAGGTCATGGTGGATCAGATAATATCCCGCGTTCCGCTAAGATAGCTCTAAGACATAATTGTCTCATCTGTTGGGCTCGCTGGGATCCAAAAAGAACTTTTGTGTAGATATAGACAATGAATTCGATGATAGCAGACTTATCAATATGAGTAATTTATACATGGTGGAGGGGGTCATTGTGATGATATATGCAAGATCGATTCTGATCCAGGAACGACAAAAGTCAAAAAGATTTTAGTTCGCTTGCGTCATTGGCTAGCCACTGCTCTCTATGGTAACCAAGCAAAAAGCCGCAAGTCACTAGGCTGAACGGTTGTGTTTTTTCCAAAAGATCAGGACCGAAGCTTCCGTGTCTTTCTTTTACTTGTTCGACCTACAACCACGTCTTTTTTCTCTTTACCAACACGACGCTATATCTGTTTTTCGACCTTATTTAATTCACAACTCGATTCCACGACAACATGCCTCCAAAGAAACAGACCAAGAACGAAAAAAAGAAGGCCCAAAAGGTCGTCGAAGACAAAACCTTTGGCATGAAGAACAAGAACAAATCGGCAAAGGCTCAGCGCTATATCCAACAACTACAGAGTCAGGCTAAGCACAATGCCACACAAAACGTAAATCGTCTCCCTTGGCAACCGCTGATTGGCAACAACTTTCTCACTCATCTACTATTCTATTCTATAGCAAGACAAGAGCAAGGCGAAGAGCGTGGATAAGAAGGAGGAGGATCGAAAGCGACGAGAGGAACTTGCCGAGCTCTTTAAGCCTGTTCAGACACCACAAAAGGTGCCATTTGGCACTGATCCCAAAACCGTACTTTGTATGTACTTCAAGCAAGGCCATTGTGAGCGAGGAGCCAAGTGCAAGTTTTCACACGACCTTAACGTGGATCGTAAGCAACAAAAGAAAGATCTTTATACCGATTCTCGAGCAAACGGTAAGTTGGATGTTGCGTCAATCTTTAATGGTGAAGAAGATGAATGTTGGCTAAAAGGGAACATTTTATCAGACACAATGGAGAATTGGGATCAAAAGAAGCTCGAGGAAGTCATCAATAAGAAGAGCAGCAAGCAACCTCCTACCGACATTGTGTGCAAGTTCTTTTTGGAAGCCATTGAAAGCAGCAAATATGGATGGTTTTGGGAATGTCCAAATGGCGGTGATAATTGTAAATACCGTCATGCATTGCCACCTGGTTTTGTGCTGAAATCCCAACAGGCAAAGAAGGCTGAAAACAAAAAGGAGATCTCTTTGGAAGAATTCTTGGAGAGCGAGGTAAAGAGGAAGAGGATGTCATGATATGTATCGACCACTTTATTGACTCATGATGATGATGAATGTTACTTTAGCGTCACAAACTTGGTTCTAATTTGACACCAATGACCCTTGAGACTTTCCAGGAGTGGAAGAAGAACCGTGTTGCCAAGAAGGATGCAAAGGAACAAGCTGAGCGTAAGGCTAAGGAAACTCGCATGAAAGCTGGCCGATCACAAGGCATGTCCGGTAGAGATTTGTTTGAATTCAACCCATCACTGGCTATGGAGGAGGATTATGATGATGAAGCTATGGATCTTTCCATGTATGAACGGCACGATGATGATGATGATGAGGAGGAGAACCAGGTTAGCCAAGGTGTACAAAACATGTCTGTGCAGGATGCCGCTCAAAGCGGCAGCTCTGCCTAATAAATTTGATTTCTGATACACACAATGGGTCTATACATCATATCTATTTGGAGGTGTCAATGGCCAATGGAGATAAAAGTGATGATGGCTTGGAGGTGGAGGTCGATGAAGGTGGAGGGAGGGGGAATGATTAAAAAATCACCGCTCTTGGGAAGCAGTGTGTTCGCTTCTTTTCACTCTCTTTTTTTTTCAATGGCAGACAGCCCAGCGATACACGAGATATCCAGTGGAGACGAATACAACTCACTGAGCAGTGGCGACGAGGAGGAATACGAAGTCGAACGCATTGTGGATCACAAACGATTGACTCGAGTAAGATTGTACCCGTCACCAATCGCTATCAACGCGTAGTACTCAATTGTAGATCCTATTCAACAGGGTCGATACAAGTATCTGATCAAGTGGAAGGGTTACAGCGATGAAGAAAATACATGGGAGTCAGAGGATAACATGTAAGTGCTGTACATGTATATGCATTCAATGTTGTCCTTTTATTTATGATGCTATTGTGGGTAGTGCTGCACCAGAACTAATGGATGAATATTGGAGGAATCATGGTGATGATGCTGACACTGCACGCGAAAACAAAAGGAAACGCGTGACAACTCCAGATGAGGACGCACGTGCCATGCCACCGCCACCACCACGAACACCACGACGTACTCGGCAAGATGACAATCAACGACAAAGACTTGGACGACGCACAGTGAAATTCAATGGACATGATGTGATTGTGGATGATGCTTACCCTCAAAATGCGGATAACATCGATTGGGAAAAAGAGGTCAAGGCTGTCGAGCTTGTAGGACCTCAGGCAAATGGTGGACTTGAAGCTGTTATCCAATGGTAAGCTTTGTTATTGATCCATCAGCAGCATTGTCATGTTGTACTTATATACTCATTCAAAAAGGAACGATGGAAAGTACTCATTGCACCCTTGCCCCTTGCTTCACCGGAAATGTCCAATCAAGGTAACCATTGACATGGTCTATTCTTTTTACAATGCTTATATAGGTGTATCGTGACCTTGTTGTAGTTACTCAAGTATTACGAGAACCTGCTAGAGTTCAATGTTCGTTAAGCGAATCCATGGCCGTCTATCATCCTATTACACTTTTTGCACCTATTCAATCAACAAAAACAAGTATTCTATTCACGTCAATCACCTCATTGTCATTGTCTCTCCTCGAGTACGCACATTTTGCAACCACAACACAATATCCTTTATCCGAGCAAGTGTCTTTCTTTCGTCATTCCATCATGAACGCAACGTGAAATTATATGCTCTCACTCTCTCATACAAACAACTCCTCCATTTATCATACCCTGATTTGTATCTTGGATGTTTTCGTGTACTTCAAAAGGATAAAGAACCGAAACACTGCTTTAATTATGGATATGGCTCATTCATTCATTATGATAAAGATACACATTTATTTGCAAATCCACACTACATAATCATACATCGATCACCAGGTTGTCCTTGCCTTGGATTATAGGATGTTGCATTAATGCGATATTGCTTTTTGGCAGATGCTGGCTCTGTGTTTGTTCGATCAGCTTCAGGTGCAGGTGGAGCAGCAGGTGTTTGAGGTGGAGGACAATAATAAAGATAGCCACCTGCTGGCAGCTGAGGCAAGCTAAAAGGTGGTGATGGCATTGGTGGTGGTGGAGGTGGTGGTGATGCTGTTGCTGCTGTTGCTGATGATGAATGATGTTGTTGTTGTTGGTATGGAGGTGGTGGTGATGATGGATATCCACCAGGCATGGCTGTAGTCGAACCATCCATGGATTCCTTTTGGCTGTTGGCTGCTGCCATCTTTTTCATATGCTTGGCATGTCGTGGACTCCAAAAGCTAGGATCACGTGGTTCTCGGTTGGTCTTTTTTCTTGCAAGGAATGATTTCTTCTTTTTGAGCTTTTCAACTGGTGGTTGAGGTGGTGGTGATGATGGTACTTCTTCTTGTTGATAATGAGCTGGCATGGTATTCCCAATCATAGGTGATGTTGGTGCTACAATTCCACCAGCTGGAAGCATGGCATTGGTTGGAGGAGGTGATGATAGTTGTGCTTGATGTAGCTGTTCCTGGCGATATTGCTGCTGCAACCCATTCAGCAATGCCATGGTAGAAGGGGATGGTTCAGGTTGAACGGCCGTGCTACTTGGCATGTTATAATAATAGTTGGCAGCATTGTTCTGCATCTGCTGCTGCTGCTGTTGTTGTTGCTGTTGATGCCGTTGTTGATAGTAGGATGTAAGCAATTGTAGTCTGTAGGCATCGATTTGTTGTTGATTCATGATGAAAAAGATGACAATGAGAAAAGAATAAAGAATGAAGCAAAACAACAATGGATACGTTCTTGAATGATAATCGTCTACTGTTTCCATCACTGGCTGTAAACACATTACCAAATTGGGTGATGATTAGCCTTACATGATGAGGAGATGTCGCATCTGATCATACCAAAGGACAACGTACGTGCCAAGCAAAGCAGAGTTTATTGGCTTCACGAAAAAAAGACAATCCATTGTATACAAAAGGGATCTAAACCTGCAGTGTGTGCGTGTGTGCGTGTGTGTGCATGCATGTTTCTGTTTATGATGGTACGTCACCTATGCCAACTTGCTTATATGCACTTTTTCATCAACCTGCTTCCACTCTTCCCTTCTTCCTTGCTCAACCTTGGAAGACATGACTGAAATCAGTAAGTCACCCTTCTCATGTTCCAATGTCAATTGCACTTCTGCTGACCTGGCAATAGAAAACATGACAGCGTCCGACCAAGACAACCGCAGCCAGGCAACGGTGCGAGGCGATGCATTATCAACTCGTTTCCCACACTACTTTTTCCTTGCTCCTCAAGACGACTTTATGGTGAACGCTGATGGTCTCGCCAAACGTGCAGAATGTCTTAAGCCATATGAGCTTTCGAACGTGGAGAATGTAGGTGTCACATTGAGTGTCGTTTAAATGTCAACTGATATCAGCGGCATAATAATTGTAGGCTAAGGTTTTGTGCTCCATGAGGACTGATCATATAATCGAGACCGTCAAAGGCATCTTCGAAAAGAAGAATCCCCAAGTTAAACGATGGCGTAGTGAGGATTGGACGCTGTATAACTTGCTACTCGTTGATCTTTGCCGAAGATTACAAATCGTGGATATGAGGTTTGAAAGGATGTACGAGCCACATGAAAGAGAAATCAAATGGCGAAAAGATGTTATAGAACCAGTGCGTCGGGTTGTCCATAGGTAAGCGTGTGGAAGGAACATTATGAGAGTTTTCAAAGGAGGTTCATGAAACCTTTTTTTCTGTATAGCATGCAAAAAGGAGAACGTCTAGCATTTGCAAAAACGGATGATGGCGAGTACTTCGACCTGTTTGTGCCATTTGTCAAAGCGAAGCGAGAACGCTTGATTTCTCTGGTTCAGGACTTTGGCGACGAGTTAGCGTTGTTCACTGAATTTATCGACTACAAGAAGATTGCCGATATGAAAGACAGCGAATACCAAACATTTGTCGACGACCTTTCACTATGCAGGGAGTCACTCACGGAGCGTATGGCCATGGTGCCCAAGCACTTCAAGAATACTAATCCTGAAAGCCCTTTCAAGAAGCATACACTTTTAAACCCAACCAATATGGATGAAGCCATCTTCCAGAACAAGACATGGAATAGCTGTGATGACTGCGATGATCCTTGTTTTTGATAACAACTAGCTACCAATGATAAGCGACAATGTGATGAATAAATCCTTTTGATTGCGCATGGAACGAATGGTCTCTTGTGGGGGTGCTGCATTGTGGCACAAAGTAGGTGCTATAACCCATAGCTTGTATGGTATAGTCTAACACAGCTTGCTACGCATCCCCGCTAGTACAATGATGCTAGGATGACAAGTTTATTACATGCAATGTCCAATTCCAAACATGTGTATGTTAGATCCTAATCAACAAGCCAAGTGGTAGTAGTAGTAGTAGTGGCAGAGCGAATACTCTTTGCTGTTGTATTTGCCAAAAAAATATTTGTGCGTGAGGTCACTTGATGTGAGTGATTTCTTTTTCCAGTGTTTGTTCAACCAACCAATTGCCAACTTCCCACTGTGTAAAAGGGCTTCAAGTTTAATTGGCCACGTGCGTGAACCAATCCGGGTCACAAGCATACAGGGGCACTGGGAATAGCATACCACCTATTGTAACCATGCAAAAGTGGCGGGAAGGTGATGCATGCAAGAAAAGAAAAAAAAATTGCGCCTGCATGTGCCGTACTGCAAGTATTCGGCTCGAACTATTCAGCAAGGAAAGATCATTGGCATGAGGAACAACGTCATTAGGTAAGACCCTTATTGAGGAAAAATCACCGCAAGACAACAAGTTAAACTCAGTAATGGGTAATCGAAAACCCCATCATTCCATATCGGAAACCGCCACCCCCGATCTGTAGAAACGCTCTTTTTTTTTCACTCTTTTCTTTGCAGACCATATAAAAAGAACTCCTTTTCCAAGTTTGCTTGTTTATCCATTTCTTTGATTTTTACATATACCCATTCTTGAGCACCCAAATTTTTCTGCATACAATCATTTTATTATATGCAACAACGCTGTTGATTCATTGTACGACGCCATCATCATCATTATCAACAACAACAACAATACGGTTATAACGCATCTCAATGGCCGTCCACACCAGCAGTATGCCGCCACAGAGTCTTCCCGGTGACGGGAGTTGGTTGAATATCCAAGGTGTTTCTCGCACATTTTCACCTGATCCTCTTGACCATGGTGATGATGAATACGATGATACCACCTTACAACATGCACCTGATCTTTCATCTTCGGCATCCTCGGTGGGTGATACTCGTAGCAGCAGTACCAGCTCAACGGTTTCGCATATGACCAAAGTGCCACCTCAGCCTATAAAGAAGCATAGTCGACTTCACAATATGCTCCATAACGCTGGTGGTCATATTCGTGCTGGCCTTCGTATGACACCTCTTTCAACATCATCATCTGACCACGAGGAATCTGTAAAACCTCGAAGAGGTAGTACAGAAAGCGGTCATCACCACAGCAACAGCTACAGCAGCTCTGTTAGTAGCACTTGGAGCAAATTTTCGTCATCCTTTAAAAATCATAGCCATTCGGGATGTTCATCACCACCTCAAGTACCTCGACTTGCTGAAAAGTATGGCGGCTATATCAAACCAGATTCACAGCGTACATTCAAGGGCATGGGAGCAACATCAAAAAAGAATATCGGGAGCGGGGCAACAGCCGTGATCCGTTTGGTGCGACATGATGGGCAGATCCTTGCGGTGAAAGAGTTCAAAAAGCGGGAAAAGAATGAATCTGAACGTGATTACGAGAAGCGTATGCGGAACGAATATTGCATCAGCAAAACAGTTTCGGGCCATCCTCATGTTGTTAATACCTTGGATCTCGTCAAAGACGAGCGTGATCGCTGGTGTACGGTTATGGAATACGTAAGTTTAAAATGAGCGCGTGTGCGCGCGCCACCAATACTACCTGTGCGTGTGAAAACTAAAGCTTATCTACTTTTCCTTACTTTCCAATGTGGACTTTTTTAGTGCTCCGGTGGTGATTTATTCAACTTATTGCAAGAACGGCCTTCCATGACACCCATGGAACATGGCTGCTTATTCAAGCAGTTGTTGTTAGGTCTCCAACATCTTCATCAACTTGGCATTGCTCATCGTGATATCAAGCCTGAAAATCTGGTCCTGACGGAAGGTGGCACATTACGGATATGCGATTTTGGCACTGCTGATATTATACAAACATGCTTTGAATCAAGTCCAAGACCTTCCCACAAATGGTGTGGCTCAGAGCCCTTTTGGTCACCCGAGATGTGGTCTCTCAAGGATGAGAATGATACCTATGATGGTCGTGCTTTTGATGTATGGAGCGCTGGTATTACTTACATGTGCATGCGTACACACATGCTTCCTTTTCATGCATCCTTTTATACCGGCAAGCCTAATGGGAAGCCACCTGCTGGTGCGAAACCTGGATCTCCTGCTGATGTCGCTGCACGTGCGTATGATGGTGGTGACAAGGAATATGCACTCTATTGCCAACAGCGTCATGAAGATGGTGGTGTGCATGCTTGTCACTTGTTTAATGACCTTTCAGAACAAGAATGTGAATGCATTGGTGGCATGCTTGATCCAGATCCAACAAGACGTTTTACGGTTGATCAAGCTTTGGAGACGCCTTGGATGAAATCCATAGAAATGTGCAACGATGGTCAGCTCTCCAATGGTTGGCGACATTATCATTGTAGACGACCTTCCTCATCCCCTTCATCTCCCGCCACAAAGAGCGGCGACAAAAAGATGAACCCTTTCAATTTCTAGACTCACACATAGCTCATGTATAATGTTTATCCCATTCCCTGTATCATCCATCATCCCTTAAAAATTGTACAATAGACCTTACTTGTAAAATGAACCAACAATAACAATGATACAAACAAAAAGCTTATTCCATGTGGTCTATGTATGGTCATGCATAGGGTTGCACACATAGAATCGGGGGTGTGTTCATTGTTGTTATGGGGGTTGGATAATACAAGTTGAGCACACAACACAAGGTCATCATGGCATCATTGTCGTGTTTCATTGTTGCAATCATTCACAAAGAATTCCATTCCAATGTCGTCATTTATGCAAGCAATTTCCAATTGTATTTGAGTCCTCCTCTAATCTCTACAGGTTTGCCATTCTCCATAGTGCGACCTATTGAATCATAAATGATCAGCCATCCTCCTCCTCAACCATGATCCTCCAATCACTTACCCTTGAGTACATGTACACCCCACACACGGCCATGATTGAGACCCTGAAAGATCCATTAGAGTGAGGAGAGGTTACATAGCATTCATCTTGTTATCTACTTACAGGCTTGAGATTGACTTTGGTGACTTCATAGTATGAGTCCTTAAGACCAGGATTGTTGAGAACCTTTGTAGAGGCCTGAATAGAGAAGGTTGAGTGAGTATGGCATGGCATCGATCCATTGTTGACATTGACACTTTACCACACGACTACCGACACCGTATTCGGGAAGCACACTGAGGACTTGATAAAGGTTCTTTCCACCTTGAGTGAAGACGGAAGGCTTTTCTGTGAGTTGACTCAACACTTGGCGAGCGACGTTCATGGCAAATGAGACTGGACGGCAAAAGAGAGCAACAACAAAAATTCTTGGATGGAAGCGGACAAGGCGCTTGTGTCTCCAAGGCCGACGGCTCCATATCCCATCATCGTCTCCAAGGTTACTATGATCGTCAATACCGATGCCTCTAACTCTATAGTACAATCAGGTCTTCATTCCATTCATGATGGATGTTTTGATAAATGCTATCATAGTGGATGCAATAGGCTATAGCCACATTTTATTACGTAGCGTATTTTGATAGTATAAGCTCTAAGCAATGTTGGTATCCCTGATACAGTAAAAGTCTATACTCCTTGTTCATGAAAAGCAGTAATAGAAGCTTGCTACGCTACAAGGCTATCATCATCATCATCATCATCATCTGAGTATATGTATCACAAGCGAGGAGGGGAACAAAGCGAGTAACAGGCGGCATATCGATACTCACCTTTTTCCAAATCCTATGCCAAACTACCTTCTTGCCCTTGCTATTTCAATCGGGATAGTCTCACATGCACGAAAGAAAAGGTCGTTATCACCAGATGGAGCAGCAGGTGCATTCGTACTCGGCATGGCAACTTGCACGTCGACCTACGCGTACTTCACCTTGATCCTACTCGTTTTCTTCCTTGCAAGCTCGAAATTGACCAAGGTAGCAAGCACGACATGTACACTACGTCAAAGTCTCATTCCTGTTCTTGTTGAATAGTTTAAGGCTGAACGCAAAAAGCTGCTCGAGTCTGACTATGAACATGCCAGTGAAAGAACTCTTATCCAAGTCGTTTGCAATGGTTTGACGGGTGGTGTGCTTGCCGTGTTATTCCAAGTCTATTGTGAACCCTATTTTGCATGCTTTGATACATCAAGGATGGCTACTGTTCTTTTGTGGGCTTACATGGGGTAAGTGGGTGGATCAAGAGGATGTATTACTTGGGGGTTGGTTGTGATTGACGGCGAATTATTAGACATTATGCATGCTGTGCAGGGGATACGGTAAGACATGATGAAATCAGGTACACTCGCGCGAAATGTTGATTGTGGTCATGGATGTAGTGGGCAAGTGAATTGGGAATTCTCAACAAGAGCTGGCCAGTTTCCATCATCCACTTGAAGCAGGTACCACCTGGCACCAATGGCGGCGTATCACCACTTGGATTACTTGCATCTTTGGCTGGTGGTGCAACAATTGGCTTCACTGGTGCTATTTCGATGACTCTCCAACAACAATGTCATGGTGTGGCATGGGAGTTTGTTGTGGTTGGTGCATTGGCAGGATTGGGAGGATCATTGGTAAGTGGTGGGTGTGCATATATATATATATATATATGGATGGCAACGTGTCCAAGTTCTTTTTGGGATTGATCCCCCGTTCTCATTCCTTTGTGATGCAAAAAAAGGTTGACTCGGTGTTGGGTGCCACAGTTCAAAAGACATTGTACTCCAAGAAACGAAGAATGGTGGTAGCTGAAGGTGAAGACAAGGATGCGGTTGCCATTGGCAGTGGCTGGGATATTTTGGACAACCATCAGGTGAGTTGTAGTGAGTTCGAGAACATTATGGAAGGCATCACAGCACTTTTTTTTCCCTCTCCGTCTCATTCATATCATTCTAGGTCAACCTGGCATCATCTCTCGTCACATCCTTTATGTGCGGTGCAGCAGCTTATTGGCTATATTAGAACCATATCCTCATCATCCTTGCATACAATACAAGCTTCGCATTCACCCAAAGAGTATAAACATGAAGGTGGTCGGAATGAAATGGGGTGCACAAGCCAAGTACAACCCATGAGGACGTTGAAATATGTTATCCACCTGGATGAGCCCCTTAAAAATATAGATGGGTGGTCAATGTATGAAGAAGGAGAAGGATTGAGAGAGAGTTGTCTGAGACAGATTATCGGGCAAGGTGGAAAAGGACTAAAAAAAAGCTTGTTGTGGTAGGGTGAGCGTATAGCAACGCATATCCCTGTGAGATAAGGGGGTTAAGAAATCATCATATCGTACATCTGGCATGAAAATGCATGAATGAATCAAGGACGTATTGGGAAGCCAAAGTTGGGGATGAGAGAGAGAGGAAGGATAATATAGCACACAATTTCGCCTATGAAAAAAAGACCAAGCTCACAGCAACAACAAACATTACAACTTCAGACACGCTCTTTGAACCCCCGGCACCTTACTTAGGCTTACGTCATGGCCAATCAAATCTATGGGCGTGTGTGGACTCACAGTTTTGCTCTCCCCCACCTCTTTTTTTTCGTCGTGTTGGTCGAGTGCCCTTTTTTCTTACTCTTTCTTCGCCTCTCTCTCTCTTTTTTTTTTCTTCGGTATGTAAGCGCGGGAGTTCCATAAAAGGTTCAATGACCGATTTGACTTTTTTGACACTGACTCCTCACTTGAAGCTTTATACAAGTCTACAACCAAACCCATAAAACAACCGAAGGGAACTTAAACGGTAAGTCAACTTGCACCTTTTCGTGGAAGATATTCCTTCTTGGCGTCGTGACTATCTCCCCCAACCCAATCATTTTATCCTTCTTCCTTTCCCAACCCATACAACTTTCACCTTCTCTCCCATATCCATTGTACTCACCCACCTCACACTCACACACACTCCACTTCTGAAACTGACTATATTGACACACACGTCTTCCCATAAAAATTACCCGTTTCTTAAACCTCCTTTGTCCACCATGAATATTTTCTCACCCAAGACCAACATTGCAGAACAACCCACAACAACGATCGCTTCAACTATACTATATTCGCCCCATTCAATGGCAAACGAGATCGATCAACAACATCCCGCACCCGATCAACCCACGATCATGGATAACGAGTAAGCGTGTGTGGGTGGGAAAAAGAAAGAAAGTTGAGAGAAAAACGCGTGTATTCTATATTTTTGGTCGTGTGTGTGCGTGTGTGAGAATCAAAGTGTGGGCTACACGCGTTTTGGTGGGGGGTTGCATATATGACTTTGGGTGAACATGAGTATGTGTGTGATTGACATTGGTCTATGATGATTACATTAGACAAGAAAAGATAAGCGAAGAAACCATGGATACCTCGAGCCCTAAACGACCAAAGTTGGAACACACAATGGGTGAAACACCATCAGCATCAGCTACAACAACAACACCGACAACGACCGCGACACCACCCATTCATGATCAACAACAACAGCAACCTCCTATCGCGTCATCTTCTAGTCCCGTCAATGTAAAAAACGGCTTCCCTTCCAATTCCTCAGCTGCCGCTAGCCCTGCTGCCAGTAATACTGAACCCACCACTCCATCTTCACCACGCACCTCAAAAATCAGTAAAAAGGTATTGTATTGTATGGTAGCCTAGGAGACAAGGGGGGAAATGGCATAGGAATAATACTTTTTATAGTCAAGGACCTCTTCACCTACACCATCCATACCATCCAGCCGCCACACCAACATGACGCGAGATCAGATAAAATACAGCACAGCCATCATGCGCAATTTGAAAAAGCACAGAGACGCCACGCCCTTCCTTAATCCCGTCGACTATGTCAAATTGAACGTGCCTGATTATCCCAAAGTCATCAAACACCCAATGGATCTCAACACAGTCGATCGTAAATTATCCAGTGGAGAATACGAGAATGTGGAGGATTTCATTGCCGATGTGCGACTCGTCTTTAGCAATTGTTACAAGTTCAATGGTCCTGAAGCAATGATATCCATGCTTTGTCAAAATGTGGAATCAGCTTTTGAAAAGAGTTTGCGACAAATGCCATTATCAAGAGAGGTAAATGATTGAAAAGAAAAGGAAAAGAAAGAATGGAGGAAATTGACCATGGATCATATAGCCATTGTCACCACGTCCTAGTCCAATGTCTGAAAAAGATGATCATCCAAGGAAGAAGAGTGTGGGTGGCGGACGATCACGGTCACCAACACAAAGTTTGAGACGCATTTCTGAAGATGGTCGACCTAAACGCGAGATTCATCCACCCCCATCCAAAGACTACCCTGAACCTATGACCAAACGACGCAACCCACGCAAAAACGACGCACAAATGAAGTTCTGTGGACAAGTGCTACGTGAGCTTCGCAAGTCAAAATATAGAAACATCAATTATCCATTCCTTGCACCTGTGGACGTCGTTGCTCTCAACATTCCTGATTACCCTTCCATTGTGAAGCACCCCATGGATTTGTCAACTATTGAACGAAAGCTGAATGAAGGCGATTATCAGAACGCTGATGATTTTGAGACTGATATGCGACTCATGTTCAACAACTGCTACTTGTATAATCCACCAGTAACCCCCGTACACAAGATGGGTCAGGAATTGGAAAAGGTGTTTGATGAAAAATGGAAGCAAAAGCCACAACCACCACCACCAGAGCCAGAACGTATGGAGGACATTGAAGAGTTTTATGAGGAAGTTGAATCTGAAGAAGATGGTAAGCATTGGTACATGCACAAGAAGTGGAATGAGGGTATTGATTTTTTTCTTTATTAGACCGGGATCACAAAATTGCTGAATTGGAACGACATCTTGCCAGCATCACACAACAAATCTCATCCTTAAAGTCAAACAAAAAAAGGAAGACCGATCGAACAGCCAGCAAAGGTCGAGGTGCTCGTGGTGGTGCTGCTGCAAACAAAGAGCGAAAGGCACCAAGTGAAAAACGGCGACGAGTCACCAAACAAAAGGAGGAGCTGCCAGAATTCACTTTTGAACAAAAGAAGGATCTCAGTGAGCGTATCAATAGCTTGACGGGTGATCGGCTTAACACCGTGGTCAACATTATCCAAAGCTCTATGCCTAATTTGGATGGGGTAAGTGGATTGGATGGGATGGCATTTTTTTTTGGGGAACGTGTATGTTGATCCTTTTATCCTCCATCATAGCAAGGGCAAGAGGAAATCGTACTTGATATTGATTCATTGGATCGGCAAACATTACATCGCTTGCATGAATTCGTCACCGGCAAAAGTTTGATACCAAAGAAGCAATCCACATCCAAGAGAGCAAGGTTACACTACAATGAACAAGAGTCCAACCGTCAAATCAAGGAACTTGAAAAGACATTACAGAAATTCAAGAACTCTGAGGAAACTGACTACTATGATGGTAATTTGCATGAGAGAGAGAATCGCTATCATGATGTACTAAACATGTCTTAATAGCCCGGGGAGCCCAAAACTCATCAAGTGAAAGCGATTCTGAAAGTTCTTCTGGATCAGATTCGGATGACTCTGGAAGCAGCTCAGATTAGACCTTTGCATATTTCCATTATCTGATCTGCTATTGGCAATCTTTTTCCCCCTCTTCTCCCTTCATGTCATATTAGTTTGTTACCCCACTCCAGCAATCTGCTCGAATTGAAAGAAAAAAACTCACGCACATTCACACTCACACACATGCACCCAACACCTAACGAGACTGTTGATCGAATCTACGTGTATATTTTGGTAACAATGATGGATGATATACTTCATCTCTTGTCCATAGTAATATTATTCAAGTGATGTGTAAACTTAAAAGGTCTCATCATCGTATTCATCATGGTGACCACCGGGTATGTCGTCCTCTGGGGGTACTTCAAAGCCCTCCTAATTAAAAATAGAACACGCCCAGTGTCAATGATCGGAAATGGGTTCCGTATCCAAACAATGAAACCACCACCTACCTCAGTGCTGTAAAGAATCGTTTGAATATCCTTCATAATCGGCAACTCGACATGCTCCTCAGGGTGCTGTTCGGCAGCATCGAGCTCTTCTTGTACAAGAATCTCAATATCTCGCAACTTGCCAAAATAAAAGTCCCGTTCCTTTTCAAGGCCATCCACGGTCATCTTGAGTTCCGAGATTTGCTTGTTGAGCTCGATAATAACGGATTGGGAGTGGTTGTCCATAGCACCAGCGCTTGCGCTGTTGGCAGATACACGTCCTGTAGTACGACTTGTGCTACGAACTATTCGAAAAAACAAAGAAAGAATCCATACATGTTAATAACCCATGTGTCCATAACATTGATTCTTCCACGCCAGGCACATTTTTTCTTACCTCCTCCAGCAGCAGCCGTCCGTCGCACACCAGCAGATGCACCAGCGGCACGCATACCACCAGCTGATCGAGCGCCACCACCACCCTTACGACGACCAATAGCATCATAAGCACCACCAGCAAAATTTTGATCCCAATAACGCTTGATCCATTGCATGAATTCGAGATTGTCTTGGAACTTGCACTTCATCAACTTGTCTACAGGTACAACCTAATGACATCCATCAGCCTATGTACTACTTGTCACCTTTGTACATCAGTATAAATAGCGTACCTTGTCGATCCTAATAAACAACAACAATGGTATATGAGTACCTGTATGTATTTATAGACCCACCCATACGCTACTTACTTGTGCTTGTTGAACGTGTGTTGAAGCACCTTGTAGTTGCCAACGTATTCGTATTCGTGTTTGGTATCAAACTTGACCTTGCTCATATGGACATCGCCTGTCAATTGCCATTGCATGTCGGTACAAGTGCTATAGTCGAGATGTATTGTTTTCATTTACCATAGATGGAGTCCATAATCTGACAATAGGCGCCACCTAAGTTTACCCAGCTCGTGAATGAGTAACATGTCAAAGTGGATGAGAGACCTACTTACCAGTGCCGGCCTGTTCAACCTTGGTATAGTTCAATTGCAAGAGGTCATTCAACCAAGCAAGCAACTCAGTCCTTGATTCACCCATTGTTCGAAAGCGGGATAAACACTCGTAAAAAAAGAGAGAGAAAGAAAATGAAATCGAACCCCTCCCCAACCTCCTCTCTGTCTCTTTTGAGTGACGTTCCATGTGATGTGATGTGTGTGGGCTTCATAGGTGCTCATCCCCTTCACCTTAGAAAGATGTCATCCCACCACCACCCTCGCCCCTTATCCTTTATTGCCTTACCTTTACATACATTCATCCATTTGTATTATTATTACTGCTCGATATTAGTATAAACAAGATGCCGTTGCTGCATGCTAGAACATACAATAGAATCAAGTGGCGACATGTTAGATGAAACCGGGAAAGCATAATGCATATTTGAAACAAATGACCGCATGCAACCTTCCTCAGCAGCTTATACCCATTTTGAAATCGTTGCATAGCAACGTGACATAGAGTCGATCACTATGCTTGTTGTTGTCTTGGAAACATGCTTAAAATTGAGCTACCAAGAAGCACCGTAGTACATGCCTTCAGACTACATTCATCTACCATTATGGACGTCGTAGGTGCATGCAATAGCCAACAAGGCACGGCATTTGAGTAAACAGGTCCATCTTCTTCAAGACAATGATCCATGATAGTAATCAATGCCTATGCTTTATAGACCAATGTGCTATTACCCAAGGTAGATATTTATTACAATGTAGAGCACGCTGTGAGTTATGATACATCTTTAAGATTCAAGGAAGGAATGGATACGCAGCTATCATCAGTGATCACACAGCAAGTGTACCAGCAAGTCAATGTAGCTATTAGACTTGATATTGGGTGTTGTAGATGCTCATGTTCATGCGACATGTAAGATTGACGAGGAAACGGATAAATTTCATGTGATGTTGTCAGTGACAACCGATAGCTAATCGCCCAACATCATCGTAGTATAAAACAACGAGCCCTTTGCCATCCATCAGCACGCATTATGGTTGCAGGTACAAATAAATATGATGGTTTTGTGAATGCTTCTAGAACGAATGCTGTTTATGATATTGTTGATGATATTATGATGGAGCACTGATGGAATTAGGTGATCAGTGTAGCTTATTTGCTTCTAGCTCTCATCTTTTTTCTCTTGGCCTTGAGACGTCTTTGGCGTTTCTTGTGCCACTTTCCTCTCACTAAGGGTGCAAGATGATGATGGATAAGTTGTTTGTAACAGGGTCAGAGTGGATGGATGGATGGATGGATCACTCACTTTCTTTGGATTTGAAGGAACGGGTAGTGTTCTCCTTTGCCAGCTGCAGAGCGTCGTAGCCCAAGCCGAAAATCACATTACCCCGACTATCTCAGAAACTCACCAACACCATTTTTATCACTAGAGCAGTTTTTCAACGTCATGATATGGTCTAGCTGATAACGAGTATGCATTTATTCATAAACATGATGGAGTGAAAGGTGAAAAAAGGGAGCAAGGTTAATACCTGGCCGCCTAATATCATCCGTGATAAGGAAACCATGCATACAGGACATTGATGATACTCCTTTTCCACCAGCTATCACTTGGGAGATCCACTTCTACTACTTCAACCGCATAAGGACATTTGTAGATGATTAGTAAATGAAATGTATAAAGCGAAGTTATGGTAATAGTGATTGTATGGGAGAAAGCGTATATGTATGTGAGTGCACGCTTGATGACAATTCAAAAGGTTCTTATGCATCCCTATACACGAACATACGAGGCAGCTTTGATCACAACATTGATTCCAACTGCTGCTGTTATCATTGGTCAGATATATCAATATGGATGAGAACGGTGAGCCATATCAACTACCACATTGACAACCTCCTGCTAGTGATGCTATATGCTTGTATCTCCTCCACATGATTTGTCAATCGCTTTTAACGTCAATCCATATTACTACGCCTCAACAGCACTCAAAATCCTTCATTTTATGTCACCAACGTACATGCTTCAAGCCATCATCATCATCATCATCACAAGCTTTATGCTTTGTAGCAAGCACCTAAATCAGTGGACTGAGAGTGGGCCAATCATTACAGTGATTTGGATTTCCGTGACAAGCAAAATAAGGGCGGCGGGTATTTCGCTGTGCTTCCATTCTTCCTCCTCTCTCGCTCTCTCCACACGCACACACACACACCCATATACAGCCATGTAAGCAAGCACTTTATTCTTCCCATCAAGGTTGACTACATCGATTGACACCTATTTTAGGGCCTATAGATCACGATCGCGTTATTCACGATCTCCTTCACCACCACGTCGTCGTCGTCGTTCACCTTCTTACAGCCGTTCGCGTTCACCTTCTTATTCATCACGCTCACGTTCGCGTTCTCCTCGTCGATCATTGTCACCAGCGCTTACTCCCAAAAACACAGTTTTGGTCACCAATCTGACACGCAACGTTACAGCTGATCACGTCAAGGAGATTTTTGCACAGTTCGGCTCGGTTGTTAAGGTCGACTTTCCCGTGAACCATAGATGTAAGATACATGAATCCACCTGTGAGATCACCAAATACTTATTCATTATGCATGAAATAGTGAATACCAACACAGGACGTGCGTATGTTGAATATGAAAGCAAGGAAGATATGGACAAGGCAATCAGTTACATGAATGGGGTAAGATTGGGGGAAGGATTTGATACATCAAAGCTGTAGTCAAAAGGAAAAGAGAATATTGACTGGAAGGTATTAGGGACAATTGGATGGCAAACACTTGGATGTGGGCGTGGCACCAGCACATCGTTCTCCTTCTCCACCATCGCACCGTAGAGGTAAATCATCATGTGATGTATAGATATTCATGTATGTTGATATTGACATGTTGATATGATATAGGATATTCGCCTCCACCTCCATCCAGATATCGACGTGGTGGTGGTCGACCTTTACCATCAGGTCGTCGTGGTCGTGACCGATACCTTCCTAGCCGTGATCGTTACTCCATGTCACGTTCTCGTTCGCCTATTCGCCGTGGTCGTCGTTATTCCTCTTACTCACGCAGCCGATCGAGAAGCTATTCACCTCGTGGCCGCAGCTATTCACGTAGTCGAAGCTATTCTCGCAGACGTAGCTATTCACGTAGCTTATCCAGTGGAAGAAGTTATTCACCCCGCCGTCGTTATTCGAGAAGCCGAAGCTATGATAGCCGAGATTATTCATCGCGTAGCAAGAGCCGAAGCATCTCACCTCCTCCTCGTGGTCGAAGCCGTAGAAGTATCTCACCAAGACGTTGATAGTCATATGGCAATGTATACGAAGCGAGAGATGAAATAGTATTACGCATATATATAAAAAAGGCAGATGGAAAAAAAGAACAAGTATAGATGATGTTTTTATGTATGTGTATGATGCAACAGGGTACGTGTATTTCAATTGAAATAGGTCGACAATCGTTCTACCACTTGAGTCATTGAAGGTCGCTAAAGACAATAATGAGGTCAACAATCGTAAAAAGAGGGAGGAATTCTCAAATCTTACCAAAGTTGAATCGCTTTGCCACATGTCAATAATCAACACAAGTAAATTCTTTGGATAATAATTGATGAGACGATCGAGAGGAGGTCGCCAATCTTCATCTCTCACTTTGATGTACAATGCATGTTCGGAAAGATCTATGAAAAAGGTGAATGCATCTTGTCAGATGCCAAGCTGACAATGGATTTTATAGTATGCGTGTATGTGGGTTACCTTGATATGGATAGCCGTACTCATTCCATGTCAGGATTTCCCAAAAGATGAGACCACATGCATAGACCTGGCCACATAAAATGATCAGCTGCCTTTCCCAATTCCTCCTTTCGCTTTCTTACATCAACTTTCTCCGTATAGCTTGGATTCTTTGTCCAAAATTCGGGTGCTGTGATGATGATTTGATTAATAAGCATAGCGAGCACTTGTCATGTGTCAAGCAATACCTTGCCTAGAGAAAGAGAACAATGAACACATGAGCACATTGTTGGTTCGTATACACACACACACAGAGCCATTCTCACACCCTTATTACCAATTCGGAGTCCCGCACTGCGTATGCATAAGCGCATTGGATTTAGGTCGGATACGTGCAAGACCAAAATCATTGACCTTGGCTCGATCATCCCTCGAAATCTTGGAATAAAGTAAATTAGCCTTCCAATCTTCATGATATCATCCAAACACGTTACCAAGATATTCATTGACTTGAGATCCTACATACAAGGCCTTCTTTAGTACCTGAGCTAACACATGCATACATGATTCAACTTACCCTATGGATGATGGATGGCCTGTATATTGACAAGGAGACAAAGAAATGTGCATGAGAAGAACATGTGACGAAACAATGATTTTCTCCTTTGTTACCTTCTTTGATGGAGATAGGAAACCCCCAAGGCAATGTCATACATGTAGCTGACCTAAACATTTGGGGGTGATGAGTAAAAGGGAAAAAGTTGTTTGACACTGGAATGGTACCTGTTGTGCAAAGCTCGGCTTTTTGTATTTTCGGATCACGTCAAACAGGTCACCTTTTTCGCACATTTCAGTGATGATGCACAGATGTTGTGGGTTGGTGCATACGCCAATGAAACGGATCACGTTCTCATGACGGAGTTGCCTATACATGACACCTTTTGTTTATACATGTGGCACCTTTTTGTTACCCATGCCACCACCTTACTTACTTGAGCACATTAATCTCATGCTTGATTTCTTGCAGATCCACCTCGTTGAATTGAGTCAATCGTAACTCGCCAATAGCTACAGGCTCGCCCTTGTACATGCCTACAAATGTTATTCTCAGCATGGTTGTACACACACACACGCACACACACACACAATGGAACGTGCCCTTTCTCTCTTTCCCTTCCCCTTTTTTTACCTGCATAACAATCCTTGAAGCCACCGCACCCTAATCTTCTTCCAAATCGTAATTCTTCATAAGGAATATCTAATCCAGGGCTGCCATCCAAAAACAAAGCTGAAAATTCACGCGAGTTGAGCTCGAGTCGTTGTTGCTCGAGGCGTTGTTGTTCGGCTGTTGCGGAAGAAAAAGGATAATCATCATCATCAAAGAGCTGCGGTGTTGAAGGCGCAGGCACAGGTCGCGTGTCTTCTTTCTATGTACACAAAGCATTGTTAGAGATGCAGGTCTCAACTCATGGATCTTTTTTTCTTACCCAATGCAATAGATCATCAATCAACTCAGCTTTGCTGCCAGTTGTACGCAATCCACGATCTTGACAAAACTCCACCAAGTCAGCAAGGGCCATCTTGTCCAAGAACGGCCGGTCGATCGACTGCATGTGGTAATAAAAAGATAAGATTCTCGGGCTAATCTATACGAAGGGGAAAAAAGCGGAGTCTATTTGGGCAGCTTACTTCCAAGGATGGATCGATATGACGCTGTGTGGTCTTGAAAAACAGCGGTTGTTGGAACATGATAGCGAACGTAAGGAAAAGAGAAGAAGAAAAAGAGAGAGAGAGAATGAGTGAGTGGATAAAGAAGAAGAAAAAAAGACAAAAAGGAAAGCCCACAAAAGAAAGTTTGTACCTCTTGACCCAACGATTCTTGTCATGTGAGCCGCCACTTCAAGCCGTTGATGATTATACTGCTACTACCACATTCTTAACCCTTTCTCATCGTTCACATGTTATGGTGCCGCCACTACGTAGCGCCGCATGGATGGCGTGTGAATTGTATGTGCTTGTGCGTGCGCGTGTATGTGTGTGTATTGTGTATATGGGTCGTCATGGCAACCCCGTAACTAAGGCGTACCTGATGGGATCTAGAATGCAAATCACGGGGAGATCCGAGTGATACAGTAGAAATACAAAGGTGGAAATGAGTCCGTGCACATGGTAATTGGATAGAATGAAAGACTTGCGTGTATTTGAAAATGAGATAAACTATATAAGCTAATGGAGATGATATGTGTGTGTGTGTGTGTGCGTTGCATGTAAGGATGCTAAGTAGGGGGGGTTTGTGGGGGAAGAGTGCAAGAAGCTAGTATAAGGCCATCCAGGACCGAAAAGAAAAAAAAGATATGAGAGCATGCGAGAAACAATTACAATAAGGCTGTTTTTGATACATGGCGAGAGAGGTAGTTGCAAAATGTGGGTGGATGAGATGTAGGGAATGGTGGAGAGAGTATATAATATGTACATCACATGGGAGAGTCGATGTCGCTGGGCTTGGATTGCTTATTAGGCTTGGTGAATAAAGGATTCTTGCTAAAGGACAAACGAATACCACCCTTAACCGAGTTGCTGAGATTGTAGCCTTGCAATTCGTTCATGGCTTGAGTAGCAAAAGTGACATCCTCAAATTCAACAAAGCACATGGGTCCTTGCTGGTTCTTGTTGCGAAAAAGCAATCGCTTGAAATTTGTACACTTTGAAAAGAGTTGGCGTAATTCATCCTCACTTGTGGAAGGTGGAAGATTGCCGACGTAAAGCGTATTGCATGGTGGGTTTTGATCAGCAGGATTAGGGCGATAACTAGGAGATGACAGGCTGGGAGTACGAAGATCGTTGCTGTTACTATTGTGCAAAGACAATGAACCCATGCGTGAACCAAGAATCGAATCAGCAGCAGCCGCAGCATGATTACTGTCAAAATAAGATGTACTGATGCTATTTGCACGATCCGCTGGTGATGATTTACTCAAATAGCCGAATGGATCATTATCCATCATAGGATCATGTTGTTGTAGTGATGATTGTTGTTGTTGTTGCTGTTGTTGATGTTGTTGTGGTATTTGATGTTGCATCAATGGATGAATGCTGCCGACTCGTGGACGAGAATAAAGACTGAATGCACGTGGAGGAGAAACAATTTCAGTGCTTCGAGTATCAAACGATTGAGAGCGCAGTGACAAATAAGCGTCATTGAATGCTGGGGTTGTTGGCGTGGAGACCAATGGGTGATCATTAAAAGGGTCGCTTTTGTAATCTGCTGGTGATAATAAGTCGCTTGGTAAAGGTGAGAATGCATCGTATACGCTTGGAGGTGCTCCACCATGATGTAAGCTCATTTTACGAGTCAACATGCTAAGCGGAGATGGTCCTGTAGGCTCCGCAGGTACGGCTGCTGATACCGGGTGATGTTGTTGTTGATGCGCTGCTGCTGCTACCGCTGCTGCTGCTGCTGCTGCCATTGCAGTAGCTGATCCACCTGAATGGGGTGCACTCGTAGGTACAATAGAACCTCGTTTGATGTGTAAATTCTTCTTGGCCATCTCGGCTTTAAGGACAGCTCCCTTTTCAGTGTCGATTTTTTTGCCGCTGAGTACCTCCACAGCCTCAAGTGCTTCAAGCCGAGTCCGAAACCTAGCAAATCCAATCTGATACAAGCATTTCACATCAGGAACAAGACATCATATCATCTTATTTCCCCCATTTCCTAAACTAACTTACCATTTGCTTCTTAGCTCCATTAGCTCCATTGCTATTGCTTCCAGTTGTATCATCATCTTGATCCTTGCAGTGCCATTTTAATGATGCAGCTTCAAAACCCGGTGAAAAGGTAAACATGTTTTGAAACTCTCGCTCAAGCATATCATCCGGGAAACCAACAACAAAGATGGTGGTGACATCTTCGGCATTCGTACTACCATTGCTGCTAGTATTGGTGGTCATTTGTTGAGAGGCCGGAGGTGAACAACTGCTGGGTGGAGGTGGAGGGAAAAAAGCAGATGTTGCAGGGGATGCTGAGAGAGGATGGACAATGCGAAAGTCTGCTGATGAGGCCGAGAAGCCTGAATTGCCAATGAGAGATGATTCAGTTGCCATGTGATGGTCAAATAAAAAAGGAGAGGTGGGTTTCAAAAGGGTAAAAAAAAGGTTATATTCTCGAGGGAAAAAAAGAGAGAGAGAGAATGAGAGAGAGTGTGTGTTTCTCAAACAAGAAGGCAGTAGAGTAGCGGTAATACTAATTTTCGCAGACAGAAACTATCGTCTTAAACCATATGCGAAAAATATGGCGGGAATTCTTGTGGGGGGAGAGGAGAGTAGGAGGATGGAACAAGTTGATACACACACAAGGTCGTTTTTATTCAACAATGGCCAACCGTTGTAATTCGGAGACAATCGATAAAAGCTTAAATGACACATCGTGTTCCCTTGCCTTATTCTGGTTCCTGCTGACGTCGCTTCTTGCCTTCACTACCCACTCTTTCTTGCTTTTTGGATATCGTCTTGGAAAGTCCTTTATGTTTGTGCGGATCCTATTACAAAAATGGTTTCAATATCGTTGCACACACACATCCCATCCGCCACCTGATTTTTACCTTTCGGCTCATCAGTGTCCGATTGCGAACACCTTCTCCACCTTCCCAGAACGATCCTTTTTGATGACTCTTTTCAAATTCATATCCACACTTGATACATGTTGGCTTGATGGGTTGTTCTTTGGAACATTGGCCACACACGTGGCGCTGTGCTAATTCACTCGTATGCTCTTCCTTTAGATCGTGGCACACATCACATGGATAAAGTTTGTTGCAACATCCAAAACGGAACCATCGTCGTGACTTGCGATAATGCGAACATGCGCCTCGTTCAGGCAAAGGTTCTCCAACAACCAATCGTTCCTTGTCCAACTTTTTCTTCTTTTTCAACGCCATCGTTTGATAGGCAGCATTGCTGGGTCGAATCCCTCCACCTTCTCTAGGCCCGACACTGACCCACTCGACAATACCCGCGAAAATGGATGTCCTTGCATGACACGTTCGACAATTGAATAGATGGGGTAACGCGCGAACAGGACCTGGGAAATCTTGCATGCATTTGGCACAATTGCCCATATACAACTTGGGTGCCACATCATATACCTTGCAGCCACCTAATTGTAGTAACCCCGCCACGTTGGAATTTTCATGCATCAATTCTACAAAAGAGCACCTTGTCAATAACCTTTGTTGTTTCACATGACCCATCCCCTTATTTTACCTGGAGTAAATCGGACACCCAAGGGAAAAGAACAAGTAGAACATTGGACCCATCGTTCGTATTTCTTGTTTGTTGCTTCATCATTGCTCCCTGATGCAGAAAGGATATCCGGTAGAGTCATGTCGGCAAATGTTGTATAGCGATGGCATCGAATACAGTCAACTAGGACATCAACGGATGTGATTCGGATCAAGGTGCAATTCTCAAAGCGAGGTTCAGATAATCTAACTTCGATGCCTTTTCGAACAGCAGGTTGTTGTTGCTCCATGTTGGGTTGTGCTTCTGCTGCTGATGCTGATGATGATGCCTCTCCATCAGGTTGCTGTGTCCCTTCATTCACCATAGGCTTTGTAACACCATCGCCATCACCATTATGACTTGTTGCTGATGTAAACTTTTCAATATCATCCCACGTGACGCCTGGGGGTAACAAGGCTTCAGGGTCATCGACCACCACCACATTGCTTTCAACCTTGTTCTTGGAAAAAACCTCTCCTTCATGTGTTTCAGTCTCAGTGGGCTTATTGGCTTCGGTGTCAGCAACATATTGCCAAGGACGCTCTCGTGGATTCTTGAGAATACGCTCTAGATGTCGGTTCAACCAATTGAGATTCTGGAAAAGCGTATGCTTGGCACCCTCCACATGTTCAGCAAATGCATACGAGATGTCCCTATACACAATAATCGTTAATCCCAAGGTCTAAAAACACCCTTCGCTTATGTATTATTTACCTCGCTTCATCCATACTGAGAGCCTTGTTCTCCACTTCAATTGTACTGGGCAATAATGGGTATTGTGCTGGTACATGGTACTTGATCTTGAGCTCATTTCCTAGCGTGTCCTTGAAAGCAAAGGTGGGATCCGTCAAATTCATCATCAGCGAAATCACCGTTTCCACATTATCGGATCTATCACATTGGTTGATATCACATGATACAGGTGGATGAAGAAACAACATACCTGATAACCCTGTAAGTGGTGCCAAATCTTGTCTCCAATTGTCGTAATTCTTGATCCTTTTTAGCTGCTGCCGTCTTTAGCTGGGTTGATGTAAAGAATGGAGTGGCTCGTGCGTCAAGCTTATTTGCTGATGATGCTGAAGGGGTATCTTTGATTGAAGTGGTCGTAGTAGTAGTAGTAGGAGGAGGAGTGATAGCATTGGATGATGATGATGACGATGATGACGATGATGGTTTTGCATCTTGTGGTGGTTTGGATGAAGATGGTTTTGGTGAAGAAACGGATGCAATAAAGTCATCAGGCAATGCTGGTGCTGCCAATGGTTCGGATGCTGATGCTGATGATGATGATGGCTTTGAAGATACAAAACGTACGGTGGCAGCTGCTTCTTGTTGAAGTAACGATTCGAGGTTGCGATCCAACCAGTTCATCTGTCGCACGAGCGTCGTTTTCAATTGACGTACATAGTTCTCGTATCCTCGTTCAATGTTGCTATTCATGATATGAGTCGTCTTGCATTACATACACCACATCCCAATACACCAGCTTACAATGCAAATCCTTTGGGGATACTGCTCAATACTGTCAAGGTACAATGCTTTGTGGGATAATCATCAGGCACCTTAAGCTGAAGCAATAGCGACTCGAGCTCATAAGGAAAGTCTGGATCGCTCGGTTGAATGGCCAATCGCACAATGGTGCACCCTTCGGTATTGCTAAAGGAATCGGATACAGTATTAGCTGCAAGTAGTTCAAGAAGAAGACCACATGTAGACGCACCTCACAATGCGAAATGAAGATCGATAACGTCGCTCCAGTTGTTTAAGCTCTGTTTCTCTCACGGTGGCAGGGTCAATGCTGCTCGTTGGCTGAATGACATTGTGTATTTAATAAACGTTGACTTGGAAGTCGAGGACGTCTCATTTACCTTTGCTACCGGCTTTCGTATGTTGACCATGGTTGTGAAGTGTTAATTAAACCTCCAGTCAAATGCGACAAGCAGCTGATTTTATAATGACAGCGGGCCATTGCTGCGCCTCTATGCTGCGGCGCACATGTAGCTAATCTACTGTGCCACCCTTCTCAGGCTGAAAGTGCCTCTTTATTATAGTTCACTTGTAATCGAATGCTATGATACCATGGGTAGATTGCTATTTCAATAAACAATGTGTGATCATAACGCACCTGTAACATGCACAAGCTACCATTCTACTACATCATGTCTTCAACTTTTATGGCCATAGGCACGTAACCATGCAACGTTATTCTCGTGTTCGTTGGAAACAATGTCTCATTTTAGCCTCTTAAGTCATGACAAAGGGAACTCCCAAACGGATGCTGCTGCTGGTGAGCACCCACTTTGACGATATCATCGCTTGTAATACTTGATGCCACCGGTCGCAAGTGACAATTTTCTCTTCACTCGCTAGAATCCATTGACAGGGTTGATGTCTAAACCTTTTGACCTTAAAAAATGGCCATGCTAATGAAAGGATGATGGCCACTGCACCTAATAGTACGTTCCTGCAGCCAAGTTGGGGACGACTTGTCACAACAAAAGTGCCCATGATCAAGGATCCACTCATCATTTCACACTGCTATCTATCGCATCTGGTTATCCATATCAAACGTTTATCTGATAAAGGGATCAAGGCTTCTATCGACATACTAGGATGACTACTACTATAATAAAGAAGCTACAATACACGATGCTCTTTGACGCATGAACAGCATATGATTAGGAGAGGTGTGTAAGTAAGTCCCTATCCATAATTTGAACATGAGGTATACCTAACCCTTGTTAATGATCGATACGTCTTGGATCACGGACATCGCGTATGTTTCACCAACATCCATGGGCGTGTGTGTGTGTGTGTGTGTGTGATGTGTTTCTGTTCCCGACCCAAGTGTGTGGTGTGGTGCATTTTCTTCTATATCTCCTCTCCTTTTCAAGTATACTGGAAATCTCCCATGGGCTGTTGTGGAAGTAAAGAAGAGCGAGACGACGTTAGTATCTACTCCAATCGACTTACGAGAACAATACCACCCGGGAAATAAAAACTAACGATTGGGCATTTGACTTGCAGGATGTCCACGCACCTCTACTCAATGACGACGATTTGCCCATTGAAAGGTGGGTCGTGTTGCTAAGCGTTTCCTTCGGGCAGTTTACGACTAACATTGACTACAACAGACACACAAGCTATCAAGCCATTGAGACCATTGATGTAAAGAAGGAGCAGGAGTTTTGGAACGCAGTATTGGAACGCACGACACGGTAACGATAGGGTGGATACAAGGAGAGCACATGACAACTGTTTATTGATACTTTATACATTGGATGATGGGAATAGGAATCTGATAGATATATCGAGCACGAATGCTGATCCGTTACAAAGTCAAGATGTACAAGAACGACAAGACAAGTATCAGGATATCCTTGCTCAGTTGCCAAACAAGACTTCCGACACGACGAGTATCCACAATGAAAATGGTGGTGGTGGTGGTGGTGCCATGACCCATGATGCAAAACCCTTGTCAGCATCCGGTGACGATCCACTGGCTATCTTCGACCACATCCATCCTTCATCAGCACCCATACCACAAGAGGAGCTTTATGACATGATGAACAAGATCAACGATGCTTTGCAGGATATCCGTATCGAACCTGTTGGAGAAATGGTTGTCCATCTCAAGATGTTAAATGACCCTGAAGCTATTCAATTCTGATGATTCCCCGATTCCTCTCCTTTTCCTTCCCATTTATTACTCATTCATATCCACCTCCCAAAAAAAGTCGATCCTATATTCATTGTACCATAACAACGCCCCCCCCACCATCACCTCATACTGTTATATGCCGCCATCATCACCATCACGCTCAAAAGATATATAAAAATGTCTCGCTTTTTCTTCCTCTACTATCACCATCAGAGCATGCCTGCAACACCAAAATTGGCAGAGATGTGTCATGCATGTATATGTGCTCTTTTAATACTTTTCACCCCTTGCATGGCCAAAGTATCCACCATTGTGACATAATCGAGAAAAGAACGGGCTGGAATATGTTGGGCATTCTTCTCGGGATTCTTTGGCATGATATCATATTTTGAACAACTACCAAGGTTCATGGTCATTGTTATGGCAATCATCGGATTGCTCTCAAGACATAAATAGCACCTGAACGTCTTTTACATCTTTGTGGTTGTTGTTGTCAACAAGTCAAATATGGTCAAGTCGTTGTTTTTCATCGCTCTTTCTGGAGCTTGTCTTCTTGGATCTCTGGTTGCTGGTAGTGCTGGATATGTACCCAACTCTTGCGTCGAAAAATCTGGATCAAGTTGTCCTGGTAACAAGGCATCCTTCACTTTTTGGCGCACTGGTAGTGCCGTTGGTAAGTGGTAACAAGGCAATGCATGATAGTATGCAGCTAACTGAACACCCTTTTTGAATCCAGAACGATGCTGCGATAAGGCGTAACTTATGAGCGTAGATTTGTTAATGCATATATACTATAAAGGCATATCACTTGTGGACGCTTCACGATTATACATACACTAAAGCCCTGATGTTGTGTTGCGTGGGTGACAACAATAAGGAGGTCTAAAGCAACGAGACATGGATGTAGCAAGCAGCTCTATCAACGTCCTCGGCTATTTTTTGATGTCATGGAGATTATACATCGATTGGGTTGTAAATAAGAGAGGATGGTTCTTGTGTTAACAATGGTTACAAAGATAATATTCAAAAGAGAGAGAGAATGAAAATCTCTAGGTGTGAATGAAAAAATGATTGGATGGGGGATAATCACAAATTATAAAGATGTGGGGAATCATGGTGGTGATAGTGCTATGCTTTTTTTTACAGGTGTTGATGGTCCTTCAATCGTTGTCTTGATTCATCATCGTCATCGCTGCTATCGGTGGAATTACGATTGTTGAACATGTGCGAGAACCCGCCGGTATTACTTCGAGCAATCGCTGAATCCTTTTCGGTAGCAGCAGCAGGGAACATGGTACCAGCTTCGGCAGCTGCTGTAGGTGATCTTGGTGATGACCTGGTGGCATTATCCAATGATCGGAAGATCTCATCGTTCACGTAATATGATTTGAAGAGCATTTCAAGGACTTGCATACGTTCCTCAACGCGTGAAATACGTTGGCCATCTGGTTCGTATTCCAGGTTGCTTACATTGTTCATGCTGAAACGAGGATGCAATGGATGCACCAAAGGAATTGATGACTCATTTGTCTTGAAGTTTGTTTGCAAACCACGTAGCAGAGATCGTTTCAAATCACCCACAGCCCATCGATGTACTAAAAAAGTGGCATGTAAGTATATAAAAAATGAGTCCACATACATCACTTGTATGACATACCTGTTCCCCATGGGCTGGAAGGTCTGAAACCAAAGAGCCATGTTTGCACAGCTACAAGTAAGCCAAACACACCACCCACAAAGCCGAGAGCATTGAGTAAGGTATACATTTTGACCTCGCGATCGGTAAAGTTGGCGTAGGCTTCGGGATACACAGCCATAAAAGCAAGATCGGCATGCGTTTGGGTGTAGTTAGGATTGGGTGCTTCAGCACGGAAATTGCTTTCAACTTCGGGTGTCGAGTTGGTGATAGGTGAAAAGCCAACGTAATTCCATCCAACATCTTGCAAGTATCGGTGATCGATGAGATTGTAGCTGAGGGCATTGTAGCTATAGGGTTCAACTTCAAAGATGTTGGTAGTCTGGATATCATTGCGCTCATTGTTCTGCCATGTTAAAACGTCAAAGTCCGACATGACTACGGGGATATCGTCGTTGACATTGTAAACCTTGACATTGGGATCCATTGCCTTTGGATAAAGTGATACATGTACACGGCCATACGAGATGCTTTGGTCACCAAAGAATGTGAATAATAAACGTGATCCATTGTTGGCACCGGATGTTGAAGTCATCTTGAAGCTTTCATCGCTGCGGAAGAGGAAGCAGTTGACAGCTCCCAATTGGGAGGCAAACGTGGGTTGGAATATGCTCATGTTGAGTGGCTGCACGAATCTATTACATGAATAACCAGTGTCGGTTTGGCACACTACACCAGGGCTGCGGCTATCCATCTCGCCATAGTTAGGGAATCCATCAAAGCAAAATCGCACATCTAAATAAAGAGATCCCTATCAGCTGATTTGTAATAGTATTTACAAGCTGGACTCTTTACCTGGTACATCCACTTGGGCAGCTGGTTCCTCAATACGTTGCGTTACATTAGGGCTTGTGATAGCTTGACGAATGACAAAGACCAAAAACGCAACGAAGATGAGAAGCAAAAAGATTTGGGATACAATACGACTCGTCTCTGCCCATACAGGCTCACCCGTGCTATATGAGACAACTCCATTAGCCGATGCCATCATTGACAACAATGACCTTTGCAGCTGCAAAACCTTACCGTGGCTTCCAAATATCGTTGTGAATGCGCACCACCAACCAGCGGAAGTAAGATTGGAATCGCCATAACAAGAATAGGATGATGCATAGCAACACCACGCCTGCAATGGTAACACCTGCAATAAGACCAGCTGAGACACCGCTGCTGCTATCTTTGGTGTTGTCATTGAACGTCTGTAGCCACTTGTTGTCGGTAGGAGTGAACACATTAATGTCATTGTAATAGGTGTTAAGCGATGTACCTATGCAAGGATTAGTGGGGGATACGGCTATTGTAGAATGTTGTTGACATACCAAATGCGACAGTGAGATGCTCGCCATCAAGGATACCAGCTGCAGCAAACGATCGGCGTGAGGGAGGAATACCATCAGTTGATGGAACCGTCCAAGTCCACGTGTTGGTGTCAAGAATGGCCACCGAATTGATGTACATGCGTGTACGCATATCTCCACCACTATCACCTGTAATCGAGTGGTAGGTTAGTCTTTGTGTTACGAGAGCTATCAACATTCTTTGTGTATACGCACCTCCGAAAACGATAATTTTGTTGTCCTTGGCTGATTGAAAAGGAGAATGAGCGTGAGTTTAACGTGCATTGCATTTCATTGTGCATGATCGTGATAATGTACTTACTGACAACAGCATTATGATCGGATCGCGTAGATGGGAACTTGTTGGTTGTGCTATCAGGTTGCGTTTGTTGTGTTGACCATGTGCGTGTTTGGGTGTCGAAAACAAGTAGTTGTTCCATAGTCGCCAATCCTGTGGATTCAGCGGTTGCTGCGACACCACCGATGATCACGAGCTTACCATTACTGCATTAGGCCGAAAGAAAAAAAGTGCAGGGCCATGGATATAAATATGTACGTATGGTGTCGGGATCAGTATTACATGTACACGCGACTAAACTATCCCTATTAGGGGTGACTGCATAGATGTACATACCTCAAAAATGATGATGTATGGCCATAACGTCCTTGACCAGGATTGGGGAGTTCTGTAAAGGACATGCTTCTTGTATCAAGCGCGTAGAAATCTTGATAAATGGCTGACATGTTCAACGATCCGCCAAAAATGTATATGGTGTTGCTGTTGTCGTACGAGGCGCTAAACATTTGTCGGTTCAAAGGAACACCCGTAACATTTGCATTGTTGTTATTCGCCCATGCAGCCCAAGTTTGCGTGCTAAAGTTGTACGAGTACATCTGAATCGGTACCATTTGGTTAACGGTTGCCTCCGCAAGACCACCCAAAAGCAACATCGTTTGCCCTGTGCTGGACACAACGGCTTGTCCATATAGGTTACCAGGTGGTCGATTGTTTTGTGGAAGCTCCTCCCAAGTGAAACTATCGGCTGTTTGGGTCAACTGATATAGGTTGTTGGTATACACGGTTGTTGCATTTTGGCCACCAAAGACGATAAGCGAATTGTTACGCGTAGCAAAAGCACTGCCAGCTTGGAAGGGAAGCGAGTTCATAAAGTTGGGAACGTAAAAATAGGCATCCGTTAAGGTGCTCGACCAACAAAGGGCGAGCAAAAGTAATAGATGAGCCAGTGGTTTCATGGATGTTGCTCACACAAAGGCTATAGAGAGGAGTGGTCGAATGGATGTGTGCTGCGTGTTCTATTGAATGGGATTATTTGAAAAGAAGAGAGAAAAAGAAAGAAGCAAGAGGAAAAGGAAACAAGAATGAATTTTAGGGAGTCGAGACATGGGAAGCAAGGCCATAGTGGAGATCGAAAAGGGAACAAAGCAACCCAGGCACCACCTATCAAACCACTTTCTACCCGTCATATCCGGCATGATTAGCAGCTTGCTTGGCAAACTCGTTAACAAAGTAGCTTTTCAATTTGTATGTCACACATGCACACACACACATTTACTAATACCATGCATATCTTTCTTCCTTATCCTTCTCCTTCTCATCTTTGTCTTTATAGCCTTCCTTTCCAATAGCCCCTGCTATTACACCAATGGTCTCGCCCTTGTCCATGGGACTCCTTCCTTGTACCTTATGCGGTAAACTTCCCTCTCTTGACCCCGTCGCTAAAAACAAGCAAACTCAGACCATGATCTACCAATCACAAAGACCTCTAATTTTATCCCGAGAGAAGCGATAGCATTCATCACTTGGTTACACATTGAGTAATACTTTAAACACCCCGCTTCCGAGCTCATGGTCCGAATGCTACCTTACACAATTGCCCCGTTTTTACATTTTTTGCTCATACCGTGCCAAGAAGAAACTGGGAGAAAGACGTATAAATAGCAATGGTACGCAAACTAGTGGCCTTGTCCATCATTTAGTTTCAATCTTAGTAGGTGCTCACTAAGATCAATGGTGACATGTCACAAAGTTTGGTGGGATCATGCATGAAAGTAAACATAACATAACAGGCACCACAAAAAGCTGATCCCAATAGCCCAACCCCTTGTAGCATCGCATCATTAAACGCCACATGATCATCACTGAGATATTTATATTATGCATGGGGCGTGTACGTGTGCTCCATATTATGCCCACGCACAAACACACACAAACCATTACCATAAACCTGATGCGATTTTCCATCGATTCCACTCCACTCCTTGAACAATTTTAATCACATGCACATTTAGTATTCCACGCTCATTGTTCTTTTATGGTGGGTCCACCCATGCCATCATAGACCATGCCATCTCTTTTTCTCTCTCTCTTTTATTCATCGATTTTAATATACTTTTCGTTAGCTGGATTGGATGATTTGCCAAACAAGTAATACGGCTCCCAATGAGGTGTGACGTTGCCTCCTCCTTCATCTGGTGTTGGGGGAGGAATATGATGAGTATTGCCAAATCGAGGTGGTGATGATGATGCTGCTGCTGATGCTGCTGGTACATTTTCTTCATTGAAGCGCATACTAAAGCTGCTACCAAAGCCTTCGTGTTCGTGCTGTTGGCTACGGCTACTACTTCTGGTGGAGGTGGTGGTCAACTTGTCATTGCTGCTGTGTTCGCTGGGGAGTACTGGCTTGTAGCCATCAGCTTGATGAGGATGGGTTTTGTTTGATGGATCAGATTTCTTGCCCAAGGATGTAATAAATTGGATCAAGCCCATCAAATTGGAAAGAAAAACGAGAAGAGCTAACACAGGCCGGCAGGTTGCTGCTAGCCACATCTCACTGAATCAATTTTCTCTCATGGGTTCATTCACAGCTCCTCCGCTTGAAGACCAGCTTTTACCCTGATTGGATGCAACCGGCACTGTGGATGTTTTCTATCATGCAAAATCAGTTTCACCCTGGTGACGGTTGTCATCCATGCAATTTGGTTCATTATCCCTTGTCACCATTTCAAATCAGGAACCATAACAATGATGATATTTAATTGCATGGGTCACATGATAAATTTGCTCACACATTATTATGCTTCTTCATTGATGGAATCATTGTACTATATTTCAGACGTAAATCATCCATGACGTGATTACTTGTTCAAAAGAGAGACAAACAAAGATATATATATATAAAAGTGTATAGGTAATAGTAAAAGCCAAGAAGGAGAGGAAGGGGATAAAAGTTAAAGTTACAAACGATATGATTTTTTAAATGGGGTTCGCTGACAGCTTGTCGCCATTCTTACTGGCTCATTGAAGCAATTCGATTTTGCATCCATTGGCAATCATCTTTCCAACGGCTCCTTTCTTCTGCAACTTGCTCCATTTTTCGAGTCGCTTGGTGGTTGTTGCGTAGCATCACCTGCTCAAGCTTTTGACGAGATTGGCGTTCTTCAGCAAGCTGTGCTTCCAAGCGCTCAATCATTTGTCGCAAAGTGTTGTGATCAGGTGTGGCTGTTGAATGCTTTTGTTGCAAGACACCAGAAGCCATGGCTGGTGGAGATGATAAACGGCGAGGACGTCGTGCATTAGTACCATCATCTTGTTTCTTGTCGGCAGCTCCAATATGTTGACGGCAATGTGGGCATGCACTTGGTGCGTTATGTGTGGATGATGATGATGTTGCAGCCTCATCAGTTGCTTCCTTTGAGGATTGTACTTGTACATGATGGCGATTACGCACAATGGAACGACGTTTAAGAGCAGCTGGTGGCACCGAACGCAAGTCATGGTGTTGATATTGCTGTGATGCAGCTGCAATAGCAGCAGATGCCACATCTTCTGGAAGAGGTGCAGGTCGTTGTGGGCGTGCACTCGATTTGGCAGGCACTGTAGGTGGGGGCATTGGGAACATTTGTAGATCATTGTGCATTGGTTGCTGCTGTGTTTGTGGCACTGGTGGCACAGGAGGAGGAGGAAGATAATGTTGCACATCCTTATCAGAAATTTCGCTGTAAACACCAGAATCACGCAATGATGGTGGTTGATAGGAAGGAAGTGGGATGTGTTTAGCTTGATGTTGATTGCTATTGCTGCCTTTGCTTATCACCGATGAGTTATCCGTTTGAAGGCTTCCTCGTGTAGGTCTCTTGCGCAAACGTGTGAGGATACGAGATGCTCGACGTTGATGTTGTTTACGCAACGAAGGTTTGGCAAACTCTTCAGGGCTTGTAGATGTAAGGAATTCAGCCAAAGCTAGCGTATCTGATCGCATGCTATTGGCTTCAATAGAGCTAGCCAAGGATCGAGCCATACTGCTGGTATCGTCTGTTGTCAAATAATCGCTAAAATCATCATCGTCATCATCAAAGAAAGCGGTGCTCTTGGTTGGGCGGAAAATAGCCCGTTGTTGATCAAGCTTGTGTGCCATATAGAATAATGAAAGAACAGTAAAAGTGATAAAAGGATTGGACAGGGAAGAAAAGAATGAGCGAGTGATGAAAAATTAAAGAGAAGGGATCCGTCAACCGGATGTGTTTTGCAGCACAATTTATCAGGTTTGCTCCACACGCACACACACAACCCCCTTTTTCCTTGTGTCCCCTATATCTATAAAGTTTTCTTAATTCTCCTTGCCTACAACAATGCGTCCATGAATGCACTTGCTGATCTCCTAACACGCCTACTAGCTCCATCAGCCAGGATGTATCTCTAAAGAGTATCCATCCTTCCTCCAATCTTAGTCTCCTCTATCGTTCGCTCATTCTGCATCTCCTCTCTACTGACACGCAAGCATGCCACCCCTGATTCCCGGCTCATGTAAGTAGAACGAGCTCGTTCTCTTTTTGCTGCAATTGCAGTTGTATCTGAAGGGGATAAGGTGTCCAAACATACATCCATCCTATGATACCAAATCACTGGAAAGGCGATTTATTAGATGCCACTCCTCCTCTTCTTTTCCATTTTGATCAGCCTCCTGCCATTTCGTAATTCACTAAACATACCCCTGTCCTTAGTCTTTGTAATAGCTTCATAATAGCTCACTTGTTCTTGTACGTATGCGATGATGCCGTATTAGGATGATACAAGCAAGACTCGTCAATGCATGCCATGCATGCTTGTTTATGCTGCTGCAGGCGATCCTGAGGATAGTGTTGTTTAAAGCTATGGATGTCGTCTTGTTAAACAATGCAAATTGATATTTGCAAGGTTGGATGTAAGATTGATGGATAGCGAACTTTACCGTGTTCACATGATTAGAAACAAGTATTGGATGATGTATGATGAAAGGATGTTCCTCTCGTAGAGCGTATTGATGATACATCGCGCGTAATCATCATGACTACGTGTAGCCCGCTACATTATCATGTGCCCCTTGTATGAATGCACTCCTTTTACCGATAGCCTTATTTGCATAATGGAGGCTGACAAGAAGCGATTCAATAGCAATGAGAAGTTGCCGATGATGCGATAACCCGTTAAACGTCATGAACCGCCTTAAAGCAAATTATCCTCCTCAATTTTAAAAGCGGTTTGCGTACTTCTCAGAATCCTAATGCTAAACGTGAATCTAAATGATGGTTTGCAAGCTCAATGCAATGGGATCAGACGACGCCATAAGCACCCTTGATCATCTCCTCAATAGTAATGTTATGATCGCAACATACATAATACAATTGACAGCTATCTCGCAAACAATAAAGATCGCTGATAAAAGCTTATAGAAGCCCATCATCATGTTGATCTTCATACAACAGGTTAATATCGGATTTAGACGAAGTTATACGCATGCTGTCATTTCTCTTGCATAAAGGGATTAGTTGTATGTTGGTTTCAATTGTCTGTGTGATACAGCGTGATTGCTATTTGTGTCGATCGGTTGACGCCGGCCATCATCTTTGCTCACCCCTTGCTTCTTGCTTGCATGATGACTCCTCTTTTACGCCTCCTTGCTCCTATCACTTGTAAGACACCAGCAATAATGTATAGCTATGGATCGATGCAGCTACACCATCTTGCGAGTGAGGAATCATCTTATCACTCAAATGACATAGCCTACAGTGCATCCCGTTTTGTGTCCTTTGAATTCCTTAAACAGGATTCAGCCAAGGTGTGATCTTGTTGAAAAGAAGGTTTGCCAGTTATGTGTGGTGTGCTTCACGTTGTTTTGGGAAACTCAAGTGTTGAGCCGTCTCGTTGAAAGCGTGATCATGACTATATCGGGAAACCACACGCCAAGGAGAAAATTACCACCTTCCATAATGACCAGCTACCCTATTTCATACAATCCTTGCCATTTTACTATTGGGGTTCCAGAATCGTATCGACTCATCTGGGAGTAGATAGGAGAACAACAGGCTGTACGCACCAGGTCATTGTTAGTACCCTTGCCCATTTTGGTTCGCTCTTCAATAATGAAACAATTTTTGACGTTGCCGGTATTATATTGCTGCATGATGTTGCCAATGTAAGGTATTGTGATAAGCTTGCATATATGCGTTATTGCGTTTTTGAAAACAGGTGAAGCCCAAGGTTCATTATCAAGTCCAATAAAGTTCCATCGTTTTAAGGTCACAAAAGGGAAAACAGTACTGCAAAGTCATCCTTAGCTATACAACATCATGCATTGTAGGCTTCTTCTTCTTCTCCTCGCCTATCTCCCATAATGCGAGCATATGATATAGCATCTCCATACGGGCTATTGTTGACCAGCAGATCCCCAATCTTTTGTCGGGGGTTGATTTGACGCAGGATCTGACAAGCTGTGGCATCACCTTCATCATCTTTCCAACGCACCTTGTGGCGTAATAAAGGTCATCGTGCGATATTCTACCGTGATGGTTATGTTCGATTTGACGCCCGTGCATAGTATTCCCTCAAAGTTCTCCTGCTTTTCTCCGTGGCATTCTGTATGTGCTCACTCATAGGGTGAACGCACAAGAGGAGAAGAGCAGCATGCATATCAACGCGTGTGCGACATGTGCCGCGGCAAGACTACCTCTTTGATAAGATTCAACCGATGCGAAAAAAAAGTTCCCTTGAAAAATACACGTGGGCGAAACTGATGAAGATATTCTGTACCTTGCCTCCATTCATCCTTTCTTATCCTTTCAAGTGTACCTTAACAAGGTCATTGTCTCCTTTTTACTGAATGGGAGAAAGTATACCCTATGCCCTTTTATGAATGCTGATTTTTGACATTGCTACATGCATTGAATGGTTATGTGGGGCCCCGCTTTGCTATGAGGCATCTGTACTAATCAGCCGAAACTATACCAAGCAACGTCATTAAAGTGTTGTAAGCGTATCTATTTATGATCGTGCTGCTGCTGGATTGATGAGCCGGTCATTATGCAGGGACCTTCTTATCAATTGTACAATCAATAAAGGGAGAGAGAGCGATACACATCAAGACACATGGCAAAACCGCTATCGCATCGATTGAGTCCTACTGATTTGTGAGCGATGACACATTTGCTCCCTTTATTTACCCCAAGCGGATAAAAGAAGGAGCATTGTTAATGCAAGGAAAAAGAACATGATCGTGTCAGTAGTCACTACGTGGATCTTCTTGAGCGCTTTGTGTATGCAATGTCGCTCCTTTATGCATTTGCCGGAATATGCTACACATGGTTTTTTCGGTGATCGATTTCGGTTATCACACACCTGATGTAAAGGGATACGGGATAACATCCTGTGTTTGACATTCCCTTGTGTCCACATGTTGTATTTGCAAGTTGCTGTTGTATCTCCTCGTTTCGTTTTGCCTACCCTCGACTGCAGCTAATCAAATAAAGATATCGTTTATCATGACTTGCCCTGATAGGTGTTGTGTTTGTATATTTGAGCTACTCTAGTAGGTAGAATGGTGACAACATGACCTCTCAGTACTCACCATAACGGACACTCCTCTTTCTCTTTCTTTGACCTCCTATTGTGTCGATGGCAAAAAGTCCAGCAGGTGGAATTGTTCATTACGCCTTTGGGAAGTAGAATTGCATGGGCCGCTTTCTTACTATACTCGTTTCTTATGTCGATTTTTCTTGCAACCCAACATACACACGCATCCCAGCATGGATATTGTCCCCCAAAGCTACAACGTTGCCGGGCAACGAGCAGCAACGAGTCAAGGTCACTTTACAACAACATTATAGTAGATGACAATTACAATTGAATGATGTTAATATTTGGGCAACGTTGGCTCATTTTGTATATCATTTCAATGATAAAGAAGTTGCCCATTATTATGACAATGACAAAACGCCGTATCACTTGTTCTATATTTGGTAAGATGTTACACAATAGGTTGCACAAGTTGGTTCAGGAGTGGAGATGCATAACTCATTGATTCGTGTATTGCGCACAGACCTAATAGCTTAATTACGAGGGCTTTTCTCAATTGAAGTCTTGAGCAAGTAATCATTATCAATGAGCTATGAGTATAGGATATTGTTGAGGTATGTATAAACAGTAATAGCTGTAGCAAGCGGGGTGGCATGGGGTGCACGAATTGGAGAGAACAGGAGGAACAAAGAGGCCACTCTTCTTCACTTCCACTTCACAAAAAAAGGTAAGCTTGTCTCCATTTACAAACTACAGCGCGTTAATTGCTGGCATTCCTTACAATGTACAGCGTCCATTGGGGTGAACATGTGGTCAATGGCGACACTTTCCAGTTGCAGACATTCAACAACAAGTACGCGCGCGATCTGCCCATGACTCAAGCTTCCATTGCAATACAACATGTACGTTCAATCGCTGCATTCCTTTATCACTCAAGTGGGACATTGAGGTACTAAAGTTCACGTGTAGTTTGCTGTTCTCTCGTTTATACAAGACCCAAAGGGGGCATCGTGTGTCGTGTGTATGCTTTCCATGGTTGTCATCAAGGAGGGTCGCAACCTATTGTTACTATGGGTATGTCCACATGAAAAGCGAATGCTATCCTTGTTACCTTACATTGCATTTACTGTAGCTTGGACACGTTGGTTTATGTTACCTGTGGCAGCAACAGGATACGGATATCAAAACAAGAATGCTGTATGGTTGGCTCAATGGTATGCGTGGTATTGGATCTACAAAGCGAAACCTGTTAATTAACGAGACTTACAGTGAAACAGCAGCAAGACAATATGGATGACATGGAAATACGGTTTTATTTGAGACAATGATGCTATCGAGAAATACCACAAGGTAAGAGTGTTCATTGTGGGATTGGTTGGATTCAAGTGGACTTACCAAACACCATACAGTGGCAGAGCCTCTTTCGGCGATACTATTATTATCACGGCTGCACGTCAAGGATGTCATTGTATAGTACTGTGCTCTCCTGGGGAATTTTGGCCCGGAAACAGTGTGACTCAAGATGCGATGGCAAGGCCAATTTGAAAAGGCATCCGCTGTGCACACGGCCTCCATCCAAGTACGGCTATTGATTTCCTTGCCTACAGAGAGAAGGTGGATATCTCTTATGATGCCAATTTCAGGATCCAATGAGAGTAGAGTACATATGGTGGCATACCTTGGCGCCGCAGGTTGATTATTGTATTGCCTTCGGATGGTGTATTTGGTTGCAATTCCTTGTGATCACCATGGTTCAGGGCGTCGTGTGTCTTCCTTACCGAGTTGTCCACAATGAGAGTTCTCAAGACGTCTTTACATTGCTTCTTTTGCGTATGGTGACAACAAAAGCGTGTGGATTGGGTTTGCTTCTTATCTCACATTGCGTTTATGGTAGGTTGAACATGTTGGATGATGGTACCTCTGGCAGCAACAGGATTCGGATCTCAAAGCAAGAATGCTGTATGGTTGGCTCAATGGTATGCGTGGTATTGGATCTACAAAGCGAAACCTGTTAATTAACGAGACTTACAGTGAAACAGCAGCAAGACAATATGGATGACATGGAAATACGGTTTTATTTGAGGCATTGGTGCTATTGAGAAATACCACAAGGTAAGAGTGTTCATTGTGGGATTGATTGGATTCAAGTGGACTTATCAAACACCATACAGTGGCAGATCCTCTTTCGGCGATACTATTATTATCAAGGCTGCACGTCGAGGATGTCATTGTATAGTACTATGCTCTCCTGGGGAATTTTGGCCCGGAAACAGTGTGACTCAAGATGCGATGGCAAGGCCAATTTGAAAAGGCATCCGCTGTGCACACGGCCTCCATCCAAGTACGGCTATTGATTTCCTTGCCTACAGAGAGAAGGTGGATATCTCTTATGATGCCAATTTCAGGATCCAATGAGAGTATAGTACATATGGTGACATACCTTGGCGCTGCAGGTTGGTTATTGTATTGCCTTCGGATGGTGTATTTGGTTGCAATTCCTTGTGATCACCATGGCTCAGGTATGTATGACTCTCATGCTTTTTGGGGACCTTTGCTGAAACGCCTACCATTATTATTTAGAGGGACCATTGCAGAGAGCTACTTGTCTTTTGGTGCTTTGGAGTTTACAAGATCACAGCTATCATTGCTAAGTATTGTTGGATGAGTTTGGACAATTGTTTATGGTGCATCTTTTATAGGTGAATCATGCCAGCCATGGGAAAATGTTTATGTCTTTGGTGGTGTCAACCTTTATTGCGCCTCGGGTGGTTGGTTACCAAGCAACGGGCGATTTCTCTGGAGAATGTCAGCCAATGAACGTCTTTTATGAGTGGATTGTACCAGCAACAAACAACAGCATGCATATCTTTGGTGCCATATCAACCCTCATCCCATCATCTGGTGCTTCCCATTACCTGCAATTTGGTGAACCTCCTGAAACAAAGGTCCCTTATCGATCGATCATGTCAGCAACAAGGAGCAGGTTTATACCTTTGGCGTCAGCAAGCTTTCGATCATCTCGTGGTTCTGATTATCGGCAATTCCTTTGATGGATCTCTACAACTATACGCGTCTTATGGATGGATAATGTCATCAACAAGCAATGAGAGTCCGCGTTGACATCTTTGGTGTTACCAACGTCATTTATGCATCTCCTCAAGGCATTCATCGTCAAGCTGCATTCGATTTCCAATGAAAAACGATTGCCATTCACATCGCTCTTTAGCCATATGTACGTCACTCCGCAGCTAGGATCTGGTTTGGGCTTTTCGATGCACAATGCTTTCTCGATTTGCATGTGGTCTTGGGCAGCAAGGATTGTCTCGTTGTCTCTCTTTGTAAAGGCTCTTCGGCATCACGTAAGTATGCTCTCTTTGGTGGTATCAATATTACTCAATCTTCTCACTGCATATGCCCATAAAGTATCGTTCCATCGCTTTCGAGCCGAGTGCCACCGTAGCGGGCCTTATCAACAAGCGGACGATTGCAAAGAATCGGCTTGATTTGGATATCAGCAGGATTTCGTGCATATGGCTATCATTGGTAAATAGAGGATGATCCGTTTTTTGGCTCCAATCCCAACCAACATCCTCTTTTATTGTAGTATGTGGGCTATTTAGCAATCTACTTGTCTTCTGGTTCTTTGGGATTTGCATGGATGAGGCTATTATTGAATGTCGACATGTTTTCGTGCGTATGGCTGTCATTGGTAAATAATGGATGACCCGTGTTTTGGCTCCAATCCCAACCAACCTCCTCTTCTATTATTATAGTATGTGCGATATTCACCAAGCTGCATGTCTTCTGGTGCATTGGGATTGCTATGGATGCAGCTGTCATTGGATGCCAACATGTTTTCGTGCGTATGGCTATCATTGGTAAATAGCGATCCGTTTTCTTCTTCAACGCCTGCTAACCTCCTCTTTTATTGCAGTATGTGGGCTATTCAGCAAGCTACTTGTCTTCTGGTGCATTGGGATTTCTATGGATGCAGCTGTCATTGGTAAATAATGACCCATTCTTTCTCCCAATGCCTACTAACACCCTCTTTCATGTGGGTTATTCAGCGAGCTACTTGTCTTGTTCCCTTTGGATTCTTGATGGATGCAGCTACCATTGGATGTCCACAGGGTTTTATTCATATGGCTTTCATTGGTAAGTAATGGATGATCCGTTTTTTGGCCCGAATCCCAACCAACCCACTCTTTTATTATAGTATGTGTGCTATTCAGCAAACTACTTGTATTTTGGTCCTTTGGAATATTCATGGATGCAGCTGGCATTGCTAAATATCGTTCTGTGGATTCGGGAAACTGTTTACCGTGCATCTTTTATAGGTGAATCATGTCAGGGTCAAAGAGCAACGTCGACAGCATCCTTCAGTGTCAGCTTGCCTTATTACATCGTTCGATGGTTGTCGTTACTGTACCACCTATTGGACACTTCCTTTTATAGCATCTGCAGCGGCAAGGCAACAAGTTCTATACCTTTTGGTGTCGCCAAGTTTTATCTCGTCTTATTGTGGTCCTAGTTGTTGACAACCCTTTCAATGGATATCCTGCTACGCATGCCTGTTATCGGTGGATCATATCAGCCACAAGCAAGAAGCAGCAATGAGCAACAGAGCCCACATCTTTAGTGTCAACAACATTTATTTGACCCTCTGGTGTTCTCGTTATTGACCAATTGATTTCAAGAGCCCTCTTCACCGCACGTATCTTATGGATGTATCACATCAGCAACAAACAACAATGTTACGTGTCCTTTTGTGCTGTCAAGGTGTATCCATCTCTCATGGCATTCATCATCAAGTATCGCTTGGAGAAACGGCTATCAGGATTGGTCAATGTGTCGGCATCTCTACAGCAAGGAAATGGGTTCTGATTACTGGGTGGCATCAAACATCGTGGACTCTCATATAACACTGGCTAAGTATTGTTACCATTACCTCAAAGATAAATTAGTAATATGCATTTCTATAGGCCCATCATTCCATCAAGCTTTAATTTCGCATGCTCTTTGGTGCCATCAAAGTCTCTCCTTACAGTTGTCAGTGGCAAATCCTATTGAATTGAAAGGCGAAGGTCAACATTTGAATTTGGGTAGGTGTCTCAGAAGCAAGCAAGCGATCTCTATCTTATAGTTGTGGTTGTCAAGGATACCGTTTCCATGGTTTTGGAAATCAGCTACCTGCAAGTCGTCTCTGCATCGGTGGATCTTCAAAGCAAAGTTTTTTATCGGTGCCATGGCGGATGGCATTCCTCAATTACTTGTATGGATACCTTGGACGTACTCTCGGCAAGTCAATATTCTCGCGTATGCTATTTCATCAAGACCGGATTTATTTGTTGCAGTGCATGATGTGTCTCTCTGATGGCACCAACCCAAAAAGGTCGCTTGATGGCAGCAACTACTGACAAAAGAACAAAAGAATCGCGATTCTCGACACGATGATGTAGTGTAAATGATCCAACCACGCTTTTCGACCTTCCATACCTATTCCCCCTTCCAATCCATAAAGCAACCAGTGACCCACATCATATGACCTGATAGCGTGACCCCCAAAATGTTACGTTGAATCCAAGTTCATTCAATGAAAAAGTGGAAGAATAGTATATAGTAGTGTGGGTGTCTATGAGTAATCTGATGAAGGAATTGAAGAAGATACGAGGGTGAATCGCAGAGGCCACAGGGATAATTGTGTCATTGCATTCTTGGGTTGTTGCCGCCATAATCATCCTTCATCCATGACTGTAAAGTAGCTGCTGCATGCATTGACTTGAGTATTCCAAATACCATCCATGGCTGCAAATCACCTTTTCAAAGATAAAAGCCCTCGCATCAATGTCATCCAATCCACCACCATCCTCAGCCGTATCCACATGATATGATCCATCGTTCTTGGTGACGACGTGCCAAGTAACCAAAGCAACATTCCAGAATTACCATCACTGCACTTGATGACATCTATCCACCCATAACCATCGCAAATGCAACATGTTGGTTGAAAACGAGCCATGTGGTTGCTGCATGCTTCCTTTTCCATCCGGCTGCTGACCTATTTCCTTTTTGATCAGTTTCCATCGCTGCTCAAGATTAATTGTATTGCGGCGTACTTGATAGCTGATATGGCATCCCATGAATAGAATTCAGTATGTATTGAACCAATTTGCTGCACGCAAATAAAGCTGCTACCAGCTGTTCACGTAAAAAAGGCTGTAAGACAAGTTGCTGCAAGTATATAGCACTGCTGGAACGAACGCTGTTACGATTGGCCGCGGCAGAGCAGTGTGCAAGAGCGTGTGTTGTAGTAGAGTGGCAAGATTGCGAACGCTGTTTGACACAATGCAGTAAAGACCTTGCTAATGGCAGCTGCTGCTACGATGAGTTGTGGCAAAGGAATGTGCAAGACAGTGTGTATAGCATCAAGGAAGGCGCGTGTTGTAGCAGCAGAGTGACAAGAAGGCTGCGTACACGACATGGACTTGCCATGTAGTCAACAGCAATCGGATCAAGACAAGTGTAGGATTGACATGGATGGGGTGAAGCAGGACAATCGTTTGCAGGTGGTAGTTGTATACTTGAATGGGGCAACAGTTGAGAATGGGAGGAAGAGGCAAATAAGCTAGGAGTGGAAGACCTGGAAATTAAATAGGTCTTTTTGATGCTTGGATGATATTCTTTGTTTGAGCGTTGCTCAGTCAAATACCCTCGGATCAAGGAAGTTGAAGGATGGAAATGTTGGGCTGAAGCAGAAGAATCAAACGACCCGTGGATGAGCTTGATGATGATTATCAACAACCAGCGGCAACTAGGACGACATCTTGGTGATGATGACGGCAGCAAAAGTTCAAGGATGATCATTGGAATGCAATAAAGTGGATGGTGTGTAGAAGCTTAAAGGGCGATCACCCTCAGCACATCCTCCAATAGCCTTTGTCGTCATGGATACGTGTTGTCATACCAGCGTCGTTTGCTTTTCTCGAATGTTATTTGAGAATACCATACGCAAGTATCGCCATATCGTATTATCGATGCCTAATCCACATTTCACACCAACCAGCAGATACATTTGCTGATATCAAAGAGCCGATTATTCTGCTTAAGGATGAAGTACAGTATCGACACTTTGTTTTCATGATAAAAACCATCAAGTAATCAGTAAATCTTGCTCAAACCGTCAATAGTGCTATCATGTTTGGTAAGAGGCAGCAACAACACCGGCAAACTGAAAGATTCACCAGAAACCCACGCCCTGTGCAACATCACCCCGACGACTAAGGAGTATATAGCAAGATTATCACGCTGTTCACATTATGCACGATTGACGGATCCCATAACGATGATACAAATACGATCATTATTGTGGCGATAGATGGATTTTATTTGTGAGATGTAAATGTGTAAACAGATGATGGATGCAAGAGTAAAAGGAGATGTATTTTTCCGGAATGTTAGTACATGCGTGCATCAATACCACTCACAATGCTGACAAGTGTGTCAGGGAAAAGGGCGTTCACTCCACATGTGTCTTTCATGCTGCTTTGTTATTTGTGCCAGAAAACGGCACCCAGTAGCCCGCGGCACAATGACAGCCCCCCTTCTCCTTCCATTTACGCTGGACACGTGCGAAAATGTGTACGTTTACACACACACACAAGCAGCGGTGTTCCCCAACAAGTAACAGCAAGCGTATCTATGCAACTTGTCTAGATCCCTTTTAATCACGCGCAATGATGCATGGCAATAACGTGGGACAAGTTTCATGGCCCCCACAAATCATCACGCTGTTACAATGTACAATCACCCCGTTTCAACCCGATATCATCACCTATAATAGTAGTCAATTTTAACGACCATGACCATCTTAAAGCGCTATGCTGTTGCTATTTTAGATAGCATCCACCACAACTCATATCCATAGCAACTGATAGTAATGGAATTGGTTGCCATGGTGACATGGCGTTGATGATGATCAGTGCATCATGTTGGCATGGCCAATTTGAAGTTTCTCCTGTGTAGAGCAGCAGGTGAATTTGCCATACGTTTGAAGCGGGAATCATTTCATTGAGACAAGGTCACATGGATGTAATGTGGGGGTGAGAGAACGAAATAAGAAAAGCTGGAGTGCAGATGATGGTGATTGGTGATGGAATCCACCCCACCCCCCATATCAGCATCAACAGCAATGCACTAGTACATATATGAGACACATCACGGAATGCCCCACACACAACAAAAAGCTTGATACCGATGCCGAGGATAAAAATGACGAGGGAGCCTACACAACTATCAAGGAAAATGCACGGGTATCCTGCATAATGGCAAAGAAGAAAGAGAAAACCCCTTGTTGATGGTGATGTCAGAATACACAATGCAGCATCATATGCTTTGATAGAATGGCACAGAAAATACAAGCACCATTAGTGATAATGGTAGAGAAGAGTGTCCAATAGTGTGGAGTAAGGATCGTCGCCTAGAAAGGATATCCGACGGAGGCCGAAAGCAACGCCAAAAAAGAGAGGGATGATGGAGCGCATATGACAACATTGGTGCAACGAGGATGACTCGTGGTAAATGTTGACGCTCACTGCACGGAAGCGGATGATGCCCCATCACCGCTCACATCCCAACTGGTGCTGCCCTTTTGACCATTGCAACATGCACCTCTTTCCCAAAAACAGCCTTCCATCACATATAATGGGTACTCAAATGACAAGTTTCTCATGTCTGCATCTTCCGCCATCTCACCTTATTCTGCTGACTATGATGAGATACCACTACTAGGCCCCAATGGCCCGTGTTGCTTCTCGTGCTCAAATCATAATGACGTTCGTTCACGCCATCTGGTGTTGCTGCTTGTGGAACAGAGGCACAACCATCCACCCCACCAAGATAATGCCACGTTCAATTCCTTTTTTTGTTCAAAAGACAACTGTAGCATGTGGTACAGATTTACTTGATCGGGCAATCTGCGATTCTTTCTTTTGAACAATCGGGGGTTATCCGTCATCTACTCCTGAAAGCCCGACTCCCATATTCAACCCCTTTCAGGGGAAAAAGACTTGATACAGCCCTCATACAAGAAAAGTGGAATAAAGCAATTCAAAGATACATACTTATTAATGGATGGTTGATTGCTTATGAAAAAAGATAATCATGCTCACCTACATAAGAAAATTAGCAAGGTTGAATGATGATGGTAGTGAAACCAATCGACAACAAGCGTGCAAGATAACAACAACGATCGACAAGTGTCATGGCATAACACACCGAAAAATCATGTTCAACTTTATATATGATTGTATGTAGATACCGAGGATAGCCGATTCATTTTCATAAACCCCCATGCAAACATAATGCTGGTCGAGCGTTAACCATTAACTCCTTACAAGATGAAAAAGAGACAAGGCTTATTGGTTCTTGATGCGTAATCCTGCTTGGTATGCGATTGGTTTCCTTCCTCCCATCACACGATCTCAAGATTAAGCCATGTAGACATCTCTAAATGGGTTCTAGTCAGCATAAGTATGTCATGTACCAACACTCAAGTAACAACCATTACAATGCAACCTGCCGGGGAATCAACCGGATCATTCAACAATCACTTACACACCCATCTACATGTGTTGTAGGTGGAGCAACAATATTCATGCAATGATTTATAAATTGGGATGATGATCGATGCTGCTGTCAAACATGCATTACCCTCGTAGATCATAAAAGACGGCTATGGATTGATTGTATAATGATGCACACATGTTGTTATGCAAAGAAGTTGATTGTCAAGTGGAGACAAATCGCTCTTGCCAAGGTGGTCCTTAATGTGCAGAGGGAGCCATATGACATAGACAGTGGTTGCGTTCGAAACACACGTTGAAGGATCATTGGTTGAGCCTGCACACAAAGGCACGTCTTGTCGTTTGACTTTTTGGGTCTGGCTGATAGTCATTGTCAAGCTGGGCTAGACTTCAATATGATATTGGTGGTGAGCTGAGACAATGAAGGTACCAGCTTATTGATGAAAAGGATGACATTACCTATCATTGCTATTGAACCCCTTAGTCCCAGATCCGTATTTTTCGTTCCCCTTAGCACCATCAGCAGCACTTCACTTAACCCCACCTTGACTTTGGTACCCCCCATGTGTTCGTCCCCCAATCCTGTATGCTTTCATCATTCTCTTCTTTCCATTTTAATGATAAGATTTGTTTATGTCGAGGCACAAATGCTTCTAATCCCCCCATTAATCATGCATGTTGGTGAGTACTGGGGTAAACAGCTCAATCTATGATTGGTTCATGATGATCTCTTGCAGCTGGATACCCTCCTCCCCTCTCGAAGGGGACTTTTCAAGATACCAATCCATACACCAATCGTCTGTCGCGAATAATGCGTTGTGCCCGATCCGGCATTCCAATACACCACATATATATAGCCACCTTGGACAAGCGAAAAAGTGCTTCCACCCCCGCTTCCTTAACAAACACCTTTGCATTGTACTTTGCTCTTTTCAAGCGCGTCCCTGGCGTGTTGTAAATCTCTTTCTCTTGTACTTTCTATTGTATGCTTATGATTACCACCGACTACACAATGAGCAGTACCAGAAATATCAGTAGCAATCATTTATGCCCACCACATCTCGCTCTTCAACAGCAGCAGCAGCAGACGACGAATAACAACAATGGTAGTAGCATGTCTTTATCATCTTCGACATCATCGCTTTTGTCAATGTATCCATCTGTTGACGATTTGCAACAAGGCTTTCAACCACCACCCGATAGCAGCCAGGCTTATTATGGCTCGTCATTAACGCCATCATCAATAAGAGATAGCGAAACAAAGACCAAAAGCGGTGTTGAAAGTAGCAACAGCAGTAGTAGTCAGCAGCCACATGGCGAATTTAAAGCGACGTTTTACAACCCGTTTGAAACCAAGCATCGAAGACGCACTTCACCCACTCAATTTCGAATTCTCGAAGCAGCATTTGAGGATAATCCAAAACCGAGTGCTGCCAAGCGACAAAGTTTGGCTGAAGAGTTGTCAATGACAGCTCGAGGTGTACAAATTTGGTTCCAGAACAGACGTGCCAAGGCCAAACAACAGCAGCAAAGTGATGCTGTTGAAGAATCATTGTCAACAAGTCGTAAGCGACAACATGGTTCGGAAGAGGATGAAAAGAGGCAATCACACGAGAGTAACAACAAGCGACGTGTGGCGGTGGTGCAAAAGCGGTCGGCTGGTAAGCCGTTGTACACTGAGTGGGATAGCCAAGAGCCCCTTCACCAACAACAGCATCACAGCGTGACCAATGAGGGGCAAGTGCATGTGACCTCATCATCTCCCACATCTTCGCACGCTTACAGTAGTAGCAGCAACAGCAACGTTGGCGATGATGGTATTACCGGAATGCACCCGACAGCAGCATCAGCCATGGCTCATACTCGTTTGCAGCAGCAGCATTCACAAACATCAGTACCACCCATGTGCTTTGCCACTGATACAACATCGTCATCGTCTTCAAGTCCTATTGACCCTGCATTTGAGTTGCCTATGACACCTTCCATGTCACCAGCTACTTCTTCAATGTATGACTCTTACCCAACATTGCACGTTCGACATGCAGCTACTGCATCATCCATGGTTGATCAGCAGATTTACGCCACCACCACTTCACCTTGCAAACCTGCATGGACATCGCATCATGGCTTTGATGAAGAGGCTTTTCCAATAGAGTCATCATTTGCTTATCATCATCACCCGCATCAGAGCACCGTGTCGGATTGGTCCCCGATGTCCCGATCCGTTAGCACACCCCTTTTGTGGCAAGGTAGCAATTCTGGTGATATGCAACACAACCACCACCACCATCATCACCACCACAGCTCATCCTCGTATTTACCGGTTTGGGCATCATCAACAGATGAGGTATGTGCACACTCTTATCACGATTATTGTAATGTACTTATACATGTATAACAATTAGGTGGTGTCAACTACTCCCACTACTACTACTCCCACTACACCTACTCTTGTTGTAACGCCGTCATCCTGTGTGCAACCACCACTATCCATTGGAGTAGCAACATCTGATGCTACAGCTGCTGACGAGAATAAAAATGCTTTTGATGATCTCGCTCGTTTCATTACTGCTGCTGTGGTGGACTATTCTGGCACTAACATCTCTGCACCCTCCTCCACACCTTTTGATATTCGCTGCTGGCCGGAGCTGGTGTCGATGTAACAAATGTCCACAACATCAACGGTATCATTATTCCTTCCCTTTCCTCCACTCATATACACTCTTTTATTATTATTACCTGTTATTATTCACCCTACATATCCCAAACTCTTGTATATGCTTCTATGCCGCCGCCGTCGTCGTGTGTTTATAGCCTTTTGCTCTCTCTCTTTCTCTTTCTTTTCCTCTCTCCTTTGTATGATCACTCTACGCATATACACCTTATGCTATATAGCTCTCCTCCCTTCTCTCTCTCTCTCAATTCCCCCCTTTTTATTGTATGTTTTCTTATCCCTCCATCTTAATTATGTCCTTCTTGGTGTCGATTGTAAGGTGGGGCTTACTTTCCACGACAAAGTAATCCACTGGATTTTCGCTGGTCGAGGCGATCAATCACCCAACATGTATATTCGTTTTCTTCCCTTTTTTTATTAATTGCTTGTTCCATACTTGAATTTCTTTTATTATGTGTTCTATCGATAAACGGTTCTTCGTCTTCTTTCTATAAATGCAATTCTGCTGGTCGTGTGTGTGCAACGTGGAGCGATTACATCTGATCAAATGTCAGCTGCTGGGATGGATATCCTTCGCACTTCCTCTTTACTCTCTACATTCCACTCCACAGCATGCAAAGCCCAATTATCGTCGACAGTGGAACAGAAGACCGTTCGCTACGATCAGAGCAATATGGTACGTCAATGTGCGACAACCACTACCACCAACGTTTTGCGTTACGCCATGATGACAACTTCAAAGGCTGATGGATCCCCATTTGAATACAAACAGCTGCTGTCGCGTCCATGCTTAATCTGAACGCCACCCATGCCGACAATGTTTTGGAAACAACACCAGCTCCAACTTCTTCAAACAGCAATGAGAATGGTGGGATGCTTTGGAAGGCTCTTATTTTCGACAAGTTTGGCCAAGATATCATCTCATCTATTATGCGTGTCAATGATCTACGCGAGAACGGTGTCACTGTGCATATGTAAGTATTGATGGTATATTGTAGTGATGGGTATTTGACTAACCATAGGCAGGCTGCTTTCTCAGGATCGATCTTCTCTTCCAGATGTCCCTGCCGTATACTTTGTTGAGCCCACATCCGAGAACGTCAAGAAGATTTGTGAAGTATGTATGGTTGCTATGGCATTTGAAGGAGTTACTGATCGCTGGTATGATAGGATATGAGTCGTGGATTATATGAATCATACTACATCAACTTTTGTTCAACCATCCCACGTCCTATTCTTGAAGAACTCGCATCAACCACAGCTGCCAATGAAACATCCGATCAAGTTACTCAAGTATGGAAGTTGGATAACGTACATGTATAATAGCATGTTAACAATGGGTTTGATAGGTCTATGATCAATACCTCAACTTCATATGCACCAATCCAGACGTATTTTCTCTCAATCAATCGCAGGTGTTTGTCACTCTCAACAATCCTGGTGCCCCAGAAAGTTTGATTGATGAAACGATTGATAAGGCCGTCAATTCTCTCTTTTCGGTCATTGTCACTATGGGTAAGTGTGGACGGGTGATTCAAACATTCCATGTATCGTTGATGTGTATTCATGCAGGCGTCATCCCCATCATTCGGTGCCCACGAGGAAACGCTGCGGAGATGATCGCTACCAAGTTGGATAGCAAACTACGTGATCATGTCATGAATTCACGGGCCAACCTCTTTTCAAACAGCTCATCCAATTTACAACGACCAGGTAGGCATGATCAGCACACTGGCAACGTATAGCAGAGGATATTAACGTGGGCTTTCATTCCATTAGTATTGATTTTGCTGGATCGTAATATGGATTTGACCCCCATGTTGAGCCATTCTTGGACATATCAATCTCTTATTCATGATGTTCTCGAGATGAAATTGAACCGGATCACTATCGAGGTATGTCATATTTCTTCCGGGTGGATGGTACGCATATGTATATTGATATCTTTGGACATAGGCAGATGAAAAGATCAATCAAACCAGGAAGAGCTATGATATTGAAAACAAGGATTACTTTTGGAGCCGAAATGCTTCGAATCCCTTCCCACAAGTAGCTGGTAAGTACATAGCGATGTCGAGGAATGATGTACGTGCATTAAATGGTGGCATTTTACAGAGGACATTGATGTGGAGTTGAACAAGTACAAGAGCGATGCAGCTGAAATTACGCGCATGAGCGGTGTTAATTCTCTCGAAGATGTCAACCAACTCGACTTATCCAACAATACCAAGACTTTGAAATCTGCCATCACAGCCTTACCCGAGTTGACAGCAAGGAAAGCTACTCTTGATTTGCATATGAACGTGGCAACTGCACTGCTCAACAAAATCAAAGATCGACAACTCGATACCTTTTTCCAGATTGAGGAGAACATTACTAGACAGGTAGGAACATCCTTTTTTCCATGTTGGTTCTACCCACTAACCAAACATGTGCATGCATAGAACAAAAACTTGTTGCTTGAAGTCATCCGTGATCAAGAAAAGAAGAATCCAGAAGACAAGATGCGTTTATTCTTGATCTACTACCTATCAACGGCTGATGAAGTACCAAAGGAAGATATGGATGCATATGAAAAGGCATTGGGAGAGGCAGGATGTGACATGACACCTTTGGAGTATATCAAACGGTACGTTGGGGATATTTTTACAAGTCATATCCATTGACAAAGGAGCTAATACACGGTACAGCGTACGACAGCTTATGCGGATGACTTCAATGATCTCTTCGCCTTCGGTTGGCCAATCTTCTGGATTCTCACAAAATGACCTATTCCGTGGTTTTAGCAGTATTGGCAACAAGGTACATGCTCTAACATCAAGGAGAAGGAAAAGAATGATTCTAATAGGCTTACCTCTTAGCTGACGGATCGGTTGAAAGAAGGAGGATTAGGCGGCAGCTTCGATAATCTATTGTCAGGCGTCAAGAATTTATTACCTGCACGTAAAGAGCTCGTCATTAGCAAGATCGTTGGCGACATTATGAATCCACCACAAAACGAACCATCCAAGGCTGATGATTACTTGTACTTTGATCCCAAATTGAGCCGCAACTCGCGTGCGCCACGTCAACACAAGGCTTCTTTCCAGGAGGCAATCGTTTTCGTTGTTGGTGGTGGTAATTATGTGGAATACCAAAATCTCCAGGAGATTGCAAATGTAAGTATGAAAGGATAATGGGGACATAGGATGATTTACTAATCTCGGTGGAATAACTTTAACCAGCAAAACAATCAAAAGAAAAAGATCACGTATGGATCGACAGCAATATTATCGCCGCATGAATTCTTGGATCAGCTAGCCACGTTGGGTAGAGAATCAAATGCTTAAACAACGACAACAAAGACTATAATGCATCTTAATGACGAGAACCATGTGGGAGTTTAAGTTAATGCAGGTTGTGGGGTTGACCATTGGTACACTCGCGTGTGTGAATGACCGAATGTGACCTTGAATCACAATCAATTGATTTCATTTATATCATGCGAATATTGAGGGGGTGATTTTGAGGAGTACAAGCTTAAGGAGAAAAGAATAATACATGCACGTAGACTCACAGTAGCAAGAACAATCAAATGAGGCAAGTGCCTCGTCTGAGGCTGGAATGCGAACAAATGTGACACGGCAGATGGTATCCCAGCTGAATACTGCAGCTATTGCTATCGTAGCTGAGGATGGGATGTGGAGGTAATTCAATGATTGGCGATAAAGAATACAAGGATAAAGTAGTACAATCATGGCAAGTGTTTTATTGTGAACAAAGATAGTACAAAGGAAACAAAGGATCTACTATGCTATTGCTACAACAAAAAAACCACGCGACATGCTGCTCGGATGAAGATCCGATTAGGAGATGAAAGGGGAAAGGGGATGAATGTAATGTGCCAAGGTTTTATTGCGGTCTTCTTTCCTAAACAAAGAGCTCACTCGTGTGGCAAAATGTATGGTGGTACAGATGCACATGTCTTTTTTCATGTCCAACATTGAGTGTTGTACCGTTTGGTTTCCTTTCTTTTCTTTCTTTCTCGTATTTTCTTCTTATTCTCGCTTTTTTCACACACACATTTCTCTGCTTCATTTTACTCGTTGCCTGCCTTATCGACACTGGCTCAATGTCCAATGAACCCATCTTTTTCAACGCACAATAAGGGTAGCAGTTCTGTGCGTGAATCGATTCTCTCAACCACCACTCGCCCTGTGTCCCGAAAGTGGAAGCAACTGGTTTCGAAACTAAAATGGTTCAATAAAAGGCAGCAACCCGATTTTAGGCCGAAGTCTACTGGCCAAGCAATCACATCTACAAGAAGTATTACGAGACGACGTTATAGCAGCGATGAGCTTACACGCACCAACGAATATCCTTTTTACACCGCACAAAGAGGTAAAAAGAAGGCATCATTATCATCAATGGGGTGATTAACTTGAGTGCATATTCTTTATAGAAACAACGAGTAAAGAGCAACAACAGCCAAATACTGATGCAGGACCATCAAAGCAACAACTACATGTTTCATTACCGGCAGGACCGGTATGTTCGGCATTATCACCACCCCCTCGACCATCAATGGTAGCTCGACGTGTCAACAACAATACACATCCAAGCATGAGTCGCCGCCAAAGCAGCACAAACACAAAACAACAAGAAGGTGACATTGTGCAACCACAGCCGCGTCGGTCATCCTCATCACGACCCATGATCCAGACTTTCAACTTGCGATTGTCTATCGATATTGAGCGTCAAAGCATGCTATGTGGAAGTCCATCATCAGCAACAACATCGAGTATTAGCGGTGAATCATATGCACCATCATTATCACGACCTACAACACCTTTTCGTAGCGGCACGCTTGGTTCTCACAGCTATCCTTTCCCACCTACAACAACAAGTTCAGCTGTGCCACCTGTACCTGATATACCACCACTCAAAGAACGTCGTAAACGTCGAAGCCCCATGTCAATACCAGATGACTTGACACTTGATTTGAAACGTAGTTCTATTTCTGCTGCAAGTGCAACCGAGATTGAACGAGAAAAAGCCATGGATGCACTTGAAGGCAAAACATCATCATCAGCTTCATCATCATCTTCATCCTCCGTTTCATCATCCTTGTCCTCAGCCATTGATCGTGATAAGGCACAATATGAAGCTGTGGTAGCACGCACTCAACGTCGTCGTGCAGCAGCTGCTGCGGACTCTCCACCCAATTCTTCTTCTTCTTCAAGACGACCTATGATCTCCTCCTCCACCCAACAGCAACAACAGCACGTGTATTATCCAGCTACTCCGAATTCCATGGTCACCGTCATTGGCCATCATCAACGTGTTGATGACAATGGTCATCTCTACAAACAAGTAGATACCTTGACTTGATAGATTTTCTTCTTTACTTTGTATACACACAACCCATTTTCATTCCCCATCGCTGGTTCGAGAAGGATACCCCACCACTTCCTTTCCCTCTCTGTTTGTTTCAATATTATCCCTGTCATTCACTTTTTTTTCTTTCTTAGCAGTAGTTGCAATGTTTTGATATAAAGAGCATGGTGGATTTGATAACTCTGCAAGGTCATTATAGTGTGTATAAAACGAAATCATGTTGAATGGGCATATACAAATGTTAATATGTGCTAGGTGATACAAGTCTAAAAAATTGCCATTGTATTATCGCAGTTCATACTGGTTCCACCGCTTATTGTGCTCATCATTGTCGTCGTCGCTGTTGTCCAGACCATCTTTGCTTTCACGATAGTTTGTCATGGCACCATCAACAAGTAAAATGGGCGTGCTTTCAGCCACCATGCTGTATATGGGTCCTGATGATTGTGGTGATAAATGCTCGCTTGTGTCTCCATCATCTGAGGCTATCTGATGGTGTAGCTCCTCGTCGTGTATATGCTTACGGGCTTGTTCAGCCGCCCGTCTCAATTTGAGCCAGTTGTAGAGAGCGATACCAAATAAAGTGATGCATAGACCAATCGTGTTGATGACTGTCAATCGATCGCCAAACACAAGCGTGGATATAAAGATAGTTGCTACTTCCTATATATGCCAAATGTCAGCATTCCATCATATACATGCCCACATCAATCCCAATCTTACCTTGAAAATACCACAAACACTTAACGTAACCACGGATGTACGCTTTATCAAGAAAAACTCAGACGAGATCATAACGAATGCCAATACGCCTCCAGCCAAGATGGTAAGAGCCTAAGGACACGTTGTTAGCTCTTTGTTCTTTAAGCCATCTCCCACACACACGATACTCACTGTGTATAATCCATCCTCGAATGTGACAAAAAAGACGCTTCCAAAGATGGTTGGGTATCCTTCCACAGCTGCTGCCAGAATCAATAGCACCACCGCTTGAGCAGGAGCCAAAAAGAAAATCGATGCGAATGGATTGGATAAGCCCATGCTTTCTTTACGCAACAGCACCTCCGTTAATGACCAACGTAAACCACCACAGGCTGCAGCAGTCATGACAGCTATAAATCTGACAGGGCTGTTAATATCCTTTCACCTAACCAGGGTGGCTATGGCACTTACCCAACCAACTCAAATTCCGTTTCATCAGATACCATAAGAAGCACACCAACAATGATAATCAAGATAATGCAAATGAGTTTGATGCTTGGTTTCTCGAGGCGGAATAGGAATGCAAAGACCAATACGAATGCAAGCGTGGAAGATTTGCACATGGCTTGAATAAAAGTTAGTACTTCATGTCCTATATGGCATGTCTTGCTATTGCACATACTGTAGAAGGATAATGTAATGGTCTTGAGAGAGAGGTTGGAGAGACCAATATCGAGGCTGGTGGCAAGAGCACATGGGAAGACCTTGTACCTATGAAACGCGTTGATAAGCACTTGTATTATTGGATTGCTGCTTCCGTAACATACATGTAATCCTTGATCGTCGGCCTTTTAGGTGGTCGGATTTTGGGAACGAGCAACAATGAAAGACCAGCAAAACCGAATTGCACCACCATGTGAATGCTGGATACAAAGAGAGGGAATTGGAAGTTGTAATGCTCGGCTGAAAACATCCATTTGTTGTAGACTGATAAGAATGTAGCAAACTACACAATGAATATCATCAATACCACCACGAGTCGTCCCTGAATCGGCTTTACTATACCGTGTACCTAGAAACGAAAGGTTGGTTTTAGTGATACGAAGCTATCCCTCTTTTTTCATGGCATGATAGTCTTACCATGATAATATCCAAAACAAGTTGATCGCTGACGACTTTAAAAGTGCTTTCTTATGTGCGCTAAGCGTGTGCTGTGTTTTTGTTGGCCTGTCATCGTCTGTGGATAGCAATCGTTCCGATGACATTGGATCGTGGTCTTGTAACGGATAGCTGTCATCATCCATCGACGATCGCAGCTCGATGTTGTCATTGATAGCTGAATGGGGCCGTGTGTCGTCAATGGCAGTGGGCATGTCTCGTATCGATAAAGGCTTTGCGGGGGTAAATGGTATAAAGCGTGGTTAAGGTTGTTCAAGGGACAAGAGGAATAAAATGAAACAGATCCCCCACCCCCACTCCGCACGCTGATCAAAGCACCTCTTCAGTTGATGTTGTTAACATGCATGTTGGCACCCAAATGATGATAAAATCTCTAATTGATCATCAATCAACAATTCTGCTCTTGGCTAAAGGTGTCGTACGCATTTGAGCCCATATTGTCACGTGAGCGAAAAATGAAAGAACGCGTTCTATCGAACATTGTTCCATGCATACAATTCAACGTACATCATTGTACTACCTGTCATAAGGGTGTCCACATTATCCGCTTGCAGCATTTACCACATCCAAGTTTGATAAGCCCGATCCAGCTCTTTACCCTCCCCCACACAAATGATAGCTCACACATCCATCACCACTATAAATAATTAGCCCCTTCATTCCCAGTTTCATACGTTGGATCATGTATTATTAGAGTATAGGTGTGGGGTTTCTAATAATATCTTCAGGCAATGTAGAAGGCTCCGGACTTGAAGTAGTAGGGTAATCGTGCCCAAATTGTAGTACTCGGCGATCCTTAATGTATCGTTGGTCAATTTGTTCCAATGTTTCATTCGCTGCTCGAGGATGAGGTAAATTAGGATCATAAAACCTAAAGTTGGCACTGAACAGCAAATCGATCTCCTCCAACGACATGCCCTACCGGTATCTAAGTGAGCTACTGCATATCGTGTTTCATTGTTGTTCTAGTAGTTACCTTTGTTTCTGGAAAGTAAAGATATACAATGACCGCAATACATATGCTGAAAATACAATAGACCAAGAAAACTTTCCATTGAATGCTGGTAAGTGCGATGGGCGAAAGTTCTGTCACACCAAAAGTGAAAAACCAATTGACAGCCGTGGCAATGCTAAATCCCTTAGCACGAACGCCTATGTAACCACAATCACCATGCACCATTCATGAGTCCATATTATCCATCTTGGCAGAGATACCGTACTTACCATTTGGGAAGAGCTCCGCTGGATAGATCCATCCCAATGGTGCCCAGAAACATCCATACGTGGCAAGGAATAAGTAGAATATCACAAAGAACGCAACGGAACTTGCACGTGGCTCATGTAGGAACAATGCTGTGGTTTGATCCGAGAGATGATCGTAAAAATCCCCCATCCCAGAAAATCGGCTCCCAGCGACTGATGATATAGCTGCTAGGATAGCCATCCATAAAGCACTGAGTACAGCACCGGCAATCATCCCATGTCGTCGATGCCATCGATCAATTAAGCATACAGGTAACAGCGTTGAAACCACAATCACCGATCCACTGATGGCGTTTGCTATATAATAAGCCTTAATGATGATCCCATACACCTCCTCCCAAAAGTTCTCCTACTGTACCAAAAAGTGTGGCTACATGCCCATTGAGCCCAATAGCACGGAAGATGAGTGGAGAATACAACCTAATTGATCAGCAGCAATGTAATGATTAGCTATGGATAATCCAAGATGCCAATCTCTATTATAAACGTACATAAGGGTATTGGCTCCTGTAAGTTGCTGAAATGCCAATGATGCACACGCAAGGATCACACGACGAAGATTGTTATCGCTGCTACGACGAAATAGCTCCCTGTATCCTTTCTTGGTGTATCTTTCTTCAAAGCATATCCTCTGCTTGATTTCGGCAAACTCCATTAGCACCTCTCGATGTCGTGTACTTCCATCTCCTCGTATCATAGCGAGTGTCCGTATCGCTTCCTTGTCACGATGCTTCTGTATCAAGTATCTTGGGCTGTCATGTTATGCATATCAGCAAATCTCTACTTTGATATAGCGAAGATCCAGGTAGTATACTACCTTTGCGGAACAAAGAACAAGCCAATCGCGTAGATAGCATTAGGTATGAGCTGCACACCAAGTGGGATCCTATATCATATGGGTTGCTTAATGACTTTGAAGAGACCTACCATATTTCATTTACCTCCATGAACGACTAGTTTGCAATGATGTGCATCCAAACGTGATCCAAAAGTCGACCGAAATACCAAGAACGATGCATAGCTGATGGAAAGCAATGAATCTTCCCCGAGAGCTGGGTGTTGCAATCTCTGTGATGTCTGTATGTAGATATGGAAACATAGATATTTGCTGATGAGATACATTGTTTGTGACAAGAGCTCAAATCCAACGGCTTACAAAGCGGGACTACCATTGACAACATTCTCAAAGCAATGTGCGTGAGTCACATGATGATGATAATATGAATAAAGTACACTCCTGCTTACCCAACACTGATGCCCACTAAGGTGCGACCTGCGTATATCTTTGCCATTTCATCGGCTGCCACCAGTAGTAAATTTCCCAGCATGCATAACAAGGAGCCAAAAAGAGCAAGACCACGACGACCAAGGAAATCCGCCAATGGACCACCCAACAAGGCACCGACAACAGCACCGATCATCATGGTAGTGATAATGATAGTGTATACTTCCAATTCCTCAACAATGCGAAAGTGCTTCAAAAAGTTAGGCATAACCATGACACTTGCCATGGCAACCAAGTTGTACCCAAACTATGCATCCATATCAGCAATCCATGTTACACAATGTCTCTCTTTTTTTCCTGCAGCTCACCAAAAATCCACCCAGCGACAAGAAGCTATCTTTACCAGTAAGTATTCAACAAGTCCTTCCTCATGAGCAAGAGTGTGCTTACGTGCAAAGTGCAATGAGCCGTGTTTTAGTCGAACTGAAGAGCTGCATTTTGGCATCCCAGCCCAGTGGTGGATGATGGCGCAAGAACGTTAGGCATTTCATCGAAAGCCTTTTTTCCGCAATGGCAATACAAGCTGTCTAGATCCGAGATGTCCCAGAGAAAGCAGAGGTAGCAAACTTGAGTAAGAGGGAAGAAGCAGCCATAAAGGGTAAGTGAAAAAGACGAGGAAAAGGTTGATTTCATGCTGTCTTGGACGAGTCTACAACATACCCAATACATTCACCATCTTCGTTTGAAGCTATTCTCCGTCGTACACCTACTCATCCTCAAAGTACAAACAACGTCTTCATTGGGTTTGATTTGTTATTAGCCGGTTGCTTGGATATTCTCATCACCAAGATCTCGTTGCCCCGTTGTCAAGGTGTGTGTCCATGCTACGCTTGTGTTATTAGCCATTCCACACATTCATTGTTGTGTCTCTCAGCAGGTGCCACCCGTTATGGAATCAGGTTTTCATGATCCTTTTTTGTCAAACGTATCCATCTTTCCAGCCATCAAGTAGTAGGAAAATTAAATATATCGCCGAGGACGAGGCGTTGTAGTAGTAGTGTATGCTTTTGCTCTCAATTCGATGATCATCATAATGGGCGATCCAAAGCACCTGTATCCTGCCACAAGTTTCCCACATGCAAATAAAGACCTGATCTTATTGGACAATACGCACGTGTCTGCTGCTGCCATCTGAGTCAAGAGCTTATGCAATGCATCAAGTGATGTTTATATCGTGAAATTCAAGGGAAAAGGAGATGTCTGCCACGTCTAAATAAAATCACACAAACACACACACGCCAACGAATCAGGTCGATTGTATGTGTAGTTCAAGTGATGAGTGAAAAAACATCCTTTGCGCATTGACCAGCGTCATCTTGGTGGCAGCAATATCACCCACAGGGGTTGTGAAGGGGTTTTGCCTGTAGGGGAAGAAACGTAGTGCCCTGGTTTGGATACATTGGTTTCTTGAGGAAAGGTTTCGCGGGTCACATTATAGGAACGATAAGGACATGTATGTTGCTAGGTGCATATCAGGATCAAGCAACTACACCAAAGCCAGTGGGTTAGGCCCATGATACTGGTAGAAAGCTGTATGTTAATTCCATACGACTAAAATAATAATTGTCATGTGATACCAGGCACGTATGGAAGCCTAAATGTTGCCCTTCTTCTTGTGGACTGAAAAGTGAGCCTTTTTCACCAAGGATCATCATCATGAGCACACTCGGGATGGAAGGTAATAATAGTGCTGTTAACAAAGACAACCACGTGAAGACTAATGCTTGTTTTTACCGGAAACATAGGCGGCATGTATTCGAGACGCGGGGTTGTACCTATCAGGTACACATAATGGGCCTGCTTTTTACGACCGAAAAAGCACAGCGTTTACATGACCATTGGATATTGCTTTCAAGCAAGTTGTGATAAAAGTGGAAGAAGCGCCGTCTCATCGTGAGCATACAAATTAGCTTTACATATCCTTGCATTGGGTCATGAGGCCACGTTTTTCTGGATTCAGTTGTATGCTGCAAGCAACGCGCATCGGGTAAATAAGTTTACGAGGGAAATGACGAAATGAGTTAGAAGATCCAGCTAGCAAAGCGAAACGATGATAGCATTTTAATGGCGCTGGTCTACGTTATCTCTCTCTTTTATCAGTAACTGACACGAGTTTATCTCAACCCTTTGGTGCTGTGATCTTTATTCGTATGCGTTTCGAGCGCAATGATCATTGTGACACAGCAATGGATGCTATAGATATGGCCTTGGTTGTGGTTTTAAAAAGTGTGTGCAAAGACACATGCATTGAGCTCGATGTGATGATCGACTTACGAGGGACAACCTAGAAAACAAACAACAAACAACGCGAGAATCGTAAAGATGCATATCGACACTTTTCGGAAAATTCGTCGAGAACCAGGAGAATCAATCGGCTGCAATGATAAACGAGGCGAAAAGCAATCCGATTGTGTCAATTTCATGAGATGGTATTGAGATGTTGTATTTACACAGGGAAAGAGCGATTGAACTTTCACCACCGTGCGTGATAGGATGTGCATAAACACACACACGCACACACATACAAGACCATCAACAAACGGAAACTTTCCCTCCATTTCCTTTTTTCTTTACTTTTCATCTACAGGTGCCAACACTTGCTCTTCTTTCGTCTCGTGCTGCAGTCCCCCTTTCAATGACACAGCTTTACAGCTCCTCGGCCAAATTATTTTCGTTACTATACTCGTCCAACAAGAGCGGGCGACACCAACAACAGCACCAGCAACAACAACATAATTCATCCATATCTTCAAATACCACACATATTGCTGTCATCACTCAAAAGGATGGCACTGTAGTTACTCGATGCTTAAACAGGCGCCCTTTAACATCGCCGACCGATTCTTCAATATCCAACAGCACATCACAAAGCTCCAAGAAGCAGCGCTGCTTTGCCTTTTTGAAATTCTCCGGTTTAAGGAACCGATCCTCACCTTTAGTGGCAGGGCCATCATCATCACCTTTACCATCATGTGAGTTTACATGATTGATTAACTTGAAGAAGCGCAAGATCTATTTTTATTAAACCATGCTAATGAATCACTTAGGCGATATCCTGCAACGTCTTCCACCTGAGGTCATTCAACTTGTGCTTGTGTATCTCGACTGTGCAAGCATTGCAACCCTATCAAGGACAAATAGACATATGCATGCAGTGTGCAGTGACGATGGTTTATGGCGTACGCTATTGACTCGACACTTTGGTGCTCGAATCAAGCATCCTATTTTACCAGCATCTGACTATTATCGCCATCATTCACTTTTGGAAAAAAGATGGCAACGAGGGCAAGCACAAGCACGGTATATGGTGGGGCATACAGATAGCGTCTATTGTATTATGCGGTATGATGAACGATACCTTGTCAGTGGTAGCAGGGATCATTCTATACGCATTTGGGATTTAGCAACATACACATGCGTGGCAAGTCGCACACATCACGATGGCAGCGTATTGTGTCTCAAAATTCAGCGTGATAGCGGACATCATTGGATGGTATCTGGATCATCGGATGGTACATGTGTCATTTGGCATTCGCTACCAGCCTTGGTTCCTGTACATCGCTTACGAGGTCATACGAATGGTGTATTGGATGTATGCATTGTCAATGAATGGATCGTAAGTGCCTCACGTGATGGCACGGTGCGTGTTTGGGATCAGCTTACGGCAAAGGAAATTCGCCGTCTCGATGGCCATGGTGGACCTGTCAATGCACTACAACAAATTCGTGGTACATCACATGTTGTTTCAGCTTCAGGAGATGGCACACTTAAAGTATGGAATGTGGATACTGGAGAGTGTTTACGAACTCTTGTTGGGCATCTACGTGGTCTCGCATGTGCAAAATATGATCCCATGGCTGGAAGGATCTTTAGTGGTGGCCAAGATGCATTGCTTAAAGTATGGAATGCCAATACTGGTGACTGTAAAGCAACACTCGTTGGCCATGATCAGCTCATTCGTACAGTGGATTGTTACGGGGTATGTTATTATCATCCCTTTTTGTGTATGGGGGGAGGTGGATCAATTAAAGTGCATCAAAGGATGATGCTCTATATAAGGGTCATTCAAATTCATTGCTCTCTTTTGTATTCTTCTATAGGATCGTGTGATCACAGGCAGCTATGATCGTACTCTCAAGGTCTGGGATGCCAATACAGGTCAATGCCTGTTAAACTTTCAAAACGCTCATGACAGCTGGATTTTCAATGCATTGATTAGCCCCACACAGATTATCAGGTAGATCAAAGAAAAGCCCCGAAGGAGTGCTATCCGAAATCAAGATGTGGTCATGCTCATGTGTGTTTATTTATTGTTACTATAGCGCCGGTCAAGATAAACGGATTTTAGTACTAGATTTTGGTCATGACTTGCATCTCGGAGAAAGCAGTTGTTGAATACACAAGTTAATGTGCTTTCTTATGATGATGATGGTTGATAGTATTCAAAAGGGTATGAAGATGGGTGAAACAAACAAGCGAGAGAACACCTTGATGGTTACGCTGACAAGGGAAAAGAAAAGGGTGATGCATCAGGGTATGCAATTTTCCGATAATAAGAAAGAGCATCCATTACTACTACTATTGCTATGGTGATGGATCATGTTGTTGTACTAGCTTGGGCACCATGATGGGAATTGGGGCAGCCGACGAGATGATGTTGCCTGGCAACGGGGATTAAGCTACTGCCAAGAGTTTTCGACTGGGCGTTTGAGATAAGCAAAGAGACGATCCTTTTAGCTCATTAAGTTGATACCATAAAATTAAGAATGCCGTAACAAAGATGTCATGGTGATGATTTGGCACAACGTTGCACACACTGCTGCTTGCCAAATTATGCAAATGGAGGAAGGATGATGGGTACCCGGTACTACCATGAATGCAGGAGGCTGTTGATGGGCTAAAGAAGCAATACAAAGACGCAAGACACATCACGGCATATGGAGATATATGAAAGGTTGCTATGCGCCCACATGTAAAATAGGAGGTTGGCAAGCAAGAGGGAATAGCCCGATATTAGCACAAATGGCATCCAATCACTGGCTGTAATGACGTAGTGCCAACAAGCTCATAATGCGCATGTGCGGTCGTCGTCGGTTTTTTGCCTTTCACTTTTCCTCTTCTCATCTAAGCATTCCGTCATTATGAGACTAAGCAAAGTGACATCACTCGTTTCTCTTGCTTTTGTTGGAGCAGGTAAGTGATTGTATAGAACGAGCACATTGAAAACAGCTCTCGGGACTAATGTGAGCAATGCTTCCACCACACTCCATATCCTCATTGTCAACCTCTTCTTCCTTCACACGTGGTCTGTGCATTTTGAACGACTCCAGCTATTGCAGCTCCTCTTCAAGACTTATCCACCACATCCATCGACGTTACTGGTGTTCCAGCAAACGTTAAAGGCGATGAGCATTTGTATGTTACAGTGACACGCACTGACGACCTTGTTGACGACGATGGATCATTGCTCGCCGAGCGTGTGATGGCTGTTCAAGTATCCTTTGATGTGATTGAGAACCAGGTATATAAATGATGCATGAATTCGATTTTCTTTATGCTTACGCATGCAATGATAGCTGCATTGTAACGGTGTACCCGTTGACGTCGGGGTGTCGAATGTTCAAGTTGAAGCTGCCGTTGCACCAAATCCAGAAAAGCTGATGATCGCCTCTGAAGAAGAAGCTGCCATCTTGGAAGATACTTTTGATATTGGCCTTGCTAATGTGGAAGTCCATGCCACTCTTTTGGATGAAATCAAGCTCGATGATGGTACCACCTTCCGTCGTATGGCTATCGAAGAACGTATCACCGAGATCAATGGCGAACAAGTGGTTCAAACCAATGCTGGTCAACAAATTTTGGATGTCTTTGATAATGGCAAGGTGGAGCGATGGGCAGTGGATCCTCTTACTGGTTTCTTGCTTCCTGGTCCTGCTATGGTTGCTGAGGAGGAGAATGCTGATCAAACCCAGGAGAAACAACAACATGACGACATGTCATCTGGTAGGTTTTTTAATTTATCACCCGTTTTTTTCTTCTTGTTTTCTTTCTTTCTTTCCATGATCAACCTGACACTAATGCATTCAAATCATCTCCAGAACCCCACAACATTGCACAACCACCCCCCAACATGATTCCAGAACACGCCGGTCAAAAGGGATGTGCCTCAGCTCTTGTTGATCCTATGGTGACTTGGTGGAATGAACAAAGCACAGCTGTTCGTGGCATGATCACTGGTGGTGTATGTGCATTTTTCCTCGCCATTGCTATGGTTATCCGCCAAATCATGGTCTCAGCTCACGATGAATACGAGCCCATTGCGTTGTCTGACAAGGAAGATGAACAGGTCTGGTCAACCACCGAGAAAAAGGATGAAGAAAAGCAACCCTTCCTTTCGTAAAGCAACTCTTTCACATATACGATCACTTTCCTCTTTACTCCCCAATATGAAAGCAACAATGAATCAATTTTCGTTACACAACTTTAGCTAAAACATGTTGGCTTGAACTTTATTGTGCATTCAATGCACATTAGATATATATATATATATATACGAGAGAGAGAGAGAGCAAAAGAGAGAGAAAGAGAACGTATCGGATCGGCTATAATGATCCTTTTGGTATCTAATTAACATATGATGTAAACAGCAACAAAGAAAGGTGTGCGTGTAAAAAGAAAACGAGCGGGATGTTATGTACAAAAGAGAGAAAAGAGAGAGGAGAGGAGAGGAGGAGGACAATAGTCGTCAAATGATGACAGATCACGAAAAGATGGCAGAAAGATTTCGGTGTTGTTGTTGGTAAGAGTCCTTTTTGCGGATGGTGCCAATGAATCGTTTTAACTTTACGGTCAAATTCTTGTTGTGATCGGCGGCAGTGGATGAGGAAGAAGACGAGGATGATGAAGAGGCGCTCGACGCGGTAGAAAGTGTTGGTGATTGGGGTTCTTGCTCGAATACGGTATCCGGTAGAGGCGTGTCAATATCAAAGTGTTCGACGAATCGTGAAGCCATGACGTAAATTTGATGATTTGCAGAAAATGAAAAGTGAAAAATGAAAAAGAAAACGAGCGGTTGGGGGTAGTGGTTTATATATTGGTACAAGCAAAGAACCCACCACCTACCTGCCATCCACCTTTTTTGACCCCGCTCCCGATCCGTCATTTTTCATACCTAAAAGGAAAGGATCGTGTGTGGGTGACACAATGAAACTCAAAGGCGTGTTGTGTGTGTGCGTGGTGGGTGTGTGCTTTTTGGTGCCCTGTTGTGTGCTCCTTTGTTCAGCGACGGTCTGGAACACGGCTACCCTAATTCAGGCTCCACCCTTCGATATACACTTTTCGCCCTGTATAGCCAACATCCCTCTTGATCACTTTGCTCCTACTTGTATCTCACATTTTCATTCATTGTTTTCTCCTATGCTGTATAGTCCACTGCATCAAACATCCCGATGACCTGCTTCTATTAGTGCGTGATGAGATCTATTCTGGTCATTGTTTCTGATCGTTTTAAATACTTGTGTAACAGTGATCGACCCCATTGCTAAAAAAAGCACCCAATGCAGGGACATGGAAGATGTCGACTCGCTGCTACAATTGGAGGTGTCTTTGACGCCCTGTCACCCTCGTTAAGATCCGGGTCACCATTCCCAAACATGAACATGGTGCGGACACAATATTGAGATTTCTAGTTCCGTGTACCTGACAGTTTTGGCGATCATGTTGGGGAATAAAGCAACAACAATAACATATAATTAACATTCATGCATGACTTTACGCAGCCCACATTAACATGTGCCTGTATTTGGAGATTTGTTGGTTTCTTTTTTTTGGGATGCAGGTTATCCCATATCGGAAAGTGATAGAGAAGAAAAAAAAAGGATGTCATGTACGTAGTCATCACTTGCACCCAGCAAAAAGTAGATTTTCTGCCATCGGCGAAGAAATACCTATATCATTTGGGAAGACCAACAAGGCCACACACACACGTGCACGTCCCAAGTTAACGAATAAAGTTGGTGGTGGTGGTCTGTGGTGGTGGGGCCATGTACACACATACACCATACTCCCTCTCAACATTATGCCAGGATGTGCTACAAGTGTGCCCCATTGTGCAAAGAGGACCCCCTGGCCAAAAAGTGCATACTTTTTCCGCACAGGACTTGCTCAGGGGTTGCTCCGCATTAGGATAGTCGGATTCGAATGCTGGGTTGTCCCACGTTTTATTAGGTTGAGTTGCAAAAAAGCGATATAGAAAATACGCTTTCCCCCAAAAAGCAAGCGTTCTTCATATATCGGTGAAAACCAATCATAACCATCATCACTCATTCTGAGTACGTATCCATAGGGATGGTATCCATGCAACATGCATAGTATAAGAAGGAGGATATTATAGGGTGCAATCTATGCGATGTTGCTGTTGTTGCTTTGGGTTACAGGAGAAATGAATGTGCACAACATCTACATGCAAGTATCGGACGAGAATCATTGAAATAGAATATGTGGGCTTGTGCTGTGCTGTGCATTGACGTAGTAGTCAGCCGTATCCAGCTACTAGAAATAAAGGAGGGCGTGCGAAAATGAAGCTACCTTCACATGCGAAAGGATAAAGTAGCATGAACGATAAAGATTGGTTCTTCTCGAAAATCTATCGGAGGCTTGACATCCGTGGAAATAGACATCCTCGGGTTTGCCTTGAAAAAGTGCATGAAACTGATTTGGTGAAACCGCGGAAGGCAGCAGGATCGCCACCTGTTTTCTCTACTACGCCAACTCCTTGATATTCTTCATCGGTACAATCCATGGGCAAGCGTAATATGTGCTAGGCATAAAGAATCGTTCCAGTTGTCACTTTCAAAAGCTGTTGCCATCGTGTAGGGTAATTCGATCCAATATCTATGTATGGCCTTCAGCAAGTGCCAATCCTTTACGTACCAGCAGTATAACCCTGATGCCAAATAAACAACAATGCTCTCTTCCTATCAGCTAATGAAGGCATCTTTTATGCTTTTGGATCCTTTTTCTTTATTGAACTACCTTTCGCTTATCATAAAGTACAACTACAACTTTCAAGGGTACTACTCGCTTCACTACAGGGCTGAAACACCAAATTGGCTGGTTGCAAACGTAGCGTTGTCCCTCGAACACCCAAGAGTAGTTTCTCGACAAAGTCGTTCGCTTGCTCCAATACGATTGGTATGGTAGCGTTGCCTCCATCACTTGAACCTCAAAGGAATTGACACTTGTTGCTCGTTTCATAGAGCCCATTTGGCTGAATGCACCACTCTTTTACACCCATTGCTGACAATGACCGGACAACGTTGTTGCTACATAGTTGCTGAAAGTGTCTACCTTCAAAACAAGAGAAAAAACAGTGGAATAGAGGCTGCGGATGTTGAGAAAAAAGGGTGCAATTGTAAATGAATGAGACCCACAAGTTGATGTTTAAGGATGCCAAAAACCATTTTAAAAGGCGATCGATTCTGGGGGTAATTGACACGTCCTCAGGACCTCTGTCACTTCTTAAAATTGGAACGATACAGAGAAGATTAGCATGGCCCCTGCACAAGGATGACACTAACTCTCTGAGATGGATAGCTCTACGGAGCAAATTTTTTTTATTTGTTGCCTTTGCTCATTCATCAGCTTGTTGACTACATCGTGTTATTGCATTACTACATAAATAAACATCGTCATATCGCTTTTACGCTCAAACACCGTTTGCCATGAATCAATTAATGTTGACCTTGCGAATTCTTACACAAAGACATCAACAATCCCTATACTTGGATGCATATGGTGAACAAGCAAATGATAACAATCCACAAAGAATACTGCTTCTCAATCACAACGATTGCTGTGATAGCATCTTTTGCACAGCCACACCGGCACCACTCTGAGGATGAACCCGATCCAGCATAATTTTGTGCGCACGGGCTATTTATATTCCGCAAAAGGCCATACAACGCTGTGTAATCCATTCATTGATTGCAACCAAAATAACAATAGTGTGTGTATTTACAATAAAAATGAGTGTTACATGTATCTACTGCTCGATTTCTTCTATTTTACTTTGGTTGTCATTGTCATTGGGCGTTGAACCTGTTGTTGGCAAGCCGACATAGACCTTGAATGTATCGTAAAAGAGCCACTGAAGACCGGTCAATGTACCAATCATGACGATACGAGGACCAAGTCCACGCCAGACACCCTTCCATCCAAGTTCTTTGGCAACTTCAATAGCACCCATTTTAGGTTGACCGGGTGCAGGTTCGGGAAGATTATTAAGTTTGGACACAACCACGTCGGCTGGATGAGAAACAGAAGCACACAAGACACCAGCAATATAGCCACCAGCAAAGCTGACACCAAGCTATTGGATATTACACGTTAATGGATGATGCATGTATACACTTATCATGATAACATCATACCTGCTGCAACTTGTTGTATTCATGCTTTGGTTTGCTGAGACATGTCTTGTAGATAAACTCGACCGTAGCTTCAAAGGATGCAAACTTCATCATGGTATATGGAATTTGACGACCCCAAAGAGGTGTGATGCCCTTGTAAAAGCCCTTGAGACCTTCGGCAGCATTCAATTTTTTGAAGCCTTCAATAGTACCGCGTGCAAATGGTGGATAGGATGTTTGTTGTCGCACCTTGAGTGCTTCCCAGGGACACAACAAAATGTCAGCGAAAAACTCGGCTGAAGCTGAAGCCGTGAGGTACAATAATCCACGATACTTGTGTGCATTGGTTTCACCAACGATATCGGCATACTTGTACTTGAAGTACTCGTAAAGACCGTACTTGCCAGCACCTTGCATTGAATAGCCAACAGCAGTGGGACCAAAACCCACCAACAAACCTCCCATGCCTTCCGTACGAATGATTGTTTTCCATCCATCCACAATGCCCTTATAAAGGTCTGGTTTCACCTATATGCATTGCATGAATTTCCAATCCAGTAGCAAGTAAAATGACTTTTCTCTTACCTGAAGTCGACACTTTACAAGATCCAAAGGTGTCATTAGAGCATGCGTGGGTCTAGTAATATATGCGTGTGTGTGAATACGGGATGTGTGGAACCCTTTGGCCTTCTCGATAAAATACATTACCCGCAAGCAAGGATACCACCAATGGTGCATGCAGCAAAGTATTGATTGCTGTAAAGCTCAATAGGCTTCTTGGGCGCAAATGGCTTGTTTTCTTGCACAGAGGCAATAAAATACTGGCTAGCGATAGACATGGTCGAGTGATGTTGTTGTTGTTGCAAAAGGAAGAATAAAAGAAAAAAGAGAAGATACTGCTCATTCAAAGGGGCACATGCCCATTGCTTTATATTATCAGTAGGGTGCAAAAAAGGCAGTCGATGACGATCCCGTATGTCGGAAATGGACGGGAGATTCTCCACCATTATGAATCATATGCCGCCCAAGCCCCTCGTCATGTTCCTTTGTGACATCGAACAGTAGTGCAACAATCATTAATCGTACTCTTTCACCCTTTAGACGTGAATTATTTCGGAAGCGCTCGGGAGGTTGCTATGGAACCCATACGCTATTCTCCCCTTACTTTGTTGTCGGAACGAACAAAGCAGTACAACGAGCATCGATACCAGGATGTAACTTTTTCCTCCTTGATGGTATACCTCATTCACGGCGTAAAGTGATTGAGTCATGTATTGCATTGCATGTTACGGGTTGCTTTGACAACCCCGTTTTTGGTTCCATCATGCAAATGTTTATCCGACGTGTCATGACGCATGAATGATGATGATTCTGCATTGTACATACCCTGATGATCCCTTCCATATTTGCCACAGACATTTGATCCCATCATTATTCCAATGTAAACAAATCATACATGTCATTTTACTGTTATTACTGCTACCAAAGATTGCTATATATACAAATGATGCTGCGTGCCTGATAATTCAAAGATCAAATCATAATAGGATTAAAGGGGGCCTTCAATCACGAACAATCACACACAATCCGTTTTGAGATAGCTCTTCAAGTGCCTGAGCTGCTGTACAATGCTTGGCTTGGTTCTTTGATTGACACCATTGCGTACCCAAAAACACGTATGGTTCTTGCTGCTGCTGTTGTTGTTCTCCATTCGACGCTTGCTTGTCCTTTTTAGCTTGTAGCGTAATGGTGCATCGAAAGATGGTACTTTTAGTGCGTTCATCAATGCTGTCCTCGATGTCATAGGTTGGTATCTCCCATTGTAATTTGCTTGCCAATTCGTTCAACATCATCATCTCGGTCTTGTTGAAGGTTGAGATAATAGGTCGCTTGTGGATGCCTGGTGGAAGGCTGAGTTTTGGCAAAGGTCGCGTCAAAACGCCTGGTGGAAGTGCTGAGGGCTGTGGTTGTAGTTGTTGATGTGGCTGTTGGGATGGGAATAATGATGGCTGCTGTGGTGGAAATAAGGATGGCTGTTGTGGTGATTGTAATGGTTGGAATTGCTGATATGGAGATAATGGTTGCTGTAGTGATTGTAGTGGTTGCTGTTGGTCGACCGATACTCCACAAACATCATATACCAACGCGACTATGGCGTAATAAGCGCAATGATTCTTGGCATCATTGATAGTATCTTGTGGTTCAGGAGTAGTAAAAACGCGACTATCGACAAAGAGAGTGGCAGTGTAGGGTGCATGGGTGCGTCCACCGATGGCATGATATGCTTGAGCAGTTGTATAGCGTGGTGGTTCAATGGCAAGCACCTGGACAAGTTCATTCAGCAGACTAACGTATGATTTGGAATGTTGATCGTTTAGAGAATGATCCAACCAACGTTGAACGCGTTGCACCATCTGCCTTCGTGGAGCTGCTGAAGGATTGGATGACATGTTGTTTGTGTTGTTGTTGTTGCTGTTGACTGGGGATAATGCATTCGTTGGTGCTGTTGGAGGAGGAGGAGGAAGAACAGCATTCGCCTTTGCAAACGACTGCCAAGCTGAAGTATCTTTTTCATCCAAGGGCTCTTCTTGAAGAGGTGGTACTTTGGCTTTGGCCATGTATGGTTGATCATATAACGCCATAGCTGACACGGCTTCTTTGGCTGTTTTTTTCTTCTTGTAGAAATGGGATCGATAGGTGCGTCCAAAGAGGGTCAATTCGGCAGCGTATCCTTTAATGGCGTCATTGTAATGGTATAGGAATTCCAACTTGGGTGGCTGCTTCTTGTGAATGCTGGAGACCTTTTGGACGTGTTCGTTTAATTGTGAAGTGGCCGTCTCTGACATTGGTGGAAAGTGGGTGGAGGTGTGGAATGCAAAGACACGAAAAAGAAGGCGACTTGCGTTTCAGAAAGTTGGCTGCGGGTATGTATGTGTGTATAAATCCTGACACCTTAATCTATCATACCAACATACCCACTCACGTCACCTACTCACCCATCCATCCATAACAAGTGATACACATCTTCCACTCCATCAACCCCTGTACATCACGTCATGATTGACTTGGCGAGAAATAAAAGAGATAGATGGATTACCACTTTCTATAAACAAGAGATGATGGGTTATTTTGTACTACACGTATGCCATGGTAATATCATTAGTCCATGCTCCTCTTTGCGTTAGCCTTTGACATAAACGGCATTTGTCCATTTTCTCGATTTTCTGTCGGCATTTCATCAATTTGATAAAACGAGTACAATGGAAGCAAAATATGATTTACGTTTGAGACAACATTCATGACAGCCTTCTTCTTCTTACTCTTTTCCTTTATACAACAATGTTCAATGATAAGCGGTGGTATTGAATGAGGGTATAATAAGAGGAGAGATGAATGGTATTGACGATCACAAGACCCAAAGTGTAAGCATTTGAGGACTTCTTGATTAGGATGTTGCACGTTCTTCTGTGCACTGCGGGTCCAATCTTTTTATTTGAGGATCCGCAAGTCTTTCCTGCGTTTCCGGCGTGCAAGGTTTGGGTCAATATAAGGCAAAATAGAGGCTCCCACTTGCCGTGTGCAGTGTTTCTCTTCTTTCTCTCTTCTTTTTTCTCCTCTTTTTAACTATACACCTTCCCCATATGCGGTTGTTTTTCCTGTTTTCTGTCATTGCCATCGCTTTGGCTGCAGAAACACAGTAAGTAGTCCTTCTTCTTCTTCCTTTTTCGGTTGTCACCTTGCAAATACCAATTGACATCTTTTTGCGGGAAACAAAAAAAAGGGAGTTACAACCAACGGAAGACCATGCAACATTTTCAGGGAATCACCATAGCAAAGCTTTCAACGTAGTGCATGTCATTGCTGGCGTGGTGGGTGTTGTGGGTGCAGCCATGATTGCAGTGGTAGCTTTTGTCGTATGCAGACGCCATCGACGACGACGACGAGAGTCGAGTTACAGCAACAATAACGATCCACATCGTATTTCATCATCCTCCAAATCATCTTTTCCTCCCAACATGAAATCATCAGCACAACCAGGACTCTCATCATCATGTGCACCCATCAATGCATCCAGCAGCAGCAAACCGACATCCTCACTTCCTTTTGACCAGTTTGCAAGCGCCTTTTCATACGATGAACAACAACAACGTCAACAACAATCATCGAGTGTGGCGCTTACATCACCATCAGTATCTCGTGTTGCTATACCTGATCATCATTTACGACGCCATCAAGATGATGATATTGAAGCTGGTCCTTCCATGCAACAATTGCAGCTTCAATACAGGCTAATGCAATCTTCATCACCACCAACATCCACCGCTGATCATCATCATCACGATACCTCACAATCACCACCACCTCCTTACCAGCCGTAATCCATTCAACTTGTATACACACACACACACACACAACAGAGCACGTATATTTCTCCATTCATCCATCACACGCGTAAATTTGGTCTTCACACGGCCCAGCAGGTCCTGTGCATGTGCCACACATATACCATTTTTCCTTCCCCTTAGTTATCTGTACCAAGTCATGCATCTTCTCTGTAGTAGTATTACTCTAACCCACCCCCTTATCTTGCATTAAACAAAGAACTGCATCCTGCATTTATATCTCCTTGCTTCTCCCCATCGCATTCATTGTCAATGGATTCACATGTATTGGTATGTTCTTTATTCTACTACAACAAGGGCGCTTTCATGGTGCAACAAGCTGAGTACATCTATTCAGGGCATGTTGATTTGTTATTCCAACCATCAACACACAATCATGCATGCTTCCCTATTTGCCTTGCCGTTTAACCCAATCCAGGTATCCATGCATTTATTGTTGTTTCATTCAAAATAGTGTAAACGGACGGCTGAACGGAGGTAAAACAAGAGATGGCTTGGGTTTGTTTAAAGCATAGCAGCTGTTTGAATGGGTTTTTCTAACATAATGTGTCGTTTAAGGTATTCGTTCAGGAACATGCCATTCGGATCAACTTTCTCACGGACTTGAAGAAAAGCGCGCAGCTTTGGGTATGATGCTTCCAATTCACGTGAGCTTTGTCCGTGTGCCTATAGAGACAATGCCATAAATTATCACGCATTTCCTTCTGATCCTTACATGTATGTATATACCTTTGCCCAATGAGGTCGACCGCCATTGGATCGCATAATGTCCTCATACGCCTTCCAATATTTCTTATAGGGCACTGGATTGCCATACGGCCTAGGTTGATAAAACATGTTAATGGTTGTGTGTGTGTGTGGAAACAAGGATCCCTCTTTTACCTATACATGATAACACCGATATAGCACATTTTGGTCTTGTAGCAAGGGCTAAGCCATATATCATCTTCATCCACAAATCGGATCTCCACTGGAAAGTGAACCTTGAGATTGGATGTGTTGATAAAGGTGTCAAGGTCACGTAAAGCTTGAGGTGCATTATCCCATGGAATCGCCCATTCGTTGACGTATTGTGGAAACAAGCAATCGAAATTGAACACCTTGTATGAGTCATCAATCACATGGAGTGGTCTTGCATGGATGGTATCAAACATGAATCGAGTGATGGAAGGGATGATGGATGTCTTGTAACGTGCAACATTGAGCATGAATTGATATGCATGAACACCGATACCTCGTTCAAGAATCCAATTGGGAGGCATCAATTTCTTTGGCTTGTTGGTGCGATTGGCACGCCAAACAACACAATCATCCGTATGAGGCATCCACCAAACACGCACATGTTCAGCAGAGTGAATGACTGCATCCCAATCGTTGAGCACATTGTGAAACTTGTATGGCTTTTGAATAGCTTCGAGATTGAAAGCGGGTTCGACTTGAAGCGATACACGAGTAATGACACCAAGAGCACCGAGGCTGCATTGTGCTGCAATGAACAAATCCGGGTTTTCGGTTGCAGAGCATCGTACAATGTCTCCATTCGCTGTAACCAAGGTCAAGTCCGTCACCTTGGAAACGAGATCTAATAAGTACACCTTCCTCAAGAACATAGTAATACACCACTTACCATAGTTGAAAGACATCCAAAATGAGCTCCTGTACCATGAGTAGCCGTGCAAATGACACCAGCAATTGACTGGTCGGATATAGAACCAAGATTACTGAGAGCAAGGCCATGCTCAGCAAGCACTGCATTTAGCTTGTGCAATGACATGCCACCTTCCACTGTCACCGTGCAGTCTTGTTTGTCCACTCGTAGCAGCCCATTCATTTTGTCAATGTTGACCATGATGCCTTGAGTACATGCCAAATCGGAGGGCGAATGACCACTGCCAAACACTTTGACCTTTTTGTTGTGTTCTCGTGCCACGTGCAATATCTGTATTTTCCCCACGGTGCCAACAATAATACATACGATCGATCGATTAGCTTCATTGGGTCCCATGCACACGATCTACAAGAGCAATGGCGTTACCTTGACGATCTCGTCTTCAGAGCTGGGGGTGAAGAGTAACTCGGCCGTACAGTTGAAGGTCTTTGCCCAGTTGCGAAATACATAATCCTCGGTGGCGATGGCTTGCAAGGCAGGCTCGAGATCTTTCAATCTTAGTCGTGGCATATCGCTTTGAAAGGAGTAATAAACAAGTAGTGGTTTAGGGAGGAAAAGAAAAAGAGAGAGAGAGATTGAAAACGAATCGCACGGGTTTTCTTTTCGAGAAAGGGTCGGGGAGATTAGGCGGGCTCTTATAACATTATTACTACCATCATCATCATCTCGCGTCATTTTATCCTATGGTTACGCATGGAAACTTATACTTATCCACACCCAGTTTTGTGACACATGCATTCATATAGCTGCATAATAAACATCATCATCACCCCACCTCCTTGATCATTTACTGATAATCATCATCATCATCCTTGTTACATGTCTCAACCATACTATCTCATCCTGATGTGTTGCACTTAATCTGTACCATTAATGCCTTATCTGATCTTTCGTACAACATGACCATGGGATTTTCCTATAAGCAAACGAAATAAATTGATTGTCGCCTCTTTGACTATTGTAACAGGGATATCCTTCTTTTTTTTATTACAGCAAATGTCTTAATAGAAACAAGTTGTCCTTTTTTCTCTGTTGTGTATATATATGTTGTGTGAGTGAGTGTGAGAGTGTGAGATTGTAAGTGTGTGTGTGAGGATGGGACAGAATCAAAACTTAAGATGGGAATGGACGAAAGTAGGATGAGGGGGGTGTTTCTAATACAATGTTCTTTCAGTTTTTGTTCTTCTCTTCAGCCTTCTTGCGAGCTTCTTCGCGTTCTTTCCATTTGGCTTGTTCCTCCTTTTCATATTCATATAGTTCCATCAACTCCTCCTTTGCTGATGATGCATCCTTTTTGCGTCCACGCACAGTGATAGCATCACCACTGCTGCTGCTGCCATTTTGCTCTGATCCAGACTTGGGGAACTTGATATATACATTATACTTGTCCTCGAGTTTGCGTACATAACGGCCATTAGGACCAATCAAATGACGATGGAATTCGCGTGGCACATTAAGCGTCAAGGTGGTCTGATCGGCAAGACTGCTAACCAAGCTATGGATACGCTCCTTGGCTGCTTCCACATTGGTTTGAATACCCTGGATCACCACATTCACCTTGGCCTGGCTCTTGTTCTTTTTGCTCACACTCTTGAAATCATCATTACCAGCTGAGGATCCCACATCAGAGATATCGATCTTGACACCAAGTTCTTCCTTGAGCTTGTTGATGTTGCCACCAGCTTTGCCAATCACATGGGCCGAGTAAGCAGCAGGAATAGTGAACTCGGTAGCATAAGAGCCAACAAACTATAGCAAAAATTCGCCCCCCTCCATTAGTATCCCAATGCTTCAAAATGCCATCCCATTCTTTTCTTTACCTCATCGCGCTTGGCAGCGTCATAAATCTTGTTGATTTCTGCAATCACGTGCTTCACCTCGTTGGCAGAACCACGAACATTCACAGCATCGGGAGATGCACCTCCAAATCGGACCGAAATAGCCGAATCGGAGCCACCAATAATGGCATTCAAGGTGGTGCGATTGGGACCAGAGATGTAATGATGGTAATCGGCAGGGATGTTGACAGTTTGGCTGACGAAATCAGACTATAAAAAAGGGGTGCTTTTGGGTTAGCTATTACTCTCATGGTATCCTTCTCTTCCCTTTATCATCCTTATACTTACAGAATCAGCAGCAATCTTCTTGATCTCAGCAATAGCAGCCTCTAAAGCATCCTTGGCAGCTGCAGCCTTTTGTTGAGCATCACCTTCCTTGCCATCATAGATGAGAGCCACGGTAGGAATATCATCTTCATCCTTATCATTGGCGAAATAAACTTCAACAGCATGACGCGACTTGATGCGTTGGATTTGACGTGCGTGGCGTACAGCAATGTGACGGTGGAGATGGGGTTCAATATCCACGGTAGCAAAAAGCTCAGGGGTCAATGCACGGCATGTGTCAAAACCAGCCTTGTATGCTTCAATCATTGCCTTCTCATCCTTGCTGACAAACTCAACGGGCACCGAGTTGTTCAATGCACTAAGGTTGGAGGGTACACTGATCTGGACATTGTATTCGCTTTCAATCTTGCTGAAGCTGCCATGAGCAACCAAGTACTTGAGCATCGCCTTGGCGTATTCAAAAGGCTTGGGAGTGCCCTTGTTCATCTCGACCAAATCCAAAGCATTGACATGCACTTCACGAGCCTTGGCCATAGCAAGAGACAAGCCTTCAAGCAAACATTCGTTGGGACCACGGATAGTGATGGAGTCTGAAGCATCATTGGCAGGTGGGACCTCAATGGTACAACCTATTGTAACATGTAAGTATATATCTTAAAGAGGATTGGCATATACAATACTTGCCTGATTCTTCCAAGATCTCCCGAAGTGTTTCACCGTTCTTGCCCAAAAGATACTTGTGCTGGCGCTTGGGGACGCTGATGGCAGCAGTGCGATAGTTCTTTTCCAAATCGGCAGCCCGCTTCTCCAAAATTTGTTTTGCCTCTTGTACCTTTTCCTTGTCACCAGAGATTGTGATTGGACCAGCAGCACCCACAAGAGGTGGCATTTGCACCTTGACACCCAATTCAGCTTCAAGTGCTTGAAGAGCTTCACCACGAGCACCCGATAAGAAAAGATGATACTTGCTATCAATGCCTTCTACCTTGATGGTCTGCTTGGCTGTCTATATAGGATGATAGATGGCCCCGATTTAGTCCTCTTGAGAAAAAAAGATTTCCTTTCTTGCTTACCTTTTCACCGACAATCTTGTCAATTTCAGTCTTGGCGATAGCAATACCAGCAGCATCACCCACCAAAGTTACAGGTACAGTCTCATCCTCAGCAGGTTCACCTTCATCATCCTTACGAGGAGGGAAGTTGATACGAACACCGGACTTGACTTCGATTTGTTGCAAATTCTTGCCCTTGGTACCAATGATGAAACGACGAGTAGCAGCTGGGACAGCAATCTCCACCGTACGCTATATAGAATAACAAAATCAATTCATATGCCCATCCTCTTCTCCCTCTCTCTCTATATATATACACATACCTTGACAACGAGACCAGCAATCAATTCACGCTTTGCCTTGGCTACGTCAGTAGGCGGGCCCTGAATCAAGAATGTGGTGGTTCCTGAACGATTGGTAGAAGCGATGATATTGGTACCAGTCTTTGACATGACTTGTTGGATCACATCGGCACTGCCTTTGAAACCAAGAGGCTTGCTGGGAAGATTGGCGATTTGCTGATTAGCAGGAAGCTCAAGCATTTCAGTGACGGGAGGAGCGGATGAAGCAGCAGAAGATGCCTTGGCTTTGGTATTACCAGCAGCAGCAGCAGCACCAGTGGAAGAAGCATTGGCAGGCTTATGGGTAGTCTTGACACGTGCCGAAGAAGAGGACCAAGCTGAAAGAGCTGGTGGACGTGGGGCTGAACCAGCAGGTGACAATGAAGGGAAAGCCGATTCCGATGACAGATCAAGTTTTTCTTTCTTCTTTTCCTTGGTAGAAGCCAATGGTGCAGTGGGAGTACGAGGCATAGGAACGTCTCCAGCAATGATGGGTTCAGCAAAGGCAGCGTTGTCTACAACGACGGGATCATTGGCACTTGGGACAGCAGGTTCTTGTTCTTGCACGGCAGGTTCAGTCGCGTCGAGAGGAGCATCGTGAGTAGCCTGAGCGTGTTGGAGAGCAAGTCGAGCGGATGGTGGGAGATTATCCAAGTGATCAGTCGATTCCATTGTTCAGATGACGAGGAGAGAAAGAGAGAGAGAGCGAGAGAGAGTTAAAGGAAAGGGCGGCAAAGAAACAGCAAAGACAAGTTGAAGAAGCTGAAGAGAGCGCAACAACAAAAATATGAGACCACAAAGAGTGGTAAAGTAGGGGCGAACGGGAAAGTGTAGAAAGTGTGAAAGAGAAAGAGAGGAGCTTGTACACACGACCATCACCAATGAGCTGGTGGTTGGGTGGCGGAATATCGCACACACGCACACATACACATACACATACACACATACACACTCATTTATTCATTCACTCACACGTCCACATTCTCAATTCACTCATATACACACACACACACACCATACATCCATACACAGAATACGAATAAAAGTTTAAACTTTAAAGTATATTCTTTGATCGCGTTCTTCTCACACTCACATACACACACATTCATTGTCCCAAAGTCCATGATGGCATGTTGTACATAAACGCGTTGCTATAGACACTACCAATGAAATCATGTTGTCATGGATACTTTGACACGTCCTTTTTTTTACAGTATGGGTACCTGTAACAAAACTCCTAGAGCTTAATCTCGGGCACATCATTAGCCAAGAAATACCATTAGCCAATCAATGGCCATGATGTGGCGGGTCCTTGAGCATCTCATTTAACGGGGCTCCGATTCCCTTTCTTGATTTTCCCTCTTCCCTATCGATAATGGCTACTCTGGCAATACACTGCGCTTTGCTCGCAGCAACAGCCAATCTCGTCAATACTCACATTCCACAATCCTACATGGTAAATGGCTGAATGGCACTCCTATTCTCTTCATGGCATGTCACTTCTCTTTGCTAACTCCCATTGCTACAGGACGAGATATTCCATATACCCCAAGCCCAACGCTACTGTGCCAATGATTTTAATACGTGGGATCCAAAGTTGACAACACCTCCGGGACTGTAATGCAACATGTATATCCTTCCAGGATGATCATTGATCATATCCATCGTCTATTGTTATATATATAAAGGTACCTGATCAGCCGCGCTTTGGGTAGCTTGTTTGGAAATGATTTATGCAACAGCATTCAAGCATTACGCGCCACCAATCTATTGTTCTCCATTGGGTTATTCTTAGTGATTCGACGTATCATCGCATTACTTCATCCATCCACCGACATCCTTTCTCGAAATCTATTCGCATTGGCTCTCACTTGGTTCCCGGTGCTCATGTTCTTCAACTTTGTCTATTACACTGACGCTGGATCAACCTTTTTCGTCTTGCTGTGTTACATGCTTGTCAAGCAAAAGCAGTATACGCTAGCTGGATTGGTAAGTTACCATATCCTAAAAGATCATACGAGGGATTAACATGGTGGTTTTACATAGAGTGGTATGATTTCACTATCATTTCGACAAACCAACATCATTTGGGTCACTGTGTTTATGGCACTTGCAATCATTGATATTGTGTCATTGGATGATCCTTTGTTTGACACAGTCCAATCATTCGGTAAATTGCTCTTTTGAAGGAGAAATGGGGAAATAGGCTCATCATTTATTGTGTCTCAGGCACCACAATGAATGTCATCCAACAGTTGGTGATCAAGACATGTCGTCGCTTACCAGAGATTGTGAAACGGCTATTTTTCTTTTGTCTGGCACTATTGGCATTCATGGCTTTTCTTATTTGGAACCAAGGAATTGTACTCGGCGATCGTGCGAATCATGTGGCTGGCTTGCATTTCCCCCAACTCTTTTACTTTTCGTCGTTTCTTTCTTTCTTTGCAGCACCTTGGATCCTTACAGATGGTGCCATCAAAACGTTCATGCATCCAAACTTGGCAAGGTAACGTTGAAAGGGTCTTTGTTTAAGGGTTAAGCTTCAGGGTCTATGGGGGCTAACTTTATTTGATAATCAATCAGGTGCCTTCTATGCATGGGTGCAGCTTGCATTATGCTTTACTTGATACGACATTACACGTGAGCTCTCACAAACACTACAAACACACTCCAACACTAACACATTTCATGTACACGAATAGCTACGAACACCCATTTCTATTGAGTGACAATCGACATTACACGTTTTACATTTGGAAAAGGATATACCAACGTCATTGGAGTGTGCGATTCCTTGTTGTGCCATTGTATGTCATCAGTGGTTGGTTCAATCTACATGCTATAGGTGAGAGCGAATGAAGAGAGAGAGATTGACAGCGGGACCATTTGCTTATCATATGTATGTAGCACGAAATACGACACTCCTTGTTGTGATGGGCTATCTTGTAGGCATAGTGGCAACACTGGTACCTTCTCCTCTATTAGAATTTCGTTACTTTATCATCCCATTTTTATTTTATTGTCTTCAACTTGGCCCACCCAAACAGCGATGGAGGACATGGATGGCCCTGGTGGTTTATGCAATTCTTCATCTAGTCACCATTTATCTTTTTGTATATCGTCCATTCATATGGCCACACGAGCCTGATCAAATACAACGTTTCATGTGGTAACAATGTAAATCAACACCATTGTGCATATCTTATTCGTGTGTGTATGATGCTTTTGCATTTGTGTTAACGGGTTTCGGAAGAACATGGGCACGTCATTGGTCAGTATCCGTATCTCGTGTGCTAAAGTACAAGCGACAATGACTACACAATGCTTCTCCCTATAAGAGCGATAGTCCTTCTTTGCTCCCCATTGTGTGATCCTTTATAATGATTTTGCTCTTGCATTATCAACCGATAAGCACAAAACGGAGGGCATTGTTTGTGGCCAGTGCACCCACGATACATATGGCAGGAAATCAGTTGAAATGAATCCTTGTGAGCACTCTTTCTTCGGGTGCATCCACGTCAGCCGACGCAATTCAACGACAACCGAAGGAAAGAGAACATCAACATCAATGCGTTGACATTCGCCATATTATCAGCATTCCCCCCTTTTCCACTTTTCTCATTTTCTTTCTTGCTTCCTTCTTTTTTTCTTATTCCCTGCAGTTCCTTTTTTGCCATTATCATTATCAGAAACAGAATTGTGGTCCATTGTACCATTCCACCACAACACAATACATCATTTACTTGGCTCATGATCCACTATTACGATTGGTTTGTGACCATTATCATTTTGAATATTACATGGCTTGTGAGCGGTGAAAAGCCAAGTCCACGATGGGCCAATGGCAAGTGTATATACATTTACGAAACCTAAGGAGGCTGACATCATTCACAACATTTGCAGCATGTGGGTTTATCGATGCTACCATTTACTGTTATGGCGGAGAAACGGATCACGGTATAGCATCCAACGACATGTATTCGCTTGACCTATACAAGTCCTGGGATGCTATGGAAGCTCCTTGGATACACGACGCAGCAGGTTCGGCCAGTGGACCGGCTACAGCATTTTATGCGTCAGCGACATTGCCAGGCCATCCGTGGCTACTTGTAAATGGTGGAGAAATGGGCAACACCTATCAAACTATGCTTTACAACACAAATCAGCACCAGTGGCAAGTTCCACTAATGCGTGGCGTACCAGGCATCCAGCGAAAACAACACACTGCATCATCCGATAACGAGGGTCGTATATGGATATGGGGTGGGATGAGGTAATTTTGTGTAACAACCTATGCATAGCAACCGTTGTTGTTGACATGTTTTGTTAGTGATGCTAATACATATGGCGGCTTACCGATGTATCACAATACTTGGACCGTAATTGATACCAATGTAGGTTATCGTTACAACGACAACAGGATACAGCCTCACACACACACACACACGCATTTGGTATAGACATGGCTATACAGCTATCCCATTGTACACGATCCACCACCCCCACGAGTAGATCACACGGCTACCATTATGCCGAGTGGCCATATCCTGATCATTGGGGGTGTCGTATTTACACGCAATGTGACCGATCCTCAAGGCATGCAAACGCTTAATCCTATCTCTATGAATTCCATTTTGCTTTTTGATACAGCGGCAGGGCAGTGGTCTAATATTACAGCTGGCGGTAATATTCCTGCACCACGTCGTGGTCATTCAGCTGTCCTGAGTAAGTTGTTCACCCATACACACACATACACATTCATTCCCCCCTTTCATATATTGGTTTGCTTATTTACAAGCAAGGTTGGGATCAATCACGCATCATTGTCTTTGGCGGATGTACTCCAGGTAGGTAGCCAAGAGTCATCATGAAATCGGTTGTTGCAAGTTGATTGATGATGGTGTATGTATATAGATGAAACCATGACGTTGAACGATGTTTTCATTCTTGAAGTAAAAACCATGCGATGGACAGCACCTTCCATTGATGGTGTTCCACCAAAGCCTCGAACCTATCACCAAGGTGGGAGAGAGAACAAAAAGTTATCCGTTGCCATGGAACTCACAAGGCTCTGCCATAGCTTTATTAATCGATGATTTGATGCTAATCATGTTTGGACGTGGCAGCAACAAGCAAGGATACAATGATGTAGGCGTACTTAGCACATCCACATGGTCATGGAAGTCACGATATACGAGCAACCCTGCTTGGCTATCAGGGAACTTGTCGGCAAGCCATGGCGTCGTTAAGAATAGTACTGGGACCTATGGTGGTGATACACGTAGTAATAGCCGTGACCCCGATTCAGCTCCATCATTTCCTGTGTTCAAGCAAGACAACACAACCTTATCAAATACCACGAGTGAGACGCCGCATGAACATCGAGGTCGCATTACAGCAGGTATCATTGCAGGTGTTATCAGTGGTGGCGTTGTCGTGGTATGTGTATGCCAATTTTTATTGCTGTATCATTCATGGATTAATGCATCATCATCATCATCATCCCTCCCTTTAGATTGGAGGAGGTGTCTTTTTGTTTGTCACAGTGATTATTTATAGGCGAGGCAATCCACATCGGAAAAAGGGCGATGCACGTGCAGCGTCTTCATCATCGTCATCATCATCAATCACTGACGAGGAAGGTGGTAGTGGAGACACGGTGGTAGTATTATCGCCGTTATCATGTTCATATCAACAAAAGCCTGATCAAGAGGATGTTGATCTTGCACCGCAAACCGATCCATCACAATACCACAAGCCAGATGACATACAAAGAACCTCGTCCCTTTAATAGTTTTATTCCTTTCTTCCTTCAACATGTACCATACTATTCTTCATTGTCCAATACATGTAACGTATTTGCTTTATGTGCTAATCAAATAACGGGGTGCTGATGCTGATGGATTGAAAGCGGTCACGAGCACGCCATCGTTATCCAAGATATTCTGTATCGGCATACTTGATACTCGACTGCTGTTGCCCTTGATGTGCAAAGAAGACAATTCCCAATGGCTGCAAGATGAAGCACTCTGTCGGTTATACTCGGAGTATGTTGGCATTCAAGATCAAGAGCAGTTGTCTACTCATTGGGAAACCATTCGAGCACGGCTGAATGAGGTAGGTGTTGGTTGATAAAGGAGTAGTGTGCTCTTTTGTTGTACACTCGCATATCCTTGACAATGAACATGCTTCTTTCATATGAATTCATTGTTATCCTGCCTTGTAGAATGGAAAAGCATACAAGTGTATTGAACAGTTCAAGTTTCTATCATCTCGATTGGCGACCCGATTCTATTATCCACGCATCTTGGAGCTTGCCAAACAGGAACCGACACGGATATTCATTGACATTGGATGCTGTACAGGTAAGAAAGAGCGAGAGAGAGGAAGAAAAAAGAAGCTGAAGAAGGGTGCACATTGATTGCATTATGGTGTGCCAAGGCCTTCCAAATGAACATTCCATGAATCCCGCACAAAAAAGTCTATTCCTTATTCAGCTCCGGACATAGGAACCGATCTACGACAGCTACTGTTGGATGGATACCCTGGCACGTGTCTTGTTGGCACTGATCTTTCAAGGCACTATATTGAATGCGGTTACGAGTTGTTTCAAGATCGTGACACATGTCCCATCCATTTCATCACTGGTGACATCTTTGATTCAAAATTCGTCGTCGAGCAACCGTTACCAGGGCAACAACCCAACCTTGCTCGCTTTCAAAATCAAATCGGCATCGTATATTCTGGAAGCGTGATTCATTTATTACAATCCATCGACGAGGTTGATGCTTTCATCACACAAGTGACACGACTTTTGACACCTGGCGGATTGTTTGTCGGCACCCATGTAGCAGCAGATCGCACAGTCTCTGTATATATTCCACCTCGACATTATACCAAACACTGGGTTGGCGTCCACGACTTTAAAGCTGCTCTTCAACGACATCATTTCGGCGATATTGAATTCAAACTCGAGCCGCGGTTGACAAGGGAAGAAGAAAAACCATATTTGGACGTTCAATGTCACTGGCTCTCATTTTCCGCTGTCTACTATCCCCCTCGCCATTAACACTAACATGTAGAATAACACCATCCCTGCACCATCCCCATTATTTAGTATATCTCCCGTCATATTATAGTAATAAAGATAGCCATCTTACAAGCACAAAAGAGGAACGTGTGGTACTACGTTATTGACAAGATCTAATCACAAAGAAAAAGGGGGAGAGCTATAGTATCGAATACACCCTTTGTTCACAACACAATGAATCAATCCTACCCTTTCTCTTTATACATACTTCCATTGCCATCCCATAAATCTTTCTATGATGCATCAAGTACCCACACATGATGAGGGCCAACTCAGGAAGGTCTCTTACACTACAGCAACTTAAAAATGGTTGGCCAACAGGATGTCGTATTTGCTAAAGTAAACTTTAATCCAGCATCATTCACAAGAGATAGATTGAGAGGTACAACAAATTGCTCCACTAGGGATGATACATCAGTATGGGAAAGCTTCTATCCTTTGGGTGTGCATTGGCAAAGGTGAATAGATGAAGGTGAGATGGCTCTTGATGTGTAGTGGCGAATTGTATCCATAGGATGCCCAAACATGGAGCTGGATGATGATGTTTGTATATGGTTGTGAGTTTGCCTCAAGTGATGAATGATAGCTGCTGTCATGGAATAGCGTGCCAGGTACGAGAATTGGATGAACCAACCGTTCAGGGTGATAGAATCAAGATCGAGTTGGCAACGCGACCAAAAGAACAACCCTCTTTTCCACACGTTGTACGTACCCAATTCCTTCCATCCCAAGTATCAAACCAATATCCAGATCCATAGTAAGCTGTATGTATTGAAACAAGTTGCTACACGTAAATAAAGCTGCCTTCATGCAATGGCTGTTTGCTGTCCACGTAAAAAAGGCTGCAAGGCATGTTGCTGCAAGTAAAAAACGCTGTTGGGGACATGGAGTAATGGCGATTGCTGTTACGGTTGATTGTGGCAGAGGAGTATGCAAGAGACAGCGTGTAGCATCAAGGAATGCGTGTGTTGTAGCAGAGTGACAAGAGGGCCGCGTACACGCCATGGACTTGCCATGTAATCAAAGACAATCGGATCAAGAGAGTTGTAGGATTGACATGATGGGTTGAAGGAGGACAATCGTTCGTAGGTGGTAGTTGTATACTTGAATGTACCAACAGTTGAGAATGGGAGGAAGGAGTGGAAGAAGAGGAAATTAAAGTAGGCTGGGCTGTCGGACACCTCTTGTATCAACGCATAAACACTGTACATCAATGCTTGATTATGAGATTGCCTCTCTCGTACCTGAAACTTTTACACAAGGTACTCTTGGACATGCTGATCACGTTGATCTAAAAAAGACCTCATGTTTCATTACAAAAAATTGGAATGGGAGGGTACAATGTGGGTTTACTATGTAAGTCGGAAATGCAGGTCAGCCCCAGATTCATGATTTATCGAAACAATATACATTACCTTGGGATTCCCTATCTCGCACTTGAAAATTGATCAGAAGGTTCGCTGGGACATGTTGATCAACCTCATTCATTTTGAATTTGCAGACTTCATTGTGAAGATTTAAAATACGGGGCGGCCCAAATGGTGGATGATGGGAACAAAAGAGCGGACGGTCCACCGCCCCGAAGTTGCCCACCCCCAACTTGAAAATTGGTCAGAAGGGTGCTCTCGAGCATGCTGATCAACATTTTCTAATAAAAACCTCACGCTTCATTCGAAGATTTTGATTGGGAGCGTCCAAAAGTTTGAAAGACGGAGACATTCGCAGGGTCTGTCTTTCAAGAATTGACATGTTTGCTGTTTTGGCGTAGCTCAGTCAAATCAACTCGGATCAAGACACTTGAACCATGGAAATGCTCGGCTGGTGCAGGAGCATCATTCCAATGTCACACAATGAATAAAAGTTGGGATTGAGAGGAATTGACTGTTAGCTGGCAATACATGATAATGCATAAAGGATCATACATTGACCATTCCAATCATGCAAAAGTAGCTGAGTTACACAACACGACCCTCTGCATCTTTTGCTCTGCCAGGGTCCACCTACTTGACAATGAACAAAGACCACTCTTCATATAGCATCACGCTTACAAACATAAAGGTGCCTGTATCTCCAAACTTTACAATGAAACGTGGGGTTTTTATTACAGCAATGTGCTCGGCTTGGCCAACAGCACCTTGTGTGAAAGTTTCGCGTTCAATGTCGCAAACAGCCCAAAAAATATTTTTTTGTCGTCGTCGTCGAAGAGGTCGACCCTTGGATCCAGTTTGGCTGATGGCGACATTGCGAAATCTGGGATTGGCAAGCTTGATCGTGAAACTTTGACACAACGTGCTGTTGGCCAAGCCGAGCCCATTGCTGTAATAAAAACCCCACGTTTCATTGTAAAGTTTGGAGATACAGGCACCTTTATGTTTGTAAGTGTGATGCTATATGAGAAGTGGTCTTTGTTTAATGTAAAGTAGCTAGACCCTGACAGAGCAAAAGATGAAGAGGGTCGTGTTGTGTAACACAGCTACGTTTGCATGAATGAAAGGGTCAATGTATAATTACTTATGGATCATCTAGGAACAGGCATGTGTTGCTAGCTAACGGCCACTTTTATCCATTCATCATTGTTGCGCGATCCACTGCATGGGAACGATGCCCCTGCTCTAGACATTCATTTCCATGATTAAAGTAGGTTGATCCGAGCTGATTTGACTGAGCTACGGTCAAAGAGAGATTACATCTCTCTCGACATAAAGCACGCTCGATGTAGCTCAACCGATGTAATCTTGTTCGACCGTAACTCAACCAAATCAGCTCGGNGCTGGTTCGACCGTAACTCAACCAAATCAGCTCGGATCAAGCTACTTGAATCATGGAAATGAATGTCTGGAGCAGGAGCATCATTCCCGTCACGTGGATTTCGCAACAATGCTGATTGGATAAAAGCGGCTATTAGCTGCCAATGTATGACCTGAAAATGAGGGTTGTGTACCTATCATACATTGACCATTCCAATCATGCAAAAGTAGCTGAGTTACACAACACGACCCTCTGGTATCTTTTGCTCTGCCAGGGTCCACCTACTTGACAATGAACAAAGACCACTCTTCATATAGCATCACGCTACAAACATAAAGGTGCCTGTATCTCCAAACTTTACAATGAAACGTAAGTTTTTATTACAGCAATGTGCTCGGCTTGGCCACAGCACCTTGTGTGAAAGTTTCGCGTTCAATGTCGCAAACAGCCCAAAAAATATTTTTTTGTCGTCGTCGTCGAAGAGGTCGACCCTTGGATCCAGTTTGGCTGATGGCGACATTGCGAAATCTGGGATTGGCAAGCTTGATCGTGAAACTTTGACACAACGTGCTGTTGGCCAAGCCGAGCCCATTGCTGTAATAAAAACCCCACGTTTCATTGTAAAGTTTGGAGATACAGGCACCTTTATGTTTGTAAGTGTGATGCTATATGAGAAGTGGTCTTTGTTTAATGTAAAGTAGCTAGACCCTGACAGAGCAAAAGATGAAGAGGGTCGTGTTGTGTAACACAGCTACGTTTGCATGAATGAAAGGGTCAATGTATAATTACTTATGGATCATCTAGGAACAGGCATGTGTTGCTAGCTAACGGCCACTTTTATCCATTCATCATTGTTGCGCGATCCACTGCATGGGAACGATGCCCCTGCTCTAGACATTCATTTCCATGATTAAAGTAGGTTGATCCGAGCTGATTTGACTGAGCTACGGTCAAAGAGAGATTACATCTCTCTCGACATAAAGCACGCTCGATGTAGCTCAACCGATGTAATCTTGTTCGACCGTAACTCAACCAAATCAGCTCGGATCAACCTACTTTAATCATGGAAATGAATGTCTGGAGCAGGAGCATCGTCCACCTACAATAGAATGCACAAAAGTTGGGAATGCACAAAAGTGGCTATTAGCTGCCAATGTATGACATAAAAGTGAGGGTTGCGTACCTTTCATGCATTGTCCCTGAAGTCCTGACTTTTTAGCTGAGTAACCCAAAGAGGTCCTTCTGCATCTTTGGCTCTCCAGGGTCTAGCTACTTGGCAATGAACAAAGACCACTTCTCATATAGCATCACGCTTACAAACATAAAGGTGCATGTATCTCTAAACTTTACAATCAAACGTAGAGTTTTTATTAGAGCAATGTGCTCGGCTTGGCCAACTGCACCTTGGGTGCAAGCTGCACGACCAAGCTTGCCAATCCAGATTTCGTAATGTCGCCGCCAGCCAAACTGGATCCAGGGGTCGGCCTCTTCGACGACGACGACTAAAAAATATTTTCTGGGCTGTTTGCGACATTGAACGCGAAACTTTCACACAAGGTGCTGTTGGCCAAGCCGAGCCCATTGCTGTAATAAAAACCCCACGTTTCATTGTAAAGTTTGGAGATACAGGCACCTTTATGTTTGTAAGCGTGATGCTATAAGAAGAGTGGTCTTTGTTCATTGTCAAGTCGCTGGACCCTGGCAGAGCAAAAGACGCAGAGGGACCTCTTTGTGTAACTCAGCTACTTTGCATGACTAGAAGGATGGAAGGATGATACTATATACTGTTGACAAAAGCCCGTACATTGCGATCTAACAGCCATTTCTTCACAATAGCCACTGTTGTCCACTCTATGACATGTGAGCAATTCTCCTGCTTCAGACATTCATTTCCATGATTGGATTATGTTGATCCGAGTTGATTTGGCTGAGCTACGCTCGTACAAGGTTACTTCAGTTGAGCAACATAGAGCATGGTTAGATGTGTGGATTGATGTAATCCCTCTTTGGCTGCATCTCAGCCAAATCAACTCGGATCAACATAATCCAATCATGGAAATGAATGTCTGAAGCAGGAGAATTGCTCACATGTCATAGAGTGGACAACAGTGGCTATTGTGAAGAAATGGCTGTTAGATCGCAATGTACGGGCTTTTGTCAACAGTATATAGTATCATCCTTCCATTCTTCTAGTCATGCAAAGTAGCTGAGTTACACAAAGAGGTCCCTCTGCGTCTTTTGCTCTGCCAGGGTCCAGCGACTTGACAATGAACAAAGACCACTCTTCTTATAGCATCACACTTACAAACATAAAGGTGCCTGTATCTCCAAACTTTACAATGAAACGTGGGGTTTTTATTAGAGCAATGTACTCGGCTTGGCCAACAGCACCTTGTGTGAAAGTTTCGCGTTCAATGTCGCAACTAGCCCAAAAAATATTTTTTGGTCGTCGTCGTCGAAGAGGTGGACCTCCAGATCCAGTTTGGCTGGTAGCGACATTGCGAAATCTGGGATTGGCAAGCTTGATCGTGAAACTGGCACCCAAGGTGCAGTTGGCCAAGCCGAGCACATTGCTCTATTCAAAACCCCACGTTTCATTGTAAAGTTTGGAGATACAGGCATCTTTATGTTTTATATATGTTGTAAGCGTGATGCTATATGAAAGGTGGTCTTTGTTCATCGTCGAGTAGCTGACCCTGATACAGCGAGAGGTGCACAGCGACGTGTTTTGTGTAACTGAGCCAGCTTGAAGGGTCAATGCTATTGGTGGAGAAATGCATGATTGATCCTTTCCCTGTCTTCCTAGTAAGATCCGCCTATGATAGCCCGTATGGAATGGACGTTCTTATATGAGGCTGCATAACATAGCATGTTATATAACAGCTCATACTTGAATATAATGAATTAAGCTTACAATGAGTCTAGCTTCTGTAACATCCAACAGATGTTCGGGGGTATCATCACTCTCAAATGTCAAAATCATTGTCTTGCAATGCAAGTGTTTGAGAATCCCCATTGCCTTTCGTCTATTATCAGCATGTGAGCTAGGAAGCTTTAGTGAATGTAATAAGAAGATTGTGGCAAAAGAACAAAAGCATCTCAATACGACGATGTATGTAAATGATCCAACCTCACTTTCCCACCTTCCATATCTATTTCCCCCTTCCGATCCATAAAGGAACCACCTATCACATCTTGCCCATATGATCTGATAGTATGTCCCCCCAAAATGTTACGTTGAATCCAATTTCATTCAATGAAAAAAGTTGAAGAATACATATAAAGTGGGTGTCTAAAAGTAAATCTGATAAAGGAACAGCTTTGGAAGTTGAAGAAGGTACAGATGAATCACATAGAGGCAACAGGGATAATGATGCCATAGCATTCTTGGGTTGCTGCCGCTATAGTCATCCTTCGTCCATGATTGTAGAATAGCTGCTGCATGCATTGACTTGAGTATTCCAAATACCATCCATGGCTGCAAATCACCTTTTCAAAGATAAAGGCCCTCTCATCAATGTCATCCAATCCACCATCATACTCAGCCGTATCCACATGATATGATCCTTCATCCCTTCTGGCGACACGCCAAGTAATCACCACGATTCTCATTACAGCACTTGATTGCATCCATCCATCATAGCCATTGCAAATCCAATTGTTGCTTGAATTGAGCCATTGTGATCGCTTCCTTTTCCATCTGGCTGTTGATCCATCTCTTTCTTGGTCAATCAGGTTAAGAATTGCTTGTATTGCGGTGTACTTGATTGCTGATATGGCATCATCCGTTGTAATCCGTATGTATCAAAACAAGTTGCTGCACGTAAATAACGCTGCTTGTATACGATGGGCATCTGCTGTTCGTGTAAAAGAAGGCTTCAAGGCATGATGCTGCAAGTAATGAACGCCATCCAAGACTATGAAACAAAGGCCTTGATAATAGCAGCAGCAGCTGTTACGTTGGCCGTGGCAGAGAGCGCGTGTTGTAGTAGAATGACAAGGTTGTGAACGCTGTTTGAGACGATGGATTAAAGACCTTGCTAATGGCAGCTGCTGTTACGATTGGTCGTGGCAGAGGAGTGTACAAGAGAAGGTGTAGTTCAAGAGGAGGCTCGTGTGTTGTAGTAGAGTGTACACGCCATGGACTTGCCCATTCAGTCAAAGACAATAGGATCACGACAGTTGTAGGATTGAAATGATGGGTTGAAGCAGGACAATCGTTCGTAGGTGGTAGTTGTATACTTGAATGCACCAACAGTTGACAATGGGGAGGAAGAGGGAGTGGAAGAAGTGGAAATTAAAGTAGGCTGGGCTGTCGGACACCTCTTGTATCAACGCATAAACACTGTACATCAATCCTTGATATTGAGATTGCCCCTCTCGTACCTGAAACTTTGACACAAGGTACTCTTGGACATGCTGATCAATGTTGATCTAAAAAAGACCTCATGTTCATTACAAAAAATTGAGTGGGAGGGTACAATGTGGGGTTTACTATGTAAGTCGGAAATGCAGGTCAGCCCCAGATTCATGATTTGTCGAAACAATATACATTACCTTGGGATTCCCCATCTCGCACTTGAAAATTGATCAGAAGGTTCGCTGGGACATGTTGATCAACCTCAGTCATTTTGAATTTGCAGACTTCATTGTGAAGATTTAAAATACGGGGCGGTCCATATGTAGTAGAGACACGAAATGGACGGGAACAAGCATAGGTTGTACGGCCGATTGCCCCGAGATTGCCCAGCCCAAACTTGAAACCGTCACAAAAGGTCTTCTTGGGCACGTTGATCATCTTTGTTCTCATAAAGAACCCACGCTTCATTTGAAAGTTTTGAATGGGAGCGTATAATGTGTGAGAGACTATGGAGCGAACCAACAATTTTATCCTGAATACGCTCATTTATCGATCGTCATGTCATCGAACATAGTCATACTTTCGAATGATTATGTTGAAAAAACACGTTCGTTGTCTCATTATCAATACATCCCATCATCATCCTGTAAAGAGACACCCTATTTGGAGAATAGCCATGTATTATTGAAAGAATGCGCATGTGTGAAAGGAATGTAACGATTGCGTATGCTAAATGGTGGGGGGGGGGATACAAGAATGAATTAAAAAGAAAGAGGTATGCTACAAATTGGGTGGAGGATGATCATGATAATGACATAAATTGTGGTGCAACAGGGCTGATACTCATAGCGGACAGGCCTTGTTCCATGGCTTGTTCTTCTTCATCACTCTCATTCTCGTCATCACTACTCTCATCCTCATCCTCATCATCGTCATCGGCGATCCATTCAAAGTAGATGTCATGGATGAAATGTTGGCTACTCTTCAAATTGTATGGGTCGAATGGGAAGAAAGATTGTACCGTTGCCAGGATATGCTTGCCCCTTGAGCCATCCGATGCACCTGCTGTAACACCCGAAATATACACGTTCTTGTTGTTTTCCAACATGGCATGAACATACACCAAATCCGTTTCACTTGCAATCTTTGCAAATTGTTGAACAACCATGGGTGAGCACACCTTGAGTGGATTGAGCTTGCTTTGTAATAAGACACCGATATTGCGTAAACCACGGCACCATTTTCGGGTACCATTACCGATCACGATCATTGGCACCTTATCCAAAGCATCATTCTCGGGAGCATTGGATTGAGATTCTTCATCATCATCCTCTTGAGCGTCGAAATCATTATCTTGCATCACAAGGTCGCGCCATCGGAAACAGAAAATGTACATGATCGCTTGCATCACCGCATAAAACATGTCGTGCTTGATAGGATCAGGACGTAACATGGCGTCATCGAGTTGATCGAGGTAGGCGTAACACCAATTGCACAGTGTATTCATGGCACTTTGAACACCATCCGAATCAAGCACCTTGGCACGAGCGACATAGGAAGAGATATAAGCAGCACATGCAATACGGATGATACCAGGGCGGGATGTATCGTTCATGGAGTCGAAGAGATGTTTGATAAAATGCTCAGGGAAAACGTTGACTTCCAAGGAGCTGAAGTAAAAGAGCAAGAATTGTGTGTAGCGTGATTTCAAAGTCATGACGATTTGCTGATCGAATAGATTCAAAAGGGTCTTGTACATGTGGCTACGTTCCTCACTGGTCGCGTTGATAGCATAATTGGAGAGGTATCGCAGCACAAGGACCATCATGGCATCCAATTTACGCACCATCGACTTGATGAAGCGTACTTGCCGTGATTCACTTGTCTTTTTCTCGACAGGTTCATCCTCATCCTCCTCATCAAATTCGTCATCCGAAAAGTTGTTCTCATCATCCGTCTCATCATCACTTGCATCGGATTCGTAGTCACCATCCAAGCTCAAGTCGTATGTCTCAAAATCCACATCCTCTTCCAATTCATCAAGCTCAATTTGGATATGGGACTACATTCAAAGGTTAGGTATACATAGATTGTCATCATTGATGGATATCGTTACTTACATCAATTTTGACCATTTGCTGTATACACAATGCTAAGATTTGTCGTTGTAGATGAGGCATGTACTCGAGTATACGTAAGATGTTGCTGATGTACGTTGCTTGAACAGCTGAATTATGGCGTAAATGGGGCACACGGTTAACGACGCTTGTGTAAAGCAAATCCACCGCAGTGGGAATAATACGTAAAACGCTGCGCAACGCCTCGTGAGTCCGATCGTATACTGCGGATCGTGGCACCTTTGCATGTGACGGCATCCGTAAACCTAGTTCATACATAGATCCATAAGCAAGGATGATAAATGGGTGTGTGGGTGTATGTCATGGATAACGTACGATAATGAAGACCACCAATAAGAGAATCGATGACAGCGCGCGTATAAAATGAATGAGCAGAGACCAAATTTTGTAGGAATTGGATAAATGTGCTGGCAAAGGTATTGTCGCGTGTGGCCCAGTCAATGTGTAATAAAGCATCCACAAGAGCAGCACAAGTCTTGTCCAATGATGATACGCTTTCGGAAAGAACAACGACCCATGTGTAAAGTTTCACCAAAGGAGGAGCTTCTTCGCTTGATGGATCCGTCATGAGAAGGCTGACCAATTCATTGTATCTTGTAAGATTGCCCTATGATAGAAGGGAGTATAAGTATATATAAGATGTCGAAGCAAAGCAAGTTCGAATGAGAGGAGAGAGAAATTGTGCATGAAAGTGTATGCAATCAAGATTGATAAATTGTATTTGGTCATCCGTCAATTCCTTTACACTTCCCACACGAGTTCTCTTCCGACTTCGAACCCTCAAGTCGGTTTCTTACTGTACGTTTTTTGATATGAGAGACAACCCGAGCGCAATTCAATGCGGGGAAAATAGGTCTCATCAGGATTCCTGCCAAAAACCCTTTGACTCGTGTTTCTGATATATATCCAACATTACACCATCAATGGCTTCTTTTCAATGGGATGGAGAAAAAGGGGGTGCGGGGATGAATGGGATGGGATAGGATGGCATGGGATGGGGATGGGACGTAGGGGATAAGAAAAAAAGATGGGGAAGAGAGAGAGAATGACAGGTGAAGAGTTTGGTATCAAACCCAACTTACCTGATCCTTTTCACGCAGAGCACCATCAACGTATGTCCTCATCATCCTTTTGATATTGGCCAGCTTTTCTTTGTTGATATTCTCCACACTGTCTTCGGTTGCCATGGGTGATTGTGACATGAGCGACGGCGTCTCCTTGCCTCCCAAAGCCTGTTTGACCTCGATCGAAGGTGGTTGTTGTGATATAACGGGCATGATCGAATGTTGAGTGGATTGGTATAAAACGATCGGGCTGAAAGAGAAGAGAGAGAGTCAAAGCTGCAGGAAAGAAAAAAAAAGGCAAGTTCCACATCCGTGACGCTGGTGGCTGATATCCGCCCAGTATGTTGCACACATTGTTTCCCGCAGCAATCAGCATCATAGCATATTTGTTTAGCTTATGTAAGAGATTGTATACGTATACCTTGTTTGGAGATGATTGGAGTGATTGAGTAATGATAATATCCTTGTCTTCAACATAGTCTCTATGTTATTATTGTATATCATCATCATCATCAATACCTTAAACAATAAAGAGGATGCATTCTTTCAAGCATAATATGAACGGACATTGGTCATGGATACATGGATGGATTAACATGGTTACGGGGATGGCATGTAGCTATGACTGGTTGTGGATAGGAAGACATGACCATAGTCATCCATCGGTATATCAGAGATCCAAAGAGGTATATACAAAACGAAAACCCGGATTTATAGCACTACTTGGTGTTACCTATCATCACGTATTCCTATTGCTAGTCATCATTGGCAGGGGGTGTGAGTGATTGTGGTAGTACTTTCTATGCTGTGGATGGGCCATTGTTGTATTACTCATCCAGGGTTGATGAAAAAGTATTTGCCTATAGCTTTGTTTCATGATCGTATTCATCTCATTCTTATCCATGGCCAATCTAATCTTGAGCCGCATTGAGCTGAGTTTTGCAGCCAGTCATTTTAATGGTTGGAGATCGCGCAATTTGCCCTACAACAGATAAAGAGGCCCATCCTTATTTGTCATCAAACGCTCCGTCGCCTTTATCTCTCTCTCTCTCTCTCTCTCTTCTCCACTCGCTCGCATTCACACACACAATGGCCTTCCCTCGCCAATTGTTGCGATCGTCCTCTCATTTGAAAACTCGTTTGCCAACAATAACAGTGGCAGCAGCTGTAACGCGAGGTAAGATAATATCTATTCCCCCCCTCTTTCTTCAAGTGGCTCATGTTTTTCCCCATGCAGGTCTTCGACATCAACACAATGCTGCTACTTGTATTCCCAACAACAACAACAACACCAATGCTGAAACGACTGTATCCACGTCCTCCAACCCTCCCATGTCCTTCCCATGTATTGACAAGTTGAACTCTCGTACAGCTGAGCTTGACAATGGACCTGAGCCGAGCTATGACAAGGTGGTCACTGGATACGAGACGTTTGAATACCCACATCCCTTTTTGCTGGATCATGGTGGCATCCTTCCAAAGTTTGACATTGCTTATGAGACTTGGGGTCAACTCAACGAACGACGCGACAACGCCATCTTGATCCATACTGGATTATCCGCTTCTTCTCATGCAAAATCTCATGCAAAAAATACCAAGCCAGGCTGGTGGGAAGGTTTTATTGGCCCTGGTTTATATATTGATACCAACAAGTTCTTTGTCATTTGTACCAACGTCATTGGTGGTTGCTATGGTTCAACAGGCCCAAGCTCGATTGACCCGGCAGATGGCGAACGTTACGCTACTCGATTCCCCATCTTGACCATTTTCGATATGGTGCGAGCCCAATTCTTGCTGCTGGATCATTTAGGAATTGACAAACTTCATGCAAGTGTGGGAAGTAGTATGGGTGGTATGCAGGTATGTACAACAAAAGGGAGCATTTTGCAAAGTTGGATTGGTGAATGAACAATATGCCATCTAGTCAATTGCAGCTGCATCTTTATTCCCTGATCGTGTCAAACGTTTAATCAGCGTGTCGGCTTGTGCACGTTCACATCCATATTCGGTTGCATTGCGACATACTCAACGCCAAGGTAAGACGGCGGAATACCTGGAGGATAGGAAAATGGGATATTGAAGGACATCTTTTAGTGTTGATGGCGGATCCTAATTGGAACAAGGGCTTTTACTATAACAATGTGCCACCTCATATTGGAATGAAGGTAACTATTTTATGAAATTGGGTGGAAGGATAGGATACTGATGGGATCTATGATGTGTAGTTGGCACGTGAAATTGCTACGATCAGCTACCGATCTGGGCCTGAATGGGAGCTACGATTTGGTCGAAAGCGCGCACAACCTGACACCACACCTGCCTTGTGTCCTGACTTTTTGATTGAAACGTATCTTGATCACCAAGGCGAACGCTTTTGTTTGCAATACGACGCCAATTCGCTTCTTTACATTTCCAAAGCCATGGACATTTTCGACATGTCAAAGAGCGCCACGGATGCCCTGAGAGAGTCTCGACGACGAAACGCACATAGACTTGACAAGGTCGTCAATGAAAACCGAACGATTGCTTCCGTGATTGGTAATCAGTCAGCTCTTGAGATGCATGATACTGGTAGCAATGAGCCTTCAAGCGAGACGAATGAAAAACATCGACCCTATTTGACAACCTTGGCACAAACGGATCCCGCTGTTCAAGATTTGATCGATGGCATGAAACCTATCAAGATGCCCACGCTCATTCTCGGTGCACAAAGCGACATTCTTTTCCCTGTATGGCAGCAAAAGGAGATTGCTGAATGCTTGAGGGCTTCGGGCAACAAACATGTCACATACTATGAGTTGGATGCAATGTTTGGTCATGATACCTTTTTGATCGATAAGGTCAGCGTCGGTGGTGCTATCAAGGGTCATTTAGAATTGTTAGAATAATTGTGCATAGCGTTTATCAATGGCGGATTGCCGTTGTTTGTATTTCTATTAAGTATAATCTTCATTAAAAAGTCGTAGGCTGTCAATCATTGGGTCTATAGTGGTACAAACCCCACACTCATTATTGATATTCCGACAAACTCAGTCCCACGCACACGGGTATAGCTTATGCCGATCCAAGGATAGCAAGTCTCTCCTTTGTGCACATTACATTCATTGTGTAGGACATGATCCATGTATGCCTATATGGATTGAGCATGATGACGTGATGTCTAATTGCATGCATCCTTGATTGACACGTGTATACTAAGGACTTGCAATTGCCTTTTTTATGTAACAACAGCACATCACTACCATTGGATACGGTGCATCGTTGTCTACCATCATTTAAAACATAAAACAATACTGGGCAGATCTCTGACAAATGTCTTATTTGGTATCTAAGTATCTACATGTTAAGTTAACAAGGGGTGTGGGGGGAAAAGGGAGATTGTGTATGGGCTCTACAACAAAACAAGAGCGATAAGGCTGTGTCTAAGATCTACCACAACGTTCATGGAATTCATTCTGCAACTTGTAAGCTGGCAAATAGCCTCCATCCTCTGCTTTGAGATCCGGATTCGGGAATGTGTTGTTCATACTGCCAAGGGATGTGTATCTGGATCGATCCCGTTAATACCATCCTTGATCCGTAACATTCCATTTTCCTTACCCTTCATCATACAATGAGCAGTATGGTATCCTTAACGTTAACAAAAAGTCCCAGACGTTCTTGTATGACCAGTCAATGATGGGTTGTACACGCATAAATTGGGGCCAGCCCTTGTCCGTCATGTCAAAGTGCGTCAATTTCTCTACATAAATATAAATCCATGTTACCCAACGGGCCCTCCTACTCATCCTTGACCAATCCATGTGTGGCGCTTACCAGCATAAGGATCCGTACGTCGTATACCAACGAAAATCGCCTTTGGCTTTGGCTCGGAAACGTCGAGAAACTTTTGCAATGCGGATTTCATGGGACCTGGAATCGTTTGACAATCGAGATGATATCGTCGTGTGCATACTTGGACAAATGCATCCACGTGAGGAAATGGGTTGGGATAGGTGACAAAAACAGTGCGGAGCCGATTGGCATGACCCATACGAGATAACGCTGCAATAACAAGGTGAAGAAGCACTGTACAATCTTTGCCGCCGTTGAAGGATAAGGAAATAGCTTCGTATCTACATGCAAGAACATGTCAATATCTATCTATGAAAGAGCAACAACCATTCTTCCCTTACCCATAATCTGCATAGGCCTTTTCAATAACGTTGAGTGCGATCTTGACTTGATGTCCAAGGCTAGTGTCTTCGCTTGCCAGCCGATAAACTGTATTCTCAATGTATGAAAAGTCGTAATGTTCCAAAGTGAGGAAATTGGGATCGGTTGATTTCAGTGTGCATCCATAGTTTTGGACCAGTTGCATTCTGCAAACAAAGAAAGGGAAAAAGAAAGAAAGGATAGTAGTGGAGGAGGAGGAGGAGGAGTAGCGGAACAGTCTGGAAACGGGTGGATTCCTCTTTAGTCATCAGCAGTGACAGGTCTAGCGAAACAACTAATACAATCTAACATCCATGACAACTGCCGTACTTGATACGATGCTAAGATCTTGGTATTCAATCGTCTTTCCTCATGGATAATAATGACAACATGATCCTTGTTGATGGTCCTCTTTGTTAATTCATGATCATGGGCCACGCCAGTCTTATCAGCGGGAGGTCGTCGTGCAAGGATTTGTCCACCTCCAAGATTGCATAGATGCATCATCTTATCACGATTGGGGAATTGTTTGCCAAAGAAGCAGAATCGAATACCATCAAAGAGTGGGCTCTGTAGTAAAATCAATCAGCTTCCTTCTCTCTTTTCTATATCCAATGTTGTATATATACATACCTCATCCTCCGCAAGTGCCTGACGTGCTCGCCTAGGTCCGTGCGTCTTGCCAGCAACGGTATCACCCATGACTTCATAGGGTTCCTCAGCTAGCCATTTTCCCTTTTCACTACTCTCTTCGATCCCTGCATAAAAAAGTGTTATCTTTTCATCCAAACACACACACACATGAGAATTTCCCACGCTTACATGATCGGTTGACAATCCATATGCCTGCCAAAATTCCACGCAAATATTTCTCCGTTCTCGGACTTAAACCTTGGTCATCTTGTGTGGTAACAAGGTGCGTCACCGCGTCAAAGTTGCGTGTATCCTGATGAATTTGCATATACAATCCCTTTTCACCCGCCAAATCAATACATGCTTGGGATTCATCCTAATGGATCATCTTATTAATCATCAATTGATACACACACATAATCGAAACTTACATTCGTCATGCCTGTGAACATCACGTGCACCATCCTTGTCGGCTCCAATGATGATGCTGCTGTTGATGAGGAGGATGGGATGTCTTGGGTGGCGTAGCTGAGGATTTGATTGTCGATCATTGAGCATTGTGTCGATTGATATGCATTGGTGGAAAGGGTACTCGGGTGTAGTGATAAAGTGGATATTCGCTCTTCACGATCTTTCTCAGGTGCATCATCCCGTGGGTGCTTGCAAAAGACACATGAATCATGGCTCAATTCATTCTGAAAGCTACATGTGCTGCACTTCCAAACTCTATCTCGTGGATGTGGAGGAGGAGATATGGATCGTATTCGCTTTTGCTGTCGTGGTGAAGGTGATGAGGTAGTAATGCTGATGGTGGTGGTGGTGGTGGTGCGTGATGGTGGAATTGGGGTGCATGGTTGTTCTTTCTCTTCCAAAGGTCGGCTACCTTGGTCATCATCATGATGTGATCTCTTTTTGGTGGGAATATTAGGTTGATGATTGTTTGATGCAACATGCTTCTTTTGTGATGATGGTATGTTGATGGATGCATTGTTGTTGGTGGATGGTATCGGGTAATAACGTTCATCTTCTGGGAGGTCATCATCCAAACGCAAATCATCCTCGTCCTCATCCTCCTGGGTATCATTGGTCTTGATGGCGGTTGTGGTTGTGGTGGGAGTCGTCGTTGTAGTAGTTGATCTAGCTGGTTGTTGTTGTGGGTATTGTTCATCAGCTGGTAGGTCATCGTCAAGAAGGAGTTCATCATCCGAGTTGGCTTGTTGGTCGACATCGTTATTGTTGTTGACAAGATGAGATAAACTAAGGGATAGTGGCTCTGGCTTGGGTTCGACATATGCATCATCATCATGATATTCAACATCGATTGAATAATTGCTGTTCCAGGATGTTTCTATAGAGGATCCTTGGTTCTTCTTTTCTTCATCATGTTGTGCATCCATCTCGTCATTTTTAATCTCGTCAAATGTCGCGTCGCGTGGTGGCGGTGAATGATCAATTGAAGAAGATCCCGCTACGCGTCGTCGAGCGCGTTCCTCCAAGGTCAATGGACGTGGTGCTGCAAACTCGTCATTGCTGCTATCTTGGCTAAGCTGCTGTTCATTCACCAACTTTTTAAGCTTTTGCACACAGGCCACTAGCGTATCATGCATAGGGTCGGGTCGCATATTCTTGACGATCGCTGGTAGGTGACAAGTGGGACATTGCCGTTTGGTGCCGATCCGATCGTATATACAGTTGCTATAGAAACAACATGTTGAATAAGAGTACCGAATGAGGAATAAATAAAGCTTACTTGCAAAAGCGATGACCGCATTCGTTCAATGTTCGAGCATTCTTAACAAGGCCTCCACTAATGGCAGCCAAGTGGGTTAGCAAAAGGTGGGATGATATCAAACTTTTTTTTTGGGGGGGGAGCATACCATAGCTCGCATCGCATCAACTTTTCAATAGCCAAAAGTGAGCCGAGAAAATCGACTGAAGTGGACATGGAGGAGGCACAAGTTACAATGACAAACACAGGGAGAGGGAAAAAGGGGTACAATGGCCGATCAATGCTTTATTCCTTTCTGGGAAGCAGTCTCTCGGGTTCAAGCATCGCTGCATGACTATTTCCAACCAACACAAGGTCACTAATCACTGCTGCTGTTTGGCGATATAATCGTTCAAGGGATGTTGTGGGATATCGTTTTTGGGATACTAGAAGAAACATGATGAGTACTCGTTAAATGCATAATACACACGCACGCACACATACCAAGAATGGCTGCATTAAGATCACTCGCCAATTTTTCTAAATGACTCGAGTCAAACAAGTAGGATACGGCAGAATTCTTGACATCGACGTACGCTAATGCTGAGAATGTCGCCTATCCACGTGCGTTAGATGCAAGCCTTGGATATGGATGATCATAATCCAGTACTTACTGTAAGCTCCTTTTTCAGCTCAGGTTCATTTTCCACCAAGTTGGCATAGGTCTTTTGAATCTCTTTACCAAAGGCCATCACACCTTCAAGTTGTTGATCATTGGTATCTTCTGTTGATGATGATGCTGATGATGATTCATCCATTGTGTCGTTATTATTTGCCTCTGCGACACTCCTCCTGCGTTTGACACCTGCATGTCGTTTGGTTGTAGTATTATCATCAATGTCCATGGTATCAATAGCATCCTTGTGTATCCTGTGAACCATCTCGATAAACTTTCGGCAGGCAAGTCGGAATCGAATGATCTCGTTATTATCCAATACACCAGGATAGTGTGCATTGCAAATGTCGATCGCTTCATCAATGTTGCCACGTAATAATGCCAGCCGGATCTCTCTCCTTGTAGCCGCTTCAGTCTCTTTATCATTATCCACATCCATTGAATTGCTGTTGTTGTCTAGTAGTTGAGTACAAGTAATGGAACGTTTGAATGCTGACGCTGATTGACTGTATCCGTTATGTAAAAGATATTCGAGAATAGTGTTGAATTCCTCGTTTTTGGGTCGAGAGAGTTGTGTGATAGGAGCGAATGATTCCCGTGATTGGTCTTTGTAATGATGAGCGATATCAAACTTGAAAGGATTACTTCCAAAGTTGGCTCGGATCTTTTCGCCTGGTGTTTTAAACCCAACAAAAGGGTAGATGCCACGTCCATTGCTGATATTCTGGAATGCTGTGCCGAGGTATACACCGTTCTTGGTATAAAATGCTGACATGGTACGAAAATCAAATCCACATCCGATCACGTCGCCTGTACCAAACTTGGGTCCGTAAGGTCGACTTGTTCCTGGTCCAGAGAATAAATGCCCATCATCTCCATGATATCCCCAAGTGTGCTCTTCCCATCCTATAGAATAGATTTATGTAAGTCATGATACAAATCAATGGATGATAAGGAGGACGTACCAGGTAATCGATCCAAGGTACTATTCGACCAACAGAATCCGATCCCAATGTGGCCATCAACACCTTTGGAAATGATCTCCACCTCGAAATAAAACAATCCACATTGCGGCCGAAATGGAAAATTGGATCGTACAGCAGAGATATCAGCATCATCCTTGCCAGCACCTAGAGTGTGATGATGTGAGCACATCATGAATGAAAAGCATCCGATATTGCATTACCTTTATATGTAAGTTCCATGCAATCTTCGCTGATATCCACGAATTCGCCCTTGTCATTTGGGTTCCATGCTGTCGGCAGCCTTAAATCGTGTGTAATCAACGCTGCAACAAACGAGTCTGGTGCAACCTCGACAAGATCAGCTACCGGGCCGTTGCGATGCTTGCCAAACTTTTTGCAGTACAAGGCATGTTGCTCATGAACAAGTTTGGCATACACGGTGCCTTGGAGATAATCAGGGTATGAAGGCGGTCCATGCGATTGGCGTTCTGCAAATGCTATAATGTCGTCTTTGAAGGTCCTCCGTTTTCGATGAATGGCATTCGATCGGGTCGGCCCTCGTCCATGTTGTTGGTGCAAAGCAAGCAAGGCCGAAGCATGCGACCGGTTTCGAAAGGGTGTATGGCGTGAAGGAAAGTCAAACAAAGAATAGGAAGGCGAAGACATTTATGACAACGGTTGTAAAGAAAAAGACAAGAAGGGAGAGAGATGGGGGATGTTTCTCTCTTTTTTTTGGGTGCTATGTGACTTTTGTGATAGGACAATGTAAGGTCGTTATCTTTGATCTAATGCTCTGTATACGATTGTGTGTGTGTGCTACAATAAAGCGAAAAGAAAACAAACGTCCAAGTGGTAGTGGTGGCAGTATTAGGGCGGCAAGAACCTTTCTTTTTTCTCATGTGGTGGGCGGCGGTGACTGTAGCTGAGGATGATCATTAGCATGATAACGTGCTTTATCTGGAATGTGATATGAAACATGGATCGACTAAAGATGGGTTCAGTGCCTTCATGCCATGATCATTCTCATAACATCAGCTTTACGTTTGACGCATGCACGCTCGCTGCCTTTGCATCATTTGATACCTTCACTTTATCTACTATTGTAATGACACACGATGATGCTCTATATATACTATCATCGCCATCATCATTGGGGGGGGGGAAGCATGTAAGCTACGGTAGGGAGCATAATAAGGCTCATTTAGTGGGAGAGACATAATCGTGACCATTTGCTGCAGCCGTGCGGTGTGCTCCCATCCATCATAACTTTCTCAAAAGCGCGCTGCCTTTTCCATTTCCCTCTTCTTTCTATACAAAACACATCCTTCTATTCCTCCTCCTCCTCACTTTGCTTTTACTTTTACCATGGCCAAGACTATCAGTACCACCAAGAAATCTACCACCACTGGCGCCAATGGTTCGTATTATCAAACTCTACCTTTTTGAAATAGAAAGATGTATATTGATTGATGGCTATCATACATAGGCAAAAAGCTCAATGCATACAATCTTTACATGAAGGTAAAAGACAAATGATGCAAGACCTTGCTCTTCTGGCAATGACTCACTGGCTTTTGCTATTTGTAGCATGAACTGCCCAAATTCAAAGCTGATAATCCGAGCATGGACCATAAGGCTGTAAGGTTTCTTTGATCGTTTTCCCCTTCTATTATCAATGCACTGATTACAACGTTACATCTTCCTCCTGATCAAAGGCTTTCAAACAAGTGGTACGTATGTCCCTTTACATCCCCGTTATTATGCACATCACATCTTACTCATCATCCCATTATTAGGCCAAGAACTGGGCTACTGCTCCGGAGAACCCAAAGAACAACAAGGCTTGATCCATCCAAATGACCTGAACTTATTCCTCTCACCCACACCCCACAATGTTCTCATATCATATGTATTCATCCACGCTTGATACACATATTGCTCAAAGACCCTGTCTGGTTCATTAAAGAACAAAGTATAGCTTTTCCTATTCTTCTGATGCGCAATCTAATCGGTTTAATAGCTCTTGTTGAATATCAAATTGTGTATAGTAGGAGCGGGGTTCATTGTGTGCGTATGTATGTATGTGGGTTTATGCGAAAATGTTGTAAACGGCAATATGATGTTGGTTGGGATTAGCGATGAAAGGAGGTGTGAGAGAAGGGAAGGACATTCTATGCTGAGGAGGTGTTCTTGATGACGTTTTCGGGTCGGGAATCATGATCAAAGTGGTGGATGATAGCTTCATAACAAAAGAACATGATGGCTGCATTAGGAACCACTCGCATCAAATGGGCTGTCATTCCACCATAAAGAGCAGCAAATCCTTCCTCCTTGACAATAAGACGTAATGATTGCACCAAGCCATGATATTTACGCACGCCATTTTCACTTGGTTGTCGTAGTCGTGTACGAATGACCTCGTGGGGGTATGTGATACATGCTGCTACCAATTTCGCTGCTGCTGCTGCACCAATGTTGCCGATCCATCCTTCCAAATCTTTGCCGCCTATCCTGAAGCGTCCTTCCCTGTGCTGATTCACTGCCCATCGACGCTTCAAATGCTCATAAGTCACCCATTGAATAGTGCCTTCTGCTACACCAAGATAGGATGCACTCATGCCCTTGTATAATCCACGTATGCCTTCTTCTTTCAATATATGGAGCGTGCAATCAAGACTGTTGTGGTATCTTCGTGGGCCATTGCCCTGCAATTGCAAACGCGTCTTGACTACCCAAATTGGATTGGTAACTGTAGAAGTGACAATGCCTATGCAAAGTAATAATGATAATGGGTCAATCGATCATTTTCCATCACACACAATAATAGGTTGTATAGCTTACCTGCTGTGGCTGCCGATACTAGATGCACTGCAGGTGTCTCTTTGCCATGGTTGAGCTCTGTGTATATCTTTTTGCCATTGCCATATGTGTAAAAGTTGATGGATCTAATAAAGTACAAGTCTCAGCATACAATGAATCATGATACCAAGCTATACAACTCACCTTGCTGGAATAACACCCACAAGATTAGGACCAAGACCCTTAAAGTAACCTCGAATGCCTTCCACTTGTTTGATGCGCCTAAGAGTTCATCCATTCAGTGTCTCATATCCAATTTTATCCAATGATGATCACTTACACCAACAATCTTCCAGTTTCCATAAAGTGTCCCAATAAATAATGCTTGCGAGGTGCATGGATGATAGCTTGTTGATAGAAAGTCGACTATCAAAGAGAAGCATGCATGATATCAGCTTATCCATGCCACACACATACACACACCTCAACTTTTTTTTACCTGAAGTCTTGTCTTGACGACGTCCAATGGCGAAGTACATACAGCACCTACTAGACCACCCACTCTACAAGATCAAGGTAATGTGTTACAATGACAGGAACGCAGTGTGTGTGTGGGTGTATGCGATTTGAAAGCGATCCTTACCCTCCTGCAACGAAATGGACATACGATCGAGAGGTCTTGGAAGGCTTCTGGGTGTTTGCTTGCTTTTGAGCGGTTGGCAACTCAAGTTGTGGAGACACTTTGGAAAGGGAGCTCATTATCGTTGACTTTCCAGAAGAAGGAAACAAAAAAATATGCGCAGAAGAACCAATGTTGCCTTTCTTCCCTCTCCACCCCCCGCTTTTCCGATCAAACGCAGCTAGAAATGGACAAATGGTGGCTTTTTAGGTGACACAACAACAGCATTCCTGCTGCTGTCAAACAAAGAAACATCATCACAATGAACCTTCCTATCTCCCACCTCCCCTACTATACAAGATGTGAAAAAAACATTGGAGCAGATAATGACATCCATCCATAAAAATAAACATTGCTATTTTTACTTTGCTCTTTTTAAAAGCGTTCGCTTCTATCAAAGTCCTTGTCACAAAAAGAGTGGGGAACATTGGCGGAATGATGCGGAAACAATCGGCCCGGATGATCCGTGTTTTGATGCATCACCCCGTTAATGAGCGACATCATGCAACCTTCTCAATAGATCCCATCCTACATTTCATTGATGTTGGTAGCATACCCTACGTTGGATATTGCTCCTACCTTTAACTACCTATCCATAAGCCTTCTTTGCGATAATCATGAAAGGTCATTGCTATACTTGTTGGTTGGGAAATCAGCGATCTTCTTTATGCGTGTAACACTTCTTGCATAACACATTTATGCCACCAAGCGATGCTTGCTTCCCTTGGCAATGCTTTTGACTAGGGGTCTTTGGATCACAATTCCTTTTATCGTCCATTACCAGCTGGTCATCGCTACTTGTCATACAATAACGTGTATTGGATCATCATCATATCCTTCATGCCCATCATCAAGTGATGAGTAGCATCGTGTGAGTGCTATCATGAGCAAGCGCTTCTCTACTTTGAAAAGAACTTGTTGAGCCAGGCCTCCAATTTGGCACAAGCAAGTGAGCCACCCCAATGCCTATTGATGATGATGGCGTCAAATCCGATACAGATGAATCGGCGATTTTGGATCGTTAGAGACGCATAGGTACGGAAGGGTAACCCTGCCAACCCTTTCATGGTTTATTTGTTGTATTGACGAGAGAGTGGGAGGTTCGCATTTTGGGTGGCTGGAATGCGTTGTAGTATGTCAACATTGGAAGCAGCAGCAGCAGCAATAGCTGGTTATATACATTGTCAATGACGTTTAATCTTTTTTTTAATAATGAACAGTGCCATCAGGTAAAGGTGCACTGAGTCTCCAACCCACGGAGGCAGGTTTAAGTACCAAAGCGATAATCAAGACAACAAGCACAGTGGCAATAAAAAGGAAGAAAGCATTACGACACCGTCGTCGCCATTGCAAGTCAACTGCTTGACCCTCGGGACTCTGGTGTTGCGGAGGCACATGCATTGCCCCAATAATCCATAATGGTGGGAATAAAAAGCCAAATGCAAAGTACAAAAACGAATGACGATAAGGAGGACGTTTTCGTCGTTGCTGCTGTTGATTGTGCTCTTCATGGTCTTGTTGCTCTTTCATATCTTGATTTGTCTCCTTTTCAAAATGGTCTTCATCATCTTCATCATTATCATCATCACTTGATCCATCTGATGTTTCTTGTAAAAGGCCATGATCGATCTTCTCACGAAGCCGATCTTTCCAACCTTGTTTATGTGGGGTAGAGGGTCGTTGTTCGGTGATGTGTCCTTGTTCTCGTATTGTCCGCAACAAATTCATGCGATCGGTCCAAAGCTGGTCAGGTGGTCGTTGATGGGGTGATGGGGCTGATACAGATGATGGAAGCTGTTGCGATGAAGATGAAGCCATCATGTTTTGTTGACTTTTGCTATAAGCAATAATGTCAATGGATGGTAAAGCAGGTGTGCCAGTAGAAGGTGTAGGAGGTGCTGATGCAGGCATATCCCTCCGTCGACCAGGTCGTTTATGACGAGGACTATCCATCGAGTATTGTGGATCAAACATGGCTTCCCAATCATCGGTATATGGTCGCATGTTGCTGCTGCTGTGGGGTTTGACTTGTAAATGAACAAAAGGAAAAAAGAGAAATTATTATAGGATGGCCCACATATCGAATGGTTGTTTACTACCTGTTTGCCCGGAGAATTTACACACACACACTCATCCATCCATCGTCATTATCCCCTGGTTTGTTGACTCGTCGTTCGTCGTTGATTGCAAGAAAGGAATAAAGGTGGTGGATGCTTCATTGTCCTTGGCTTTATGGAAAGGGAAATGTGTAAACATAGCCACTCCTTTAAATACACCCATGATGTCAAGATGGCGATATCAACATCATCTTTACCACATGGCCGAACACAAGGACAAGTTTTACAAATACGATGAGGCTCTCAAACTCAAGCATCCAAAAGAAGACGCCATTGCAAAGACGCACAACGCACGACCAAGTAAGAAGGTTACACTAGCACAGGCCAACGATGATTAAGATTATTCACTACTACTCTATAAAACAGCATCCATGAACTTTGTCTTTGATAGTGTAGAGGATGCGGGTGGATTTGCCAAGGAAGTGACCCAGGAAAAAGGTGGCGATAATGTATTCAAGGCTGAGGAATCATTTACCAATCCAAGAAGCGGGGAAAACTTACCCAAAGATTATAGTGAATCATGCATCATACTTTAGCGTGTCGCCTGCCCTTTTTGAATAACGATCAAAACATTGTCATTTGCACACACACACTTTTTTTACTTTGCCACACTTTTTCCCATTCTTTTTTCCTCCCATCTCTCATCTTGTATTATAAAACTATAATGGACAATGAAACACGGCGTCGTCGTTGTTCAATGGGTGAAGAAGTAAATTTGCATTACACCCCTTGATGATCATTGTTGTCTTCTAAACTCCTTTTATTGTTACATCAACAACATCTATATGTAGTCCCCACCACCACCCTATACATCGCCTGTACGATATAGCAGGAAAAGACGATGGTCATTCACAGCATTCTTGAGACGTATTCGACCCCGACGACGTAGTAATGGAATGACGAGTAGCAACCACCACCACCAACCTTATATCCATACGATCCTTGCATCAGGGCCCACCGGAGATGTACTTGATCAGGCACAGCAACAAGATGTACTTAATAAGATCTTTTCCCATCCACCTATGCCGAGTGGTACGCCTGTGACGGATGCTGAAGCCGCACGGATTGCATCTCTTGAGTACATTTGGGTGTTTCGTCGCCAATCCGAGCACGAGGTGCCTGTATGGACCACTTTTGATGCGATGAATCAGGTGGTGCTGAGTGATAATCGCTATAGCGACAAGGGTGTTGAAATATTTGATTCACATATACGTCAAGGTCAACTTCCAGTGTTGGTGGTTCCTCATCGTCAGGCTGCTTATTGTCCTATAGACGTGGCTGGCAGTGATATCGCATCTCTGGAAATCGCTTGCTTACCCAATTCCAATAATCTACAGTTTGTCTATCGAAAACCGCCCCGACAATAAAGCAGGCTCTCTCACTCTCTTCTTTTTCCAATATGATCTTGTTGGCCTTTGATATTCGTGGTGCGTTCAAGGAGGTTAGCCCTATAATAAAAGCGTGGTGGTGGTGGTGGTGGTGGTGGTGTGTGAGTGCGTGTTCTTTTGCTGAAGCCTTCAATGTCCAGTTTGACCAAGCATTGGCCATGCTACCTGATGCAGAATCCAGGGCAGCGGTGATGCGGTACAAGTTTGACAACGATCGACAATTGGCACTTGCGAGTCAGCTGTTACGACGCTATGTGTTTGTGAAATACTATGGGTTCGAGTGGGATACGATTCGATTTGGGAGTATGACCAAGGGTGGTAAGCCTGTACTACTGGTAAATGTTGTTTTTTCATTGGTGTACAAGCTATGATCATGAACCTCCTTTTTATTTGACAGCATCCACACGAGTCATCATCATCACCATCAGCAGACACGTCTTATGATTTTAACATCTCCCATCATGGACATTGGGTCATCCTTGCCGCCACTGATCAACCTGGCCATTGCGTAGGAGTGGATGTGGTGACCATGGATACGCTACCATCCTCCTCCTCTGTGACCGAGCTTATCGAATGCTTTCAACCACAGGCAAGTGATGGATGATAAATGACAATGGGATCCCCAAAGGACAATGACGACTCATATAGATAGATGCGGGGGTTCTATATTATATGCAGCTATCACCACAAGAACAACACATGCTCCGACATCATCCGCATCCTCTTGAAGCATTCTATGGTATCTGGGCACTGAAGGAAAGTTACACCAAAGCCATTGGAGTAGGTTTATATCATGAATTAAATCAACTCAACTTTTACAACTCAAAGGAGGTGAGTGAAAAAGATGATAGGTTGGTATAAAGATCACCCAAAACTAATTTAAGGATGATAAAGGGGTTGATACAAATGTCCAACACTGGTAAAGAACAACCAAATCTGGGTTTTCACATGGGATGGTTGGATGAAAAGACATTGGCAGCCGTGTGTTATGATGATGACAAGTCTACTCTATGCAAGGACCTTGACGATCCTCCATTACAAATCGGTGATGTCTTTCGAGGAAGGATAGATAGACACTTTAGGATAGTGACGCTGCATGATTGCATGAGTGTGAAATAAAAAAAAAAGTTGCTTCTTTCAATAACATCACGTGCGGGGTATCTTTCCAGACACTCTTTGCTTTCTTCCTTTCTTCTTTTCTTACTGCTTGCTTCAACCATTCTTTCCTCAAGTACAAAAATCTCCCATGGGATGTTGTGTCTCTCGAGCTGCTGATGACGATAATCCGCATAGGGCAGCTGCAGGAGGTAATTGTCAGCCATGACTCTTTCCTCTCTCTCTCTCTTTCTCTCTTTCTCTACTACTCTCTCTTGTTGTTTTCTTTTCGCTTTATTCACTCGCTCTCTCTCTCCCACTCGCTCTCTTTTTTCTTTTAGGCAAGCCCTTTAAACGATCCAGTCTTACATGGACAGCTGATACACCTATTACTCGGTCCCAACTCGAGAAACAGCGAGAAACGTTTTGGGAAACAGCACCCACTTTTGAGGTAATAGATACACACACGCGATAATGATCATTCAAATGGAAGCTTTGACACTCATGTATGGAATAGGGACGACCGGAAATATGGCAAGCAATTCAAGCAGCGGTTGATACGTCCGATCTTGCGATGGCCCAATCGATTCTTGATGCAGCCAATGTAATTATTCCTACTGGGAATCCATCGGAAGGATGCTATGATGGTAAGCAAGGAAGGAAGGAAGGAAACAAGGAAGGGGGGGTTGTCAATATGAGCATGCGTTAATATGCCATATTCAGAATTGGGTAATCGATACGTAATTCCAATGTACTGCCTTGTGGATCCAACCAATTTGATGAATGATAACGACGCTACAACAGGATCAGCAGCAGCAGCAGCCTTATCGCCACCTTCTCCACCCACTGCTGGATCAGCTTCCGTTGCACCTATCGATACGCCAAAAGCATCTGTAAAAGAAAAGGCGTCCAATATTTCACTCGCAGGATCCGAAGTGAGCTTGATTCCCATCACTGTACGTCTCTCTACTGCTCAAGATATCAAGGTGGATATTAGTCGTCATGATGAAACGGTCGCTTCTTTACGAACCCGCATCTTTATGCAAGCTGGAAACAACATTACACCACAAACACATACTATTCGTCTTATCTACTTGGGTCGAGTATTACCGGATGATGATAGAATCATATGTGAGACGACAACAACAACAGGAGCAGCAGCATCCCCTTCATCAGCAGAATCTCACAAGACATCAAAAACTGTGGTCATTGCTCAAGGTGCCGTCATTCAAGCTCTCGTCTCCAAAATATGATCCTTACAATACATACCCTTCTCCCCCCTCAAATAGTAGTCGTAGACCGCCGTCCCCCAATCTCATCAGTATTTCCTCATTCTTTTTTATCCAAAAATTACAACAATCAAGTTTTATTGCTGTAAAGCTGTTGTAGTAGCCAAATTAGCAAATAATTCTACATTATGATGCAAGATTTGTTCATCCACTGAGAGTCGTTCAAAGGGTCTTCGCCATGGTTGGTGATGATGATGCTGATGTTGATGTCGTTTACGATGATGGTGATGATGATGATGATGATTTGACCATACCAATAACTCCTTTTCTAGATTATCCAACACCATACGATAGCTCTTTAAGTGTCGATAAAGCCATGGATTGGCAGGTGAACGCCATACCCAAATAGAAGCTGAATTCAATGCCGCAAATGCTTCCATATCCCGCTTGCATTGGTCATACGAGAACAAAGGAATCTTTTTATGACGCACAGACACCACCCATCCTTCTTTTTGAACGCCTTGGTTTGAATTCATGTTGCTGCTGCTAACATGTTGCCATCGACCTTGTTTAGGAGGCCGTACTTCTACCGCCACAAAGATACACACATCGTCGGTGGATGTCTTTTGTTGACTCGTAAGCTTGAGATCCAGCATCGTCCAATCTTTATCATGTTGTACTGCTATGGATACCGATTCTCGTTGGCCGACAGTCTTTCCAAGCATTCGCCAAAGCCGTAGTCGGTGAAAAGCTGCGTTGCTAAGCAAGTAGTCTCGGCAATGAGGATGCACAGCTAGCAATTCCGGGATCCAGCAATGTCGTCGCAAGACATGGTCAAGCAATCGTTCGGATTGGTTCAACTCGGTGGCTACACACTCATCAAGGACCTTGTAGATAACATCCCATACAAGAAGAGGCTGTGACATTTTATAGATATAAAAGAAAAGAACGAAGGAATAGAATTATGCAAAAAGAACACAAGAGAAATATACTTTGATCACATGTGGAGATGGGGTGTGTGAGAAAAAAAGGGATGAGAGAATAGAGTTTTTACTGTAATTGTTCAATGGCTAGCAAATAATGACTCTTAAGATCCGAGAGTTCTTTGTACTTTTGTTGCATGCTGCGTTCACGCTCAACCAATCGATCCACTTCAGATTGGGCTTGATCCACACGTGCAGGAATAGCGGCCTTTTCGGACATTTGAAGAGTGACAAAGCTGTTATACTCAATGCGCACGGCCTCCAATTCATCAGCTGCTTCCAGGATCTGCTGTGTCAACTTTTCAGATCGATTCATGTAACCACCAAGTCGCACTTCAAGCTTCTTTTCAAGTTTGCCGGCTTGTGTAGCATCACGAATCATGGCTCGACGATTACCCTGAATAATTCACACACACACTCAATCAGATACCAATGGTCTTTTGTTCCATCCTTCCTCTCTCTCTCTTACCTCGATGGTCTTTGCCATGCCTTGGGCTTTATCCTCTTCACTCTCAAATTCTGATGCAGGTACGAATCGATTGTGCTTGACAGAGAATAGCATGTTGCCGTGTGTTGATTCCCAAATATCACCAAATGCATTGCTATCGGAGACAAGGTGCCACACTGCTGATTTGATATCCGTATCTTCGGGAATGTCATGTATCCTTCGAATCTCTTCATCCAATTCTTTTCGTGCATCATCCAAAGTCGCTCGATCGAACTCTTCCTCAAGTCCATCCAAATCGCCTAGGCTCACAGCACCTGGTGCTACTTTGCTGCCAACCACAGGATACTTGATTGTGTCGTGTTTCAATAAACGCATGTACTCTTCTTGAAGCAATTGTTCAATCTCATCACTTGTATCCGATTTGACGCTGGCTGGTACGACAACAGGTCGTGGCAACCCCATTTGTACTGCAAGTGATCGACGTGCAAGGCGTTCTTGTTCTATAAAACAACCATGAGTATCATCATAAAGCTTTTACATCCATATTCTCTCTCTCTGCTTACCTTGTTGTTCAGCTTGTTCCTTTTCACGCCTATCAATCTCGCTTTGATCTTCAATCTTGGTGTCCACCTCTTCTTTCTTTTCAGTGTCATCCATCTCTGGTAAGCGAATCTCGTATTCATTTCTTGGGACAGGTAAGCCAGCCAATCCTTGTCGCAGACTTCGCTTTGCTTCAACAGCCGAAATATCTGATCGTGGTGTTGATAAACCGGATGTGTCGGTGCGTGGAGTGAGAAGTGGGTTGGGTGTCTGAATCTCAGCAACTCGAGGTGTGGCGCCTTCAAATCCAGTACCGCCTTCAGAAATGTGTAAAGGTGTGTTCTCTTCACCAAGCAATGGCGTTTGTGTTGAAGTAAGAGCTCGTAGATTTCTCGCCTCATTCATAAGAGAATCAGCTAAAGAGATGGTATTAGATGTCATGAAGCATAGTAAGGTTTTTCAACATACCATTGGTAGGGGCACGTGGTGTACGAGTAGGCAATGTTCGTGGGGTTGAGCTGAAATCTTCGACTAATCCACTCGTGGTGCCTTGCTCCTCATCCTGAACAAGCAACTTTGCATTCTCACTTGTCGTACCCGCTTTGACAATCGTCTCAAGTTCAGATTCGCCGATCTGTGGTGCTGGCAATACAAGCTTTCGTCGCTTAAAGATCTGCTCTTGCTCTTGAGCTTTGATAAGCTTGGCATCTTTGGCTGGCACGAAACGACCTTGGTTGCCTTCAGGTTGTTGCTCCTTGTTGCCTGATTGCTTCGCCTTACGCTTCTTCTCACGTTGCTTTTCCTCTTCAATATCAGCTCGACGACGATTCAACTTTGACAAGTGCACATTCGTCAATTTGCCAGGATCCACAGGACGATTCTTTTCTTCGGTCGTATCATAGAAACCAAGTGGCACAGGCTTCTCAAAAGGAATGTCGGCATTGTAGTCCATGTCATGCTTCTTCTTTTTCATGCGTAAGCTAAAGAAAGAGAAAGATGTTAATATACCTATCGTATACATACCACCATGTGATAATAGATACATACTGAATACCAGCTGCTTTGAGTTCACGACGTTTTTGCAATGATGCCAATCGACGCGCTTCTTCCAATTGTCGTTCTCTTGCCTTTCGCTTGGCCTTTTTACCCTGAGTATTGGCAAGACGAGCACGTGCCTCTGATAACATTTCCTTTTCATCTTCATCCATATCGACAGGATCAGGTCGTGCAGGCTTTGTCTCGGGCTCGGGATCCACTTCACCAGGTCGTAAACGCCGAACATCATCAGCACTTGGACCATGCTCAGGCCCCTGTGTACCCGTCAACCCAAGATCGGCACCCGCTTCTCTCGCCTCGGCCTCATCGAGCAATCGCTGATAACGTTCCAGACATTGTGCAGGTGTACGGCCAACAATGGGTGCAATGGTACGCCACTGTGTTGGCATCAACTTTGCAAGATGGAGTAGCTTCTCGTCTTCTTCTTTGGACCATTCAGTCTATTATCATTGTATCAGTGTTGTTCGTAGAGTTGTATCCAATAAACACGCATGCGAACCTTTTTGATGCTGGGATCGAGCCATTCGTACCATCTGGCTTTGCATTGCTTTGGTGTTTTGCGTACGAGCAATGACGAGATACGAGCCCATTGATTCTTGCCGTATTTGCTGACAGCTGCTTTGAGGATCTCGTCTTCAGTATTCTTCCAAATGCCACCCTTGATCAGCACTTTCATGGTTGCAGGAAATAAGGGAAAAAGTGTGAGAGAGAAAGAGCCAAGTATGTGTTCTCCGTTGACAAGCAACCAGCTGAATGTTTTTGGTCGGCCGACAATTGCAGTGGGCGGTGGAATCTATCCCACCACAACACTCCAAATGAATAGCTTGGACACTACCCCCATCCACTTATGAATTGAATAAATAGCTTTATTACTTTGAATGTGAATTGGGATGTAGTTTATGGAGGAATAGCATGCGAACATCAACGTCTTGTTGTTAGGCCTACGTGTTATTCATCTATCTCAATTATAAATGCCTAAGACATGGAACTTGACGAGCTACCTAAAGAACCCACATTCAATGATATATATGCAATCGCTCTTTTTGGGAAAGGACGTGTCATTGGTTTGTTTATTGTCTCCAAGGTTACCTTTGGCTGCTTTGTTTTGCATCCTCATTAACGTGAGCACCCTTTGCTGCTTCTTCGTGAATGGCTCTGTGTGGATCGCAAAAGACGTAGATGGAAAGTGAAGATACCTTTTTGTTTATGCCTGCATGCCTTCATCATCCTTAGTATTCTTATGATGTAAATTGGGATGATCCATGTACATGTTGTGAGCTTTGTGCACTTACATACAACAACAACAACACATGACCAACGCACTTATTTACACATTCAATGCTTGGCATTGTAGTAGAGTACGTGTGCTCCATAATGGTAGAACGAAAATAGTTCATACAACAAAATGATCGGCCCCTGCTTCGTGCAACAGATATTGACGTGATTGATAAAATTGCGGTACTTACCACATTTTTGGGCAAGGCCATCATCATTACCATGCAGCCAATGCATGTCCTTGCATTGACCGTATTTGTGCCGGGGATATGGATGATGTTGGTGTATAATGCTACTCACACACTTTACCAAGCAATAGCTCTAATAAAGAGGGAAGCGTGGTGTCAGGTGGGCAATGCTAACCTTAAATTTTCCTCCTTACGCTTTCATTGCAGTATTTCTCCCGCCCACCATGTGGAGTATGTGCCGTATGTAGCAGTTGCGCGCTATTGCCATTTACATAAAAAAAGCGACACTTAATACCCCAGGTGGAAAAAGGAGACGCATGCAGGGTAGCATTTGAGCTGGTATGCTGTCCCTTCTTGTGAATGTGTATATAAACCACGGGTTGGCAGTAAGCAGAATTCAGTGTTGCTTCAACTTTTTTTTTCTTTTTCATTGCGTATGTTTATTTACGGTAAGTGGGCAATAGCGCTTACTGTTGTAATTACAAATCTCTCATATTGTATCCCACGTCGTAGCCGTTGCTTTCATCCCCTTTTTTGTGCTCTCTGTAATAGCACAGCAAACCAGCTACAGTGTCATCTCCCTGGTGAATGGTGACGCTGCTGGCATGGTTGTCGTTGTAGATGACAAGCCATATCCTATGCACATAGCATCATCATCCTCTCTTTTATTCTCGGGTTCAGCCCCACACCCTGAAAAAGGCTATCATTATGCCAAAGTCGACTCCACTGGAAACATCCTTGAAAATGAGCCATTTGATCGGAAGCCATTTGAAGGCGATGCTACACCCAACGAGCATTACAATAGAACCTGGAATACATGGAAGATCCCTCAACTGCTTCAAGTCTTGGATCCATTGCCAGCTATTCATCGCGTCGATAGCAAGCTTCATATTGACGGCGAGATCCCCACAATCCACATTACAGGCGATGACCAGGCCATTCAAAATATGCATAAGCATGATAAGGATGACATCCAAGTGAATACTACAATGACCTATATTAGGTAAGAATGCATACCAAAAATGAAGAGGTAGGAATACCTTGTACTAATTAGAAACATTAGCCTTCATGATGTCCAAACGTTTTCCGGTGTCGAATTTGAAATCTCTGGTCGTTTCTCACGTGAAGCTTCTAAGCTAGCATACAATCTTAAGCTTCCCAAAAAGACTTACCTTTATGGATACCGACGCCTCAAGCTACGATCATTGGCAACTGATCCCTCCTACATTCGTGAGGATTTGGGATACAAGATGTTGGCAGCTGCAGGAGTGCCTACCACTGATACCAGCTATGTCAGGTACAACCTACCACCTCATACCAGGTTTTGCATATGCAATCCAATCACTAATCCACACCCCTTTATTTAGAGTGTATCTAAACAATCAACCACTTGGCCTATTTGGATTTATCGAGAAATTTAAAAACCCTTGGTTGCGCAACGAATTTGCCGATGGTAATAAGGATTACCAACAAGGCACATTGTATCAAGGCAAATACACCAATCCCAAAGCAGAGCTTCTTGGTGGTCGTGTCTCCGACCTTAGCTACTACGGCGACAAGGAGGGCCCTTATGCCTTGGGCGAGTATAAAATAGCAGAAGATCCATCCGAAGGTGAACCCAACTACAAGGCTCTTATCGAGTTGACCAAGTTCCTTGACAAGGCACCATCTACAAAGGAAGCATGGGAGGCCCACTTTGATATGGAGAGCGTGTTAAGAGGGTAAGATCAAGTCAACAAGGGGGAGGAACAAAGTAATATTTCCAAAGTCAGTTTCTTATTTGGTATCCCTGATTCTTTAGAATGGCTCTTGAATTCTTGCTTGGTTTTGCTGATGGCTATTTGACTGTGGCTGATAACTATTATGTGTATCAGACATCTCCTAACAGCACCAAGTTCATCTTTATGCTATGGGACATTGATCTCAGCCTAGGATCCACATCACTCATCGAAATGTCCCAAATCGAAGCAGGTGACTGGCACAAGTTTACCAGTTCAGTGACAAAGCGACCCCTCATGAAATTCCTCCAAGTACCCGAATACGCAAATCGATTCGATCAATTAATACAAGAACTCAACGACAAGCTGATGACCCCCGATGTACTTGGCCAACGCATTGATGAAACGGCGGCAATGCTTAAAGAGGATGTTGAATGGGATAAATCATGCCCACGTGTTAGCAGCGTTGGCTTGCTCAATTACAATGATATGGCTGTGCTCGCTCATGCGTTTGGCTTTATGAAGACCGTCGATGTCAGCATGCACACCGTTCATGACTTTAACCAACGACAACGCCATGATGATGTTGATTTCATGAATGCTGTCAATGGACCTACAGGCTACAAGCACTCTTTGGTTGGTCTCAAGGAATTCATCAAGGTCAAGCATCAAAACGTCGCTGATCACTATGACAACGAGCAAAAGTAGAATTTTTCTCACTTTTACTTTTCTTCTTATATAACACCATCATCATCCTGCCATAATATCAGCATTTGCATACAGCATCATTAAACGTATATCGTAAAAGCATTCACTACTACTACATTCTACCTTGGTAGGGTCATTCTCTCTTCCTCATGATGTATAGAAAGACATCCATAGTTGTAACGTGGTTGATGTCCATGCATTGGCTAACGATGAAAATGTACGTTGTAAGACGACTGCTGGATCAGCAGCTAATCTTTTAAAATGCTCATCCAGGCAACTACCAGCTTGGCACTGACCATGTTGCTCAAATGGATGCTACATCGAGCATCACTTTATCAAGCAGCCTTTGTGATAGTGAAGATGGTTATGCATAAGTTGTTGGGTACACAAATGGAAGATTGGGTTACCTAGCAATAAACCAAAGATACATGACGCCCGTGAAGTCATGCGGCGAACCTTGGATCATCCATCAACAGCTCTTTTTGGCGATGGACCTTGAATTTGGTAGCTAAATGAAGTTGCCATGTTACGGCGAGACATCAACAATGTCAACGCTCTCAGGGGGAAAACGACGATTACTGCAGTTGAGTTTAATTGAGATTGCTGGCAATTCCGATGTCATGCATGGTGGAATTATCATCAAGCTGCCATTGCATCCAAGGAAGATTTGTAACTTGAGTAGATTTTGGAGAAGGTAGGATTATGAATACCAGGTATGAAGTAGGAGTAGATGGCTTTTTCTTTCATTGACGCAAACAAGGTCTTGTAGTGCTCAAAGAATTATTATGTATGCCATGCAAGTCTCAGGAATCAGGGGTTAAAGGTACTACCACCTATAGTTATCGCCGATGGAAAATGAGGATGTCGCATGCAGATTGCCATATTATTACGATGGCGTTCTGCTTGTTGTGGACGTGTATAAAACATTGGCAGAAAACAAGAAGCTATGTGTTGTAAAACTTCTTCTCGTCACTACGTGAATGCTTATTTACAGTAAGTAGGGCGCTAATGCTTGCTGCAATGTTTATACGCCTCTCACATCGAATTTGCATCTTCCACATAGCCGTTGCATTTGCCCAACTTTTTGTCTCTGCATTAGCACAGCAAGCCAGCTACAATGTCATTTCCTTGGTAGCAGGTGATGCTGCTGCTGGTATGGCTGTTGTAGTAGATGACAAGCCATATCCAATGCACCAAGATCCATCATCATCCTCTCTCCTTTTCTCGGCTTCAGCTCCACATCCTGGAAAAGGCTATCATTACGCAAAAGTTGATTCCACTGGAAGCATTCTTGAGAGTGAGCCATTTGTTCGGAAGCCATTTGATGGTGATGCTACACCCAACGAGCACTATAATCGAACCTGGAATACATGGAAGATAGCCCAACTACCCCAAGCCTTGGATCCATTACCAGCCATCAATCGCGTTGATAGCAAGCTACACATCGATGGCGAGATCCCCACCATCCACATCACTGGTGATGAGCAGGCCATTCAAAACATGCATAAAAATGATGAAGAAGACATCAAAGTGAGCATCAACATGACCCATATCAGGTAAAGTAAAAAATGTGCACCTGCAGAGCGAACATCGTTTCATTGATTCGAAATAGCCTTCATGATGTCCAAACGTTTTCCGGTGTCGAATTTGAAATCTCTGGCCATTCATCCCGCCAAGCTCCCAAACTTGCATACAACCTTAAGCTTCCAAAAAAGACTTACCTTTATGGTTATCGACGTCTCAAGTTGCGATCATTAGGCACCGATCCATCCTATATTCGCGAGGATTTAGGATACAAGATGCTGCATGCTGCGGGTGTACCAACTACGGATACTAGCTATGTCAGGTAGTACAGCTATCTCATAAGCAATTCGATCATTGATGCTCACCCCATTATCCAATTTAGAGTGTACCTTAACAATCAACCACTTGGCCTATTTGGATTTATCGAGAAATTTAAGAATCCTTGGTTACGCAACGAATTCAATGATGGTAATAAGGGCTACCAACAAGGCACATTGTATCAAAGCAAAAGCAAGGCAGGTGGTCCTTTGGGTCTTTTCAGTGGTAATCTCTCAGACCTCAGTTACTACGGTGATCAAGAGCAACCTTACTTGTCCCAATACAAGATCGCAGAGGATCCATCTTCAAAAGAGAAACCCAACTTTTCGGCTCTTATCCAATTGACCAAATTCCTTGACAAGGCATCATCCACCACCAACAAGGAAGCATGGGAGGCTCATTTCGACATGGAAAGTGTCATGAGAGGGTAAGACATCATGATCAAAGTATTAGCATCATAGGCAATTTCTTCTCATGCTGTATGCATCATCTCTTATTAGGATGGCTCTTGAGTTCTTGATGGGATTTGGTGATAGTTACTTGGCAGCATTCAACAACTATTACATTTATCAAACGGCTCCCGACAGCTCCAAGTTCATGTTTTTGCTGTATGACATTGACCACTGTATGGGATCCACGCCTTTTGTCAAGATGTCACAGATCGAAACAGGTGACTGGCACAAGTTCACAAACGAGGTGACCAAACGCCCTCTTATGAAATTCACCCAAGTACCTGAATACGCTCATCGATTTGATCAATTGATACAAGAGCTCAATGACAAGTTGGTGAATTTGGATGTGGTTGGCCAACGCATCGATGATACGGTTGCTATGCTTCAAGAGGATGTTGCATGGGATAAATCATGTCCACGTGTGAGCAAAGCAAATTTCTCCAGTGATAGCGACATCCTTGCAATGAAAGACAAGCTCGATCAAGTGAAGAGTGAGAACCTAGATCTCGATACGCTTTACAAGTATAACCAAAGGATGCGTGATGGCGATATTGGATTCATCCAAGCTGTCAATGGACCTACACACTACGAGTCTTCTTTGGTTGGCCTCAAGGAATTCATTAAGATCAAGCATCAAAATGTTGTTGATCACTATAGCAGCAAACAATAGAATTCTTTCTTTCTCCTTTGTATTCTCTTTACATGTAGTGTAATATTCATTATTGTAATATCATTCATCATGAGTATCCTCTCTTCCTTTGAAAGCATGCGTTGGGTGATTTATATAGACATGTGTTCTCTCATTTGAGTTGCTTGGCAACTAGACCTTTATAGCCTGTGGCTGGTAGTCATAGCGTGGTGGTGGCAAGACGAGCTGTGTATGAAACCCGGCAAGCAGATCATGCAGAGAAAAATTTCCAACCGCTTGTCTCTCTCTTTTCCTTTCCCCTCCATCCCCTCCGTACACCCATGGGTCTCGCCGGTATCAAACAAAAGCAACGTATCAGTGCTGATCCCAACAATCTCACATGGAGCAATGGTATATACGATACAACGATTCCCACAATCTCTTTTATTAGCCTTCTCATTATGAATTTGGGTTGTAGATCAGTCCAAGTTTGGTTTTCGCATGCTCATGAAGATGGGTTGGGCACCCGGCAAAGGTCTCGGTGTCAACGAAGACGGCAATCAGGAACATGTCAAGATCCGGCTTAAGGAGGATAACCTTGGTTTGGGTGCCAACAAAAAGACATCCGACAATTGGCTTGACAATACCGACAGCTTTTCTCGACTGTTAGCCGACCTCAATGCACGAACCGAGTCAGCATCAGCTTCGCCAGAGCCCGAATCAGATGAACAACAGCAGCAGGGTGATGATGATGGTGATGAAAAGTCGACCAAGAAGCGCAAACGATCATCATCTTCCGACGACGACAATGACAAATCTGAAAAGAAGAAAAAGAAGAAGGAGAAGAAGGACAAGTCTGAAAAGAAGAAGGACAAGAAGAAGGATAAGAAGGACAAGGCCGAGAAGAAGGACAAGTCTGAGAAGAAGAAGGACAAAAAGAAGAGCAAAGATAAGGCTGAGGAACCAGCACCAACACAAACCGTTTTGCGTAATGCGTAAGTACATTCATTTGTGTAAGGCTATCGAAGACTCTAACAAGGTACAATTGTAGTGCTCGAGCCAAGTTTTTACGAGCGAAGCGGATGGCTACTCAACAAGATCCTGCAAGGCTTAATGAGATTCTCGGCATCAAATCACCTGCATAAACCAACAATAAACATTAGAGGGGAAAATCATCATATTTATCTTTTTGCATGCAATACAATCCTATTTGACCAATGTATTATTATGAATGATCCATAAATGAGCTATGTTTATGTAGCATCATGCGCATTAGTGATAGACAAATCATGCCACAATTCATCTCCTTTTTTTGGGTTGCTGTCATTGTAAAAAAGCGCTCTCGTCCTAAATTTATCCTGTGTGCTCAGCTTTCACCATTACAATCACACCATGCTTCTCTTCTCTTTTTCTCATCGATTATGGATTACAACCCCTCTTTTATTACTCATTGTTCATATCGTTGCCGTGGTTGAAGCTATCGAACGAGAATACTATATTGCAGCCGAGGAGATCGAATGGGATTATGCACCAAAGAACCACGATCTGCTCCATGATCTGCCATTAGAGTCCAGCCCGGCTCGATTCTACACTGTACGCAATGAGACCCGAATCGGCAAAGTATACCATAAAGCCATGTATCGTCAATACCATGACAACGAGTTTCGAAGGCGAGCTGCACGTGACCCTGCCATGGGATTTATTGGACCAGTGATTCGAGGGGAAGCGGGTGACCGACTACGCATTACATTCCTCAATCGAGCTAAACGGCGATACAGCATCCATCCTTATGTAAGCGACCTGGCAACGACTTCACCTTCTCATGTTGTCGAACCTGGAGAGAAATACACATACATTTGGGATGTACCCGTTACCATCAATGATACTCGAGTATGGTGTTACATGTCACGAGCGGATCCAGTGCATGATGTCCATGATGGGTTACTAGGCCCTGTTGTTATATACCCTGCCAACACATTACAACGACCCACACCCGGTTCACCTGAACGCCCATTCATGTTGGATCGTGAGATCTTCACAGTGATGACCATTACGGATGAAAACATGTCACATTATATCCGTCAATCAGCTGAAGCTGCCAATGTACCACTCGCAAGAGACCCAGGGTTCTTTGAATCGAATCGCATGTATCATATCAATGGCTTTGTATTCAACAACAATCCTTCCTTGCACATGTACTATGGTGATCGTGTTCGATGGTATATACTTTCGCTTGGCCTTGGTGATGATGATCCACATACAGCTCACTGGCATGGTGCTACACTACTCCAACATGGTCATAGAATGGATGTTGTCGATCTTATGCCCGTCAGCTTTGAATGGCTCGACATGATGCCTGATAACGAAGGCCAATGGCTTTTCCACTGCCACGTGACCCAACACTTTGATGCAGGAATGTCAGCCTTTTATCAAGTAGAGAAACTAGAATACAATGGTGCAGAAGGCTGGGATGAAGATGAAGGCTAAACTATACTATTAAATAAAAAAAGAGGGGAAACCAAATATTTTGTTTTAACAATATCCAAGCTGAGGCGAGGAGAGGATATAGACCTGATCCGTGGCTTTAAGAATAAGCGATGGCACAGGGTTGGTATAAACAAATGGAAGCTCGTTGCCAAGAGAATCATCAGCAGCACGTAACAAGCCGAGTGGCATGATCCCATAGCCCAACAATAATGTTTCAAACATGAATGCAAACGTATGGTCGATAAATTCGGGAGGCATTGGTATGCTGGTGAGATGGGGTGCATGGATCATGGCTGAAGTCACCGTGCTGAAATCCTGAGACGATGACATTAAATGGGCGGCTGATCCATCAAGAAGAGGACCTGGCATGCCACACAATGTCTTGATGATGGATACAATATCGGGCTTGTAGTATGTTTGGCTGAGCAGCACATTGTTGATTAAGCTGTCTGCAATCACGTCGCCAGCAGCGTATGCAGGTGTGTAAAATACATCAATCTCCTCGGCAACATCCTTCTCTTGAAGCAAATGCATAAAGCGGATATTGGATTTCTCCACTATACAATGCACCCATTAATCATGCTGTGTCACACGTCTTGTCTTATCACCCTTACCTAAATTCACAATGGTATAGGCACCTTCCGCACGCTCTTGAACCAAAAGATCAATTATGTGACTCGTCATACTACACAATGCTCATGTCAATAACCCGATCCCATCGTAAAACAAGGTTACTTACATTGCAGGACTATCCGAATTATATTCGCACTCGTCAAGGCAATCCTTCTCACTATATCACATTACCCAAATAAATGACCATGTTTCATCCACAACGGCACCATGCACTTTACCTCATCACCACCACTTGTTTGGCTCGTTTTACACCTGCTTTAAGAAGATCATCCGGTTGCCTGCAATCGCCCTAATAGAGAGACATTTCAGTATCGGTCTCGTCTTTTCCAAAGAATCTCATTTACCACTATAAAGTACACCTTGGGAAACATGCTAATCAGCTCGAATGTTTTCGGCTTGGGTGGCGTAGCACAAAGAATGACAATGTCTTGCAATGCTTCAGGTCGCATGTGAGGTGATCTATTGATGCTGTGGATGAGTTAACGAGTAAAGGTGATCTTGTTACTGCTGCTGTTGTACCTGAGATTATAAATAAACTTGAAAATGTTGACGACTTCACGATGAACGCAAACAAGAATATGACCACGCATGTTGGCTGCTGATGTGATGGTCACTTTATCGACATCATCGACACGTTCTTCCAAAACATAGGAGAGTGGCAATGAGACATCATCCATAAGCGACGATCCGCTGCTATCGTCGTCCAAGGTGTGATGATGAGCATGCGGCACAGGTGATTGACCAAGACGGCTGATAAGCGCACGACTTCCTGTTAGCAAAGCATGACGTGGTGTTGGAAGTCGAGATAATTTGTATCGCTCTGGAGGTGGTTTTGCATGTGTCGAAGATGGAGGATGAGACGGAGTGGTAGTAGCGCTGTTGGGCATGGGTGGTTGTTGTTGTTGCAAATTCGATAGCCATTGCTGTTGTGGCATGGGCATATGTAGTGGCATCGTTCTCATCCGGTTAATGGTTCGTGTTACATACGAAGGGTTCTTTGAAGAAGGGAAGTGTCAATCATCAATCCTTCATTAAACGACCTTTTGGCTTTACATACCAGATATTCGATATCTTTGATCTCCTTAGGGCTCTCGGATATATACACGCATAGATCTTCCTTCTTGATAATATAGTCGTTGCTGGGGTTAAGTAGAATCTCGTATTCGTCTCGATCAGCAGCATATGTCTTGATGGCAAATAAAATGACTTGACATTCCTTGAAAACCATCTACATGTCCAAATAAGAAATGCTAATCATAGGGATAGAAAAATACACTTACCCATGCTATATGACCAAAATCCATATCGACCATGTATGGCGCAGGTTGCTGGGTATAGATCTCATTGCATGAACCATCATCTATAGCAAAGGAATCAGTGAAAATTGAACACGCATCCATACATATTTCCTATGTATACCATATTGAGCTTGCCAGGGCTCGTCATAGCGATTGGTGGGTTGTCGTTGATGAAGCAAGTTGGTGATCATTGTTGAAACGCCACGACAGCGGCAATTCATGGCCAACAAGTACTGCTTAAACTCACGGACACAGATGATTTCCTTTGCCACCTTTTGGTATATGGCCGTGCTTGGAGACAAGTTGTATGAGTAGATGGGGATCTTATGACTGACGGTGTAGCAGTAGAGCGACCATAGACGCACCGTATTACGCTCATCTTCCTCAGCAGCTATCTTTGCATTTTGGTCTACAATGCACACGATCAACAATAAGCGCCTTAGTGGTATTGCTGTCAAAACAAACATTTACCTGATATAGTAAAGATAGCCTTTGCATAGCGTGCACGCTGAATAAATAAACATCAATGACTTGAAATCGCGAGGATGCGCCACCAACCGGCTCACATGGCCTATACTTACTACTCGTTGCAATGTCTTTTCATTCTGCAATATCACATTATCATTAGTCAATGGCGCCAAAGTATGACTATGGGTCAACATTTTCTTACCAGCACTGAACCATGTAGGAATTGTATACGATGCCCCCACATGGAATTCCTTTCCAAGAGCTTGAGATCATCCGGAGGACGATTGATATCAAGAAAGACCACGTTCAAATGCCGTTCTGCATTTTCCTATTGTGCCACCAAAACCCCGTTAATGCACTGAAACGTGCCACACGCATACAATTTGCTTACCCGATTCAAGAACCCATCCAATATTTCGTTCACTTGCTCTAAGCGAAAGGCACCCACGATCAAAATGAATGGCATCGATCCACTGGATACATGGCCACCGCCCTCTGTGAACGGATAAGCTTAGCAAAAGTATGCACCACATGTCACTCACAAATAAATGTACCCACCATTCCTTTTACGATTGGTCGCGAGGACATCTGTAACCAAGCTTGGCAGGACGGCCAATGACGTCAAAATAATCAACATCACCACCACACGACCCCCTTCGGTTTGCACAGTCATGTCTATAGGGCAGTCGTTAGCTTGATATGTAAGATGACAAAGTGTATATCTCACCTCCATAGCCAACGGTTGATAGGGTGACCATCACAAAATAGCTATGGCAGGTTAAAGTTAATAAGCAACCCTCCATCTTTTTCTCATGTCAAATCACTTACAGCGAGTCAAGGATTGAATAATTGACATTGGCAAAGGTGGCTTCACAAAACTGGAATGCGGCCATACCATTGTACAGCAATACCATCAGTGTGCAAATCAGGTGAATCAATTTACTTTTCAGTAAATCAACCGGTTTATCTATATAGGGCTAATAAGTACAAAATAGGCCGAGTGGCAAAACATCTTGGCGTCTCGCCATCTCACACAAATATACTAACCTGTCATTTGGAGATTGGTTTTGATCTTCATTGCACTTTTAATCCGTAGGAGCAACACCCAACTGCGTAAAAAGTAGGGCACTATACGTTGGCCTATTGTCAGGTACATGTACTCATTCCATGGGATCTCATTGGATCTTACCATAAAGCAGCTGACCATGCTCCATAAAATTCGATGATAAAAAGGGTACTGTGGTCACCATTTCAATCAAAGAGCGGAAGCTGATAAGTACGGATATGGGGTGGCCCGTCAAGAAGATGCCTTCATAGAGAAAGATGTAAACATTCAATATGGGTTTCATTCATTGTTCCCCTTTTCTTTGTCCAACTTACGTATCAGGAACGACCCCAGGTTCCAAAAGGTGAGCACCTGACAAAAGAACCTGCATTGGACAAGCAAAATTAGCGCGCGTTATTTTTCAAAACGAGCCTGACAAAGCATACCATAAATCATAAGATCGCCACTTGTACATCCATGGGGGTGTGAGATTCACATCAAATTCTTCCTTCATTTCAACGGTGTATGCAAGGCAAAATAACAAATCCACCAAAAAGTCAATGTATACCTGTAATCACAAATAGGTCAAAAGGGGTGCGGAAGGGAGGCGATGATGATGAGATAAAGATAGCTTACAAAGAGGACAATGGTTTGGTTGGCAAGTAGAATTGAGCGTATCCTGGAGACGAATGGATGCCAATGAAAGTAATGCCGCGCGCTATTGAATAGGCTGTACACCTCTGTCTTTTCGTCACTATGATAGAATGTTGCATAGGATGAGTCTCAAGGACTAGGACAATGATGATATCACACACTTACCGTGCTGATTTTCTACTTGCTCTATATTTTGTGCGCACGGTACTAAAGTTCACATTGGAGCGTCGTTTGAACCATTGGTCAAGGGATCTTTGAGATGCAGCGGTAGCAATGACTTCGTCAGCCCTAAGTAACATGAATTAACATGAGAATGAACAAGGAGATGATGTAATAAAATCAATTTACCGTGGATCGAGAGCAGGTAATACAAGATCGGCTGTCGCAATACGAGAAAGATCATCACCCTCCATAAAGACATCATCCGGATGAATAGGCTGATTACTTTTTTCCGATGTGCTGTTGTTGTTGTCGCTATCGTCATTATCTTCTTGATCGCTGCATGTTCTGCTACTGCTATTGCTGCTATTGTTGTTGTTGTTGTTGGATGATGATGTTCCTTTTTTCTTGCTCTTTTTACCCCGCATGATGTTAGGTAAAAGCATCTGTGCCGAGGAGTCTGCATGATGGTGTCGATGCATACGTCGTCGTTTTCTTTCTGCAAGAGCTGCTTTTCTTCGACATGCTGCTGCTGCAACCTCTTCGCCATTGTTGCGAGTGCCTGATTCCTCCACTTCACTATTCCCGCGTGACGATGCATCGTCCTCTTGCAAATGGGTGAATACATGGCGACGATGGTGTACATGAGAAGGAGGGGCTGCTGATGCTGTCGGTGAATCGAGGACAGCTCCATAGTGTTGGTTCACAAAAGGATCGTTGCCGGGCAATAAGCTTTCTTCGTCGCCCTTTTGTTTCCTGTTACGACTGATATGCATTTCATATGGATTGAAGATAAAGGATGGTGAAGATGATGGGAGTGAAAGGGAATAAAAAAGCTGTACTACAAGGCTGCCAGCTCGATGTTGTTAATTATCGCGGTGAAGCAGATGAAAAAGAAAAAAGAAAAAGAAAGAAATAAGAGAGAGAGAATGGCAATGAAAAATTGGCAGCATGTGGTACAAAGGATGAGTGCCTCTCTTCAAAAACCACATGCACGGAGCGCACTGCTGACGTTGAATCCAGACCTTTACGCAGATTTGCTAATTCCGAGCCGGGTTCCCTTTTCTTTCTCACACTGAGCATTTTTCCTACGCTTCCCTTTGTACTTGTACAATCATGTTTGCTCCTCTATTACGGAGAGCACGTTGCTTCTCAACGCTCCAGGTACATTAAATTCTACCCAACGAGTTGCTTGAACCCACCCCCATGTGGACACAAACATCAACAACAGCAACCCTATCCCCCAAGTTTATCTTCAATTCAGCTGGCTGATCATCAACGTATCTATGCATATAAACACTCATCACTCATACACACAGCTACCCAAGGTCAATCCTATACAACAACAACAACAACCTCCTCCTGCTCCTGCTGCTTCTATCAAATCTCCCCATTTGACAGATACTTTTGGTCGTACACATAATTACTTGCGCATTTCACTCACTGAGCGTTGTAACTTGCGATGTAAGCGCTTGTTTATTGGATGGGGATGGCTGTTTATCATTATTGCTAACACTTCATAGGCACCTATTGCATGCCAGAGGAAGGAGTACCATTAACACCAAGTGATCAATTATTGTCCACGGATGAAATCTTGCATTTGGCGCGTTTGTTTGTGCAGCAAGGGGTGAACAAGATACGATTGACGGGAGGTGAACCTACCGTACGCCCTGATCTCATTGATATTGTACGTGGGATCAGCGATCTAAGACCACAAGGTCTCCAAAGCATCGGGATCACAACCAATGGTATCGCCCTTAAACGTAAACTTCCCTTGTTACGTGATGCAGGTCTTGATTCGCTTAATATCAGCTTGGATACCCTGGATCGCCACATGTTTGAAATCATGACACGTCGACGAGGTGAGTCACACACACACACACTAGATCCCATTATCTTGATGCTTATCTTTTTTTTTGTACATCCGATCTTGTTCCATCAGGCTTTGATAACGTGGTGGCATCCATTGAACAAGCGGTTGATCTCGGATTCAAATCAGTCAAAATCAACTGCGTCGTGATGCGAGGGACCAATGATGATCAAGTCATGAATTTTGTGGCATATACCAAAGACATGCCTGTCAACGTCCGATTTATTGAATACATGCCATTTGATGGTATGCTATAGAAAGGAAGAGATGTTTTTATTGAATGGATGTGCTCACGTGATGGTGATGATAGGTAATCGGTGGAACAAGGATAAATTGGTGCCTTATCGTGAATTGATTGAACGTATCGAGAAACGTTTTGGAGGCCTACATAAATTATCGGACGATCCAAATGATACTACCAAGGTAAGAAAGAAAAGGATGTTGCCATGACAACAAGCTTACACTAGAACTAGTCATACCAAGTGCCAGGCTACCAAGGCAAAGTTGGATTCATTACATCTATGACAGAACACTTTTGTGGCACGTGCAATCGATTACGGATCACAGCGGATGGAAGTATCAAAGTCTGTTTATTTGGATCCACCGAAGTATCATTACGTGACATGCTAAGACAACAAGATCAAAAAGACGACCACCTTCTCCAAGCGATAGGCGCTGCCGTTCGTAAAAAGAAACGACAACACGCAGGTATGTTTGAGCTTGCCTCTCGAAAAAACCGGCCAATGATCCTTATTGGTGGATGAGTGGTGTGTGTGTGCCTTGTATATATGATATCACGTTTCCTCCCTCTCGATCCATCCACCCACCCACACATCCCATATCCCTCCTCCCTTGAATCCTTTGTGTATTCCCAAATCCAACCATTGTATATAGTTGTAGCGGCCAACATCCCTGTGTTCAATAAACGATGGTATTCCACATCCTCGCGTGATAAAGGTGACGAAGCAAGATTGACCCACACGGACCCAGAAACCGGTGAAGCAAGAATGGTATCAGTGACGGATAAGAAGGATACTCAACGTGAAGCACGTGCTATTGGTCATATATTACTCCCTCCTCAAACATTCCAATTACTTCAAGAGAATGCGTGTGAGACATCCAAAGGCAATGTGTTGACCGTGGCTCAAATTGCTGGTATCCAAGCTGCCAAATCCACGAGTCAGCTGATCCCTTTATGCCATCCACTCATGTTGGGATACATTGATGTACGATTAAGGTTGGCCAAAGGAGATCGCGTTGAATGTGAATCGGTTGTACGATGCAATGGCAAAACGGGCGTTGAAATGGAAGCATTGACGGCAACAAGCGTAGCATTGCTGACAGTCTATGATATGTGCAAGGCATCGTCCAAAAAGATGATCATTGAAGGTATTCGTGTTGTCGCCAAATCAGGTGGTAAAAGTGGATCGTGGCAATGGTATCATGATAATATTGAACAATGAAAACACTCTTTATTTGCAAGAATTGGCAGTGTGTATGAGTGTGTGTGTGTTGTATATGTGTGTGATGTGTACATTGACTCGTCGTCCATTTACTTCTTCTCGTCACCAGTAGCACGGGCTATTAACAAAATGTATGTAAGCATTCATGTATCTATATCATACTACTTTCTCATGGATACGTACTGTAGATGACCTGAGCATGGTGTTGAACGAGAGGCTTGATGAGACCTTGAGACTCGAGCTCACGAATGGCAATGCGGGCAAGAGAGCCGTTCAAGCGAAGACGATCGACCAACACGGATTGGGTGATGAGCTTGTAGGTGGGGACTTCCTTGAAGAGACGCTCGTAGGTAGGCTTATCCAAGACAACCATGTTGTTGGCCTTGTCCTTGACCTTCTTGGCGGACCATTTCTATAATGCAGGGTATCCAATGAGTACCATGTTGGCGTTACAAGATGTGTAGCAACCCACCTTCTTAGCCTTCTTGCCTCCGGAAGAGGAGGATGGAACAGCCTGTTTACCCTAAATGTACCCATAAATGCATTAGATCACGCATTATCCAATCCATCCATCATCGATAGCCATTCATCCATCCATCAGCGTATTGAATAAACACTCTAATAGACTCTATGGCATAGCATGTGTGTGGGTGGTATGGTGGACTTACCATGATGAGTTTAGAAAGAGGGAATCAATTCTTTGGGCTCACCCAAACGACTTGGCACACACCCAGCTCCCCAATCTTCCCCCTCCTACTACGTCACATCGGACTTGACAACCCGTATTATCCATTCATTCATTGGGTGAGTCTCTCAAGCTATCCCAATGCAAGTAGCCATGGCAACCCAATCGCCCTATAGTCCCGAGCTAAACAACAATAGTGCGTGTGCGGACAATACCCATTATGCTTGGCATTTGGGTGGTATGGTATGCGTATGTGTGTATCCTATTACGTCGCCATCATTGATGTGTCAAGTAGTAGACTGATCTGTGCGCTTTATTCTGTGCCCTTGACTACTAAAATGGCTAGAACTTTCATCGACATCCAGAAAAAAAAAGTCTAAATCGAATCGGTTGCTTCTCGATCGATCGACGAAGGTTATCGATCGATTTTGGCAACACCCTGAAACCTCTTTTGATTGACTGAGTGAGAAGCATTGGGCAGGGGATTTTCTGTCCCAAAGAATCGACGAACCAAAGGATTGGTGTCGATTGACAAAAATGGTTTTCGGCTGAAACCAAGGAAGAATATAGAACCTTTGATGCGAAGGGGTAACAAAACAATGCATGAATAATCGAGGCCTTGATTTAGAAACGTCATCCTTTACATTGCCGACCAAGAAAATACATCAAGGAAAAAAGGAGAATCAAATCATGCTTTACCGTGAAGGCACGCACACACACACACACACACAAAATCCACCCCCCAAATCGATGACGCATTTACTAATGACAAAGCAGCATGATCCCGATTCCTGGGCACGCCCACATGTAGCACATTGCTGGTTGGTGGTTGATGATGATGCTTTGAAAGATCGACATTAAACAAGTTGCCTTGCATGGTATGTCCTATACGTCATTAGGTAGTATCTCACTCATCATCATCTTTCTCTTTTTTCTTTTTTATGATACGCACACCTTTCCAGAGCCCCCAACTACGCACATACCACGTAGTAGGCAATGACATCGCATGTCGTCAACATCATCATCATCATCATCTGCGCAAAACCTGTCAAAGTGTAAGCTGTACATGTCTGGTGATCCAAACGTCATTTCGGTTGTTTGACACATGCGCGTTGTATCGGCAAGATACACCGAGCGCATGCAAGGGTGGCACAAGTACTTTTATCGGTTGCATGCCTCGATTTGGATAATCTTGTTTCCTTTTATAATTGGCTGACGAACAACAAAAAACGAGATGTGTAATATGGGATAGGTATATGTGATGAATGTTTATCTATCATGCGGACACGTGTTACACGAAATGTCATTCCCCCCATCTCACAGACGCCCTCGTGTACCATACAACGTGAACAGCATGCGTGTGAATGTAGTAGAAATCGTTGGCAGTAGTGATCCATACACGTAGAATAGCTATGCAATCATACAAACATCCACCCTTCATAACATGGAACTTTAAATGTAAACATCATCATTGTTGTTGGTATATGGGTTGTGGTGGGTGATTGATGTTGTGAGTGTGTGAATGGATGTTGGTGGTATTTGCGGCTGGGGGTGGTGGTGGAAGTAAGGGACTCTTTACCTAAACTATATAAGATTAAATCGATTGTGTAATACATGGTTGTAGATATCAGAAAGAGGGGAAGGGGGGAGATAAAGCATTCTAATTAATGATATTATTAACGCGCATTAAGGATGGGTTCATGTTGAGTGGGCTATCATTGAGATCAAACTTGAGATGAGGATGTTGATGGTGGTGTGATGAAGGGTTCGTGGATAGCATGGGTGTGCTCATGCTGCTTGTGGTTGATGATTCAGGTGACATGGATACATCGCGTCGATTATTGTGTTGTGGTGGTTGGCCTACGACTCCTCCGTTTGGAATGGCACTAGTAGTAGTAGTAGCAGCAGCCCTATTAGCGGTCGTATTGTTGGCAGTGTTGGTGGAAGCAGCATTACTCGTCGTATCAGCAGGAGGTGGAGCAACCTGCTGCTCCACAAGATTATCAAGATCAAAATCCAAATACTTTTGCTGTTGACGTCGCTCCTCCATCCATTGTTGCTGTTGCCAGTATTCAAGATTACCAAGAAATCCAGAGTCAATGATTTGACGACCAAAGTTGGTATGGCTCAGCTTGTCAATGTCAACAGCCCAATAGCCACCTTTGCTTCCTTTACTACGTGTGCCATCTTGTTGTACTCGAGGCAGCTTCATAAAGCAACGATTCAATGACAAATTATGCCGAATGGTATTCTATTGTTGGCGTTTTAGCACATGAGAATAACATGTAGTGCACACGACACCACTTGATCCTTCTAACCTACCTGCCATCCCGTTTCATTAGCTTCATACAGATTTGGGTACCTTGTTTGAATCCACTCATAGATTTCCCTGAGTGTGAGTCTTTGTTCGGGTGAAGTTAGGATAGCTTGTGCAATCAATGAAGCATATGAATGTGGTGGACGTCTTCTCTTTCTCACAGGTCTACTGGATGCTGCAGCAAGGCCTGCCATAGATGTTGGTGGTGGTGGAGGTGCTTGCTGCTGTTGTGTTGTATCCAACATTGAAGGTTGTTGTTGTTGCTGTTGCTGTTGTTGCGGCAAGTAGGCGTGAGAATAAGCAGCTGCGGCTTGTGGGTAGTAATATTGTGCTGCAACAGCTGCTGCAGCTGCCGTAGTGTTTGAATTGGCTTGTGCCATTGGTGCCGGTGGTTGTGCAGGCATTTGCTGATAATGAGGATGATGCTGATGTTGTTGGATGTATGATGGTGGTCCATGTTGCCTCACACGAAAGCCTCCGGTATCATAATAATCTTGAAAATCGGCATGTTGTTGATGTTGTTGAGGAGCATTGGTGTAAGTTTGTGGATAATCCAACTTCCATGCAGGTGGAAACACCTTGTCGTCTTTGGGAATACCAGCATGGTGCGATTGCGGTTGTTGCGCCATTTTCCAACCCTGACAAATGGAACACGGCACCAAATTTAGTAAAGCCTGTTTCTTGTAAACACCCCCCATACATCATCTATCGCCGACAACTTACACAGAAAAAAGAACAACAACGAAGAAATCGAAAAGAGAAGTGATGTGCTCCAAGGCTTTGTAAGGCGAAAATCAGCTTTTATACAGTGAGCGGGTGGCATCGTTGGTATCGAAACGGAAAATAAAGCGCTCAAGATGATAACGGCTACGGCAAGTTTGACAGGCTCGACGATGAGGAGATGACCAAAGTGTGTATGTGCGTAGTGATATCATCTGCCAAAGGCGCGGGGTGTGTGGTGGTTGTGCGTATGGTGTGAGCTACGAGGTTCTCCGATCAGACAACACGCTTCCAATTGTATTACATCATGAGATCGCCCGTGGCACTTTGTAGCTGAAACGAGCCATGTGAGTATATATACCTGCCCTTTGTTCTGACACATTCTTGGTTGTTATCTACTACTCTTTTCTCTTCACCATTACCACTTTTACTCACCCACATCACTTCTCCACGCTCATCCATACACATACTATGAATACAGGTAAGGAGCTCATGCAAAAACTTCCGGTAGAGAGAACACTCGGGAATAACTCTCCGTGTCTTTTGCGATTTACAGAACAACCACCATCGACTATGGCTACCAACTTTGACTGGGAATGTGGTGGATGGCTTTCGGGAGCATCGTTGCTATACCCACCTCCTCTTACGCCACCACCCCAGCATCATCAACATCATACATCCTTCCCAACATCATGCTTTCTTTCACCAGAAACGACAACAGCTGGTGTTGTAGCTGAGAATTGTCCACCAACACCACCACAGCAGCCAACAACATTGTTTCAAGGATTATGCCCCCCTGTTGCTATGAACAATAATACCACAGCTGCTAATGTTGCAGTAACATCACCCATGTCTGTACACCCTACAATGGCGGTTCCTTCGCCACAATCCAGAGAAGCCTCTCCCAAAAGCAGCTCCACCACATCATCAATGACAGGATCCAACCCTACCCCTACCGCAGGCCGAAAGCGTCGTTCAATGCATGAAGAGGATGATCAAGATGATGATGAACAACGTAAAAAGTTGCTTGAACGCAACAGATTGGCAGGTAAACACCGCTCAACACTTTTTGTAAATGCCGAAAATACTCACATGGGGGGTAACTTTAGCATCAAAGTGCCGTCAAAAGAAAAAGCAATGGGTTCAAGATCTCGAGAACAAGTCTGAGCAAGTGACCAAGAAGAATCAAGAATTGCACAGCATGTTGGCTACTTTACGTGAAGAATGTTTGCAACTGCGCAACGAGCTTTTGGCACACGGCAATTGTGGTTGCTCCCTGGTGCAAACCTATTTACGTCGATCATCAGCCGAGTTGACGTGCATGAATAATAACAACAACAAAAACAGCCGACACGAGCCCGCTACTGCTGCTGCAACTACTGTCGCCGATATGGTTCGGCAGCAACATCCTCCAGTGCCATCCACAACCACAGCGTAAAAAAAAGTATTCCCACATGCTTGTTGTAGGCATATAGCATAGCCAATCACCCATTTCCCTTGCTCATTACACTCTACCCATCCTTGTCATTTTCCATTTTTGTGATTCTTTTTGCAAGGTTTCATTGCACATAGTTTTTAGTCTCTTTCTTTTATCATCCCCCCTTTTTGCTCTTTAGCGTTTAGTATATAGCTGTTGTCATATACATCTCATCTCTTTCATTGTATAAAAAATGCGTCACTCTTTTTCTTGCTCACATCATTTATGATGGTTACACGGCGCACAGATAGATTAATGTGTGAGAAGCTACGTAGCTGTGAGTCATCATGTGAGGGCTCAAAGTCACCAACATCCGTTTTTGTTAGGTGAAACGCCATTTCCCTCCCCCTCTCCCTCCCTTTCCCCTTTTTCTCTTTCTCACTTCCAATGGATGTCATTTACAGTGATGAGTGTGCATTGCATTACCCGCCTTATGAAATAACACGTGGTCAAATCAAGAAGTATGCAGGTAGGATAAGAATAAACCCCTCCACTTTGTTGATGATGATGATCGTGGTGTGCTAAGCGTCATAATGCAACAACACCGAACGTCATAGAATCCCCTGCTCGGTTCCTGGCGATCAAGACTAGCCTTCAAAGTCAACCAAACACATTCCATATGATTCCTCTCAAACAACACAACATGGATGATTATACAATACAACAAGGGTTGCATGAGGTGCATGATTCCGATTACATCGAATTTTTAAAGACCATTTACCAAGATTGGGTGGCAGCTGGTGGACCATCCGATGCAGCTATTGCCGAGACATTTGTTCATCCAAATCTAGTTGGACCCTTGGACCCTGATCATTATAAGAAAATAGCATCAAACAATGTGCGTGGTAAACTTGGGCTGTATAACTTCGATCTGTCAGTTGCGTATACACAAGGTAGTATGATGCATAGGAGCAAGGCGGGTCTTTTTTTTATTACTCACATTGGACGTGATGGATGATGATGCTTAGATACATGGACATCGGTGTATGCAGCCGCCCAAGTTGCAGTTGCAGCTGCCGATCGGCTAAAGTCTAAACAATCACACGCCGTATATGCACTGTGCCGCCCACCTGGTCATCATGCTACCTGCAATGCTGCTGGAGGTAATGATGATAATATGGAAAGAAAAAGAAAAGGCATCCATTGACACATGCATTGGATAGGTTATTGCTTTATTAATAATACAGCTGTGGCAACGCGATATCTTCAACATGGTGACAGCAATACCAAAGTACTCATCCTTGATGTGGATTACCACCAGTGAGTCATCCTTGTGTGTCCATACATATGGCCATGCTCTCTAATAATACTCTCTATATGCTTATGTAGTGGCAATGGCACCCAAGACATCTTTTATGATGATCCATCCGTGATGTATATATCATTGCATGGGTATCCTGGATACCCCTATTTCACTGGTTCATCAGAAGAACAAGGGCGCGGTGATGGTCATGGCTATAACATCAATCTTCCTTTGGACCCATCCACTACCACTGATCACAGCTACCTTGCACAACTGCATAAGGTGTTGGAGGATCCCAAAGTCATTGAATTTGACCCTGATTATGTTGTATGCTCTCTTGGGTTGGATACTTGGCATGAAGATCCCGTTGCTGGTATGCAAGGCATCCAGGATATGAATACATATGATAAGATTGGATATACTATTAAGCAATACGCAGGATCTCGACCTGTTTTATTTGTACAAGAAGGGGGATGTCATGTAGAATCACTAGGCGAACTTGTTTCGCGTGTACTTAAAGGATTCCTCCAAGAATAAATAGGGATTTGAGCTTCCGAATGGTGGTGATAGATGTGGGATACGTCCTTTGTACGGTATCGTTGTTTTCTTTTGATTTCTTTCTTTCTCTCCTTCTCTCCCTCTCTCTCTCTCTCTTTGTCCAAGTCATGAAGCTCACTACCGATCTAATCAACGAGTCGCCTTCCCATATCAACCCTCTCAAGGATCGTGAGCTTGTACTCCGAGGTGGGTGGAAGAACAACAGCAATGCAAGCGTAACAGCCCAATCTCATATGATGGTCTTGCAGATTTGAAGATTCCCGTGATTGAAAACCTCGGTGCGACCAAGGTATGTCTTTGAGCATTGGGCATCTACACGACACTCATGGGCTTTGTAGGATCTAAACGACGCGATCGACTTTACCAACAATGACTTGCGCGTGTTGGGCAACTTTCCTCGACTCATTCGTTTGCAACACTTGTACTTGAGCAACAACCGTATCCATCATATCGACTCCCATATGCACGAGTTTGTCCCCAACCTTACGACTCTCATCCTCAATAATAACGCTATCGGTGAGCTTGGTGATCTGGAAGCATTGGCCAACTTTAAGCGTTTGACGTACTTGAGCTTGTTGGATAACCCCGTGACCAAGAAGCAATACTATCGCCTTTATTTGATTCACAAGTTGCCCAAGCTTCGTGTCATTGATTTTGTAAAGATCAAGCAGGCTGTAAGTAGATGGATGTGGGATGTTTGGCTCATTGTTGGCATGGGAAATGACCTTTTTTTGGTGGGTATAGGAACGAGAGGAAGCTGCTCAGCTTTTCCAAACAGAAGATGGCAAGGACAATGCATTGGCTCAATCCATCGCAGATACAAAGACAAAGACTTTTGAAGTTGGCAGTGCCCTGAACCAGAATGGACAAGGAGCAGGTGGTACGCGTCTTACCCAAGAAGAGCAATTAAAGATCAAGGAAGCTTTGAAGCAAGCTACGTCGTTGGATGAGATTTCACGGTTAGAACGGCTTCTCAAGGCTGGTCAGATACCAAAGTAGTTTTTCTCTTGTCTCTCTCTCTCTCTTTTTCTTTTGCGTTCATCCACTACTCGCATGTATATATATTCATATATTCGCTCTCTCTCTCTCTCTCTCTCTCTCTCTCTCTTTCCCACTTTTGACGTCGACCTTTTATACTATGCTCAATGCTATGTTTCTACATTTTATTGTGCAAGATACATTGACACACACAAAAGACAATAAATATCATCATGCTGCTACTTTCAATCGCCTTCTTCTGGTAGTGATTCATATTCCATCTTGAGTTCTCTAAGCTTCATGCCAATCTTGCCACGCACTTGGTCTCGAGCCGCATCATCAGGAAGTTCCTCAAGTAACTTGTCGAATGCGTCAAGACACTCTTCTACTGCCTTTTGTGCTGTTGCTCGGTCTTCATGATAATAAACAGATCCTTGTGATTCTACAGCAAATTCCATCTAATACCATATCCACACATCAACATTCATCACTTGCTTGTGTCATTGGTGCTATGTTTACCTCATCCTTGGCAGCACCAAAAAGTTCCTCGATATTGCTGATAGCTTCCTCAACGTTGGGTCCCGATCCTGCAGTAGCCGACATGGGTCGCATCGCACCATACACTGTTGTGCTAGTAGAATTCACGAACGGCGGTGGACGCAATGCAAGACGAGGAGTACGATACGCAATCACTGGACGAAATGCTTGTAGACGCGATCGGAACATGGTTGAAGTGTGTAAAGAAAGAGTGACAAAGGAAGAAAGAGGATGCATAAGCAAGCATAAACTAGTAGGATTTTAGCGTGTAATACTGGATTATCATTTGTCCGCGATGCCGCGCTTCCTTATCAGATGAGACGCATCATGCATACCTTGACTAATATCTCTTCATCGCTGCTGCCAAATGTTATTGTAGTATGGTGGTTTCAATTATGCAATAAAGATAAGCATTTGTCACCTTCATCAAACACATAAAGAACGTCTTCGTCGAACAATGCCGGTATCAATTGAGCGTTGATGAATGTATAATAGCCATATCACCTTTCAAGCATTACTGACAATGGAAAGTATAGTAATTCGACGCTTCCAAGAGAGCTCGTACACTTTTTTAGGATCAATGTAGTGGATGCTTTCGAATAAGGTTGCTATGATCCACATTCCAACAAGGGATGTCATGCAACTATGGCAACGGTATCCACCAATGGTATAGATGTGAAAAGGATGCATCACGTGTCAATCAATGTATTTAAGAATGAATGAGTACGCATTTGCTGCATGTAATAATCAGTGCATAGCATTGAATCAGGTCACCGACACGATCGAGAGTGAAGGATTACTGTTGCACCAAATCCAATTTTCATTTCCTTTGCTGAACCGTTGCCAGGCATCATCTCCGCATCCCTCTCTCTCTCTTTCTTTCCTTTATTACTCTCTCTTTACACGCTCTGTGTGTGTGTTCTCGACATACAACGATCCCTCCTTGTGCGTTTCAGTCTACAAGAGAGTAAAGAGAGAACAACACCATTCTCTGTTTCATTCAGCCCATTCCCTTCATTTACTTGCATCCCATCGGCAGCAACGCACCATCATCATGTCGCTGTTTTCGAAATTCACAAAGAACGCACCACCCGAGCGATCGGCAGCTTATCCTTGGACACAACGCAAGCTTGGAGGTAGTCAATCAAGCGTGTTGCCACGATACGGTCATGCTGCAGCAGCGGCAGGGTCAGCAGATGCTATGGTACTTTTTGGCGGCACCCACATGAAATCTAAAAAGGATCTGTTCCTGATCGACACCAGTATGTGTGTAACATGTAATTACCCCCCCCCCGCCAATATCAAGACTAATAGGCTGCTCTCTCGCTATAGACAATATGACAGCAACAGCGATAAATGCAACAGGTGATATACCAAGTCCTAGGATGAACCCTGTGCTGGCTCCTCTTGGAAATGCTTGCGTTTTACTCTATGGTGGTGAACCAGCTTCTCCTGATGAAAAGTGGGATCCAAACTTTTATACCCTAAACTTAGGTAAGTGCATGTACAAGGACTATCTGGGATCGCTTTTTACTCATCAAAAAGTGATATTTAGTAACACGCATGTGGGGTCGTGTCCAAACTAAGGATGGTCGTCTTCCAGTGGAGCGATCAGGTCATTCAGTGGCTCTCGATGGTAATAACGATATCGTGTATTTCTGGGGTGGACAACGCGCAGGCCGTTATCTTAATGATCTTTTTGCATTTAACGCAAGCACACGTATGTATATACCCTCTATCATTTACACTGTATACTCATTGCATCATCTCTCTCTTTTATAGACCAATGGGATTACATCCCTTCAAACAACGATGGACCTGCTGGTAGATCAGGTCATGTTTCTTGTGTCTTTGAAAACACCTTGTACATGTAAGTCTACATCCATGATAAGCTATGCTAGGTTACTCATTCATGCTTTATAGTTTTGGTGGCACTGATGGCGATCATTTATACAACGATGTATGGGCGTTTGATCTTCAACAACGATTCTGGAGACAAGTTGCTGCTGTTGGATACATCCCCGTTCCTCGTGAAGGCTGTGCCTCTTCCATGGTAGGCGATGTCATGTACGTGTTTGGTGGTCGTGGACCCGATGGTCAAGAATTGGGTGATCTCTGTGCATTCAAAGTGAGAGGTAATATGAGGATGTATCATATATGAGAAGAAGACCATCATTACTCACGTCTTTAAAAGGTCAACGATGGTTCATGTTCCAAAACATGGGACCTGCACCTTCACCGCGATTTGGATCAACATTCGCAGCTGTTGGTGACAAAATTATTGCGATGGGTGGTGAAAGCACCAGTGGCAAATCGGATGAAAACCCCTATGCCGTTCACGTGTTAGATTGCAGTAAGTACATGCTTTGTTGCTATGGTTTCCTATGACACATACTCAGTCAACCATGCCATCTTATAGCGAAAATCCGGTATCCACCAGAACCCCAGCAACAGCAACAACACCAAGAACCATCCCTACCATCACCAGCACCATCCACTGAGTCTGATATGGCAAGATCTTTACCATCATCACGTGGAGATCACTCAACAATGGATTCATCCAATGCTATGATGACACCCCGCTCAAACAATGCATCACCAGCCAACAATCGCCCACGTTCTCAATATCCAGAAGGGCAAGCACCTCCACAAGTAAGTGCCTAATCATATTCCATTACTCGTATACGTATTAATACTAATGCTATTTATAGGCTCCTCCTCCACAAAGACCACCTCGACATACGTCAATGATGCCTTCAGCAGCTATGCAGCGAGCACAACACACAGCATCGCCTTTACAGAATATGGAAACGAATACCAATAATACAGATCCCATACCACGTCAAGCAACCATGTCACCGACTAATGGCCATACCAATCAATCAAGGTCTGCAAGTCCAGCAGCACATCAACAGCAACATGTACCACCACCACCACAGCGTCCTCCACGACCCTCACGTGAAGGTGTATCACTTACCAAGACACTACGCAAAGACACTGTATCCATGTATCCCGATGCTTCAACAGGTGTGATGGATATGGCAGTACCTACCACTACCGATCAAGATGAAATGGATGTGTTGATGCGTGACATACGTGCACAAGATGCTGTGATCAGTGCTATGAAAAAGAAAGAGTCATGGTGGCGTACAGAAGTTTCGATTGCTCGAAGGATGCGACTTGCCGAAGCTGAACCTAACGACGCTGAAGCTGATGAACAAATGCTGATGGATATGAATGATCAGTTAACGGATGCTGCAAAGTTGCAATTGTATGAACAACTCGTATCATTGAAAGCTGAGCTTCGAAGAGTGCAATCTAACATTGGTGGTCCATCATCTCATCAAGCCATGTCGGAGCGGATTCATCAGGTGGATCGTATTCGCACAGCAGCATTGCAGGAAGCTGCCTATTGGAAATCCAAGTATATGGCTCGTGCCAAGTATATGAAAGAAGAGCAGCAACAACAAGATGAAGACGAGGAAGATGTGCTCAAGGTGCTTGAACATAAACTAGCTTCGACGTTGATGGAAAATGAGCAGCAGCAACGATTATTACAACACCTTAACAAGCAAGCCCAACATGATCACGAGGCATCAGCATCTGCTCAAGAACGTGCCAAGGAAGCACATGAGCGTGCTGAAGAGGCACGACATGCACATGAACGTGCGATACGTGAACTTGAATTATTACAACGCCGTGCAGAGCAAGCTGAATTACGTGTGGAGGAAAACAATATCAAGTTGAATGATCTTTCACGGCAACTTGAAGAATCAAAGACGGCTGCCAACAAGAATCAACACTTGACACTAGCCCAGGAAAAGATTATGCATCTTACAGAAGCCAATACCAAGGTCCAAAATGAAGCATGCACCCTTACACAAGAACTCGATACCTACACTGAGGATATTGAACATTTGCGAGCAGCCCTCCAAGAACGAGAAGAAGCTTTAACAGCTGCCACTCGCGAAGTTGCTGCCACCAATGATAAACTCGCTCGCATGAAAGAAGCCGTTGCTGCTGAACGCACGACACCCACACCCACATCATCATCAGCTACTACTACCCGAGCATTCTAGAAGAGTGACGACATGCATTTTCTAACTCATACATATCACTTATATTTGTATTTCTACCTCTTTCCCATTTTGTATTCCAATAAAGTGCTGGTCATTCGATCTCACGTTCATTTTTTTTTTGGGGTGTGTCCTGCAACACATATTCTCATGCTTCCCAGGTACAATAGAAGTGTATTAAAAACAAATTGGGAACGAGATGATGTAAATACAAGTGACGATGGGAATGGGAGGAAGAACAATCATGTGTTCGATGGATAATGATGTAGATAATAACGAGTGTGTGTGTGTGTGTGTGTGTGTGTGTGTGGTGATAAAACTAATAAGCGTTGGGAGTTTGGTGTGTATGAACGGTGCTGGTACCTGGTGTAGATACGGGTTGGCTGGTAACAACATTGGCGTTATTCAAGTGAGGTGAATAGTATTGAGGATGTTGCTGTTCCATTGCGTTCTCGGATAACATGTGTGCCGTGTCATTGTATGCGTATGCACCACCACCACCAGAGTAGCCACCAGCAGTAGCAGCTGGTTGACTGTATCCACCATAAGGCGATTGGGGTGGATAGTCATAGTAGCTGTCGTATTCTCGATAACCTTGACCATAATAGCCACCAGCATTGTAATCGGCTCCAGCTGCAGCTGCTTTGGGCGAGGATCCATGAGTAGGCGATGATGCATGATAATCATGTTGAGCCGTAGGTGAAGTCACTGCCATGGGAACATCTTCCTTGAAATCATACACGTCGTAATCATCATCGTAGATATCTGAACTCTTTTGTGCATAGACGTAGATTGCAAGCAGTAACCAGAAAGCAGCAATCAACAAGGATCCCAACCACATACCATCCGTGAGCCCTATATAACAACGCATTGTAAGAATCCATCCATCCATCATTCATTCATTGTATATTACTTACAGCAACGGTTGGCATCAGTGCTGTTATGATAATTGCTGCAATAGGTGGCAAAACCAGGCGTGGCTGAAGAAGGTGCGTCTTCGTTTGGTTGAGGCGTCCAAGGCACCACACCGGATTTAAGCGTGTTGTAAACGATAACAGCAATCATCAACGCCAGGTTGAGTATCGATAAGGTACGGTCACCACGTGTAGATTTGACGCTTGAAATGCTGACAATGTTGAGTGCCAAGGAACAAATAATTGATACGCCGGGTCCAACGATATACAAAATGTACTAAAAAAGATGATAAGGATCCATTTATATATCACATGGGCTGTCTGCTTTCTGCTTACAGGGACATATTCAGGGAACCAGTCTGTGGTCTTGACAAACACGAGGTTTACTGCAATGGACAATGGGATAGTCATAATTGTGAGCACGCGAGATGAGGAGGACGTTGTTGCTGTTCATGTGCCCCATTACCAATGTTACAAGCCAAGGTGGCGAGACTGAACAATAAAACCAAGAAGCGAAAGAATCCCAACCAAAATACTCGGGCACGCATTTTTATCTAATAATGAAACGAGAGGAAGGGCCACTCTTCACAAGTGAGAGGATGTAATTCACAAGAGAGGAAAAGAGGAAAAAGGGCACTAGCACTTGATTGTTCTGTGCCCTGTACCACGAACAAATTAATTATAACGTTGCCAAGTTCCAGACACACAAATGTGTATGTTCCACAGGCACAAGGCATATTCTTCACCCATTTGCCTATATCATTCCGCCACTTCTTTGTCCGGGGGAGAGGGATCGACAATGAAATGTGATGATCATGAATGTCTTTGTCATTCAACAATGGTACATCACATTATGGATGTTGTTTTGTGGACAAAGCGCGTGATCATTGATTCTCTTGGTGGTGCCATTTTTCCGTAACTTGCTCTTTCCATTGAGGAGGGAGAGAGAGATCACAGAAAGAGTCCCCTTTCCACACTTGAACAGGTTAGCGTTTGTATTACCCACGCACAAGCTCCGAAGACAGATACTGACCCAATCAGCAGATTGTTGCCTCCTATGTAGATATTATAAAAGGGAGTCGCGTTTGTTCACCTGCCGATTCATGCATACGTCGCTAAAGTAATGGCAAATGTGGAAAAGTTGTGATCATCACAATGCTCGAAATAAAGTATTTTGAAGAACGTTAATGTTGTCAAACAAGCCGTGAAACCATACATGTGCACAGATTCCGATGATATGGCTAGTCTAATGTCCAACGTGGCTCATTGATCCGCCACCTGCTATGGTTATCAATATCAACCTGCTACATGTGCATGTGAGAAGGTTGCCACTTTGAACATGAGCTTGATCCTTCGTATGGTATGTATCTCAGCTATGAGGAGTCCTTGTCAACAGAATGCCATTAGTCATTGCCTCAACAGGTTATCATAAGTAATAAAAGAACATCACAATGGTCCGTGTGATGATTATGCAAGAAAATAAATGCATCGAGATAACAAAAGTAACTCATCTTGGCTGATTACCCATTGCACAGCCACGTCTGTAATAAGCTTTCTTGCATGCTGATCCGAAAGTGTGGTGGTGTAAGTTAATTACCGCTGGCATTATCAGTTAGAGGGTGATGCAATGCGATAACTACGACTGTCATAAATGATTTGCTGACTACTTTTATGGGGCTGAATCGTAGACTATGAATGATTGCTGCAGTTGAGAGCTGGTATTATAGCATTCATAAGACTTTATTACCCTGCGTTTGTCAAGCAGTAATTCTATCGCTTCTTACATGCATCCAGGACTCCAAAAACAAACATGGTTTTGCGTCGTGTTGATAACATTTATGAATGGAATGACTTATTGGGAGTATCAATTTAACATTTAACAACTTATCATCTTAGAAAGTGAATACCATATAGCAGCAAGAAGCAGACAGATGATGATGTCGACGCCCTCATTAAGGATTTGCATATGCATGCACCACTGTACATCCCTGCTATGCATTGCTGATTTCGAGCTTCAACATATACATATCCAAAAGTTCATTAACTTTTTAGCCACACTACATCTGCTTGAAGCTTGCATGCTCAGGACTCATCGCAAAACGTGATTAAACGAACAAGATCACGTGACCTGAAACAAAAAAAGAAAATAAATGGTTTTTATCGCACAAACGAACTCATGGAACGCTTCATTGCCTACTACTGGAATCGAACCAGTGACCTTCCGCTTACTAGGCGGACGCTCTGCCAACTGAGCCAAGCAGGCGTTAATTACGAAAACGCTAAATACATGATAGGCGGGTCAACTTCCCGATATGGAAGGTAATCCAATGTGTCTCACGAAAATTGCTACATGTAGCGGAGCATACGCAAAGAACGATGGTCAACAGGATACGATTTTATGGAGGGTCAAAATGTAGCAATTTTGAGTAAAAGTTGGGAGTGTAGTCAAGATTGAGTGATCCACCTATGGGATCAAGGCACCGCTAACCCCGATGCTGGCAGATCATTCTCAGCTACATAGGTAAATGGATCGATCACAAAAGGGGAGAGTGTGTTATAGCGTGTCGACATGATCAAATCACAAAAAGGGAGGTGAGTTATACTAATATCTCTATTCTTCAAGACACAATAGATCAATTTGACCATTTACAAGTGGATACACGTACACCTTGCATCATACGTCACTATCATAAGTCTCTTTATACTACAATGTATCAAGCAAGTGGCCAACACAATCTCGTATTCTTTAAAGCAATCTTTAACCCAGCATCATTCAAAAGAGGTAGATTGAGGGGTACAACGAATTGCGTCCATGGGGGAAGATACTTTGATATGGAAGGTTTCTATCCTTTCGTGCATTGCGTAAAGGTGAATGGATGGCATTTGAAATGTGATGGCCAGTGATATGCATGGTCTGTCAAAACATGAAGTTGGATCGTGGTAATAGGTTATGCGAAGAACGATGATGGAGTAGCTTGTAACATCATTGGGTGCACCACTGGTTCAGGATAACATCAAGGTCAAGTTGACAATGGACACCACTCTTTTTCCACGTGTTGCGTACATCCAATTCCTTCCATCCCAAATACCAAACCAATATCCACATTCATACCCATAAGAAGTCGTATGTATTGATGCACGTTGCTACACGTAAATAAAGCTGCTTTTAAACAATAGCTATCTGCTATTCACGTAAAAAAGGCTGCAAGGCAGGATGCTGCAAGTAAAGAACGCTGTTGGAAACAAATGGAGTAATGACACTGCTGCAACGAACGCTGTTGCGATTGGTTGTGGCAAAGGAGTGTGCAAGACAATGTACTTTCAACAAGGCGCGTGTTGTAGTGGGGGTGTACATGCCACGGACTTTCCACTCAGTCAAAGACGATCGGATCAAGGCAACTGTAGGATTGACATGATGGATTGAAGCAGGACAATCGTTGGCATGTGGTAGTTGTATACTTGAATGGGGCAACAGTTGAGAATGGGAGGAAGAGGCAAATAAGCTGGGAGTGGAAGAGCTGGGAAATTAAGTGAATTGAATGGTACTTCTTTGCTTGTGCGTTGTTCAGTCAAATCCTATTGGATCAAGAAAGTTGAATGATGGGGCATGATGGGCTGGAGCAGGACAATCGTTCGTATGCATTGGTTTGGACAATGAAGGCGAATGGGAGGAATGGGCTGATAGCTGGCAGTTTACAAATAACTTTGCAAAATGATTTTTCTCATATATTGGATGATGTTTTGTGTTTGACCGTAACTCAACCAAATCCTCTCGGATCAAGAAACTTGAATGATGGCGACGATGGTCTGGAACAGGGCAATCGTTTACATGCATTTGTTTGGGAAACAAAGATGACTGGGAGGAATGGGCTATCAAGCAGTAGTTTAAATATAATCAATCAGATTAATTTTTGTGATTTGGATGATACTTCTGTGTTTGAGCGTTTTTCAGTCAAATCCACTCGGATCAAAAAAGTTGCAGGATGAAGGTGTTGGGCTGGAGCAGCACAATCGTTCACATGCATTGGATTGGGCAACATAGATGAATGGGATGAATGGGCTATTAGCTGGCAATACATGGCTGTTCCAGATGATGCATGAAGTAATCACACATTGGCCGTTCCAGTCATGCAAATGGGCTGTGTTACCCACACACGACCCTCCGTTTCTTTGGCTATATCAGAGTCTAGTTACTTGACAATGAACAAAGACCACTTTCCTATATAGTACCACGCTTACAAACAAGGGAAGGTGCCTATCTCCAAACTTTACAATGAAACGTGGGGTTTTTATTAGCAATGCGCTCGGCTTGGCCAACTGCACTTGCGCAAGCTCACGATCAAGCTTGCCAATCCTGCAGATTTCTTTTAATGTCGCTACCAGCCAAACTAGATCCAGGGGTCGACCTCTTTCGCTGTATGGAGGCTTTTGGCCTCAGATTTATTGCGGGAGTATACGAGAGTGATACCCCGAGAGAGAAACAAAAATATAGAACTAACAAGTTTTAACGGGAAACAAGTTGAAACGTGACTGATCACGGCATATAGCCTGAAACTAACAAGGCGGCCCTGATGCCCACGCAAGGATTGATCCGGCGCCCCCGGGAACGGAAGAAACTGAATAATTAATTCTCGGCTGGGGGTGGTTACCCCTCAACGACCTCGACGACGACGACCAAAAATATTTTGGGCTGTTTGCGACATTGAACGCAAACCTCACACAAGGTACTGCTGGGCTGGGCCGAGCCCATTGCTCTAAAACCCCACGTTTTCATTGTAGTCTTCGTCTGTTGCGTCAGATCCTGGCAGAGTTGTAACTCATACGGGAAGGATTATATACTGTTGACAAAAGCCCAAGACAGGATAACAGCCATTTCTTCACAATAGCCACTGCTGTCCACTCTATGACATGCAGCTCTTCCTGCTTCAGACATTCATTTCCATGATTGGATTATGTTGATTCGAGTTGATTTGACCGAGATACAGCTAAAGAGGGATTACATCAATCCACACATCTAACCATGCTCTATGTTGCTCAATTGAAGTAACCTTGTATGAGCGTAGCTCAGCCAAATCAACTCGGATCAACATAATCCAATCATGGAAATGAATGTCTGAAGCAGGAGCACCGTTCCACTGTCATAGAATGGGCAACATTGCCGATTGTGAGGAAATGGCTGTTAGCTCGCAATGTATGGGATGTTGTCAATAATATACAGTATCATCCTTCCATCCTTCCAGTCTGAGTTTTCCTCTGCAGCTCTTTTCTCTGCCGAAGTCAATACCGCCGATGAACAAGGGTTACTTCTCATATAGCATCACGCTTACAAACATAAAGGTACCTGTATCTCCAAACTTTACAATGAAACGTGGGGTTTTTTAATGAGCAATGGGCTCAGCAGCCAACAGTAC